ATGAAGAAAAAGTACAAGCTAGCAAGTATATGATCATTTTGTATCCGTTACTTTTTCCACTCATATAGACGCTAAAACCAGTCTTGCTACCGGTGTTCACTCGAATCTCTTGTATAATTTGTCTATCTGATTTAAACCGCAAGTCGGCTGTGACGTTAACGGCAAGTGAGTCGCTTGTTTTAAGACGACAATTAATAGATAATTTGTCATATTAGTAACTCCGTCTTTTCGTAACTTTTTATTTCTCATAAAGCGCCTCTTAACATTAATTATATGCTATAAGTCAGTGCTTACGATAAAATTAATTATGGCTGGGTATTGTAATCATTAAGGTAATAAAACAGAAATTCTTATTAGACGTTTTCTTACATTAGATTTACTAAATAGCCGTATTTTAAAATTGAAGAAAACTAGTAATTGGAAAACTAGCAAAGTATTCTTTGGTATGTTGTATTGACAACGTTATGATACTAAATGAAAAACATTAGTAAATTTTACAACTATCCATTTTTAACACCTTTCTGTTCACTGTTGCTTTAACGATTTGATTACTTTATAGATGAGTTAGTGAATTTCAATGTTAATAATGTACATACATAATATTGAGTTTGTGTGTGCCCATTGCCTTTTAATTAATTGTTTTATGCATTTATAGATTTTCTATAATATGGCTTATAGTAATGTACAAAGTAATAATTATATATAATTAATATAAATTATTATTTATTAATATAAATATGAACGAACAACAGAAATTAGTGTATCGATTACGGTAGAACTCTATCATACCGACACGGATACGATGATTCACATGATTATACATATAGTAATTAGGCGTTTCAATCAATTGTTTAAATAATTGGATAAATTATATTTCCTGTACGCTATCGTATTAATAAATAAATCAATTTTATATATACAATTTTAAAAAAGTTTTTCAAAAAGAAGGTCCCACCGAGATTTGAACTCGGATCGCTGGATTCAAAGTCCAGAGTGCTAACCATTACACCATGGGACCGCGTGGTTCATCTTTAATCAATGTTCATAGGCCATCGTACATTATATACATCCTCATTTTTTAGCCTATGCCACATTCTACCCTAATCTTTGCGAAGCAATTCATATTATTGCGTATCAGACATGTCCGTACGTTCGTTTTGACGAAAAACTTCATTTTTGTGTGCCAATAATTTTTAATCTTCAATAACCACGGTCTCAAATTACTGGTTTCATGAGTGACAAGTAAAAAACATAAATATGTTAATTTTTGTTTAAAAATCTTAGTCAAATCCTAGTGTTTACAAATCTTTGGAGAAATAAATTGGTACGAAAGGAATGCAAATAAATGATATCTATGGTAATCAACGGGCAAAGCACCGATCACTTTCATGATACATCAATGACCGTTATATCAATGACTCGACTTGATTCCTCAAACAGTGCAGCCGCAACGGCCGCGAGCTCTAGTAGTGCAAGCACCGGGAGTGTGAGGCGTGCAAATGAGCGTCGCTTTTTGAAACGAGTTAACACTGTAATGTAGCCAGTTTTTGCAATTTTTTCTCTGTCGCACAGTCAAACAGTTCGCAAATTATTTTGACATTATTACGGTAAATTGAGATGTAAGTGTACAGATAAATGCTTTACTTTGTGAATAAATTTAGCGAAGTAAAAATAATCTTTAGTTTATGGACGTAAGAAATCGAAAGGAAGAAGAAGAGAAAAATAATGAGAAATTATTCATGCACGCGAGAGAGCCGCTCGAGTTAGCGAATAAATTAATAAACGATTAGAAAACCGTATAGCACATAGGAATTCCAATCGCATAATATACAGTACGCTGACATCATTGAACGACCCGAATGGAGAAAGCATATATACCATGGTGTGTGTACGGATATACCGCCAATAAATATGAATTCAATTATCAGTGCGTATATATAAAACATAGAAATGCCCCTCCCCCTTACCGAATGATTTATTTAAGTTCGTCGAGCGCTAATTATGCGATAAAACGCGGCTCGCTCGAGTTATTCAATTAAGAGGAAGTCGATTAAGACACACGTCGCTCGTGATTTTGACATTCCCGGGAGATTGCCAGCAGTAACATTTTATTGATTCGTTCGACGCGTTAATTTGAAGTCTCATTATCGCGTAAACGTGTTGCCGCGGAAGTGAGATTTCAATGAAACGAAAAGAATGAAATGCATATCATCTACATCCCACTATTGACGATATTGCGAAAAAAAATGCATAGAAATGACATAGTTGCAGCGACGAGCGTACGGCGGAAGGAGAAAAAAAGTAACCATAGCCACGCAATCGCTTACAGCCCGCGAGAATTCCAAAGAGTGACGATCCAGTTATCAAGCTTTATTCAGTTCGCGTATAGTACAAGTTTGCGCTACCGACTTTGTATTTCGTCGTGGATGAGAGGAGGATATATCTCTTTAATACGAGTCGAAGACGTAAAGAAAGCTGGTTATAAAGTACCGAAAGTGCGCTTTCTCAAGTGACAATTGTTTTTCCGAAAGATCGCTTTTCACCGATTTGTTAGTTGCTTTTTCCTCCATTCGCGCTGAAGGATCGAATGTCAATTCGTGCATGCATATTGAAATGTCGCGGTGTGATTCTATTTTGAGTGATGATGAAGGAAAAGGAAAGGTTTCCTGCGATTCATTCGTAGCAGGTGATTGAAATCGATAGACCATCGAACAACTAACCCAGTTTCCGTCCCTCGCCTTGCAGAAAAGTCTTTTATTAGTTGTGGTTTTTTGGGCCTATCAATCACGGAAGCCTCCCGTCGTGAGAGCTTATATCTACCTTTGAAGCGACTTTCTCTCTCCCTCGCTCACTCGGCTTCTCGTTTTATTAATCGCGCATGCGATACTCGAATGCCTCTTTGACGATATGTGTGCTGGTTTCTCCACTGCGTTTACGCAAAAAAACACAAGTTGTTTCTTGATCTTTCAATTTTTATAAGATGGCCTTGCGATTAGGAAGAGCGTAGATGATATAAGCTTTTCGAGACTTTCTTTTGACAAATCTTGATTAGTAATATTAGTATTTATTGTGCAAATTCATACTGAGTAATGTACGCAGGGTGAACATTTCTCAAATGCTGTTGCATTTGTAAAAAATGTATTGAGTATTGAAACAAATTAAATCTACAATCTTTCTCGCTTTAAGTTTCTCATTTCGAGTGAGATATTTTGTAAAACTAGTAAAAGTTACTCTTACGAGAAGAAAAATTGTTACAATAAACTAAACATTGCAAAAAAATGAGTTACACGTCAAAGGATATGAAGCATTCTATCGGTATATGCCTCGTCGAATGCTCATAAAACAAATAATTACTTACCACTTGTCGGCATAATATTCTAACGAAGCTTGGGCTGTATTTTATCTCGTGTCGCGAAACGATAGTATTTTATATATATACTTCTCGTAAAACATGTCGTTGCGCGCAAGTATACTACTTTCAAAGTAGGTTGAAATCTTTTCTGTCTCTCTCTCTTAGCGCGTTGATAGAATACCAATTAACTGGTATAGAATAATGTATTATGACGCCGTTGCTTTACTGTTTATATCCGATACGAAGCTAGTCTGTTATATTATTTTAGTACGAGAGTAGATTTTGTCGCGAGTGCGTGTCGATCGATTGAGAGCTTAACGTCATTTTGTGAGTTGGCGGCATTCAATCTATAAAAAGAAAAGTATTGATGAAAACAAAGCGTTTGGTTTACGTGGTGTCTGCGTGGCAACCTTGACAAAGATAAAGAGGGAGTAGGAACGGTAAAAGGTGGTAAAATCTATCAAACAATAAAATAATTGTTTTGCGCCGTAAATAAAACCATCGAGGTGTATTGGTGGCGAATAAATCACCACGGCGGGGTTTGGACGATAAAACTTGATGCGAGTATGTATACATGTATATGGAAGAGGAAAAGCTTATACCGAACGGTCGCAAATCAATTTCTGCATATATCCGCTTTGGTATTTTCATTTTTCAAGGTCGGATTCCGTATCGCAGTTCGTCTGAGCGAAAGCTTCGTCGTGATGAAAATATTAGAATCGTTAAAAAATTATACTGTTATGAAAATTTCTTATTTACGTTATATTCTCAATTGTTAAAGTTATTCATGTAAAAACCATTCAAGCAAAAATCTTATTTTACAAATTGCTTAAACCATGTACTTTGAGCTTATCAAAGCTTATCAAGTTCGATCAAATGTTCAATTGCGATAACGGTTGTGGCCCATACATACGTACACACATTTGGAGAAGCGATAATCGAACATTTGTCAATTTGAATCATCGTTAATCAAACGAATTCTGTTCCAATGTAGCAGGAAGAGTTTTTGATGAATAAAAATGAAAATAAGAGTTATCGCGTGAGTGTCTTGTCAAAACCTATTTATCAAAATGCAAAGCAAAGTAGCAAAGCTAGAAATGGTGCAAGAAAAAAGCAAATAATAAACAGCACGTTCTATCGCGAAAAGCAAAATAAATCACGCGCCATACGTATTTTGATCGAGAGACGAATTTCGCATGTGTATGATAAATCTGGTCAATGTTGCGTATACGTGTGATTGATTAATGCACTCGCGGAGAGTTTTCAGTTGGCAATTCTTTTCGATATGACGCGCGTGAACGATAGTTTTAAATATAGCTTCGCTGCCGTGCGCCTTTCTTTTTGCTATCTAACGATTTTTAAATTTCACTTAACGTTATTTAACAAGCAATACATTAACGCCAAGCCTCAATGCTCATAATCTTTCTCGTGCACTAGAAAGTCTTTACTCGTACAATCGGATTTCTCTCGAGAAGCTTTTATTATGTTCGCCAACACGAGAAAGAAAGGCGGGAGATTTTCAGGGCGTCAAACGATGTAGATTTCTTCTTATCATCACGGAGGAAGTCAGTTTCCTCGTTGAACGACTCATCGACTATAGTGCAGAACAAACAAAGTCCAGTGTTTATTAAAATGTCGTTCTGTGCATAAATTTTCGAATTATCGGGATTTCAGTGTACTGCAATTTTACAGCCGATCTGGAGTAAGTTGTCCAAATATGCGACGAACCGCGATATTGATATGATCTGTTGATATGTTAATTTTTTGAGTTTACTAAGCTTTTTTTTATTTTATAGAATCTCTATTACCAGTTCACTTGAGATTAATAGAAAAGTTGTATATTTATAATTTATCCTCACGAGATATCATGTTCTTATCGATAATTTGATAAAGAAAAAGTACCTTATTATTCATTTAAGCTGAGATAAAAGCATTGTTACATAATTATAAGTCGATCTTCGTTGTAAAACTAACTTAAAAAACTTCTCTCTAGTTAACGTAGTTCGCAAATCATGAAGAAACTGATTGTCTGGATAGTTTTATTATCTGTCACGAAATATATTTACGCCGAATTATTCGTGGTCTCCAACTCTCCGAAAACAACTGGAGATATTTTTTATCCGCGTCACCAAGCCAAAGAAGCTTACTGCATTACTGATGATTTGGATAGTGCATTGGTATGGAATCACCATTTAGATTGGCAGTTCTTGAAGTTTGCACACTCCGATGAAAGTTTCAAGACCTACTGTGAGTAATAGACACATAATTTAATTTTAAATATGTAACTAGATTTGTACTGACAATTCACGTCGTTCATCCTTTATTATACAAACAAAAATTAAATATCAATTCCACGCATGCACATACGCACGCACACACACACACACACACACACACACACACACATATATAATTTGAGCATGTATGAGCTTCTACTTCGATGTTAGTATATTATTTGATCACACAAATAAAATATCTTACTTATCAAATAACTACAACTAATGATGCAAATTTTCACTTGCGTGTATTTAATTACAGTATTGCCACGAAATCAAAAATTTATATATCCTGCGAATGACAATTTAAATTGCTGGATGAACCACACTAGCGAATGCTCCAGACATTGGCACGGATATGGCAATTGGAAATTTAAAAATAGCATAGACAGCCCAACAGCTCCTGTTACGGACCGTCGATGGGAAGGTAAATCTCAAGTAACTTTTGGGCAATTGACATACTTACAGCTTAAAATATTTTCACACAGATTTCGACGAGTTAAAATTGAACCACTTATTCCGACGTGTAGACGTGCTACCTGTGTCCGGAAGTTTAGCAGTTTCAATACGTGGTTCGTCTGATGCTCACTTTGCCATGTGCGAAGGAAAGAATGTCATCGACAGTTTCTGTTTCTACATTATTCTCGGTGGTTGGAAAAATACACGCTCGGTGATAAGGAAATGTGAAAAGGGTTTACCTGAATCAACACACACATTTCCCGAAGGCGAATGTGCAAAAATTTTGGTGGAGAATCTGGTAAAAAGTTAATGAATAAAAATATTGGGTTCCTAATGTACGACAAATTAATGTTTCTCTTCTGTTGATAGGGACAAGTATTGTCGTCTACAGAATGGAAACACTTCGTACTCAAGTGGAACTTCGAAGGTGAAATATCAATTGCAATCTTCGATTCCAGTTCTATGTTACTCAGTTATCAAGTGCCTAAAAATCGAACTTACTTTTCTGGCGAGAGAGCCCTGAATGGACACAGATATTTTCTTCATGCAAGAACCTCGAGTCAGATGCTGTTGAAACCTCACGTATGTAAGTACAATAACGAAATGTTTTAAAAATTAATATTATGGATAAAACGAACGTTTTCTTTTTTTTCAGATAGCTACTCACTAACAACAGAAAGACAATCGAAACTTATGAGCCCACCTATAATGTTACCAAACAAGTATCTATGCGTGGATATGTCGGTAAGCTTGTGCGGCAAGTGTACAATGACGATTGATTATGTCGATTACAAAGAAACAGTGAAAGCCGCGGGAATTGTTCTAAATAAATCACCGAGAAATATTTTTGATTTACCTGTTTGGCAAAGTGTACGGGTCAATAAAACAATGGTAATGAAGAATCAAACGATGAGACAGCCAGTAAAATTAGTAATCAATACTTTTGTTACTGACGCCGAAACTATTAATCCTTACTGGGCGATTTCTAATGTACGACGATGCGATCCTGGTTAGTATGTATTCTTAACAATTAAATCGCTCTTCGTTTACTAAATCAATTTCTTGGTACATTGGCTCGTTACAGACGTACTGAAAATTGCGAGGGTGAAGACTAATCAAGACTCTTCCGATGATTACATATGGCCGAACGTCACTTGTCAGAAAATGTCAGCCAATGGCAGGTCGACAGTGATCGATGTAAACAACTTTGTACCTACAACTAAGAATTCACGTACGTCAATGTACATTACCCCTTCTATGTAATCATTTTCTAACTTATATTGTATTGGTTCACAGCTTCAAGACCATTATGTACAGAAGGTACAATTGGACCGTCATGTTCTACTAACTGTTCGTCATTGTTCTGGAAACACTCTGACTGCCAACAACTGCTCGCTTGCGACAACAGCGGATGTTCATGTGCACCTGGATTTATGATGCCAACATGCGCCAATCGTACGTATATATTTTTTAGTATTCTTATTACTAATGTCAAATACAACGTATTCCAGCAACGACTTATGGCTTTGGCAAGAGCGCTAACTAATTATCTCAGTAATAGTCTACTTATTTTGATTTCGAACAATCAAATATTTCACAAATAGAGTGTTCCTACAAAGTGATCCATAGCACCATATTCTTCATTATAGATACATTGTCATCATTATCAACATCATCATTTCCATCATCATCAGCATTACCATCGTTATTTTTACTTTTTGACGATTCAATATGTAACAATATGCTTTAGCTTGTCCTGTTTCGATGTATGGCTATGAGTGTGAAAAAACTTGTGGCAACTGTGCACAGAATCTGTGCAAACCATCCACAGGAGAGTGTACTTATGGCTGTGCAAATACCGAAAATTATTATTTTTTGCCACCTTACTGTAAAATTGGTAATTCATCCTCTTCCAAAGTATGAATATGAGTTTTAAAGATTTTTTCATGTATTTAATTCTTTTAAATAGGAATAGGACCACCTCCAGCACCTATCATAGATATCCTTCAGTTCACTTGGATAAAAGTTTCCTTACAGACGCTATCAGAGTACAAGAATATTTCAACAAATGTGACATTTGAAGTATGGGTAAGCGACAGAATATCAAATATTAGTACGGTTATCAAATATATATTCCTACTATACGTTTTCCACTGTTATAACATGTTTAATTCCAGACAAATTCTGGAGTTCTTGTATTCGAAAGTGACGTAATAGCTGTAAATAAAAGTACAACTCATATCGACACCGACGTTGAAAATTTGAGCCCAGGTAGACATTACAGAGTAATAAGTGTTGTACATGTCGGTCAGCGAACGTTTAGAGGACAGTGGACCAATTTCACAACCTTGTGCACAGGTTAAATCTTTATGCCGTCATAACTTTCATCCTTCCGTTAATATTCTAGCTAATATTTTCCATTTCAGAATCACTACCGTTGAATTACGTCATAACTAGCAATGAAACCAGCATAGTCGTTAACAATCTAGTGGTCGTTAATGATTCTTGTCCGGACGATTGGTACAGCGTACAATTGTTGAAAGACAAAGATAAGTTATTTGATATCTCGTCTAGTTTTCCCATAACATTCTCAAAGCTCGAACCGTACACTACTTATAGACTTATCGTACGATCTGAAAATTCAAGTACCATTGTTGATAAAGATGTAACTACTCTAGAAGGAGGTATAATTATAGATATCGAATATTTTTTTAAAGAATCGAATCTTTACGTTTTTGGATATTTTAGCTCCCGGTCAAGTGGAAAATTTTCATTCCGTATCAAATCATGCCAATAACATCACCGTTACTTGGACATCTCCTGACAAGCCGCGTGGTAAAATAGTCAATTACACTTTGGAAATAAAGGTACTTAGATCACCTAAACACGCAACTCTTTAAGTATCTCTTATTACATGACTTTTCATAAACAATTTCAGCCAATAAAATCAATTGGTTGTAGTAATTACAATTTGTCTTTCTACAATACAACAATATCTCAGCAATTAAAACAACAAATAACAATTGCAAACGTGAGTGAAAATCCTAACAAGTACACATTCAGTGATTTGAGACCATACACTGATTACGTTATTACTATCTACGCTTCCACATCAAGGTATCGTGGTATAATGGATTCATCGAAATGTATTACAAAATCAACAGGTGAATGATTTTAGATTATATTATGCACTTACCAATGATTCTTCACAATTAATTTTTCTTTTTTCAGAAATGCCTACTGAAATTGTAACTGGTGTGCATTTAGTAAGTAAAAAAAATATTCCACGAGTAGCGGGAGTCTTAAAATGGGATATACCCACTGATTGCTCATCGATTGAAGGACCCATGCGAGCTTTCAGTCTGTACTACAAAAAATTAGGAGATGTAAATTACAAGAACATCAAAGCTTTGAATAATCACTCTTATGCACTTGAAAAGAATCTCTTCGAAGGCGCCCAAACTTATGAAGGTCGATTACACGTTCTAAGAGACATCGGTGGCATGGAAAATAAGACGGCATTTGCTTATTTCAAAGTAACTCTCCCTCCGAGAGGTATCTATTTATTTTTTATTATTTCTGAGTATATATACTAATTTGTTGTCAATGATTCCAGAACCCTCACCAGTGCGAAACTTAGAAACTGTAGAAGTAGATGTTTACAACGGGAAGTTAACTCTTAGGTGGGAGCCACCACTGCCGCCGATTCATGGGCAATTAGAATCTTATTTGATTGTGTATTGTAACACCGAAGATGATTGCAATGAAAATAAAAGTATTTCTGTAAAATCCAATGAATTTTGCGATCTTTGGAACTCAGATATTGGATACAAATTGCAAAACATATACTTATGCCAAACCATACCGTACCCAAAAAATTATAATTATATTACTATTAAGGTATGTAGCTCAAATATATAATCGATTCATACCAATGACTGAATACCGAATATTTTTACAGGTTCAAGCTCAGAATAAAAACGTCACTAAACTATCACAGCCTGAATTCTTACAGATCATCAATAGTGAATCCAGTAAGTAATTATTTAAGAAAAGCTTCATTGTGATACGTGTAAATAGCATGTAAACATCTAATTTTTCTCACCAGTACCTACTGCACCGAGTGGTTTAGCAATTGAAATAATAAGTCCACAAAACGCTTCAGTAAAAATAAGTTGGGCTCATCCATGGAAAACTGGTGGTCGACTGCACGAATTCTCCATCGTTTCTGAAACTATAGAGAGCAACTTGACAAACGTACCATGGACAACTAAAAATAGTACTTTGACTATTGACAACGAAAATTACAAGCCCCAATACAATCTAATAATAGATTTGCTACCTTCGACAACGTTTATTATTTCCATCAGAGGAATAACGGTAGGAGAAATCTATGGGAAAATGAAAATGAGTAAAATTACACTTCCGACATTTATAAATATAAGTACAGAAGATTTGAGGCCAAAGGTTAGCCATGATTTGACCATACAAATTAGGATACCGCAAGTGACAAATAATGTTGTCAATAGTACAATGGTCATTATAGTGGAAGGACCTAAGTATTGTGATGAAGGTTCTAGTAATAACGAAGATATCAATACATATTTCAATTTTCAGACTTCGTTATATAATAAAGTAGTTTGGAAAGCCGCAACGTTTACAGTATGTTCAAGCATTTTTAAACTATATATTTTGGATATGACAATTTAGTGTTATTTTTCTCATATATTTTCAGCTACCTGAAAAACAATCAAATAAAGAATTCGAAATTGGGAATGGACTCACGTATGGAGGATCGAAAAATTATGCCCTTTGTCCATCACAATCGTACATCATCAACTTAATAATTTCTATTAATACAGACGTTCTGTTAAATCGATCACATAAAAGTTCAGGTAGAAATATTCTTAAAAGTATTAGAACAAATGCGATACTGATTGGTGAAAAATCACAAAACTACGTTATGTGGTTAACATCGATACTCTTTATTATGTTGATAGTCATAATTTTACTTATGATTCTGCATAGAAAAAGGTAGACTAATATCATTTGCCGTATTGATAAAAGTTTGAAATAAAAATACTAACATCATACGTTTTTCAAGACTCGCCAAGCATTTTAATAATAAATCAAAAGTTAGTCAACAAGAGAACATGCCTCTCTCAAATGACTTTGATAAAAAAAAAACGTTTGGCGAAGGTGGTACTATTTCGATAATTAAAGAAACTAAAAATGTTCCAAATAATCTATTGGTTAATGATGAACCAAAGGAAAAGTTTATTATGCCACTGAAACTAGAAGATTTTGAGATATACTTTGAGAGGGCTTACAAATCTGGAGCGTTGCATAAAGAATACTCAGTAAGTTTTTACGTTTGAGCAATGATTTTTAATGGATTTTACTTCTTTGAGTTTATTTTAGACTATCCAACGAGGAGCGATAAAAGCATGTACTTACGGATCTCAGTCAGAAACTAAACCAAAGAATAGATATGCCAATTTGTTTCCGTGTAAGTTGCAGTTAAATAAACAATATTTTTCATCTTCAGTTCGTGTTTTATTTATAACTGAATTTTAGATGACGAATCGAGAGTTGTTTTAGAAAAATTACCAAATGATCCTTATTCAGATTATATCAATGCTAATTTCATTAAGGTAAGTTATTCATCATCATTGCTACGAATATCAAATCATTTGATGCTATCGTATTAACAGGGATACGGCGAGAGGGAGAAAGCTTACATAGCAACTCAAGGACCAAAACAGCACACAGTAATTGACTTTTGGAGGATGATCTGGCAGGAGAAAGTGCAGATTGTATGCATGATGGCAAACCTAATGGAGAATGGAAAAGTAAGTAACACAAATTATAAAGAATTGAACTTTCAATTGATAAAGTAATATCGGTTCCAGACCAAATGCGAACAATACTGGCCAGCAGCAGTTGAAAAGAAAGTTCTTTACGGTACTGTGTTGGTACAATTTACTAGTGAAGAAATTCATCTAGACTACACTTATCGGACATTCAAAGTGACATGCGAAGAAGAAACTCGAACTGTAAAAAACGTAGATTATATTACAATACAAGGTCATATAACAACAAATTATTCTATGAACAGGTTGAACATCTTCACTACACATCATGGCCGGATCACGGTGTACCCTCTAACCCAGGTTCCATCGTCGCTTTTTTGAAAGAGATTCATCGTCTCTCGCCAGTTCCGCGTAAACCGGACGATCCACCAATTGTTGTTCACTGTAGTGCTGGCGTTGGTAGAACTGGGACACTTATCGTTCTCGATAAATGTCTTTGCCGAGCTTTTTCGGAACAGGTAAAAAAATTGATTTATAATGAAATTTTATTCATACAGTTTATTCAATTGGTTTATTTTAGTTAATTGATATACATGGTGATGTACTGTCAGTACGAGAACAACGTATGAATATGGTTGACAACATCGAACAGTATTTGCTAGTGCATTTAGTCTTGGTCGAATATTTCAATTCGAAAAACACTTGTTTCCGTTGTGATGAAATTTTACCCGAGAAGATAGCCAAAGCGAAACATAATGCATCTACTCAGTATCAGAGGTTGATGATTTCGCAATCAATATAACCAAAGTGAACTGAAATTATTTAACACGCCTTTCTTTTTTAAAGAATTTTAGATACAAGCTGGTGGAACGAAGTGTTGGGGTCACCGCTAGTTCCAGAGAAATCTCTATCAAACATCAATCGAGCTAAACATCGATTTCCAGAATCAGCAGGTACACCAGAGCATAAGAGTGTTAACACTGCACCTTCAACACTAAAATCATCGGAATAAACTAAAAAAGCAAAGTACATGCATGTAACGCGATAATTTAACCTTCGTTTTTGTAACAATTTATACAGCAGGTAACATAAATAGACTATACTTAAAACGATCTGTTGTTAATGACGAAGATAGCGACTACATCGCTGCCACTAACGTGCGAGGTATTTTCAAAAGTAGCAACTATATAACCACACAACTTCCATTGCCATCAACGTCTGCTGACTTTTGGAGAATGTTATCGGAACATAATGTCGAACTTGTGTTAGTTCTTCAAAAACCTGATTTAAATGATTCTGTAAGTTGTATCATTGTATATTGTATTCGTTTATTGGAAAACGTATGTTTCATGATAATTTTTCAGAGTTACTGTGAACTTATACCAGAAAGTCAAGGATTCGGAAATACTAAATACTTAAAAGTTATTTTACAAATAGGTGATACAACCAGCACTGAATGTTATACAACGGAAGAAGTACTTCTTATTGACAGCTCAGAGGTAATTTATATACCAAATTATATAAATTATACGGGTTTGTGACGTTACATTGTTACAGCATCCAATTAAGGACCAAACAGTCAAGATAATAACATATAAAAATTGGTCAGAAATTTCTTTGCCACCTCCAAGTGACATTGTTAAACTCTGTCAACTACTGGAAAAACATTCAAAAAAACAGAAATGCCCTATTGTGATAGTTTGCCGGTATGACAAAACGAATACTCATTTAACTAACTGTATATATAATAAATAATTTTTATCTGTTCAGTGACGGAGTGACGGCTTGTGGTCTTTGGTTGGCTTCATCTTTTCTTCTTGACAGAATGAAAATCGATAAGGAATGTGATGTATCTCAATCTGTCCGAGCGATACGAAGATATAGAAAAAATTTCTTAGATAAACCCGTGAGTTTCGTGACTTTTGAATTTGCTTGTTCATAACAATCAGGTTTTTATTCGTGTATTTTTTTTTCAGAAATATCTTGCATATTTATATGACATAGCGTTGGCGTGGTCGAGTGAAAACTGTGGAAATGTTGACTAATTTTTATACCTTTGCTTGTATTAATATAATCATTGTTGAAGATACTCAGATTTGCACAATATACAATTTTTTTATACAGAAGTAACATAACTTATAAACCATTAACTAAAATCAAATAGATGACAGGTGTGCGTATACATTTAAGCTTTTTGTTAATTACGTTAGTATTATTGTTTACTCAAATTTTATTAACAGTAATTATTAGTAACTAAACATAATTTTTTTGTTACCATATCACAAAGACGATAACAACATTTTTTAATTTACAGAAATATTTTATTGTCTATTATAGTTTCTGATGTAAATAAATCTCGATCAATATATCAGCTTGGAGGAACTTAGAATTTTACTTGTAGCGCACACGTCTTAACGCACACTAAGCGTCAAGACGCAACAATCCTCGAGGAAAGTGTAGAGGCTTAACCTTCAAGTGTGGCAGCTCCCATTAATAAGTCTTGTGGCGCAGTTGTGACTCGAAGTCTCCACTTGAATTTTTTGAGTAAGCGTGACGTCCACGTGTTGTTCTAAAAGAACTAGTAGTCAGTTCAAGGTTTCTCGAGCCTTCAGAGATATAGAGAAACTTGTTACTTATTTTGCGACTGAAGCTTGACTTCCTTTTTTATATCTGTTTTTTAACTGACGGACGTCAGAAAGAGTTGACAATGCACACCCATCTTCCGTACTTTTTAAGTTCCTATACCGTCAGTTAGCGTTGATTTCCGACCATGTGCGATTGTACGAGTTCTACAGAGAAAAAAATTGACAATTATTCTTTATGTTACGTGGGTAAAATATAAGTAAAATACAAATCTTTAGCCATATTCATGCGACTTTTCATGAAAGACGTTGAGATACTCTGTAAATCGAATGACGCAACAGCAGCGTAATAAATTTAACAATTATCCGCTATTGACAATTCCGTTGACTGGACATCTTTACGTCATCCTCGCCCCTTCAATAGTTAAATCGTAAAGGATTTCTTGTGATTTTATAGTATCATTGTGAATCTTCCACGAGTCTCTATTTTGTAGCGAGAACATAATGATACCCGGATTTTGAAAATCCATATCAGTAATGTAGACTCAGCCTCCGTCGGTGTAATCAAAACCAAATCGTTCAACAATACAGTATGACGATGTGCCATTTCGTCTAGAAATTAATAAGTCATTAACATTTTGTTGTTATCCTTTAAATCGAAAATCCTTAGTTTGGCCGGGCAACTATTTATCAGCTCAGTAGTCGTCAGATCTCTATGACCAGTGTCAATAAATTACATTCAACCCAATGATCGATTTCCATACTCAATACAAATTACAAAAACTAACGATATCATAATTACTAAAATAAAAAAATTGTTCAATATTTTTATATTTACTTGCCATATATGAGTAAATGTTTTTTGCATGAGCAACATCCATTCATTATTTTGCAACTGTTATAAGGCTTGCATCAAAAATCTCAAAACAAAATGATTGCCACTTACAAAAGTCTTCGCTCATTTTTAGTCTAATAGACAATTATTTCGAGATTATCGATTAAAAGTTGAATCTTTAATTTGAAAAATTAATCATCTATTCCTTCTGCGTTGCTCGACTTCATCATAAATGAATTCCTACAATTGAATAATTTGCCGTGTCTACGTACATATTCAGCGTCGTTTGAAAAATGAATTAACGTCGATTCAAGTGAGCGGAAAATTGAAGTGTTCCTTTTACGCAATATCTTACAACACGTGCACTGGATTATTACATCTCTCTCGCTTGCAAATTGATAATAACGCAAGCGACCAACAATGTTGAATGATATAATGAGTTAATACGTCTATCGAGGCGAAATTAGAACGAGACGAAAATATATCTACAAACATTATATACATAATGTAAAAGATACAAGCGTGTAAATGATTCGTGACTTTGCGATTTCTCAAGTCATATTTCCTGGATGTCAGTCATATATGCATGCACACGTATAGGTATATCCCGGAGCGCAATTAGCGCGTGCGCATGCTACGGGAACCGCACAATGTGTGTATGTGTGTGTAGTAATACGTAATGGGTTACACATTAGTACGTTTTCTGTGCTGATTTTCGTTTTATTTGTTTAAGTTGACGTGACATCGCGTAGAATTTGACTTTGACCGATTGTGAATCGACCGCTAAACATTTTCTCGAATTATAGTGGATCACTTTTTCGATAAATTAAATTTTCCCCTTCTTCTGAAACTACTTCTCCAGGTAAAAGATCCTGAAAATAATAGGATGACTTGTTGAATCGATAGGTAACGAAGGATGAGCGAATAGGCCATTCTAACGTAGACTTTTATTATCGAGACGACGACAAAAAACCAAATTAATCGCGTTCCAAAGGAATTTTATTGTCTTTCTCCAAAGTAAAAGTATAATCTATGTAACGCGTACGTACATACGACAATCAGTCTACTAATTGTAAAACATTTCACTTACGAATGCCAAGTCAGCGCTCATATATATGTATGTATATATACAAAGCGAAAAGTCGTGCAAAAATCATCAACGATTTAATTAGAAGCCCCCGAGCAAAGACTTGGACGGTTACGTTGCGCGCACACACACGCTTTCTAATCAAAACAATGCCGCTACTGATGTATTCAGGATGAAGTTGTCTCTCTCTCTCTCTCTCTCTCTCTTTCGCGATATTATCAATGCTTGGAGGCTCGTTTCACGTCACGTTACATACACATTTTTTCCAATAACGGCAACAGCGAAATTCTCGCATATACTTTACAACCTTATGGGAACGATTGCTTGTTTTTTCTTGCTTTGCAAGTTACTTTCTCGGCGTGACAATGGGTATATCGTCCTGATACCTATCATAATTAGGCGACACGGTAAGAGTATGTGTATGAACGTCATGATTATCATTGTGAAACTACTTGGCTGATTTTCGCTTTATTTTTTCTTTAAATTTTTTTTCAATTCACTTTCAACTTGATGTTATACTGACAAATTTTATTTTAAATTAGCGTGTTCGATATATTTTAAACGAATAGAGGTAAATGATTTAAAATTTTCAATTTAATATAGAATAAATAATATGGTCAATTTAAAATTCAAAAGTTTTTCCTCTCTAATGCTTTATATTTGCATTTGGAGCAAGTATCGATTAACTCTTCACTCGCAAAGAATGACAATATATTTTCTGCTTTGAGCCAAAATACATACATTTCTTTTTTTTTTAATATCATTTCCAAAAGTAGAAACGCTCTATTACCTACCACTAGAGACTTACAATCCTGCAGGTTTCCATAAAACTTGAAGGGAAGTATTGTTCTGTTCTTGACTCAACTATACATTCGGATGTTGGAAATCATCATCACTACGCCACATCTGCGAAAGCGAAGCTGGAGAACCTGTCCATGAAAGCTGCAGCGGCAATTGACGCGAAACAAAGAAGTACACGCTATGATATTGTCTGCATTGCGCGCGCGGACGGCGATTGCTCTTGCCGCCGATTCGAGCAATTGCAGTGTGCCATTGTCCGCTGTTCGGGCAGCAATCAGAGGTACTTTTAAATACTGCCCCTGACTCTGGAAACTCGCTGTTTTTCTAGCCTTGTAGCCTTCAGATCCTCGAGAAGTTCTTAGTGACTACCGAAGTACGTAAAAACGTGTTTGCCGCTGTCGGGCTTAGGATCGCAACTTAGATCCTTTCTTATGTCTCAACGTTCTGGACTATCTGAGCGTAGGTACTCTTGCGAAGTCTGAAATGAATTCTACAAATCGGTCCAGAACAACCACTAAAGTTGTTCGAGAATTGGAACCAGTAACCTTTTTTACTGAAACTCGAGAAGGTTTGCGGTCGACAATCGCAAATTGACTGCTTTCGATTTATATTCGTAAGTGTCATTATTAGAATCGCATCGCTTAATCTCCAGACCGAAGACATCCGGCAATTGCAAAGAAATTGTTTTTTTATTGGATAACTTGGTGGAAACATCGAGGCTCGCTAGCCGTTTGCCGTTAATCCTTCATTCGCGTGCGCGCCAACAGTCGTCGTTGAATTCTGTCTGGCGCGCGTGTGATAAGATCGCGCGGACAGTTAAAGTGTGCCACCTATACACCTCGCGCGGGGATAAAGTCAGGCGTCGTCACGTGGATTTTGTTTTTCTCCGTCTCTATTCGCAAGACACTGGACAAGCCTCCTGCATGCAGCGGACCGAAGTTCCATTTGCATTTACGCTTATAGCAAGCGATACCCGAAACGAAGGCAATCGTCATAAAGTTCTCTCGTTAAGCAAGACACTCAGAGAGTAAAGGACAATCAGCGCGGATAACAATGAAGTGCCGGCCGAGAGCGCGCATAATTTTAATTAGCCGACGACGCCCACAGCTTTACGATTCCCCCTTTTTTTTCTCTCACTTTGCATGTAAATCAAAACTTTCCCGTTTGCGCGAATAATAAATTGTGAACTCGCGCAACACGACCAATTAGAAAAGCGACGCACCCACATATACATGTAACATACCTTTCTCTCTTTCTCGCCCGGTTATTTAGGTTTTAACCCGCGTGTGTCCTCTGCTCGTAAATCGCACGCCCGTTGAACTCAATATCCTCGATTTGGTCAAAGAGCCGATTGTGTGTACTTGTGCGATTTTATCGGTACAAGAAAAAAACACAGCAGTCGGAGACTGTACAACGCTCTCGGTTATTTAAGAATGCAAGTGCGTGTGTGTGTTTGAGTGTTGCGAGAGAACGCTTGTTCGTTAGACGTTCGGTTGTTTTTATTTTATCTTTTCGTCCGCGGCTTCGGTATGCAGGATGTATTTTTTCCCTCTTCTCAAAGTTCAGAGCGTGCGTAAATCACGAAATCGTTCTCGCGCTCAGCACGCGGAAATCAGTTTAATATCTCTCTTTGATATATATGCAAAAGAAGAAGTAATTTTAGCGACGATTTAATCGACCTGTCGACGAATCGATTATAATCCAATAACGCGATTGAGCAATCAACGCGATGCTGTAATGAGAAAAGTAGAGATATTTCATTCATTGGCTTACCTCTATTTTTCTCTCTTGTCCCGTCGTCGATACCCATTCGCAAATGTCATTCGTGTAAAACTTGTTTGAAATGCGCTCGGTGACAATAATTTGGATGACCGTACGATTTTCCGTACAATAATGGCGTTGCCTGAAAAATCGACGTGTGTAATGTAACTCGGCGTTCGATGGCTTGTAATTTCAGTGGTTTTACATGGAAAATAAAGTGGACTGTAAAACAACTTTTGTAATCACTTTATACTCAGCAAGTAATAATACAGAGGGTACATACAGGCCGAAACCAAAGACAAATTACATTTGTTTCAGAAACGGACTTGCCATTGAAAAGAATTACTTGCACGCCTCAATTATCTTCGATTCGAAAGATCCTCGCTGATACAACCACGCGTACGGCTACATTTTTTACTTGTGCGACTATACTCTCGCGCGCGCACATTGACGTTTCTTTTCCGATACTCAAATGTAGAAGGAAAAAAGGGAAAACTGCAGCGCAATTTCCACACCCACGTTATGTACCGCTGGAAAAAAATTTTGGCTTTCTCCCGCGATGGTTATTACAATGCGCAAAAGCCTTTTACAACTTCCTAGTGAGCAAGAGAGGGAGAGAAAGATGCCATCGAAACCTGAATACTCTACGGGAGCTTCAAAACCTTTCCTTTCACTTTTCAAGTGCCGTTTGTTCGGACCACCTTTTCCCCCCCTTTTTTTCCTTCTTCTCTCCAAGTGATAATGCCATAGATAGTGCTTGCGCGTTAAGACCCCCCGTTGGCTGTACATTGTTTTCGCGTGCGGTTCCATTGCTACGCGGCAGATATACGCCAATGGTTTTTTTCAGTCTTGATGAAAAGCTTTTCTCTTCAGCTTGCTTACATTTACACTCTTTCCTGTAATTTTCCAAAGATTCTCAATTCAGTATCGTTACGATTTTATTTTCAAATTAACGATAAAATTATAATTTTATGATATGTAAAATTCTTCGTCTTTCGCACCGTACACTATCGAATATGATTTTGTGGATAGAATTTTATGACGGAAATCTATTCGGAAAGCTTTTTAAACTTTTATTAATGAGTCTATCAAAAATATATACAAATTAAGTAATATATTAATGGTTTTTACATTGTAAGTAACGTACTATGCTAGCGCATTGTATTACAGATGTTGTCAGGTCTTGTGTCAAGTTTCTGACAGCACGTAGTCGTGTAAAATTTTTGTTAATATCATTATTGGTGAGATAGAAAGACGTTATTATCTATTTAGCTAGTGTTATCGTCAAATAACGTCAAAGCATCCAATATTCAGCTAGTTGAACCAGTAGTTCTGCAGATGCCATGTCAGGTTGAATCTCGTTTTGCTGGTGATCGATTCAGACGATACATTTCAGGCTTGGCATTTACCTGCGACCAAAAACCAGTCACGACTATGGCCAGTAAAACAACTCTAAAAGAAAATGTCTGAGTTTTGTCATCAACTGAGCTTGATTTGTTATTTAATATCCTATATAACTTAATTTTCTCAAAAAGCAATGCCACAGAATAAACACTAATAGTTGATTTGTTTTTAATAAATATTTCAAGTACTAAATATAACATTGAAATATTTACAAACGCTACAGATTTGAAATTTTCAACACGATAATAACCTCGTCGTAATAATGGTCAATAAACTAAAAAATTTATTGAGCCTACTGAATTTATAAATCTTTGCTGCAAATATTCTAATACATCATTATATATCTAATCAAGAAAAACAAATTAGTATGTTGCACTTAAAGGAAAAGTTGATTTATAAAATTAACAGAGATTCGTCAGCGGAAACTGCTCTTATTATTCGTAATCAAGGCAAGTCCAAATGCGCTGTTATCATTAGAAATGTACGATAGATGAAGTGTGGCACCCTTATCCTTAACTAACTACTGCTGATCGCATTCATATTTTAAAAATATAGGAAAATCCTTGCGGAAAAATCGTGTAATCTACAAACAATTATATAATTATTTTTTAGAAATTTTCCTATTTCACGTTGAAACTAGAGCAAAACGACGTCTTGTAATGCTTTCTGAGCAATAATATTGAGTTTTTCAGGCAATTTTTCTGAGCTTTCAAAGGCAATGATGAAACGAAAGAATTAAGAGCAGGCATTTATAAAAGTCGGGTGAATTTAAGGGACTTTCACGCGGAACTGCTCGTATACAAGCGTCATCGATAGTTTCCCAAGCGTTCATCGCTGTACAAATGAAATAATCATATCGCTATCTTCGTTATATGCTGTGGCAGCGGGCGCCGGCAATAATTCTCACGAAAGCCGCGCGAACGCGTAATTGCAGGCCGTGCGCCGGTCGATGCCGGGGACGAGGCGAATTTATTGAATGCGAGAGAGATTAATCGCGGGCTGCTTCTCGATTAAGTTTTCTTTTTTCTTTTCTTTTTACTGGCGCCGAGGTTTACGCTTTATTTATGGGCTTCACGTTCGCGCGTTGCAATCGTACGGCGAGTGTGCGTCTCGCATTTAGCGAAAGTCGAATTACTCGACGTGCGATTGTTGTACGAAACCAACGGATTCCAGCCCCATCGACGTGAAAACGTGACACCGTCAGCGCACCGACTGAAAAAACAACGATGCGCCGGCGCCATCGAGAGTACGGTAAGGTAGCCCATTAGGTTTAATCTGCAGGCGCGCGCCACAACGACTTTTTTCCGCCCGGCCCCCTTTGTGATTTGCTGTAATGACAACGCGGCGCAACATGCGCAGGCAGCTCACTCTGTGAAGAAAATGGCTTTTTTGGTGTTTATTCGCTGGTACTTTAAAATTATTGCGTGGATGGGGCTTTGAAAGGAAAAAAATACGAGATTGTGAGACAACAGCCTCGTGTTTTATACAGATACAGTGTCGTCAAAGAGTGTTACAAATTACATCTTAGAGACTGAATTTTCGTATTGATTTTAATTAAATGAATTGAGAATTTGTCCGAACGCGTTGACATATTGTCGACTGTTCCACATATTCATCGAATTATTAAATACTACTCGAAGAGCAATCGTAGTGCAAACAAACGACTCAGGCAAATTTCAGTACGTATTGACAATTACAGAAAAAATGTCTCACATTACATAAGTATCGGAATAAATTGAAATTTACATAAATAAAACGTACAAAATAAACATTCCAAGTACAACCAAAAAGAAAAAAATCATCGCATCAAATATCTGGTTAACCATGCCTACACAGATCAAACGCGCATTCATCAATCTCCTCGCTGATGGTTATCCGACCAATAACCAGCGCAAATACATACATCGCTCGATTACGTTCAGCCAAGAAACTGGGTTACAGCGTTTTCTCTCTCTCCTGCAGTTAATTGCACGAGAGAAATTCGCCACGCTCAAACAATGACTGTATCGATGTATGTTATACACGCCCTTAATGAGCAAAATTGTTTCCTTTTCGTTTTTCTTTCGAGGTGGACTTCTGCCGTTAATTTGGCATAACCACTGATTAATCCACATTTTACGAGGCAACTTTTATTTTTAATGGCTAACTTGGAATTTTATGACGCTTCCATACTCGCGAACATATATTTCACACCCGATGTATGCGGATCGTTTCAAAATCAATTTCACAACTTTGTTGCGCGTTAAAAGGACAAGACAGCGTTAAATAGCTAAAATACAGAATGGTCTCTATTGCGTAAAAGTTGTTAGGCACAAGTACTTGGTAAAACGTTTCACTTTCAATCTCAGATGTCTTAAAATCTCTATAAAAATTTTCTCCGCCCACAATGGACTCCTGTTGCTAATGAAAAATAAAACGGGCTTTCAGCAAATGTTTTTCGTTCAGAGATTCAGAAAATTGAAGTTTATCCTGTGCACTTTAAAACCCTTTTTGTTACAGCAGTAATTTTAAAGTAACTACCTGCAATTTTATTTTGCTATTAGTTTACTTAATCTTCAAATTATCGATAAATCTGAAAGCTTTTAGATTTTTATTGGATTTTAAATGACATTCTGAAGTAATTAAAATATTTTACGAATTTATGCACGCTAATAATTTTTATACAAATCTATAAGTGAAAATTAGTGTTTCCATGAATTTCATTCCATTGATTATAAATATTATTAAATGATTATTATCCCAGATATCATTATATCTGCGAGAGGTCCCTGAAAAACTTAAAATAAATTTTAAAAAATTTACAACTTCCGCTAATTAACACTGGCTAAGTCTAATGATTAATCTTGATTTAAAAAATCTCGGCGTGCGCCAGCGAATTCGCACACACACACACGCAGGTGGCAATCAACCCTCAAAAGCAGTTGCTGCGTCTCTCAGTCGCAACCGCGCTGCACGGCGGCGTAATTACAGATGTTGCACGGTAGGTGTATTCGCGCGGCGCCGCAAGTAATTGAAAAACTTTTCAAGGAGTTAAGGCGCCGGAGCAAGGGCTAATTGTACGGCTTGGCAAACGCAGCTCGGGCATCGCGCTCGATCGGATTTTCGCGCGTGAGCAGGTCAACTTTATCACGCGCGTCGATTATTAAGTCGACTGCGAGTTGTCGAGTTCCGTCGCTGATAGCGCCTACGCACCACCAACGACGCATCCTCGTTTCGCCTCGTTTTCTTGTGCTCGCATGGGCACAAAAAATCAGAAGCACACGCGCAATTGTGTATATACCCCGGCGACCAATTGGTCCGCTCGCGATCGTTCGCGCGCACGCATGTGAAATCTGCGTCTGCGAGTGACAACGCAACTCTCGTAACACAGCTCGATTGCGCGTACCGGGCAATAGTTCCGGGAAAGACGTGATAATAAGCGAAAAATTGATGCACCAATAAATAATACGATGTGATTTCTGAAGGTGAAATAACGATTTTTCATCTGTCAATCGTAGACATGATTACGGTGTGTGCGTGCAAGTAGGTTTTTTTTGTTGTTCATCAAACTACCCCTCAAGGTCGGCGCCAGGGCAATTGCCAGGCGACAATGATGGGGCCTATACTTAATGCCGTGTGCGTGTGTGTGTGTGCGTGTGTGTGCGCGCGCGCACGCGTATGGGTACACTTGGGCGCCGCAACTCTGATATGTCTCGCATGCCGACCTTGAGGAAAATCTTTTGCTCCTTCTCTAGCGTTGCAGCAGTACAATAAAGTTATCGGTGGCTGTTGCTTTTCAATCTTCCTTGGGGTTGTCGCGACCTGCAAATTACGATCTATTAAACTTTTTTCTTTATTATTTCTTTCGTTCAATCGTTATTTGTAGAGAGAAATATTGGATGGATTTGAAAGAACGACAATTAACTTTGATAATGATTGTTGAGCAGCAACAAGTTTTAGTTTATAAGTTATAAAATTTATCCCATAAAATTTATAAATAAAAAAAATTAAGTATGAAATGAATCTAATTACTTTGATTAAGAATTGGATCGCATGAGAAGAAGTTATCAAACGCTCAGCTTGGACAAGTTTCAATACTTAATATAAGAAATTCTCTGAAGATAAACAAATTTTTCAACTTAAGTATTTTCACAACTTTCCGAATTCTAAAACTTGAAAGAAGTTTTCGAAACAAATTACTCATATACTTGCCAAAATTTACACTGAAAATTTCAAATCGTATCAAATCGAGTAACTAATTACTCAAAAGAAGTAACCAATTGCTTCATTTCAGCAATACATAATTTAGAAAGCTCATTAAAAATGAAAAAAACTTACAATCGAATCAACTAAAAATACGTGCAATAAAGTCGTAACAATTCACAAATATAGTAAGAATTCGAAAGATTGAAGTTGAAAAAAGCGTATCACTGTAAAAAGATGAAGCTTTTCAATGTTCCTCCCTACTAGTGTTATTTAGCACGCTTTACGCTCTCTTTTTTTCTGTTTTACTGTTATTTATTGCGTTATTTGAACTTTTTACATGCCAACTTGGAGATTCTGATCTAATGAGCACGAATAAGTTATTAGTTTCCGTTGCTCGTGTATTTCTTAATTTATAATATACACAAGATAAAAATATTTTGCTCCTATTTTATTCTATTGGCTTTCTATCTTTCAATCAAATTTTAAGACAATATTAATTTGAGTATCACTGATGTTATAAAATTAACGATTCATAATGAATATTTCAAAACAGAATGTCTTATATTCTCAAAAAGATTTATTAACGGCATATTTTTATTCTTGCAGATTATTATCTATGTTAATTATTGATTAATTGGATTTACTGCTGAAATGTAGATCTCACGCTCTTCGATATATAATAAAAACATTTGAAAGTATAGGAAAATTCAAAATATCGCGGCCTTTTTTAGCATCAACCAATCACAATGGTAGAAAAACTGGAAAAAAGCAAAGCATCGCAAGCTCAGGAAAGAATTATTCTCTTGGAAAACTGTATCACTACCGCCACCTTTGAAAAGCACTCCACAACCTGTTCAACTCTCTCGACCGATAAGACAGTCTTCTACCCCCTCCCAAATCAACTTTCATTGAGTCATTGAAGCCGTGTCCGGCAGTCATACTAGACGCGTGCGCCTATTCGTAGCCAAGCACGCACAAGCCAGTAAAAATGAACGAGGCGCCAGTAGTGTCGTGCATTCCGGCTGGCAAGATGTCGAAGGCAAAGCGTCTGCTCGATGAAGCTCGCGATACGCAAAACCCCGAGCTCGAACTGGCCGATAAAAATTTGGCCAGTTTCGAAGAGCTTCCAGGCCTACGTAAGCATCACTTTTTTCTTTTCCTTCTTTTTCTCGCTAACAGAGAGAGAGCAAGAAATACTGGTTTACTGCGCCTCGCCTAATTTGGCATGTCGTCGGGAAAGTTTAAGCTCGCTGCGCTACTGTGTGTTTTCGAAGGCGGGGGCGGTGTCAGCGCGACGCGTGTCTGCTTCGTTTATGTACCTTCGCATTGTGCTTCTTTTTTCGGGGCTGATGAATTTGCTCCCTTTTCTTATAATCAAGGTTGTCGCTGCTATCTCAAGCTATTATTTATTCCAAACATTTTTTATTTTTGGCAGCCGTTGACTGCACTTTTGAAACCTGTCAACAGAACGAATAACCAACTGCGGACATCGATTTTTTGTGTTGATCGAGCAAATTATAGCAGACGATTTTTAGTTTGTATATATGACGATTCATCTTCAATAATACGTCACTCTGACACAGACTCGGAAAATAAACGGGTAGTTGTGTTCATGGTTAAAAATAATGTGCGTATCACAAAGCGCATACTTTATGTGCATAAAGATTCCTTGTGATTATTCGCATGCTTACGCTCGAATTTATAAAATAACTTTTCGATTTAGACGTTTAATTCGTCGAATGCTTATTTTATAGTTTTATTTTTATTTAAAAAATTATCTATGAAAAAAAATAAAAAGATAAATTTTTTTTCTTCTAGTGAACATGATGAATTTAACAAGAATCACGCTAAGCCATAACAAAATCACAGCCGTGCCTCCTGGATTAGCTAATCTAATCAACTTAGAAATCTTGAATTTGTTCAACAATCACTTAACAGAACTACCGATATCAATATCGCAAATGCCAAAACTGAGAATTTTAAATCTCGGGTAAAACTTATATTTCACTTCGACTTCACTGTTCATTACCCAAAATGAAATTTATTAATACACTCGTTTCGTTTAATGCACAGAATGAACAGACTGAACGTTCTACCGCGTGGCTTTGGCGCTTTTCCAGCACTGGAAGTTTTAGATCTAACCTACAACAATCTGAGCGAAAAAAATTTGCCAGGCAACTTTTTCATGATAGGTATGCGTTTGCTTTTCTTTTTTAATGGCCATTAAAAAAAAGTGATCGTTTATTTCAGAAACGCTAAGAGCTTTGTATTTAGGCGATAATGATTTCGAGTTCTTACCGCCAGAAATAGGAATGCTAAAGAATTTACAAATTGTAAGTAAGAATACATATAAAGGTAATAGAATTCATATCCATCTTGTAATTTGTCTATGTTACAGCTCGTATTAAGGGACAATGATTTGATCGAGCTTCCAAAGGAAATCGGCGAGCTTGTGCGACTCAGAGAACTTCACATTCAAGGCAATAGACTGACAGTTTTACCTCCAGAAATTGGTAAAAAATTTAATTTTCTATTAAATTCTAATTATCTGTGTCGAAATATGTAACTCGATTTCAAATGTTATTCGTAGGAAACTTAGATTTAGTGAGCAACAAAGCAATCTTCCGAATGGAATTTAATCCATGGGTAACACCAATTGGCGATCAATTACAAGTTGGCATTTCGCATGTTATGGATTACATTCGATCGGAAACCTACAAATAGTAAGTTAAAATATTGCGTTATCATTTATCGAACGCTAAAAATGTATATTCATTAATGAGTTTTCGATTACAGTGTTTATAATAGGCATCAATCTGCGAAAGGCCCAATACCGCCAATAGAAAACGATAAAAGTAAAAAGTCGTCGCGAGCTCGCTGATTGCATTTATTCGACGTATGTAAAATACCAATGCTTATGTTATTTTACACTAACAGGAATTTCGACGATCACAATTGAGAATCAATGTGGTGCCTTATTAGTATTTTTACGTATATTCATTATTTGTATCTAAGTGAAGTATATATAGCGCGAGTTAACGAAGCTTCGAGATTTTTTTTATACTTGAAACAATGAATAGAATGTTTTTATAATTCCATATTAACTTACTTCTAAGCATTTTATTAATTATACTCCGTATCTCACGAAAATGTTTTAACTTAATCGTAGGAGAGAGATAATTAGATAGAAGTACTCTTGCTTTTTTACAAAAATAAATATTTTATTCAAACTAAAATAGTCTGATCGTTTAGTTTCTTCAAAACTCCAGTACTTTACAATCGTATAAAAAACATACTTATACACACAATTAAAATTGATGAGAGTGAACAAAGTAACAAAAATTATAAGCTTCAAAGTTCTTCAAAATAGTAATTTACAAGAACATGTTTAATATACATCGATTATTTGTTTTTAACGATTTCTATGTTTTTCAAAATTGTAGTTTTATCATATGAAAATTTCTATACTATGATTGTAATTTCGACGTAAAATATTGCTTGATTTACATTAATATGCTTTATCAAACTTTTTTTCAAATATACACTTGATCTAATTTAGGTCATGTAAAAAATAGAATCCATTTTTAAGGCTAGTTAATCACTGAAAACGGCATTTAGTTTACAAAACACAACAGTTATTGTTACACTAATGCTCGACAGTAGTTTTTCTTCATTATCTTTATCACCACTAAAAAAAGCGAAATATCAGTTCAATTCATCATCGGTATATTCACACTCTTCAATCAATTTCGTAAGTTCATTATCGTGTTCAAATGATTCATCTTCTGACAAGTGAGCTTGACCTTCCATAAACCTGGCAAATCTATGAATAAAAGTTTTAGTTAATATGTACTTAATAATAATTTTATGAAAAAATGTGAATATATTATAAACGATAATATTTTAAGAATACGTACCTTATTGGATCTTTTAATTTTAAAACAGTTTTCCATGGATTACATTCTGGACTGTGACAATACTCTTTTAACCCGCTCAACGCTTTGTTCGTTTCAATAATTCCCTCTTTACGGTACTCGTCTTCCGTAAGTAAACGACGCTTTTCCGGAAACATAGTTTTCCTGATAGCGTTCGGTTTTAATAGAAAAAATTGATGTTCGTTATAAACTAAATTGATAAATTTTACGATTATCAAACACCACTTGTTTGGTAATCAAATTGTAATCGATTAGAAAATAAATATAATCAAGCGGATGATTTAACAACCAACAATGTACGCAAACTAAGAAAAACGAGGGTGTAAAATCGCAATAATTGAAAATTAATTTCGAATGAGAATGTAAATGGGAATGACGGTTACTAATGTGCGAAACGGTAAACATAAAATAAATATATAAAAACTCACCAGTATCTGCAACTTTTATGGAAGAAGACAACAGGAAAATTATAAAACAAGACCAGCAAAACACAGAAAGCTGTTGATGCTTCTCTAAAATAACTACTATGATACACCAATACTAATCCAAATAACTAACAAAATCAATATTATTATAAGTAAAGAATATCACGATTATTAAATGAAAATATAAAATATTTACATACTTTAAGAATCCATTCGATAATATTTTTTGTTCTATTATTGGTTACTGGGCCAAAACGATAACAAATTGCAAAACTAATTAGGGAAGTAGTTAGAATATAATACATCACATAATTCCAATGCTGCATTGCTATCAATTGTGCATTATCATAGAGCATTTGTACCACATAAAAACTCATAGTATAACCAGTTGCCATCATTAAGTACATAAACTTGCCCTAAAAAAATTGATCAAATACATTAAATCTGTTCTACTTTGATATTAATATTATTTTTAACTAACCTTCGGTAGTAGTTTTCCCATAAAATATATTAGAATCAAGATTGAAAGTGCAACCCCAACGATAATACTGCATACATAATAGAATAATTTATTGCGACTCAATGCTTGTGCAAACCAAACAAAAAATATACCTAGTACCAGCATTGTAATTTGCCAAGAATCTAGATCTGCAATAAAATATTGCAATAAATACTAATAAAAATATAAAGACACTTCTAGATATAAATAATAGTTGTAACTTACTATTTTTAGTTATAACCATTGTATACTGAAATTGGTTCAACTGTGGGTTCATGTAAACACCAATGCAGCTATCCTCAAATGGATTGATTCGGAACTGTTTGTTCTTTTTAGTACTGAACAAGTTAAACCTCCAGTATTTCTGATTATCCTCATGCTTTTCTTCTACTTCATGTGGATGCCTTCCTTCATATAACTCATAGGTTTCTAAATTTGTTTTCAAACTCATCTAAAAGTAAATGGTAATGAAATTTAGGCAAACATGAATATTAAATTTGTAAAGTAATCAACATACGATAACTGTTTTCCAGACGTGTATGATATTCTTGGAGTTGGCATTATGGCAAAAAATACGTAATCCTGGCTTATCATTTTCTACTCGCTCTCCTGGTTCCATAAAATGAACTGTAACATGCAATAACGCGTAAATAAATCTTCACTAATTTTTTGAACAGCAATTTTGACTTAAATTTCTAGTAATAATCACAGAAATTCATAAATAAATCAAAAATAAATCATAAATACACTATGCCATCGAAAAAAAAAATTCATAAATTACTTGCAACTACTTTAAAAATAAAGTTTACTTTGAGGTTATAAATTCTAAATACTCACCGGCTTCGGATTTCCAGCCTGCAGATTCCACTGTTTTCGCGATGGTCATGATCGCAAAAATTGCGAGAACGCTCCCGGACGTCCTCATCATTCTTTTTCACGACAAACGACACATTGAGGTCCACTTTTTCGCTTATTTCTGGTTGTTTTCGGACTTGGAAATGAAAAACGACTCCGGTTTTCAAACAACCATGCACAACCACGATGTCGATACATGTAAATGTAAAGCGTGGGATCGGCGATATACCTATTACGTTCCGGCGTTGCGCGGGATTTTGAACATTTGAAAATGGTGACCACAGGTGGCGTTTCATTCACTAATTCGATCAGTAGGTTTTTTAACTTATCGACCTACTCACTAATTAATGAATTTAGATTATTTGAATTGATTAAAAAGTTCTCTACTTTTAAGAAAAACTAAAATCTATTATATAGGAAAATATTTAGAATTTTCGTGTTTTGTCTCAACAATTAATCTATTATAATAAATCGCAAATTAATTTCAAAATATTACCCGTAAAAAGTCTTTTGCTTGACCTTATGGAATACTATTTCTTAAATTAAAAATATCTCTTTCAAAAATCTTTATCAGAAGTGACAATTTATATCTAATCGAACTGGCAACCAATACATCTTACATAAATAACCGATAAACAAACCTCTTCCAAAGATATTTTTCATGCTTATCATCGAAAGCCTATAATTACGTATGTTTTCACAATCTATCATATAACGTTCAATAATCTTTCTTCAAACAAAATACAATATCATTTGTTTATAAAAAGAAATGTTCCATTATATATATATATATATATATATATATATATATATATATATATATATATATATATATATCGCAGATACAGTAGCAGTAAAAAAATACTCCAGAACACATAATTTGAAAAACATAGTATATATACACATACGAAAAGAAATACTTTGTTCAAAAAAGATTCTTAAGAATACTCCTTCCTGAGGGCCTTGGCAATAGTAGAAAGTTGCATATTGCTAGTACCCTCGTAGATAGTGCCGATCTTACTATCCCTATAGTATTTCTCTTGTGGGAAATCAGTGGTGAATCCGACACCACCCATAAAGTCAACACACTTGGACGTAACTTTTTGTGCAATCTCAGATGCATAATACTTAGCCATCGCAGCTTCCTTCATCACATCTTTCTTAGCGTCGACCAGACGAGCCGCATTGTAGACGAGAAGTCGTGCTGCTTCCAATTCTACTACCACCTGCGTGAAAAGAAATTTACAGTTCGGAATCGTCGTAAGTAAAGCAGCATCATATATACCTGAGCGATTTGATGTTGAAGACTTTGAAATTCGAAAATCTGTTTGCCAAATTGCTTCCTCTCGAGTGTATAAGGAATCGTAGCATCTAGTGAACCTTGAGCAGCGCCAATCATCTGAGCGCCGATACCAACACGACCTTCGTTCAAGAAACCAGCGGCATACTTGTATCCTTTACCGTATTCACCGAGAATGTTGCTCTCCGGTACTCGCACGTTCTCAAAGTGTACCATACACGTACCTGACGCTCTGATACCTTTATCACATATTTACATTATCGTTAATTACGTATAGCGATCCCCAATAGCGATGCAAGTTACTCAATCTGAGCTTAACCGATCGCTCAAAAAAGCAATCGTTGATTAATTTGCTCAAAATAAGAAAACAATCGCTCAATTTACTACAGAAAAGTCAAGTGTTTTGCAGCGCGAGGAAAAATATATAGTAATTATTACCTAGCTTATCCTCGGGCTTGGCAACCGTCACACCAGACGAATCACGATCGACGAAGAAAGTTGTGATACCGCGGTAACCCTTGGACGGATCGGCATTGGCGAACACGAGAAATACTCCGGCAATGTCAGAGTTAGATATCCACATTTTTGAGCCATTGATCACATAATCGCTGCCGTCTTTCTTCGCCACGGTTTTCAACGAGAAAGCGTCCGAACCGGACCCGGGCTCGGTTAAACAGAAACTACCCGCGTACTCGTTCGCTAATTTCGGCAGATATTTCTTCTTTTGCTCTTCGTTTGCTACCTGAATTCATTGATAATGTTATGGTCGACGAAAATAAATGATACTATTTGATTGAAGTCGTGCTGCATAAACATTCTTTCGTGAATCAAGAGTTACAAATAAAACGTTACCTTTTTGATCAATGAATTCACTAGTGTATTATGGATATCAACCAGAGCACCAACCGAAGCATCAACCTTCGAAAGTTCCTCAACGGCCAAAATCGTCGTCATGAAGTTACAGCCGGTACCTTCGTACTCCACCGGTACTTCCAAACCCATTAATCCGTTCTCGAAAAGTTTCTTCAGCAATTCTTGATCGATTTTATGCTCTTGTTCCATTTTGCGTACAATTGGTAAGATTTCCTCTTTGGCAAATTTTGCCACGGTTTCCTTCATCATCTGCTCATCTTCACTAAGGAAATTTAATGGTACATGTGCTTGCGATGATGCAGCGGTCGTGTGGATCAATCGTTTTGGTAGCCTTCGTGATATAGTACGGATTGCGTTCATTGTGGGTGATCACGATCACACAAGGCTACAATCAAGAGGATTGAGAGTAATTTATTTGTTATCTGAGTCAAGAATATTTTTTTAACGAAGTGTCCGACTTTTCATTGATAGGCGACATAACAATGTTTTGCTAGTTATCTCTTGTTGGAGAGCGAATCTCGCGTCATTTTTTCGCTTTATTTTATTCGGAGCCTAGTTTTCCGATAAATTATTGAAATTTAAAAATATTGTAGCACGTCAAAGAAACGAAAGGAAATTGTAACTTTATGCATTTTTTTATACACATGACGAAGGTATAAAAAAAATTAGCTGGTCATGTTTAATGCCATGAATTTTCGATGTAATTAAAAACAGGTTTTCGAATACATATATCCATAAGATGTTTTTCCTTTGTAATATTTATCTATCCATTAATTTTTTTTCTTTAAAGAATAAAAAAGGATAATCAGCGCGCGGTTAAAAATTCAAGTTTAAAACTACGCAAGATGACTGTTAGACCTAGAAGAACAAACGCGTTACTTAACATTATTGTATAGAATATAGTAAAATGGAATATCGTAAGCAATAATACGTGATATGGTAACTAGCGCTATAATATTCTTGAAAATACTGGAAGAGTACAGTCGAATTTACTATTTTAATATGTTGCCCGTACCATATACTATATTTGTTTTTGGAGCAATTCTGGTGTGAATAACAAGACCAAAAAAAGAAGTAAATAATGGCAGAGCAATTCAGCTGTATTGAACGTTAAAATTGGGCTGAACACAGCATAACTATATCATTAATATATCATACATTTGTATTTTTATTTTCTACCGCGAGCAGACGAACGCTACAGGGAAGAGCAGTCGACACGCGCGCGCAAAGTGCAAGGTCGCAGCTTCGAGAGGCGAGGAACCGACTTTGCCTGCTCACCGAGTGCTCGAGGCGATTCGTATAATAACATCGACACGGAGCATGCATCTCTTGTATGCAGAGTTGCCCCGCTCTGATCTCCAAGCCCGACAACTTTTAGTCCGCGCGCGCGGAAGAACGAACGGGTACGCGGACCTGTTCGCTGTTCGGGAGGCCTCCGATGGCCTTCGTCGTGGTCGCAGGCGCTAACTGCCCCTCGATTCAGCCTCATCAATATGCTAAAGGAGAAAGTTGGAGCACGATATGATGTTGGAAAAAGTCTACGACCCTACGCTATATTTTTCCGCGCAAACATTTTCAAAAATAGTAATTAGCAAAAATTCAATTTGATCTGTTTCGTCGACTGGCAAGGATAATAATCCTGAAGTTAAATCTTTGGTAAGGCGGTCAGTTTGAACCGTCTGGTCAGTATGCAAATGAGTTTGTATACACCCAATGAAGATTTACATCGTGTTTCGCTCTCGTGGTCGCGCCGATCCCAAATGGTCACGAACGATCGATTGTATAATTTTACAATAATCCCTTAAATTAGATTTAACTCGTTAAAGTTGCCCGAAGCTTTTAATCTCAAACTGCGAATGTAACGTCCGCATCGACGATAAGTCGAATTACACAGCTGTTTTCATTATCGATTTCTCAGCTATCGAAGAGGGAGAGAGAGAGAGACAGAAATTACGTAAATTTTGTTTTCCCGTTTTCAAATGTACGTTCGAAGCAACCAAAGTGCTCTATAAACAAGAAAACGTCTATTAACATCGAACAAACAGTGCACGAGAAAATCAAATGCAAAAGCAATCGAGGAAGGACAAATTTCATGGCGCGTCAATGATTGCTTTTCATGCACGCGTCTTCAGAGGGGGGCTCGGTCGTTCTCCGCATCGATGCGTACTCTCAATTGTGCTTTTATCTTATCGCGCTTAATTTCGAAGCTGTACTTTTTTTCAGTGCCAGTGTGAATCTTTATTTATCTCTGTCTTTTTCTACCTTCCACTCTTGCATCGTGGTGACTTTTTTATGGTTCATAGAAACAAAGCGTCGACTTCTTTATTATAAACTGCACAGTGTGCCTTTGGTACAACTTGTCTTTTATGCACGTCGGCGTTATTGTGGAAATGAGATTGATGCGTAGCTCGAAATCTTTTTCTTTCCTTCCACCACAGATTATGCTTGTTTTCAATATCAGTTGGCAGTGACAAATTACATAATCAATATTTTTGCCTTCCAAAGTCACTAAAAAATTATTCTTTCGAAACAATCATAATCATTTTTAATGAAACTTAACCAACGTAAATATTCAGCTTTTCGTGTATCACTGCCTCCCCACGGCGGGTTTAATAAAACACGAAATAATATCAGTAGTAATAACATTTTTCGTCATATATTTTTCAACACTCTCATCAAGTTTTCGATAATCGATGAGTAATAAAATCTCGCGTGACACCTGCATAGATATCTAAAAGCTTATACACATTCATTCGAGAAAACTCCCATTAAAACCATATACATAGGAATGCTACACACGATAAAGCCACGTCTATCATTATCTTGTAGCTAGACAAACACACGAGCGATTAACATAACCGGTATATATATACAGATAACTTCAATTTAGTGCTCAGTCTAAATGTAACAAAGAAATTCTCACCTTGAAAATCCGTGAAAGATGAGGCAATCTGCACGTACACGATCTATATTCGATCAAGCACTCAGCTCGACTGAGAGAGTAAGAACAAGTCTCCGAAACCGATCCCCCGTGGAATATTTCACTCCCGGTTCCGTCTCTCTTCTTTTCTCTCTCTCTCTCTCTCTCTCATTCTCGCTCGTGTGTATGAGTGTATCGTACGGTTTAATAAACCAAAAAAAGTTCACGACCACTTGTTGATTTTTCGATGTATAATTCGCGATGGGTATTTATTTAGGTCGTCAATGTCTGATCAATAGATTTCCTTTTTTTTTGTTGACGCGAAAAGTATAAAAATGAATAATTTGTTCGATAAGTGCAATCGAAGAAATTTGTAGGGAATATTAGTGTCGTTTGTTTGCGAACGACAAAAAAATTATCGGTGATGATATGGTGCCGCGATCTTTTGAGTGCGACATATTTATAAAAAAAAACAAAAACTAATAAAAGATAAATCAATGCATATAATTTATTGAGTTCGTTTTTCAATTAACGTTAAAAAGTTAGACATTATAATCTGAGTTTCGATATTGACAAAATAAAGTTACAGTTATTGAAATTTTTCACACGTACAATATCTTTTATCGAAGGACTATTATCAAGTTAAAAGAAATAATGATTTAAGGACGTTCTCTTGCTTAACGGTCGTCAAAGAGTACTCCACGCAAAAAAAAGCGTTTCATCAGTTATGCTCGCTTGCATTTTAAAATTTATAGATGGATTTAAGCGAAAATATCTAGAAAGAACTTTTTAAATTTAAAAGTTTGTAATAGTCTTTTCCACAAACCGATAGGTATTTTTAATTGTTTATAAAAAATTATAACCTCGAAAGTTATGAAATGAGTAATTTGAATCGTTAAAAGTCTGTAACAAATTTTTGAAAAAGAAATTTTTTTAATACTACATTGTTTCTCAAGTTCCAAAAATGTATGTGTCAAATTTGAAGTCTTAATATTATTTGGAAAACGTTTTAAAAGTGATTTAATGGAACGACATCGCACCGATGTTTTAGCACATTTTTGTTAATAATCTTTGTAAATGCATCGTTACCTCCTTTTTTTAATGCATCAATCATTTCAGATCTCAAAATAATTTATTTTGTTAAAGTTTTGCAATTTTGTAAAAAAGCGTTCTACGTTGTTTTTCTAATTGAAATTAACATAGAAAACTTATTTAAAAAATCGAAAAACTTTGATAAAATAACGTTTATTTAGCTCTGAAGCGACCGATGCATTAAAATTTATAATAGCCTTTTGACGATTGGAATTAGTCATTTCATAACTTCCGAGATTATATTATTTTATAAACAATTAAAAATACTTATCGGTTTGTGAAAAAAACTAATAGAAACTTTATGGTTCTAGAAGTATTCCTAAATTATTGTCAAAGTTTTTTTAATCCATCTATAACTTTCAAAATGCAAGCGAACGAGTTGCAACCGATGCTTTTTTCGTTGGACGGAGCTCTCTTTGACAAACGCTGAACGTGAGAACGTCCTTAACTGACATAACAATAAATATAATAGCAAAGTTCAATTTTCACTATTATCAAACTTTTAAAGTACAATACCTACTACGGGAAAAATAAAATAAATGACCACGTAAATAATTTTTCATCTATTATTTATTACCCGACGAATTGTGCATGACAAAAAGAAAAAAAAATAATAATTATGCAAATAGTAGCACACAATATTTGATTATATAAGCACAATTCCATTCTGTTGTTTGATAACAAGATGATCATTTGGGTAGTTAGGCTAACAAATTTCTTTCATATTATATTAATCTGATTGTTTTCACTGTATTATATATATGTAACAGATATATTGATTCAAAAGTTGAAGCTATGGTAGAATATATTGTTTACCAATACAAATATTGCAAGTGTACAACTATTAATACTTGTATTATTTTGTACAACACTATGCATTAAAAATTACTATTATAAAAATTCGACAGACTTTAATGAACAATGTAGCACATATTTATAGATTGAATGAACAGATAATATTTCTCAAAATTTTAAAAGAATAAGCATTTTCAATAGAAATTCTTTCAGGTACTTATGCAAAGACAATTACGAAAAATTACTTCAACTTTATTAGTTTTTAATATTATAGTTCTTTTACACTAAATACATTATTATCCACAGATTTGAAACTGTACTTGTAAACTTTCATACCTTTTTTAACCACAATCTTGCATTAAAACACGGAAACTTTTGAGAACAACGTTATGTTAAGTATAAAAATATTATAGGAATGTTATGCTGGATGAATTTTATCCGTGCAACTTTTACGTTTTTCAAAGATGAACAAAAAGAAAATATTTTACTTATAAATCATGAGATAATAAATAATGTGCCATAATCAAATGAACATCAATACTATTTTTCCTCACACCATTCATTATCCTTGCGGACCTGCTCTTCTTCAGCAGGAGTAAAATCATTTTTTATGTTGAATGTTTTACGAATTTCTTCTGGTGTCTTGCCCTTTATCATATTGGCAACAGTCTTACAAGTGACATCCAGCAACCTCTTAATGTCAAGGTAGTTTGCAGCAAGGATCAGCTCGAACAGTGTACCTTGATCAACCTACAAAAAAATCAAATAATTTATACATATACTCATGTAATATATATACACCACCATTCTATAAACAAATTATCTCTTTCATCTTCTTCCTTTATAATATAAGTTGTAAAGTAAAATAATTTACTATGCAATAAAAGAAACAAAACTCAAAACTTAATTTTGAAATTAAGTTGTTCAATTATTTACTTTTCGATACTCCGTGTGTAAAGTGCGTCTTTCCCGTACACTCGGCAGAAAACGTGCGTTGAAAACCACACTTTCCACACGTCGTATCAAAAAATACGGTACAGCACATGTTCGAGAAAGAATTTCTCGTCTCGTGTACCTTTCCACCCTCGCTTCGCTCGGGTATAAACACACGAGACAAGAATCTACTTTCCCGCACTTGTACCGTAATGTACTATAAAATACATATACTTAGAAACATTACATAATATATGATAAATGATTGAACATTACAAGAAATACAAGATGACTCACCTTCAAAAACTCCATATCCCAGTCACATATATCATCAGTACGCTTTTCAGAGTTTTCATCTTCAACGAGAGGTGGATCATCTTTGTGATATGTGGCCCATTCAAGGACTTTCTTAAGGATTGGACCAACAACATTTGGAAGAGGAATTGGCTCTTCTTCCTCCTCTTCTGTAAAACCTAAATCTTCCAACATGGTTTTTATGGTGACTGATTGTTGAGCCACTTTGACATCCACATCAAAGACCTGATCATCAGAGCTCTTGAGCTTGATATTAGGCATCTAGAAAGTATACTTATTTGGTTAAAAAGAAAAAATTTATTCAAAGAGAACATTTTTAGCAATGCATTATTTAAAATTGTATAAATAATGAATTCATTTTGTATAATTAGTATTGTTAAAATAATGTAATGTGAATAGTAATTTATACCATCAAAAACGGTGAAGCAATCTATAAACCGAAAATACTAATTTTTACAAATTTAAACTAAATTATCCAACGGTATTTAAGGATTTTGAGGTTATGTTGTATATGATTACGAACAGCTAATGGAAATTTGGTTGACTGGAATTTTTTGAACTCCAAAGCGTGTGAATGCCATAACCGTCTTTATTAAAAACTAATAAATAGTTCTTATCAGTTTATATATGTCCACTGAACTGAAGGGACTCTGAAAACTCCGAAAGTTCTGATTCACTATTAGTAATATTTAGAATTACCGAACATCATATCATGTACAAAGAAGTCAATTTTACTGTAATTCTAAATTTAGTCATGAATCACAAAAGCGTTAAGTAAAAATCTAGTGACACTAAGCTATGGAAAAACTTAATGCATCGGTTGATTACGTAGTAAATAAAAAAATCAATAAGCTCACTGTTAATGTTGAAGAATTTTCGGAAAAGTATTTCTACGAACTGACGCGCAAGAAATTCAAAAAGCAACGGAAATGGCGAAGAGGAAAATGTAGTTGGACACTGGACAAAATATAAAACTTTCTAGATACCACGAGTATTGACTTTGTTTACAAGCCTAGTAATCGTGGTAATACATAAACATCTATCCGAAAACAAAGGACATCGATAACTAAACATCTGAAAATTCCAGGCGTCTTCTCCCCCCTCGAAATAGGAAACACAACACAGGGATGGATAGAAATGGAGAGGGGAAAGCCTTGAGTGTGCATTGGATCGATTCTCAGAGAAAATTATGAATCATGCAACGCTCAATAACGAATGAATAAAAAAAAAACACCGACAATTGTTAAACATACCTTGGAATGATAGTTATTAACAAATAAACACAAGAATTGGATTCCACGAGATGTAGAAATACTTCTTGAGGTAAAGATTATTCAAGTCCAAAGTTACTACGGAATCGACACGTCTCAACCGCAGGTTGAACTTGAACTGCTGGAGCTGGTTACGAGAGTAACTAAGTAACATGTGCCGAGACAATGCCGAAGTCGCTTCCAGTTTTCCCCTTCCATTTTTACTGCCGCGTCGGTGGCGGCAAATCTTTAATACGCGTGCGCATTGCATACGTACACGCGGAAATTTAACTAATCTTATTCGAACTGCAGACTTTAGATTTTCTTTTGTATTAAGCATATGAAATACATTACTAGAAAATTGTAGATAACAGAAAAAATTATTTATAGAATTTTAATTCAAAATTAAATATTTTATATATTCAATCAATATTAAATAAGCAATAATCTTCATGAAAGTAATCATCAATAAGTTATTGCATCAAAATCAAACATCTGTTACGTTGTATTATTATGCCAATATTTGAGTAATTCAAAAAGGCTTAAATTAATTTTAATTAAATGTGTTTTTTTATATTTTTCAAATACAACAATACTTATGACAATTATTAATATCTATGTGTATTTAAAATATTTTTTACACAATTTTTCGTTAATAAAAATTATTTTCCATTTGGTTCTACATTTATCAAATACAATAATAGAACACACTAAAAGATAAACAATATTATTATAAGATATTTAGTTTCTCAAGATAAAAATGGCGAATATTATACTTATAAAATAACAATTAATAAAATAATATTGAACTCAAGATTGGATTAGGTTTATAGTCTTTCACAAGATTTAACTACATCAAATCGTATTTTTATTCTGTTTGAAATTTCGACGCATCAATGCCAATAGAATTTATTGGCATACTTTTATCAGAGGTAGACGAGCATTTCTGTGTATTCTTCAATAATAACCCAATATTTAAGTTTTCTAATCCTAGTTGTTGTAGTTTCGTAGCCTTGCTCAATGTTTTTTGGCAAAGGCACTGAAGGGTTTGAATTTTATTTTCTTTTTGAATCAAATTTTCTTTCATGGACATTATTTGCAAATTCAGGGACTTATTTTCCTGCTTTAATTCTTTGTTTTCATGAGTTAAAGTTGAAATTTGGTTAGATTTGCGGAATAAATGTACTTTGAGTGTCTCATTATACGAAATGAAACTTTGATTATCAGCCTGCAGTTTGTCAATTTGAATATTCTTTTGATTAAGCAGTAAGTCGTCTTTCAAACTTGGTAATCCTTCATAATGATGATTCACATCCGAATTCTTGCAAGATTCTTTAACGAAGCATTCTGTAAAATAAGATTTCTGATCAATAAATGATCGATTTCCAACAAATACATTCGTTTTTCGCAAAACTTACGTAGTTCTTTTATTTCCTCGCAAGCTGCTGAATACTTATCGCGATTCTTAGCACTTTCAATCGTCAAATTGTTGATTTGCTCAATCAGTTTAGTCACTTGCCTCTTTAAATCTCTCATTCTTTCTTCATCCACCTTCTTCGAAGCTAGTTGCTTTCTTAACACAGTTTTACTGTCAGCAAAATCCTTATTGCTCTTTTCTAATTCCTTTATCCGAGCTTTGCAAAAATCAAGCTCATTTAACTTTTTCTTATAACGTGCAATATCCTGCTCAAGTAGTTCGGCTTTTTCAGCACGGGCTCTCGCTTCGTCCAGGTCGTCTTTGTAGAGTTTTACGTTTTTTGTTTCCATTACTAACAAAATAAAAATTTTTTATTATTATTTTACTTGAAAAGTACATACAATAAAATTACCACCCACCTAATTTTTCATTAACCTCAAGTAGTTTCTTCTCGTATTCTTTAAGGTGAGCTTGAATGTCCTCAAGTTCATCGCTCTTTTGACGTAGCTGCTCAGCAAGGTCCGTGACCTTGAATTTCAACTGTAATTTCTCGCATATATCTTCATTTAGCTGTTCTTCAATGTGTTCTCGATGACAACGTAGTTGAATTTTGTAATCATCGCGCTCTTTACAAATTTTTTTTATGCAATCGATGGCTTTTTGTGCGTTTGGTACGTTTACTAACATGTCTGTGCTGATCACTATATCTGGCACTTCTATTATCTGTCGTATTATTTATAAATGATACAATTTATTAGGTAAATTATATTTTTTATGATAAACTGTGATAACAGTATAAGTATTATTGTTGGAAAAAAAAATCACGAATATTCAATTTGTTTTAATAAGAACGATTTCAGTTTCAAAAAATTCAAATTTTCTTGTACGTTTTTAACAAACTGATAAATTATAGGAAAATATTAACGTTATTACTGTCATTTCACATTGATCGTGCAGTAAGAAAATATCTTTTCACGCAGTTTATTTTTGTAAAACAGTTTTTAAAATATTCAAAAGTTCAATTCATATAATAAATGCTTTTTGATGCGGTTTTTGCTTTAGAACATTCATTAATTTTGGTACTAACAATATTAATGAGCAATCAAAAACTTTGTTCGATCTCTGTGCTCCAAGTTATAAATCACGAATCGTATATTCACTACTATACAAAAGAAAATTTCCTAATCCATTTTACCGATTGTACTTAGCCGGTTATCCCATTACCAAGATTTACTGGCCTTTTGTAAATCCTGGTGTCAACGCTCTATACTACATACGGCTATAAGAAAAGACAATAGTTGTTGACTAGCATAAACTGTATGTTCCGTGGTGAGAATCGGCTTATATCCGGTATAGCATTTAACACGGATTATAGCTCAAATTATAGTTCAATCTGAGATACTGACGGTTTATCCTTTCTTTTCGTACAACAGTCTAGGGGCCTTGAGCGTTTTCATCGCCGACCGAGGCCCTCTTAAAAGTCAAATTTTTCTTCATAGATGTATTGATCTCCTAAACCCGTAGCTCGAAGACGAACCGACTTTCAATTGTTTATTAACAGCGTAAATATTTAAACCACTATTACATTTTTTGAATGAAGTTACACGTTATTTAGATCTGAAAGATGATTATCCATTTTATAACGAATAAGTAACATTTGGAAAATTAAAATATATTTGTTAAAATCAAAAATATACATTTTTAAATGAGAAAAAATAAATAAAACGGGAAATGTATTTGTTTTTAAGAAATTTTAAAAGATTTGAGATGGATAAAACAGGAATCTTTACGTGTATCGAGGTGCTATGTAAAATATCGGATAATTTAGATATGCAAAAATATAAACGGCATTTTTATGACTCGGTTATTTAATTATGATAAATTTATTATTTCATCCTTTTAATTTGATTTTAATTAAACAGTTAGATCAAATCATTTTTCTTTATAAAAGTTTCGTTTGTTTCAATCATTTTTATAACTAAGAGTCAATCATTTATACTATATAATTTATAAATAATAATAAACAATCACCTGAGAGATACATTGAGCCAGAGCCAACTGACTTGTCTCATCAAGTCTTCTAATTTTCTCGATGAATCTTTGTTTTTGCGGACACTGCACTGCACATCCGAGTAACAGTTGCAGCAGAATTTCGGTTTCACGAACATTATGTTCAGGCTCACGGCCGAGTTTTTCAACATCGGGTAAACGGAGAATCAATTGGCCTAACTCGTCTTCGTAGAAGTGTCGAATGTTGTTGAGAACTCCAAGTAGATTGCGGCAACGCCAAGCTGTCGAGTCGATTGTCGATAGATAGACATCGGTATCGTGCACTTGGAGATTCCTGTTCAAAAAATAAATGCATATGGAAAGGTCTTGCAAAAAAATCGTTAACGAATTTGTCACTTTCTCACAAATTTTAATAAGAAAAATTATCAAATTAGTTAGAAACAAGATTTTGAAAGAATGATTATTCAGTTGCAGAAGCGACTATTCTGTTACTTTTATATAGACAAAAAAATTATAAAATACTCACATCTGAAGAAATACATTGTGCATTAAATAGCCATTCACCAAATTATTATAGCTGACTTTCTCATCGGTAAGCATTTCAAGGCAGCTCGCAAACTATCATATTACATAAAAATAAATCAAACCACTATAACAACCAAATCCTTCATTATTCCACCGACCAAAAAAAAATTTATTACCCAAATAACTAAGGGGCCCGCCAAAAACTCATCAATCTCGGAAACTTCATTTATTTTATACATTGTTCCTTCGATTGGCACGTACACGCTTGAACTGTTATATGCACTTTATCTCTCTTCTTGTAAACAGCAAACTATGATATCAGATATATGCTCGCCAACCTATATAATTAGTAGCGCATAGGAGGTTTCAGCGGAAAATAAAACAAACTCAAAAGTAACAAACACAATAGACTTTACTTTATAAAAAAAAAATATAATAAATAATCCAAACCATCATGTCTTTAGGACATATATCAGAAATTCACAAGAATAACAGAGTATTCAAAAAGTTTAGCAAGATTGACTGGTGAGAACGTCCGAACTGCCATCTACATGGACAAGACAGTCATTGCAGTGTTAGCTTGACAAAAGCGCGTCGGCGGCGTCGCGCACACCTTAAGACATACTGCACACACCACGCATAGAGAGAAGTGTTGCAAAGAGCGAGAGAGATATACATATACACACGTTTTCCCCGCAACGGGAGGTCGTCCGATTGAGGAAGGCCATCGCCGGAATATCATGCCGGCACCACCACCTCCTCCTCGAGCAACCTCCTGACCCGACGACACTCTGCTGCTGTTGTAACCTAAGTTCCTGTTATTGTACGGGACATCTCTCAGCTCACCACGTAATATCTTCCCTGTACTGTTTTTTGCCTTGCGGCGACGGCAGCAGCAGCCACCACCACAGAGACAAATTGTGCCGCCAGGATGTCGCACGATGACGATGTTGGCTTTCTTTACAAGACTATGAGTGAGTCCTAGAATCTTTCATCTATTTACTGCATGCACGGGGTTTTTTTCCATTCCCAAAATCTGCTATTACTCTTCTAAACTGTTTTTCTCACTTGCTGAATATGGGAATTGGGTGGATTTTTTTGAATTTTCAAAGTGTGTGTCGCTCTATAAACGTCTGTGTTAAATCTGGATTTCAAGCTTTGTTTAAACAATCAAGTTGAAATAATTACAGACATTGGAATGTATAGAAAATAATTTTATGTCTTTCTACTTCTCATGGCAAACTACTGTATATTGACTAAATAAATGCAAATTTCTCATTGGCTTAATTTATTTGATTTTAATTCAAATAACTTAGTAGAATGTATTATTATAAACTCTGAAAGTTTGTTGATCTAAGCAATAAATTTTTGTACTAGAGCATAATTAACTTTTCTAAATAACTAAACCACAATAGTATAAAAACTACAAATAATGGTTTATTTTTATATTTAGCACTTTTTTGGCTGAATAGTATAAGATTTATAATACTTATTCAAAATTTAATTTAATTTTGCTATTTAAACTTTGGAGATAATGTAAAAAAATTGGTTATTAATGTAATCAAAATAAAAATTACAATTTGGTTTAAATATTGTTAATTAATTTTCATACAAGACAGAGAAGCAGAAACATTTACATTGTAATATAATTTTTTGCAATACATATCCAAAATTGAATAGTGTTTTCTTATCTTATCTTAATTATATTGAATTTGTAATCACCGATAAAATTTGAGGACACTCAAACATGACAATACAATTTGAAAATTCTTAATCGCACTATACACAAAATAATTTTTTATGAACATCATTCAGTCAGTGTATATAACATATTGTAATTAATTATGGTTTTAATTAATTGCAGTTGAGAGGGATCCAAAGAAGCGAAGAGTAAAACCAGTAGAGTCAGCTCATGCATCTCTTTTGGATTTTGATCTAGGAGAGAGCTCAGATGACAGTGACTTTCGAATAGAAGATCACTGCGAAGAATCTGATGATGACTCAGTGGACTCTAATGGAAATGGAAAAGGTTTGCAATTGAATCACTTTTATTTGAATCACATTTTAAGCCAACGTTTTTGCAGATGACGACAATGACGACGAAGATGACAGCGATAGTGATTCCGACGAGTCGTCGGACGTGGCATTATTTGGCAAGAAAACTAGTAATGACGTTAATGCCGGCGAGGCGAAAACTGGTGATCTTGTTGAGCAGGCTCGTCAGCAGACTGAAAAAGTTGGACCTCTGGAGGACAAACTTGCCAAGATGCTCATCTGCTGTGGCTGTCTCGGCGAACGGAGCGACGATATCAATGAGATTGTCGAGTGCGATGGTTGTGGGGTCACTGTTCATGAGGGTTAGTTGATTTAATGATATAAGTTTTACTTGGTAGGATGAATGGAAGTAATTATAATTTTTGGAAAGACTTTATGGGGAGAGATAAGTTTATCCAGTTCAGAAAATCTTGAAATTGACTTATATTACAATGTTTAATTGATTCTCAACAGATCTTATTAGAAATATTCAGATCAAATATAAATTATCTAAAACTAAATCAAAATCATTTAAATTTTATTAAAGATTACACAATTTAGCGTTAAGTCATTTTATTTAATATGCTAACGAAATGCAAATTTCATTTCGCAGGTTGTTACGGCGTATCAGACGTGGAGAGTTTCTCGAGTAAAGATTCGTTATCGCAGTCAGCACCGTGGTTTTGCGAAGCTTGCAGTGCGGGCGTCGAAGACCCGGATTGCGAGCTCTGCCCAAATCGAGGTGGTATATTCAAGGAGACTGACGTGGGTAAATGGGTTCATCTCGTCTGTGCTCTTTATGTGCCTGGTGTTGCGTTCGGCGAAGTAATTACCAAGATCAATTAAATTCGTAATTGGTAGTAGCGAATCTTCCTCTTTCGATGCTGATGTATATGTGTATATGATTCCAGGTCGATCGATTAACGAGCGTAACGCTATTCGAGATGCAGTACAACAAGTGGGGCGCCAAAGCATGTTGCCTATGCGACGATGTGAGATACGCTAGGACTGGTGTATGTATAGAATGCGATGCTGGAATGTGTCACACATACTTTCACGTTACCTGGTAAGAAAGAAGTCTTATTAACTTTATTTCGATTTCTTTCTTCTAGATCCATGATAAAAATACTGTGAAAATAATTGTTGAAAAGTGATGTTCAAAATGTAGCACGAAAAAATTTTCTCTTCAACTTTTTAATAAAGATATTTGATTTCATAATAAATTAATTGATTGGAAGAGAATCGTCTATATAATGCATTTTAGCACTGCAGTTCATCTTTTTCATATATAAAATGTTTAATTTAAAAGTAGAATTCAGAATTCAAGATCACAAAATAATATGAAAAATAAATAAAAATAAACCGAATGGAGAACTTTAATTTTTCTGTTAATTTCATTAAACAAATTTTTAATTTCAGTGCCCAACGAGAAGGCCTACTTTCCGAAGCACATCACGAAGAAGCCGATCACGCAGATCCTTTTTACGCGCATTGTAAGCTTCACTCTGATAAAGCTCTTGTACGTAAAAGAAAACGTAATTGGCTAGCGTTACAGTTGAGAGCTTCATATAGATCGCAAATGCTCAAGAAACCTGAATACGTAGGGACTGAAGAGTTTCAAAGGATCCAACGAAAACTCGCCAAGCATCGACAAAAGTATCTTGCACATAAAGCTACCAAGCCACCACCTTGGGGTTAGTAGAGTGATATAGAGATTTTATAAGAAAGTAGTTATGGAATACCCTTTTGGTTAATAGTTATGGATGAAGGAATTTTATTTGAATATTTACAATTATCGTATCTTATAAAATCGTAATTCATATTTAATTATCTAAAAGTTATCGATAATTAAAAAAAATATGAGTATTTGTTATAAAAAAAGCAAATGAACAAAAATCTATGTATTATAAATCGTCGTGATGATCTGCTTATATTAGTTATTGCAAGACGATAAATCAACGCTTCAAAAATTAATGAAATGCCTAGAATACAAAATCAAACTCATGATAAAAAATAATAAATACCTAGTTTAAACTCAAATTAAAACTACTCGTCAAATTCTAAAATTCGAATCTACTTTTATCTCTCCAGTGCCAACGCAAAAGATGCCACGCTGTATAACGACCTCAGCCTCGGCAATACGACATCTCACTCGTAAAGCCGAATTAATGGGTATAGACGCAGAAGCATTGGAAAGCCAAGAAGAACAAATAGCTTCGTTAAGGGACATTCGAAAAAAATGGCACATTCCACCAGCGTTCAGTGTCGAATTCATTAGTTATTTCATCGACCGACAAACACGAACTGAATTACTGAAAAATCGACTGCAAGAGTACATACAAGCAAATGCAAAATTACTTGGTGAACAACAAGAATTGGATAAAAAGTATGATGAAGCGATGAGGCTTAATGAGGAACAAGTCAAGGCATATGAGGATTGCCGAGAGAAGGTAGAGTTGTATCATAGGGTATTGAAAGGACTTGGGTATACCAAACATATTCCTGGAATCGAGGAGCTGGTCGCGCCGAAACCTTCTGCAGTTATCGGTAAGAAATATCCGTAATACTTGTTTTTAAAACTTGAAATGATACTCTATAAATAAAAATTTTGTGGTAACATTTATATTGACTTATATTTTATAAATGTATATTTTATAAATTTAATTCTTTTCTTTCACCCCTAGGTCCACCAACACCATCGATCGCAGCTTTGAAAGCAACCTCCACACCAACCCTGACAACTCGATCAGATCTAACTCAAACACCGCCTGTCGAGCAAAACCATGTAGTAACGCCACTGCAAGTGAGACATCAGTGTGGTATATGCAGACGTTCGACTAATCAGCATCTCCTGGCGAAATGCGACACTTGCCATTTACATTACCATCTCTCCTGTCTCACTCCGCCACTCACGCGAATGCCCAAAAAAACTAAACTAATGGGATGGTGAGTAGGATGAATTTTTCAACTATACGAAATGAAAAGCAATAGGAATATATAATAGAACTATGAATTTTTTTATACAGAGTTTTAATAACTTCAGGTATGAATGATCTATACGTGAGATTGTTTTCGATTTTATCTAAATAAATGTCGCGTTCACTGCAAAAATCATAAAACTTCTACAAAAAACTTAAACTTGTAAGATATATCGCCTACTTCAAAATCCATAAGAGCAAATCTTACTCTCCTAAAAGTAAATTTTTCGAAAACTTATTTTCAACATTTAATGACAAATACAAATTAGCTAGGTTTAAGAGAAATTCTTGTTTTAAAATGCAATGATTTTAAAATAAAACACTTTTTATTAGAGCATTTCAAAAACAAATTTCAAGTTGTTTTCCGAATCCACCAAAGACTTCGTTATACTTGCTCATCTTCCATAAAGCTCAACAATGAAATCGATGCTGTGTCCACGTTTGCTTTTAAAATCAACACCAACATAACTCAAACCAGGTCCACCATTGACGATAGCAGCCGTAGCACCATTACTTTTCTTGTTCTGATCGAGCAATTTGACTTGAGTAATTTTACTGTAATTATCACCAATGAACGTTTGTTTATGCTTAACGACTTGCATAATCTTCGATGGTATTTTGATGAATTCACGTTGAAGCAAATGATCGCCGGGTAAACGTGAACCTAAGATCAAGTCGTTTGGTTTTATCGTGGCAGACAATGTCATAGCTACGCTGGCTATAAGAACCAGGAAGAAGAGCATCCGTTGAGATGACATTTTGATGTATTTTCTGGAACCGAATTAGCATAGTTAGTTATGTTACATTTTAGTTTTTGAATTAGTGCTACATCAGCAGACACGCGATTGACATATACTTGTTGTGAGAGTACAATATTAAAATAAACGAACGCAGCTTTCTCAGATAGCATTAAAAACTTGTAAGTCAGTAAGTAAAAATAAGCAAAAAATATTTGTAGAGTCAGAAAAATTAAGCGTGAACATTTTTTTAACACAACAGTCAACGTGAATGAACTGAAGATCGTGCTATCAAGAAATCACGGAAAAAATTCTACGTCACCTAGAATAGTTAAAATAGCTTATAAAAGAAATCGTCTCAATATCTGGCGTGCATCTGTACGTGCGTGAGTGTGTGTAACTTACCTGTTTGCACGTTCGTTGCTGACGACGGACTGACGTTGTGATTGCCGTTAGCCTCATTTTATAACTCACTTTTCACTCACTCTCCCTCTTTGTTATCTCTGTCTACAACGTGGTTCACTCACGGCGATGGAGAAAAATTAATCAACCGTACATTTGATAAGACTTCGTTGATGTCATTATTATTTTTTCTTTGCGAAAAATTCTACGAGTGATGGATTTCCTAAAATTTTGATGTAAATGGACGGGGAGAAAATTTTTTTAATAGTCGTGTTTTTCTTAAATTATTTTATTACTTATAAAAAAAGAAACTGTCAAAATATAATGTTTCTTTAAATTGTTGATCTTTAATCTTTTTAATTCGTATTTATTTAGTTTTAGATCCTTTTATAAATGTATTCTATAATTTGTATTATGACTATAATTACACCATTCATTATCATTTTGATTAAGCAGTATATAAAATAGAAATCGTATTAATTTGCAGGCAATGTTCCGAATGTGACAAAGAATCATCGAACTCGGACGTTGAACGTGTAGACACATCGGCACCAAGAAGATTGAGGCACTGCAAGGAGGAAGCATTGAGTTTTAACGCGGCAACTACTATCATCGAAGAAGCTCTAGTGCACAAACCACCCAAAAATACGAAAAAACGCTTATCCAATGCAAAACCACCTCCAGCTGCCATCCCCGCCGCTATTGCAAATACTCCAGTTACTGTAAATAATACTAGTAGCGAGAATAATATGGCTAATGCTTTTCCTCATACTCCTAAGGTGAGAGAAATTGATCAAAGGGAGAAAAATTCTTGAACGATTTTTTTAATGATCCTTTAGTTGATTAAACTTAAAATGATTGCTCATTACGATCGTTTTAATTATTGAGAAAATTTGTGTAAAAGGCTTATCTTTCGGAAAGATAAAATAAAACCAATCAGACAGGCGTGAACAGTATTTTTTGTTTGTGGACTTCACATCATACAATTTTTTATCTTGTTATTATATTACGTAATATTCATCGTGAAAAGATATTTTATTTATTTACTTTTGTAAAATTTTAACTTCCAATACAAACGTACCAGCTAACAATAGAAAAAAAATCCCTAAAGGATCTTGATTCGCAGGTAACAATAAAACCGATGGGACCACAACCTCAGGAAGCGGCGCAAGTGCCGATGCAAGTGGAGGAGGTCAATTACAATCACCACTTAGTCAACAACTCACTCTTACCAATGAGAGAAGGTACTCCAGAATACAGGATGGCACCACTGGACGGTGGTGTCTTCGAACATACTTCCAGCCGTAGTGGCAAAAAGAGAAGAAGGTTCATCATCACTTTATTCTTTTTATTTATTGGTAAATATTTTTTGTAAATGTTCATTGTATATTTGTGCAGGGAAAAGCACAAACGTTATACTCCGGATCCGATAACCGGAGTAAAACAAAGAAAACGAAAGCACAAAAGAAAGAGTCTCGATATGGAGAATCCACAGAATCATAATCCACATGAAGTTCATCGTCGGATCACGATCAAGGTACAACGAAATTCTTTAGAATAGATTTATTTCTTTGATAATATATTTTAGGATGAGTAGATAGTACTTTTTTCCTTATTGTAAATTACCGTCAATTTTTTCCGCAATTCAAGGTAAACCTTATCAACAAATAAACGCTTTCATTTTGCTTTTAGATAAAACCAATTCCATTACCAGAAGGCGAAGTGGCAACGAACGCGACACCTCAGCTATTCGTGGCATCGTCGACAAGTACAGAAATCACGCCACCGAAACCTAAGCTACAGCCTCTACCACCACCAGCGCCTACGCCTTCAACGTCGTTTCAAGTTGCCTCATTACTTGGCACGCCACCGACGACGAATGCTAATGCAACTAATGCAAATAGATTATCGTCTGGTAGTAGAAAGAACAAGGATGCCGATCTTGTCACGCAGTGCACCATCTGCAATACTCTTGGGACTAATCAAAATTGCGTCATGTATGTTTTTATTTTAATTTTGAACATACTTCTTAATTGAAGAAAGACAAGTTTTACATTTGAGAAAGTTTTTAACTCAAGAAAAAATTATTTAAGTAAACAGCAAATTATAAAGGAACTTTTTTATTGTGATTTAATCAACATACTAATCATTGAAACCTTCGCTTTATAGTAATTTTATCTGAAAAAACATATCCTTAGTTGTTATCGATTATACGGATCAATGATAGAAATATAATAAGAATACTTTTTTTTGATGAGTCATGTTATTGCAGGTGTGATGAATGTAAAAGGTGCTATCACTTTACATGTTTGGATCCTCCGGTGAAAAAATCTCCAAAGAGACGAGGATACTCTTGGCATTGTGCAGACTGCGATCCTACTGTGAGTATATTAATATTTATTTGACAAATGAGTAATTTATTATTTATTAATAAATTTATTTTGGTTTTTGTAGGGCTCGGAACCCGAGAAGTAGCATCAAATGAACTGAATCATACTAAAGCACGCTAAACAAAACTGTAAAATTTTGTACATTTGTCAATGAAGAAAAAATGAAATGTCTATGTATAAGGTACGTAGATACGTAGAGTGAAAATCCGAATGTGAGTGGATGAAAAAAAAAGAAAAAATGTTACGCTCCCAAAATGACTTTCTGTCTCTGTTCGACAGAAGTTTACAATTTATGGCGGCGTTGTAATTATGAATAATGCATTATTTAGTAATGAACTTTTTTTATAAGTATACATGATTTTTCATACACTTTGACAAAAAAAGAAGTGTAAACTCGTGAAATCCAATCATGTCGAAAGAACAAGGAACACGTATGTTTCTTTGTAACTTGCTAGTATTGTATTCGACGATAGATATTTAAAATAAATTGTAAACCTTGCATCCCAATTGTCACAATATTCTAACGATGTTCTCGGTAGACATATTATTTATGATCTTATTTTTCTTGCTTTCTTTTCGACACATTTTATTAGTAAAACTTCGTTGATACAGTTTTCTTTTGACTTGTAAGAAAATGAAATATTTAATTAAATTTAACTTTACAAAAGTTTTACCAATTCCGAGGTGATACTTCGTTAATTGTGACCTGGTTGCAAGGCATTTTTAATTGAGGTATTGAGAAATAATGGAATTACTATCGACAGCGAATTAATTTTTTTACTTCTTTTTATAAACGATTTGCAGTGTAAAATCTGACAGCAATACTGTGATTGATTATTCTTTTTTAGAAAAATTTACCATTGATTTTGTGTTTTTTTTCTTTTTATTTATTTATTTATTTATTTTTATTTTTTTTTGCAAGACTTTTGTCATCAATGCCTCAATTTTAGTCTAATTTATCATTGTGTTTTATGGTAAATTATATATAGGATCATTGAATTGAAGAATTATTATATTCTTGTGCAAAATTATTGGCAACATTTGAATTGGGTTAGTCAAAACGCAAAAAAAAATATTTTATATGTCATTCTTATGAAAATAAATTGTATTTTACGCGAATGAAATAAAACTAATTGATTTCTATCAATATAGATCTTTTTACATTAGTTTAATTTACGTTAACAATTCCTATTTACAAACAAAGGAAAGCGTTCTTATCAACTAAATATGCAGAACTTTTCCTTGCGATTTTGAATAAATCCAGAACTAAAATTAACTGCTGACAGAGGTTTCCTTCCAGGTATAATCACTGTTTTAACAGATATCCAACTATTTCCTTGACAAGAAATATACAGTGCTCTTTTTCTCTTATCAAATATAGCTAATCCTAGAAAAATTGGAAAGTTTCTATAACTGAATTACAGGGAGTAAATAGCACTATATATATATGATTGAAAATTATTCTTTACCTGGAAATTTTTCTTGTGTACAGTGAACACTAGTGGGATCGTCAACACACTTTATATCTAATAGTTTAATTATTTGGTTATCAAGATAAGCTCTCAATGGGTGAATCCCTAGAAGTGCTCTTTGCAAGTTATATACATCTTGAGCTGACATCTCTTTCCAATTGATAAACGAGTTCTTTTGAGTTATTTTTGGTGCTGAAAATAAAAACATAAAAAATAACTTATCAAAATAAATTTACTTTCGATTCAGTACTTACCATAGGTTACTTGTTCCTCAGTTTGTGGTGTGGCAGTGTTTAGTATACTAGGTAAACTGTACATTGATTCAACTAAAACAATAGAGCCTAACTTTCCTAATTTATTGTACAGATCTATGTACGTTTCATCTGGTTTAATTACTACTTCTTTTTTAGCTATCACAGAGCCAATATCAAACCTTCAAAAATCAATACCCGATTAAACCATTGGTCATTGAATAATAAAGATCAAAATATGTTTAAAAAACTTACTTTTTAGGCATTATTTTCATAATGGAAACACCAGTAACAGTATCTCCATTCATCAATGCATGGCAAATTGGAGCAGCACCTCTCCACCTAGGCAACAAACTGCCATGAACATTGATCATCCCCCTGAGAAATTCAATTAATATTAATAAGATACAAAATCAATACAATATATTGCAATTCTTACAATGGAAACAGTTTGATCATTTTTGAAGGTATCAAGTGGCCAAATGAAACCACCACACCAATATCAAACTCATTATCTTTGATTTGAGGTGGCCAACTGTGCACTGCAATATTATTTTCTGTAGCATACGCTATTAAAGAATTCTCCTGTCCTTTATAATTTGTAACAATCTCCAATCGCTGGAGGAGTCTTTTCTGTTTACTGAAAATTAACAATGCATTTTAATACTCATTGTAAATGTTTACTTTCATCGTCCACAATCTTACTATTCATTAAATAAAGCTTGAAGGCTGTACAGGGCAAACTCATCTGTGCCAAAAAACAAAATACTCCATGGTTCATTACAGGAAATACTGTAATTTCTTTCAAATTTATAAGTCCATTTATTGCTGCCTCGCGAGACGATGAAATTTCCACCTGATTTTGTAAATGTGGATAAGCATCTTAAAAATCTGTAGACCAGCATATAATAATTAAATAATAAAGCCAGTTTCTCCCTCAATGCTACTTAACCTAGTAATATATTACGAAAATATTATAACAAATGCGTTTCTCAAACGCAAAAATTTTCACAAATTATTTACACTTGAAAAGAAACTGTCAAAACAAAATCTTGGACATGAACAAAGTCTCTCATGTACCACAGAGTAGTTTTTTTAAAAAGGAAAGTTCTAGCTATTAATCGAGAATTACGCTCGTCTGCGCGGCACTGTCGTCGCCGTAGTGAGAGTTTTACTGCCGGTCTTTCTCGTACTTCGCTTTAGCTTTTTTGACGACATTTTTTAGATACATTTTTGCAGCTTTGTAATCTTCAAATCTTTCGGACTCAGACTGGTCTGATGGCTGCCCTATGTCACGAAGTAATGCTCGTTTCTTGTTGGCAGCTTCCTCACATTCATTATTCCACCAGGGTTTATTTGGTTTTTTATTAGAATTATAAGTATTATCGGCGTTTTCTTTCGACGACATTATTATCTCTTTTTTGAAAAAAAAATAGTGATTTTAATTTACGTAATGGGTTGAATTGTTAGAGAACTGAGAGTCTGCAGGAGTTGCTTTGTTTGGATAATGTTCATTTGTTACTTACTGTTTGATCGTCTATTCGTTTTTGCAATTTCGATACTCGATGAACTGACGACTGAACGGAACCAAGGAATATGCATACATATATATATATATACATATTCGTTGATTAAACACGCGGGCTACCGGCTCGAATCATATCAACACAAAGCGTAAACATCATATCTCATTATATATACCAGTTACAATAAATAATTGAAGTCTTCGAACTTTCGTCCTTTTATTATCTAAATTCAACGTTATTTTTACATTGCAACGTACATTTGGATATTAATGCTTATGTCAAATCCGAGTTTAATCCGCATTTCGGTTGTATCTGTATTTGTTGACATCTATAAATGATTTATTGTTATTTCGACAATTTAGTATAATAAGTTGACTTATTACAATAAGGCAAAATAGATAACAGCCGATCCCGAGTCTTTACTAATGTATAAACTATTTTTCTTTGATTACCGTAAAATGTAAATATTTACACTGTCGTATGTTCACGAAAACGCGGTAATCAATTAAGTACGCGTCGTCGCACTTTGCTCGTTAGTTCGATGATTTAGCAAGTGATTGTTTTAAAAGTAATGTTAACGTGCTTTTCAGCAGTGATAAGCTTGTCGTATAGATTAGGATTGTGACGATGATAGTTCTTAAATGCCACGTCTCTCAGTCTGTTACACTCTTCGTTCCATCAGACCGCTGATGGATTTTCTAAAAGGTACGTTTCATTTTATAGTCCTTATCTTCACTTTTCTAAGTAAATAAGATTTTTTCATTACTAAAGGTACTTGTCGAATGAAATGTCATGTTTGCGATGTTTAGTGGGTACTAGAATGACGGGATAACGTGCGTTTCGTCAGGTGAAAATCTGTACTTACTATCAATGACGCGATGGTGTCGCGCAAACAACTGCACTTGCAATATTACGCAAGTAAAAAATCTAATATATATGAGGATCTGTTGGTAAAAATCAATTTTCTATTTAACTTGAATGTTCAGTTCAGTGGATGAATTATTTTTTTTATGACTCGCACGAATTCAAACTAATAAAATCAAATAGACTCGAGTGTATTCAGTTTTATATCTCTGAAAAAGAAAAAATGATTGAAAAAATCTAAATAAAAAAACATAAATCCAAAAACAGCGGTTATACGTGCAATAGTCATTCTTTTATTGGTAAAAAATATAATTATTACACTTGCAATCGCATTAATAATGCTATTGTTCGACATGATATATCGACTGCATGATAATACGCATGTAATACTACAATGGCTATCATCTACGATTACGTTTGTGAAAGTTTCCAAATAATAACGCTTTCATCAAACTTTTGTATTATTTTTTATCATCCATTCCGTTGTTGATTATTATATAGGATGCCTTCCGTTATCGACACATTTTTCTTTGTCAATCACATTTAAACATTGCTTCTAAGATTTACTTTGTTGCTATAACGGTATGGTATTTTCTTATATCGGTAGAAAATCAATGGTCTCTTTTACGTATATAATCGTTTTAAAAAAGGTCTCTTATTGCAGAGATTCATGATATCATAATTAATTCCTATGCGTATAATAACAATACGTCATCCTTCGAACACGTCACAGTACTTTTTATTCTTGGCTATAGGAAGATCGATAGTTAAGTGTTAATCGTTATATATAGTTAAAATTCAATATGCATGTGTAAAAAAAGTCTATAAATTAGATATACAATTAAAGTGAGAATTTCTCAACATCGTTAACAATGGGTTGATATTATTTACGAAATAACTTATGGACGTCGACGTACAAGGAATAAATTACATCTACGCTCTTACGACCTATCAAAATATTCTCGCTCTTAACTGCGGACAAACAATTGGCTGACATTGTATTGCTAAAAAAATCGATCTGATATTACATTTAATGATGTGCAAACTATTTTTACTATAATATCATTGCCGTACAATGGTTTTGTTTTACTTATGACTGCCTATTTACAACGCGCCGCAGTTATCACAATCAAGGTATAATATCAATTCGTTTCTTTTCCAGCTTTTGTGCTTGCAAGCTTCTCTTTTTATCCACTATCGTACATTTAAATTGTTTATGTCGTAGATTCACAAGCTTTTACTCGCGTTGCAGGTAATACTCGTAGTTAAATGCATTGAACACATCGTCTTTGAGAGAGAGAGAGAGAGAGAAAGAGGGCGAGAGTGACCGAAAGAAACGGTTGTCGCAGCGTCTGCATTATAATATTTACATAGTATATTCTTCCTTCTTTCCTCGATAAAGCATTGCTTTTTTTTGTTCGCTTGTTTGCTGACTTTCAATTGCTAGAATTACCGTCTATCACATGATTTTGCAAGGCCTGCTTATTATTTTTTTTTTACCGCTTGAAATATATGTACAGAGAGCGATTTAATGCGAAACGCATTTTACTTTTGTTTGTTTTTTTCCCTCGCGAGCATTGATTACGCTACGCTTTCTCTCGTTCGTTTGAATAATAATCGATCGATTTTCTTATGTACAGCGCATCACTGAAAATCATACGGAAGAAGGTACTTAGATATCACTGCAAACGATATACTCGAAGAAAAAAAAAAAAAAGAGACATAGCGAATCGGAACTGATTGTCTGCAAGAAGCTTTGCAATATTGTTCGGCAACGAGGCATTAAGAACGTTAACCATCACAAGTGCCACGCATCGGTCAGACTATCGTTGCCAGTATAATTTACAGTCATAGCTGCGCGTGCATTACGAATAGGTATGGCTATCGGCAGTCGACGATCGACGAGCACGCGAGCCTCAACAGAAGGCCTCGGCCGATCCGGAGGCAGCGTCTCAGTAGGACACGTGAATGTCTCTGGAGTCGAGCCGCTTGTTGAAGAGCCGGCAGACGCAGACGAGGCAGCAGAGCGCCAGCAGCAGGGCGAGCGCGGCGCCGAGAGCGGCGCCGGCCCAGCCGGTCGCGCCCCTGAAGAGCTCGCCGAGCGACTTGCCGGGCAGCGAGTCGTCCGTCGGCTGGGGCAGGTACTTGGCGCAGGTCTCCGGCGACTCGTCGTCGAGCGGCAGCCGGCCGGTGGCGTTGTCGAAGGAGAGCGGCGCCTGGCGCGGACAGTTGACGTGGCCGTTGCAGAGCAGCCGCTCGGGGATGCAGCCGGCGCCTCCGGGGCACTGGAAGGCGCAGTCCTGCAGCCGCTGCGCGTTGAGGTTGCCGGCCGAGTCGCGCGGCAGGTGGTAGAGCTCCGTCCAGGCGATCTTGAACTCGGCGCGCGCCAGCGCCATCGAGCCGACGAACTGGATGCGCAGGCCGGGCTGGCGCTCGCCGGGCTCGACCGGGGCGATCTGCGCGACGCTCAGCACCGGCATCTCGCGCGCGTAGCTGACGTTCTCGCCGCAGATGGCCAGGTACGGGTCGAGCGGGCTGCCCGGCAGGTAGATCTCCAGCTTGCCGTCCTCGCAGGAGCGCGAGGCGAACTTGGTCTTGACGAAGTGCAGCCAGAGGTCGCGCTCCGGGTTGGCCCGCAGCTCCCAGATGCACTTGACGCTGCGCGTCGGCGCCGCGTAGTTGAGCGCCTCGTAGTGCGGGAACTCGAGCTCGCCGTCCGTCTGCGGCTCGAGGACGGCGGGCCCGCAGAGGGGGCTGTGCACGAACTCGTACTCGGCCTCGAAGAGCGCGCCCGGCTGCTTGAAGTAGCTCGTGGCCGCGTGCGCGCCGTCCACGAGGAAGCGCAGCTCGAGGCGCTCGCCGCGCGACAGCAGCCGCAGCGCGGGCTCGCCGCGGCCGAGCCGGCAGCGGCAGAAGCCGCGCTCGGCGTTCGGGGCGCGGGCCTTCTCGGCCAGCGGCTCGTGCACGATCACCCGGTCGGCGCGGCTGTCCCAGCAGTTGCCGCACGAGGCGTACGGGTGCTCCTTGAAGCTGACCGCCTCGAGCCGCAGGATCACCCGGGCGTAGAGCCGCGGGTCCGTGAGGAAGGTGTAGGTGCAGGCGAGGTCCGCGGGCGGGTCGCCGGGCCTCTTGTACAGCAGCGTGTTCAGCGGCGAGCGCAGCCGGCCCGCCTGGCTCTTCCACGAGGCGAAGGTCTCGTCGCACTCGGTGCCCGCCACGGGCTCGCCGAAGGTCGTCGCGTTGAAGAAGTCGTAGTGCGCCCAGTAGTACAGCGAGCTGCCCGAGTAGCTGCCCGTCTTGCTCTCGAACCGCACGAACAGCGCGCTCGAGCTCGACACGAAGTCGTGCTTCTCCATCGGCTTGCTGAACGTGTCGCAGAACGTCTTGATGATGCGGCTGTCGTCCGCCCAGTCGGCGTCGTACAGCGTCAGGCTCTCGGCGCAGTCGCCCTCGTAGGCCTGGATCGGCGACTCCACGCGGTTCACGCGGAAGCTCGGGAAGTAGAGCCGCGCGACCTCGCCCCGGCGGCCCTTCAGCAGGTAGGTGCAGCTCGTGTGCGCCGGGTACCAGTGCGCCACCGACAGGAAGATGCCCTCGTCCTTGGAGGCCAGCGCCTCGCTGCTCAGGATCCAGTCGCAGCTGCCGTTCTTCGCGCTGGCCGTGTCCACGTGGCCCGGCCAGTTGCCCACGTTGAAGTGGAAGCCCGTGTTGAGCAGCGGCCCGGCCGGCGACGAGACGAACTCCACGAACAGGTCGCGCCCCGTGCCGATGATGCTGTACGGGAACTTGCCCATTCCTGCAAGCAGCGGGCGCTGCACAAGGGACTGGGACGGACGGGGACTGCGAGGGGGCCGCTCACTCACCGCAGAACGTGCCGATGACCGGCGCGCTCTCGTTCAGCCCGTCGTAGATCCGCAGGTAGTCGTAGGGGCAGTGCTCGGCGCCCGAGCTGATCGGCCTCATCGGGCAGGTCATGATGTTCTCGCAGCGCTGCCCGTCGATGTTGAACTCCTCGTTCTCGATGTACAGCTTGATGAACGGCTGCCGGGTGTTCAGCCGGTACTTGCAGTGCAGCGCTCGCGGATAGATGCCCGGGTAGGCCGGACTCTGGACGTAGCACGTCTGCAGCCGGCAGTCCTTGAAGCTGCGCTCGCAGTAGGTGCCGGACACTATCTCGCCACGGCGATTGGGGTAGAGCTCGGGGTGCTGCCCGTATCGCAGGTACACCTCGAACTGCTGCTCGGCGCGAGAGTCGAAGCTGAAGTACGTCTGGTCGGTGAAGTTGTCCGTGTGGAAGAGCACGCGGACGAAGGACGTCTCCGAGATGAACGTCTGCGGCTGCTCGGACTCGCCGCAGAACACGCCGAGTTCCTTGCGATTGCTCACCTCCGTCTTCGTGTTGCCGTCCGCTATCTGTTGGTCGCCACGGTTAGTTCTCCTCGCACCCTTTCGACCGTCCAACCGTCCATGCCCGATTCGTGCGATTCTATTTTTGGCCTCCGTGCAATTATTCAGGAGGCGGGATTTTACGAGCCGAGTCAGCCCGACAGAAGCTCCAATTACATATTCACGCGTTATATTTTCAAATACTTCGGTGCAAAGCCACACGACAATGCTCTATCAATTAGTAATGCCGCCTGTAAAACTGACAGTCCAAAAACCAATCGCCTGCATATTATATTACGCCTGCCTGGATGCTGCTAAAAAAATGTATTAATCTCGTGAATTTTTTAACAGCTATTTACTGAATCCGATGGCTTGCTGCCCACCAAAGCTATCGAAAACCTTTCGCAACGATATTTTCGAAAATTTATATTTTTTATTTAATAAAACAATTGTTCGACTTTGTCGACACAGTAATCCGCTTCGTGAGATTCTCGGGCATTTCTCTTTCATTCTTTAAGACAGTCCTCGTGAATCGGAAATCAATGAATTTGACTGAAATTCGGGCTCTAAGAGGGTGCAGAATAGAACTGCCGGACCGACTCCTTATGAATTCATCGTGAATCTTTACGATAATATTTGTGACTAAAAATATTAGCTTTCGGACGTTTTTTCAATGAAAATGTAAGAATCGATATCCTCAAAAATTGAATCGAGTTGAGTGTTTCGTTAAGCACGTACAAATCTATCGGTACGACTGGCAGTCCGATGCCTACAAAAAATGATTTGCCTCCTCACCTGCAAATAACCACCGAGACAAGTAGTGGCGTTGACGAGAGTGCCCACCTTGAATTTCTTGAACCTAACGCGTAAAATCCAGTCCCTAGGGGTGCCGCGAAAGGCACGAAAGCGGTACCAGCATGTCAGCGGTTTTCCCCAATTGTCGGCCTGCACCGATGGATTCGACACGTCCTCGTAGATCTCCACGGTTTTGTTGCATCTCTCGCGTTCGGCTTCAAAAACACACACACAGACGCGCCAAGGCATAAGTGGATTCATAATCACCGTGGCCTCCCTCGCGCGCGCCCTTCGCACTGGCTAATTCAGTGCTAAGGGCTCTTCGCGCTTAACGGCTATTATTGGATATTCATATATGGAGTCAAGTTTTTTTTTTTTATCTTACGCCGGCCCTCGACCGGTCTGCAGCTGTGCACAAACTCGAGACAATCGCGTTTCCATTTGGCCTCAAAATCAGTCGAACATTCGGAAAATAACAATTTTATCAACGATAACTTGAAAACGACGAGCTCTTACTTTTTGTCATGACGTGTTCTCGGTATGCGCCAAGTTGCCATAAAGCTTTGAAAGTTTGGAACGAGAGGCAACCTTAATTCAATTACCAGCGGCAACGCTAAATAATTGTTTTCCATTCAATAAAATGAACGCTCATTCGCGGTCGCGAGCTCCAAATAAACGGGAAAATCGACTAGATTCAATCTTCGGTCGAGGGAAAATTTAACGCTCTCTTCCTCTTCAAAGAAATAAAAAATACCAATGAGCGTATCACACTCTCAACGATGTGATTGATAGTCGACCCCCTCTCAAATTAACGCTCTCTCATGGTGCGATCATGAGAGAATGACAATAGAATAATATTCTCTATCCCGTTTGACCGGAGAGAGGTGCCTTGTTTGCCGTCACAATATCCAATAAAAATGAAGTAGGGAAACATTTTTTCTCGCGCGTGATAATGTCTTTTGAAACACTGGTAACGTGCATTTTATATGAGGAACATGCGCGCGTGTGTGTGTGTGTATACATATGTATATGTATATATGTATATATATATACACGACGAGATAATGCTTGACTTACATTTACGGAGGGCGGCAGGGCTGGGAGTGGCGATAACCAAGCCGGCTGACACTAACACTAACAGCAGCGCTAATCTTGACTGGATCATCATCTTCGAAACCCTTTTTTAGTGCTCTCGTGGCTTCGTTTGTTTCCTGCGAAAGCGAAGAGAATCATGTTTTGCCGCAATGCGAAGGCAACGTAAAGGAAAGAAAAATCGTGTCAAGTGTCGAAATAAAAAGAGATTCGTTTATCCTATCCTTGCTTTCCATTTATTTTGGCTGGCAAAACGCGTATCCGCCAAGAAAATCAAATCAAATCACGTCCCTTTGTTTCCCTTGAAAGGAAAAAAGAAAAATTCAAAAAGCAGCAGAAAGAAGAAAGCTACGAACCTCTCAAAAGAACGGTCCATATCCTGATCGTCTATGTGGTATAGATGTAACATGAGGGTGGTCTAGCGAGCACAGACTTGACTGGGGAACTGCACGAGAGCTGGCGAAAAGCTCTCTCGGCAGGGAGAGGAGGAGAAAGCTCTACGGGTCGAAGCGCTATAACACATTTCAAACGGCGCAAGCGCGTTACGATTTCCGTTCTGTCCCGCTCCATAAGCACGTTTTTTCTCTCTCTTTCTTAATGAGGATGTCGGCGCTTTCTTTCAATCACATGCGAATTTAATATTGCGGAATGAATCCCGTGTACGAGCGGACGTTTTTTTAAATCGAAAGTCGAGATACTTACATTGCAATGATTTGAGAAATTGATTAGCGCGAGTAACAAAAATTCAATTTCAAATTCGTTACTCATGATTGAAAAAAAAGAGGAGCTACGATTCGCGTCGGTGAAATAAAATGCTCCACGCTTTTCTTTTTCATCAACTTCGTTTGCCTGAATTCGATTCCAAAAAAAATATAATTGCATTTTGTACAAGCATCAAAGATTTTCTCCCCGTTACGTACGTGACGAAATAACAGCGGAGGAAAAATTAAAAAAGTTTGTCTTTTTTCTCTTGGAAAGAAACTTTTTAAGACTACTTTTACCTACACCAAGTTGTTTTTTAAAGGTTCTTAAAGACTCGGCGAAAAAATAGCATTCACACGATTACAAAAAGAAGTTAACGATAAAAAAATGAGCATCGAGTTATAACCGGGCACTAATGACGGTATCTCCCTAATGAAAAGAGGCGAGAACGAAAGTTTTGTTGCGTTCCGTTCGTTATACTTTTTTCAACTCGTTCGTGGGATTAACTTTGTTTGGAAAGCTCGGCGCGCGCGAATTGGAAAATGACAGAGATGAAAAATTATCTTTTATCTCTCAATGGCGAGAATTTTTTTTCTACAGCGATGCATTGTCCAAAAGTCGCCGCGAAACTTTTATTCCGCTAATTGGCCATAGTGCTCTCGTATTATCCGAGAGAACATTCAATCGTCGACTTCTCTTCGATAATGGGATTAATCGCGCCATCGAAGCAAATCTGATCGGCAATTATAGGCAGAAAGACTGACGAGTTGCTAGCTGCTGTGTGCTTATCAACGCCTCGAGCTGCTGCTGCTGCTGCCGCTGGCTTGTCCCATATTTTCTCGCGCTATTTACGTATCGATCTTGTAGCGCCTGTAGCTCTCCAGACGCTGTATATACGTGTATGACACTTTATTAAGCCCTCACTAATTGTTTTATATAACCGTGTAATCGCTCTCTCTCTCTCTCTCTCTCTCAAAGAACGAACGATATTCTCTGAGTGGCTGTTTTCTCTCTTTTTTATCGTTGACTTCAATAGCTGAATTAAAAAATCAAATATATACGAAATAATTTCATCGCTGGATACTAGCCAATTTTTTACTAACGAACATTCCAACGTTGTCCAGTGATTCTTGGCAGTCAGCTGATGTAAACGCGCGAAGTGATGTGTGTGTTAAAGAAAAGAAAAAACACTTGACGAGAACGTTTGATAAATTTTATTAGCGAGAAGTACGTGACTTTTTTTTCTCTTTCTCTTACTAAAAGGTGCAAGGGTGAAAAGTAGAACGAAGAAAAAAATGCATAGAAGAGAGTGATAATATTCGGAACGCAGGCGAGACACGATTCGTTTTTTTTTCGAAAAAATTCACTTCCTATATTCTATATATAAATTATCGAGCTCTCTATGATCACCTCTAATCTAGTGTTTTTTATCTTCATTATCATTAAGTTTTTTTTTGTTTGCTCACAATCAAGATATACATAGACGCGTAATTCTCTTTCAAAGAGTCTTTTCTTTTACAAAATAACAAAGCTTATTTATTTTATTTGTTTGTCTTGTTTGTGTTCATGTGATTTTTTGTTTCTTGTAAAATAGCCAAATACTATTGCATTATTTATTTACCTCTTTTTTTGTATCTTTTTTATCCATTTTTTTGACAACGTTTAACCGACTTTATTGTACGCTCACAATTATTATCGGATTTTCACGCTCATCGCAAAAATAATTCTCATTCCACAAAGTACTTCGCGTTAATACTCGCTGTGCTATAGACACTAGCTTCTTGTCCTTTTTTTTACTTTTTGTTTTCGAATAGAACGGTTATATTTGTCTTGTGTTTTATTTTTTTAAATATATTTATATATATAACTACTTAAATATCAGTCGCGATAAGACTGTAAGTTTTGTTTGTTTTCTCGTTTGTATTATATCCATTAATTTTACAAATGTCCGCAGCGTTTAAAAAGAATCTATCAACAAAGGAAAAAAGAACAATTAATTTGTCTAAGTAAAATTTTGTTATTTACATTTTTCCGCACTAAACTAAAAAAAAAAGAAAAACGTCATTAACTACACACTTGGATAATAATAATGTCACTATTACACAATGCATTTTTTGTCTTTATATCGATCATTCGCTTTTATTTTCTTCTTTTTAATCGTCGCTCACCCCTCTCTTTCTCTCTTGCTTTCTTGCTCTTTTGTGAAAAAAATAGAGATCGCTCAGCGTTACATAATTCTGTTTTCTCTTCTTTTCTGAAATATCATCATATACGTCACTTCTCGTCTATTAAATTATCTTTTTTTGCCTCCGTTACTTACTAACACCGTTCATTTCTTTTCTCGTCATCAAACAATGTGAATAACTCTTTACTTTTCTTTCGAAATCTTATACAAACAAATCTATTGTTTACAAATGGCTAATATTCTAAAAATATTCGTAATAACAACAGCGTTGACGGCGGATAACATGCAATCATTAAAAGCTTTGGAAACAAAACTGTTTTTAAGAGCTTTCTTTCTTTTCGATTTTTTTATGTTTAAAAAATTGTTCAAAATTAATCAACAAGTCTTTCGTCTCTTCAATTCATTGAATTTTGAAAATTTGTACTTAAGCTATTTGGAAAAAAACGCAAAGTACATAATATTTTTTCCTTTTAGTTTTTTGTTTGAATAAACTTTCATTGTCGTCTGTCATTAATCTACTTAGACAAAGAACATTAATATTGTTATTAGGAATCAATCCACTGAATAATGCAATCCTATTTTTAAATACACCGTTGAGAATACAATTGGCGTGCGTAAATTTGTTCTTATAGAGACAGAGATTTCGGAGGAAACTTTGGTGTGAAACTCAAGATCAGGAAAGATCCTAAGTAATGTTTGATAAACTTAAAAAGAAACACCATTTAATAGTATCACTTTTCATTTGTTTTCTTTTATTCGTCATACTCATATCACGCATTTTTTTCCTATACTTGCTGAGCAAAGTCGAATTTTTTTTAATTATATATACCCTTTTCCCAATGAAAAAGCGAAACAATTTTTATTCTATCATCGTCGTTTTTAAAAGTATACGTTAATCGGAGAGCAACTGTGCCAGTTGTGTGTGTGTGTGTGTGTGTGTGTGTGTGTGTGTGTGTGTGTGTGTGTGTGTGGGGGTGGGTGGGTGGGTGGGTGGGTGGGGGTGTGTGTGTGTCAGAGAAACATAGCCGCGTTTTTTACACTTATTGCCTTAAAACATACACTTCGTTTATGCGTCTAAGTTTGTTGTCTTTTCAAGTAATAATACTTGGCGTCGAATACATAGACGGCCGCGTAATGTAATAATATAGATCTCTTTTTTTTTATTATTTTTTTTTGTTGAAAATAATACATAAACAACAATTCTAACACACTCACACTCTCGCACTTATTAGTACATACATGTTTTATCCTGACTGTCTCACTTAGGCAGGCACATAACGAGAGTATTTTAGCGGAATAATAAAGACTGTCAATCAGTCGAAATAAAAAGATCGTTCATCGTCTCTTTTTAAAAGAAAATCGAAGTTTTTGCTACGAATACTCGCACCGTTTTGTTAAGCAAAGAAAAAAAAACGAAATATAGTAATAGTAGTAAAACGAAGTAAAAATAAAAAAAATGGTATATCTCGAAATATTTCCAGCTGCTTTATCGCTTCTTATTTATTATCAATTTCATTCCTCTTTCAAAATAAAAATATACCGAAAAGAGAAAAAAGAAATTTGAAACAGCTTGATAAAAAGTTGACGTATAACGCAGACTTTTACAAAGCCACGTTAATCAATACACATATATACGTATATATACGTATATATACGTGTGTGTACGTGTATGTCGCTCCGCGTGAGAAAAAAAGCTTTTTTTTTGCAAGAATATACAACACACGAACGATGAATACATAAACGTGAATGAGGCGACAGAGTAGAAGATAGTAGCTTATGGGACTTTTCTTTGTTTTGTTTTTGTCCTACGTGGAGGGGAAAGTAAAACAAAAGAAAAAGATTGGTAAGTTGAGAGATGTGTGTATGTATGTAGTTCAGTGATCGTTGCTGTCATTAAGACGTAGGCGTTTGTCGACTGGCTCCGGACTTTCAACTATGGCCAAAGGTGCTGGCGAACCCGGCGAACTGTCCGGCTGCTCTTCGTGGGCTCGCTTACTCAACCCAACGCCTGCGTCAGGACTCATATAGCTTCCGCTGTAAAAAATCACGTTCAAAATATGTTTTAATAGAATCAAACAAAATAAATATGTAAAAGTGATGACGTGCACTTTTGTAATATTTACGAGTAAGTGAAGTTACATACCTATAATTATAACTTGTTTGTACAATAACAGGAGCTGGACTGTATTGACCAGCTGGTGATAAAGCGTTTTCCTCTAATACGTTGCTAGGTAGCAAGTATTTGTCTGCAGAAAAAATAAAAATGTTTAGTTTATAAATATGAGTGTTTTTATTTGAATTAACGCTTATAAACAACTTATAATCTGTCATAATAAACAATTTTCTATTAAATTACTGCTTATATAGTAAATTTAATGGTAAACATGAGATTACACTGATCAATTGAAAATAGTACAAAATTGCAATAAATACTAAGATAAATTGGTTAAGTTGAAAAAAGTAAATTAAATAAAAAATACATTCATTACGTGTGAATAATAACCCTCAATTATAATGTCGATCTAATTGAGAATTGTCATATAAAATCATAGTTGCTCTCACCATCTCTACTGTTGGCGTCCAGGCCAACGCCATTAGTAACCACTGTAATCTGCTGCATGAGCCTCGATGATGGCTTATGTGTCGCAGGGGGCGGTGGTGCATACTGATGCTGTCCAGGAGAGCCTGGCGCTGATTGACTATTAAGTTGACCAGCCGGCGATGGCACCGAACTATCTGGATACGACTCGGGACCTGGTGAACCTTCGCGACTCAGGCACTCTGGTGTCATCAGGCCGCTAATACCGACGTGTGACGGAGACGCTGGCGCACTTCTACAAATATAAAACAAGTTATTACAAAAAAATTGCATCAATAAAATTCAAGTTTGAAAAGTGATATCCAACAATTCTATCAATTTTATTGAAATGTTAATGTGATTGTTATACAATAATATAGTTGTATTATTAAAAAAGTAAATTCGGTAAAAAGGTTATTCCATCCAAATGAGACAATTTAATGTTTATCTGTCAAGATCATGTTTGTCAACAAAACAGAGCACTTCTTAAATGATCGGAATGCTCGTTCGTATATTATACAAATCAACATTGACGTAACTATTGAAAAAATTTTCGCCACGTGTTGCAATCTGAAAACGTTTGAAAAACTCAAAGTATTTTTGAATCAATTCCAAATTCTTATTATTTTTCATCACAAAAAGCCAAATAAAAAGAAGTAATACTGACATAAAAGCTTCTTTTCCCTCGACTCATTCATGCATACAAAAAGGATTTCACTCGCCTCGAAGAAAGTCCAAAAGGTGCTCTGAAGCAAGGTACACCCCTTTGCCGTCTACGCCGGAACGCTTGTTCAATGAGTTTGGCTTCGGATTGTGGATCTATCCTCCAAAATGAACCTTTACCAGGTTCCTCTTGACTGCGCGGCACCTTGATGAAATAACGATTCAGCGACAGATTATGTCTTATTGAATTCTGCCAGCCCTTGTCCGCCGTTCTGTAGTACGGATAATTCTTTGTTATGTACGAGTAAATACCCGACAGTGTCAGTTGTTTGTCCTGGGCTGATGCTATCGCTTGGACTATAAGCTGAGCGTATGAGTACGGCGGTTTCGAGTCATCCTTTGGTGGGCTATAATGAGCAGGAACTTCAACATTGCCGTTAGCTGAAAGAATTTTTTTCGAAGATTTTAGAAATGCTTTGTAGAATCGATCGATATCCCTATCTGACATTGCTCACGTGTTCAAAGTTTTTGTTTTTGTTTTGGCATATCTGAGGACACATTTCAAAATACAGATTTTTGGACTTTTGAATTGACAAGTAAGTACAAATTTCTTTCTAGAGATGATTTTCAAATGAGAACGTAAACAATTTTGTCGTTATTTTAAGAGGCATTTGCTTTTAGTGCTATTTTTGGTTAAAAGACATTCTATTACCCACAAATTATCCTGTGATAATTTAATTTGTGAATTTAAGCAAATAAGTTTATAAAAACATTTAATGAAAAATAAAAATTAACATTTCCTATAATAACAGTGATATAATAAAATATTTTGTTTGTTGCAATCAACCAATTGCAATTAAAATCCAATTATACAAAACTCAATGATGAACAAGATGAACAATCTCATCCTTCTAAAACATTGTATAAGTAAATAAATTGATTAGAAAAATAAAACTCTTCAATCAGTGATGCATCACTATTTCTTTCTTACATCACAATCCATTATGAACCAAGCTCAAATACTCTGTTATTTATATTAGCCTCATTCGATAAAATAAACACAAATCCAATCAATCGCATCCTAAACAAGGAGCATTCTTTTTTGGTAAAAAAAAGTAAGCTCACCATTAGTACCTCCGCCTCCTCCTCCACCACCACCACCTCCTCCTCCTCCTCCACCTCTTCCTCCTCCTCCTCCTCCTCCTCCTCCTCCTCCTCCTCCTCCTACTCCTCCTCCACCACCAACACCACCACCACCACCACCAACTCCTCCTCCTCCTCCTCCTCCTCCCCCAGCTCTATACCGAGCTTCTGTCCCAGGTTCAGGACTCATTGGTCTGTTTGAGTTCTGTGTCAGTTCGTGCCTCTCTATCGTTGAATTTTGTGGGTCATTAGCAACCTGAGCAGCATAGACAGCAACCATCTGCAGGTCAGCAGATATGTTTCTTTTGCCATGATGAGAACGATTTGGACTTGCAGGGCAAGAGTTTGCAGCACTTATTGTTCCAGTTGGCGATGGGAAAGGACTGCTATAACCAGTATCTGCTGGTATATTGATACGTAAAGGTGGCAGTGCAGTTCTTTGCTTTGGTGGTGATGCCACTCTCACATTGCTATGTTCCTGCTCATCAACCAGTGATTGAAACACGAGCCTTATGTTTGTACTGGGAAATCTGAATGTGCACCTGTAAACAACATTTGTCAGTGACTCCATAACCAACACATCAACTACTACCAAAACAATACTCTATCAATTATTCACAGACTGTTTATCTCAAGTTTAAAAGATTCAGTGCCAATAGCTAACTTTATCTAACCTTAAAATTTAAAAGAAAAAAAAAACCAATCGTTCATTCAATTGTTTTTCCGTCCTCGGCAAAAAGAAAAGAGAGCAAACAAATAACATCAATTGTTGAATAAAAACAAAAAAAAAAGCAACAGAGCTATAGAGTAAGAAAAAGAGAAAAAAACAACTCACGTCTTTGGTAGTTGAAAGACAGCGGCGCCTTTGCGTTGAAAGACCCCATCGACGAACACCCCATTCTTACCGTTGCAAGTCATGAAGAAGTAAGGATGATCGTAATGTATCTCCAGGTGTTTCCTGGATATGAAGCTCGAATGTCCCATGTTGACGTCGACCTCACCCTTACTACTATTTCGGCCAATGGTGATACGACGTTGCCTCACCATATATTCAAACTCACGTCCCTCAAGTCTGGCTATAGGTGCACCTTTTGCCTCCAGATTCCATTGCATCTTGGATGGGCTTGTCGGCGCGGACTTAAGGGCAAGAAGTGCCCAGGCGTCGCTTTCCTGCGTCCTCGTGTAGGCGGACATGTTCCTCTCTTCTCTTCTCTCTCTATTCCTCTTCTTCTTGTTCGCTCACTCACTCTGCACACGCAACGGTCGCGTTTATATCAAAAAGCCAACCCGCGAAGAGTAGCAACACACTGTTTCCTCGTATGCGTCTATCTCTGTCTTTCGCGCGCGAGAGACTCGTATGTTTACCTATACACCAAATGTTCGACGACGACGACGACGACGACGACGACGACGACGACGACGAGGACGACGACGACGACGACGACGTAGACGGAGATCCAAGAGAGAACGTGGGTGGCTACCACGTGACAGCTTCTCTTTTACACGCAACTTCGCTTGTCGGCTACCTATCTTTCTTTCTCTCTCTCTCGACCAACTTGTTTATACACTCCGTCGAGAGAGCAGCGCAAGAGTGAGAGCAATACACCATAAGCACACTCAACATTCGCGCTGCTGCCGCAGCTTTAAAGGTTATGTCGAACTTCTTGGTTATCGGCGCTGCTGTTGCTTCTCCTGCATCTCGCTCTTCATGCTGATATGTTGTATTGCTCGTCGATGTGTGCAGTATGTATTATATGTGCATATATATATATATATATATATATATACCCACACATATATATACACGTTTGCCTTACTGATAGAAGATATTACCGTCACGACGAACCTAACAAATGCACACACTATCACACCACCTGCACGAATACACACTTATACATGAGTGAACACCGCGCGAGGACGACGACGACGGCAGCGACGGTAACGACTAGCGTTTTATTTATCAAGCCTTTGTTGCCCGCACCTCAACTTCAAAGGGGAGCGGAAGTAGAGGACGTTCGCCACGCGTGCTCTCACGTATATAACACCGTGTCACACTCTCACTTTGCCGACGTGTGCGTGATACATATGTAATACACATGTATACATATGCTATGTGCCTACATACATGTAACACCGATGATCCAAGATGCTACTTATTTCTTGTTTACGTCGGTGCGACTGGTGTATGCGCGCGTGTTGTGTTGGCTGCTACGCTTATTTTATTTTTTTTATTTCCGTGACGTCAATTGTGTCTGATTGGGCAGAAAATGATGCCGCAAAATCTTACTCTCGCGCCGCGCGCACATCGTATCACCGACGGCAGCTTTTGAATCATTCCATACTGATATGATGGATGTTTACGTTCCACACCTTACATAACTACTGTGTACATACACACACTACAAAATAGGCCGAGAGAGCAAGGTGCGCGCGTCGAACGTTTTGTTTATTTCGTGCTCGAATTTTTGAAGCAGATATGTGATAGGTCACATTCGTATATCTCTCTCTGCACATGTTTTTCTTTTATTTTCCTCGCGCGAATGTCGTGTTACAAAGGAGGTTAATTATTATTGATCGACATTGATGTACAGTGGCGGCGTGTACATAATGGTGCGTACGTGTGTATAGTTTTTATAGACGGAGATTCATTCATGTATTCGTTATTACATTCATTGAGTTGCAAGCTGTGGTAAACATTGAAATTTTAATTCTCTTTTTCATCTATCAAATTTAAAAGCAAGTTGCGTGAGATAATTACATCTAATTTTTTCATTTAAAAGAAAATACAAATATACAAAAGTGAGAATACATCGTACTCTTTGATTCTTCCTCAATCGTCTAATTGACAAAGACAGGCGACACCACGCTGAATCCAGTGATCCTGTTTGACTGTTGTGAGGAACAATATAAACATTACGAAATTCGATGAATGTCCAGTTGTAGCTAAAACACCACGTCTCTCGCTTGTTCTATACAACGGTGAATAATAGACTGATTGCGGCATAAAATCAGCTTTGATACCAGGTCGTAGCCAGATTATAGGCACGCTGTCGAACATTATTTTTGGCAGAGATTCGTCCAATTCTTGTATGTTGCGATTCCAACGTGCACCTTCGATAAATAAACCGTAAATGTAGACGCCGTGTACCGGTGATTCATTTACTTCTTCGGGTTTCTCGTATCTACGAAAATGTGAAAGATTGAGTCACATTAATGAAGTTCTGGGAAATATCGAAAGTTTTCAGTCATTGTGTATTATCTTGTATTTGTTTTGTTGTTTATAAATATTATGATAATTGCTCGTTAAGGTGCATTCAATGATAAACTGAATGTTATAAAAATTTAAGTCAATTAATTTGAAAAGAAAAAACGAAATATAATGTTATAACTCTAAGATACAATTCTTTTGAAAGGTAACAAACAATAATATTTCAAATTTGAAAAAAACTTCAATATCTTGAAGTTTGGATGACAACATGCTACTTGTTGAAACTTGAGAATAATCTGCAACGAGATCAAGGTAGCTTTCGCACTTTAAAAAATATAAATTTTTAAACATAGATTGATATAGATTTAGATTTAAGGAGGCTCCAGCGCCATGGCGGTTCTCAACCGACTCTCAACTTTGTTTTCGCGCATTAAAAAAATACTTCTGGGATTCAACTCGCTGTTACTTCGGCAATTATTAACCAATCAATGTAAAAAAAAATCAGAGATGTTCCTTGAAGACTCTAGTATCTTATAGTTTGAGTTAAAATTCAATACATAACGTAGTATTCCCAAAAAAAAATTATAACCTCAAAAATGACGAAAAACGTAACTTCGGTTGATAAAAGTCTACTACGAATTTTAGAAAATTCACATTTTTTGATTGCCACATTATTTATTAGCATCTCAAGGATCTGTTTATCAAATTTGAGGCCTTAATGGCCAGAAAAAATATTATACACGAGATAATGTAAGCCGACGGCGGACCGTGACATCGATTTTTAGTAACATTTTCGGTAATAACTCAACATTTCCCACGGCTACCCATATTATGCGATACACCATCTGAAAGCTAAACTTTTTCTCTATAAAATATCAGTTTTATACCGTCGAACAACTCCATTAACATAATGTAAATGAATAATGTCTAAAAAAATTTCGCGTCGCTCTATAAGAACCTATGTATAGTCTATACCAATTGAGTCAACTTTGCGATGAAATATCTCAAAATTGCCCACGGCTACCTTAATAAATAATTATGCCGTTTGATTCAGCACGTTTTTATCTATTGAAATAACTACACAGACCTCTAAAATTTTTGCGCTGGAGCCTCCTTAAATAGACTTTTTTTTTCAAATTTTAAGCTACTTTGATATAAGTGCTTAAATTATGGAAGGTAATTTTATTTTCATAATTAACGTTAAAAAGTATCTTTTATTTAAATTATAAAATGTTTATAAAAAATTAGTAACTGAGTAAAAAACAAATTTTGTGAAAGAAAGTAACTAAATTACTTATGAAGTTATAATGATTATTTCCAAAATTCTTGAAAGCTGAAGCAAGTTTTTCATTAAATACAAATGATTATTTCTAGATAAAAAACAAAAAAAAATAAAGAAAAACTTGAAAAACCAAAAAAAAATTCAACTTACTTCGTTATCTGAAACTCAAAATCCAATCGGTCAATGGGTATAGTATGTTTTCTGGCAAAATTCTGCAGGACACCAGTGAGAAATGACTGCGTAAAAAAGAATCCGGAAATCCAAAACACATTCGGCGCATCATGATCAATCCATTCCTGAAAGAACACTATCCTCTGCAGAAGGTCATTGATATAGCTATTCAAGGGCTTCAACGTCGGATATGATTTTTTCTTCCACGACTCTGGAACGCGCCCTAGACTCATACTATTAAAAATCTCTTCAAGGCTCGCCGACATGACAATTTGTCCTTTAACAGCTCTTTTCAAATTCATTAAGCTACTCTTAATCACTTCGGTAAGTCGATTACAACGAATCAATTCTTGCCGAAGTACTGTGTTCATACTATTTTGATAAATAACGGGATATCGCATGGACACATTTTCAACGTTGAATTCTTCTTCCGGCATTTTATCGAGAATCTCACATGCTAAATCGTAAACCATCTGATCGTTACTCTTCTCCGAACCGGTCGCTTGACCTACAATCAATCGCACAAATCGCATTTCAAATACTCATTAAACGAAGAAAAGCATTGAAAATTACCTAATTGCGACTGAGCAAGTAAAGCACCCTCGAGTAGCATCATCGTCTCGGAATTATCCTTCGCTATATCCGCATTCTGATGCAAACCGAATGTCTCGGGTGGTTGGCTAACCGACAGCGAGTGAATATATCTAATACAACCTTGATAATCCATATCAGCCGTCAATCGTATACTTGGCGAGTAATAGTACTCTTCGCTCTCGATAATCTGTTCGTTCAAATATTTGCCTAGCAACGAATTCAGCAATCGTCGGTCTTTGTCGTCTGTTACGCGTCCGCCGTAATTACACTCGCCGATCAGATAAAGCAAAGCTTCCAACGGAACTTCCTCGTAGTCGTTGAGAAACATTTGCAACTGCATCAAGCTTATACACAAGTCCGAGTCGTTGAACTCGTATGGGATATTCCAACCGAGCGGACCAAACGTACGACGCTCTTGAACAACGCCATGGAAGAGGCAAAGCGAGAAGAGAAGTTTACGCCACTCGGTGATTTTTTTACAACCCTACAAATCGAAAAATCATGTTTTATAACTTCATTTTAAAAAGTGTAACTTTAATTTACGTTAAAGAAACTCTTATTCGAGATCGGATCACTCGTGTAACTTCTCATCAAATTACTCCTCAGACCTTTCGGCGGTTCGTTGGTCATCTTTACGCCATTCTGTAGAATTGATATCGGAAAAGCTTTAAACGGATAACTCGTAAGCCAAAGTCGAAATTTGGGATGCGTAGCGGCAGGTACGATAACTTCATCACAAATACGATCCAGCTCTCTCATCCAAGACTCGGCTAAATGGCAATTCTGTAGCACGAGCCATTCACCAATTTCCAATGCTTTATTAATCGCTTCCGTGGCAACTGGTCCTTGACCTTGGCCTAGCGATATAGTTTTCAAACTTTTGGCTGAGATTCCCAAGTCTGTAGCGAATTTTAAGAGCCCAGCCATTGGATCAGAACCTGTATTTGAAAAAAGAATTAAAAGGAATTTTTTTTCATTCATTTTATGCATCACTCACCTGGAGTCAATATGAAGATTAACGGTGTAACGTTATTCGAATCATTATAAGAATCTGTTAGTTCAAAAGGTGGTGGTTCGACAAACGTCAATCCCATCTTACTAATGACAAAAGCTCGTATAGCCGGTACGAGTTTATCGGGTCTAATGCACCTAACAATAACCAATCTCCTCATACTACCGTCATCATCTGCATCGTATGGATGCGGTAAAGGATTCTCATCGGGATTCGGTAATTCATAATAATCCTTCCATATGACGATATTATCAACGAAAGTATCTCTTAACTGATTCAATCCGTTCAAATCACTCGCTCGTGTTATCTCCGACCACGATTTGTCGGATAACCAAGTTGGATCGGGATTTGAATATGGATTGTCCAAGGCTACACCACCGGTTAAAAGAAACGACCATAATTCTTCATCCAATTCGTTAACTCCTCTCAAAATCCCAGCGCAAAGTATGAAAGAGAATACGAGCTTGTCTTTCTCGAACAATGATCTGCAGACGTTTTTGTAGATTGTCGCAGTGAACATCTTGTTCAATGTGTCGATTCGTATTTGTAAAGCGTTCTCTTCTTTATTATCTTTAATCGTTGTTTTCTGCTCGATCGTCATGGTGAATAAACGCATGAACCATGGTAAGGAGTATTGATACATTGGATCGATATTCGCCAATTCGGAGATGCAAAAGAATAATGTTGAAGCGTATGAGGAAACTGGTTTGTAGCCATCTCGAGCAACGTCGATTTCTTTTGAAGTTTCAACTGCGACTTCTTGTTTGGCTCGTATGTCTTCGGATAACGTCTTGGAACTTGAAAGTATCTTAATCGCAGTTTCGTCTTCAAGAATGTTACCTTCCGAACTCGATAATACTTCTAGTATTCGATCTTCGACTTCTTTTAATATCCGTTTGTTGTTCGCACTTTCGACGATCAATTGGTTCTTCTTTTCTTCCAACACTGGTAATTCTTTAGCAACTACTATGCCCAACAACTGATCTTGCAAACCTTGCGGTGTTATCGTAAAATTCAACAGACTAACTTTTACTGCCAATTCAGGTAAATAGTGTGGATTCCTCAATCTCGTGGTAATATAAAATCGAAAGTCACGATTATACTCCAAGACATTCTCGGCAAACTTGATGCACAAAACTCCTCTCTGCATGAACAAACTCTTCAACAGCACTGGCTCTAAAATCGCATCGATCTCTTCAAGAATATTCTCCATCAACACCGGTGTACCAAGTTGAATGGCAGTCTCGATAATCCTCGTGTAATTCGGATCTGTAAGTTTGATTATGGCCAAACGATTATCTTTCTCCAAATTTTTTATCCATTTGTTCGCCTGTGCTTGCGGATCTATCATCAGCGGCCAACGTTCGGCCGCTCTAACGATTATTCCATTTTCTACGGAAAATTTATCAGCTGGCAATCCGTTCAACAACCAAAGTCTCACTTGTACAGGATCGCCAAGTGTGTCGGCCAAGCTGAATGGTGGTGGTGAACACGGTAGCTCGGCTCGCTGACATGCAACGTGCCATTCTTGCACCAACGAGTCGCGATAGAGCACTGTGAAAGCGCCCAAATACGCGACGATTCCCGACGCCAACAGGATGTCACCGATGACGTTCTCGAGGCTCGCGCCGAGCGTGTGCGCGGTTTCGCTCCAGCGCGTCTTTTCGCCGCCGAGACCGCCGAGGAGCTTTTCAGCACGCTCGAGTTTCTGTTGACAAAGCTCGATTTGGTCCTCGAGCTTCTTCTTCTCGCGCATGCACTCGGCGAACTCATCGTTCAATTGCTGCAGCTTGTCCGTCACTTCCTGAACGAAAAATTGAAATTATTGCCGTTATCAACTCGTCATCCATACTCATCGACGGGCATACCTGTAACAGAGCTCTCTTGGCATTCAGAGTTTCCATCTGGGAAGCCAGTTCAGCTTCAGCCTCAGCCAGCATAGCTTTCTTCGGCGCGACGACTTTGATCACACGGTCGTAAACTTCCATCGCTCTTACCCACTTGCACAAGCCCTCGCAAGCTGTCGATACTTTCTTGATGACCTCGGGCTGAAAGCTCCGATCGTTCATAAATTTCTCGCGGATCTTTTTCATATTATTCTGCGGTATATTGTCCTTGTCGAAGTATTTGAGGCTCTCGAGGAACTTGATATCACCAAGTAGACGTACTGATGCTGGCCAGTAATCTTCGACCATGCCACCGGTTTTTGGATCGGGTACTCGGTCGGGTTTCACACCTTTAAAGAAATATCCTCTGTTATCGCTTGCAGATTAATCGAAAATAATCATTTAAATCCAGTCATGACCATTGCTTGAGACTACCCGAAAGACGAAATCGGCTGCTTGATTCGAGTGTACTAATAAATATTTCAAAGAAAAACGTAGCGAGTAAAACTGTTTGCTATTCAATAACGTTACCTTTTAACACGCAAACAGCTTCCATGACCAGTCTCACTCCCGTCGGCGGATTCTTCATGCTCTTAACAATGGTAATGTCAGCGGGTTTCAAGGTGTCCAAAGCCGCGAGCGCTGCTTCCAAAGCAGGCGTAGCTTCGGCAAGGTCAGACTCGCAATCGTCCTTGATAGCTTGCGCAGCGGCCGCGGCTTCGTTGGCAAGTGCCTCATCCGCAGCGACAACTTCCTTCTTTGCTTCGACATTCACGGTATCTTGCTCGATGCGTATCATCAATTTGTCACTGAGTTGCGATTGCGCCACCAGTTTTGGCTGCAGAGCCTGCAATTCCTCTTGCATTACCGACACTTGACCAGCGGCGAAGTCCAATTTTTCCAATCCGACTTCGTAGCGATTCTGCTGCTTTCTAATCTCGTCAACCTTCTGGCCGTGGAACTTATGAAGACATTTTATCAGTTCCAGGTAGCTCGTGGGCGTTACGTAATTTCGTCGCTTTTGCATTCTCCAGAAATCTTCGCTGGCATTTACGACGCTCATGTGACAGTGCTGGCACAAAGTCACGCACTTGTTCTTGTGTGATTCGCTAATTTCTAAATCCCGTAAGAATCTTGTGGCGACGCGTTCGAGGGCTTCATTGGGCCACGAAGTATACCAATCGATAGTGCAGCAGTTGATGAGTGACGGAAACATACGTAAACGTACGCGAAATGCTTCACCGATCGGCGACATGGCCAATACTATGTGAATATTCTTCTTCACTCGTTCGATGAAGGTGCCGTACAGTGCCATTGGACTTGTCTCTCCACCGCGACCTGTAGAATACGCAAAAGGTCATTGTCGTTCATCAGTCTAAAAACGGGTGATATATACCTGAACCCGAAACTTTTAACTGAGCTTCTCTCACGACTTCAGTCATCTTCTCGAGAATCTCCGCTTTCTCTTCGCCACCGTACAAATTCGGCACGTCGCCGGTGTTCAGCAGCATGCTCAAATCCTCCAGGAAGCTTTCTTGCTTGATCTGATTGTCGCTGAGCAAGAACACCGTCGGTTTGCCCTCGTAGCCGGCTCTCAGCAGCATGCCCCTCAAGTCGTCTCGCCACTCGTTGTGGCCGTAGGTACGCGTCATCTCGATTGTCTTTAGCGCGTAATCCGCCATACTCGTGGCCAAACGTGCGCACGATGTGCGACCAGAACCACCAACGCCGACGAGTAGCGCGTGGCCGTTGTCTTGTTGCAGAATGCGCGAGACACGCGACACGTGCTCGATCGCGTAACGAAAGAGCACGAGTGACATTGGCGTTTTCGATAGGCTGTTGTACTCGTCCAGGTAGTATTCCATTTTTTCCTGGAAGAACGCACCAGAATTGAGTATCGCTTTGCGCTCTGTGGAAAGACAAAAGCAAAAATGAAAACAATCAGTTGTTCGTTTCGTTGCACCTTCAGATCCTCAAAATCCGATATCTCATCGTAAGTCTTCGGGTCGGCATCAGGCTCCATATAATTTCCAAACAGTAGACTGCTAATGTGCCCACTGTTGATCTCGTTTTCACCCTCGCCCAAGAAGCTCCCGAGCACTTTGTCAATCGGTTGGCGTAAATGCTCATACGTGGCGCTCTTGACCATCGCGAATAATTTCTCGCGATCGTCCACGTCGACGAGTCTGTCGTAAAACACACGATAAACCTCGTGGATCCACAGTCTTATGAGCTTATCGGGATCCTTCAGTCTCGACGATGGTACGAGGAGTATGCCACCGATCACGCGACTGAAGTCGCGAAGATTGAACATATAGTGGCTTTTACTTGGTATAGGAAGGAAATTCTCGATGGTCTTACGATAGACTTCCATTGTGCCGGATAGTACGGATTTACCTGTGGGGATTCATCGAAAATCCAAGTTTAGTGGCACTCTGTTACACACAGTTTTTCATCACTTACCCAATCGCGTGACGTTGGGATCAAATCCTTTAGCGAAATGCCAATCGAGAATCGCGCCGAAAATCCTTGTCATGGTATTATCATCGAAAGCATCGATACCGATGATATGTAGATGCCTTGTGAACCTCGATGTCAATTTATTGGAAGCACCGCCAGGTGGTAACATAGCAGCGACGAGTAGAATATCAACTAATTGTAAGATACTTGTGTCTCTCGTGTCAAACCAATGTCCGTGGTCCAACCATTGGCGTAAAAGTTCCACTGGGGGTTGTGCACCGTATGTCTCTGGTTGTGGCATACTCAAGTCATCGATGAACAGAACGCATCTGCGAAACAATTCCAATGAGAAAAATACGATGCCACCTTACTGGCTTTGCGCACTCACTTTTTTCCCATAGCAGGGCCATACACGCCTTTGCGTCTGCGATCTAATTTTGACATAACGATCTCTTGAGTTTGAGCTGCCGTTGTTCTCGCGCTGAAATTCAGCATATTCTGGATGAACTTGTTCTTCGGCAACGTCAGCATGTAATTCAACACAACCGTGGATTTGCCAGTACCGGTCGGTCCGACAAACAACACGGGAATCAAATTGTCGAGTAGCAGCGACAGGAAGAAACGTTGTATCGACATCTCCGTTGTTTGTATTATCAGATCGCTCATCTTCCCTTGGCTTGGTAACGTTATCTATAGACATCAATTATAAATTAGGTGTAACGCTGTACTCGATAAAATTCAATGGTTTTACCTGACCGGAAGTTTCCATCCACGGTATCCAAGAATAATTGTTCTTTTTGTCGCAAACCCAATCGAAAATTGTATTGCGATCTGGAAACAGCTGCTGCTTCGTTAATTTAAAACACTTGGGTCTCGGATAATCCTCGTTATTGCCAGTGAGAATCTTTCGAAGGAAAGTATCCATGGCCTGTCTACTGTCGTTCACTAAAGTCGAACACGTACCCCAAACGATACTGAAAATTATCGAGCACTGCAGCCAAACGGTGCTCACTTGCGTCTCCTCGTTGAGCATTATGGTCAGTAATTTCGAGAACGACTGCAATGAAAGAGCCCGGTTGAACTAGTGATTATCTCACTCCGCGCGACCGAGACTCACCGTAAACATGTGCAACTCGTCGGTGTCCACGAATCCGCGACACTTATTCCTGATTAATGCGAATACGGGAACAAGCAACCACTCGACGACCTCGGTCATCAGTTCCATCTGTTCGGCCAACAATTTGTCCTTGACTTTGTTCTTATACGACTCGAAGAAAGCACGCCAGCCGAGCTGCGTACTCTCCATGTATATCATCCCGCAGCGACTGACAGTCGCCGGCGATGCGTGCTCCAAGTCGCCAGTTTCGAAAACCATGTTCATGCGCTGCGGCATTTGTATGATCTCGCCGGACATCAAGCAGAGTTTCTTGTTGTCGTCGAGCACCGTGTTCATGTTCTCGATCCACACCGCGTCGATCGGTCCATCGAATATCAGCCATTTGCGCTCTGCTGTTCCTGACGTCGCGAATTCGCGAAATGCACTGGCTAATATACCGTCGCTCCATTCGTGAGAGACTGGATCGAAGCATCCGTACAGTTCACCCAGCGTCATTGCTTTAGGATTGATCACCCTGCGGAACAATAACAGTCAGGTCGGTACATATCACAGAGACCAGTTGAACGATAAACTGCACGTGACGAGTCAAGTCATCAATGTTTCAATTTTCAATTAAGTTGGTTACTAATTTCATTTCGAAATCCGTGCTGTAAAATGGAATTTATAACCAAAACATCTTTAATTTTTACGTAGATTCCCATGACTTCTGTATTAACTTTCACAAGTTTGCATATAAATGTATCGAAACCGGTCACGTGAAGTACATTATAATTTTTCACAGGCACGTGTGAAAATGTCTATAGCACCTTTACAAAGTTACTTATTTAAATAGAACTATTTTAATGACGAAATAGGTGCAACTTCAACGTGGTTCAAAACCATTGTAGAAGCAGAAAATGTTGCTATAATTCATTTCGGTAGTAGCTTCTGCAAAAGTTCAATGAGATCAAGCGGCTCAAACTTTTACGAAAAAAAAGTGACATACCTGTACACAACCCTCCATTCTCGAATGGTAACTGTCTTCTTCTGTGCCAAATCCGTAAGTGCATCAGCCAACGCTTCGTATGCCTGAGTCTTGCCGCAAAGTGGATCCCCAACGATCATCAACCCATGCCTCACCAGCACCATCTCGTAAATCTGTATGATTTTGCCAACATACCACTCCGTAGCTTGCAATTGCCTCTTGTCGAGGTGCTCTTTGATCAGTGCGACAAGCTCATCGCGATCTGGCGTCGGCAGCTCAACTCCGGGAAACAAATCGCTATAGATGCCTTGAAACAGCGGCAAATCCTGAGCGAGGAATTTTGGTTCGTTCACGTCGATGATGGCACGTAAGAGCAAAATTGCTTCCTGTTCGTTCACGTATTTCAACTTGAGGTTGCCGGCCGCAAGAAGAACCGTCTTCACTGCGCGCATCCCGTAATCATAGTGACTCTGCGAGCTGAACGAGTTAATTAAGCGCTGTAAGTTGATACGGCAAGTAGTTCGCTGCGCATTACCTCAGTTGTTCGGAGCAAAGCTTGTAAGTGTGAACGATCTTTTCGGCGAGTGGTCTAGCGTGAGTGAATCCATACGAGTACAGTGTGATCTCACCGATCATCGCGTAATCCGGCACCATCATAGCACAAGTGCGAAACAGTACTTTCAAGTTGTCGGGCAATTCCTGCCTGCCGGCATAGCCGGGATTCATCGTGATGATGACGTTGCACGTTGGATTCAACTTCAACTCTGTACCCTCGAATATAAATCTCTCTAGCTTCAATTCTATTGCCAACTGTAAAACACCGTGTCACGTATTATGCACTAACAATTTCTTTATCTGCGTGCAATAAAAAATGTACTCTTAAAATATAAATGCAACAGACTTGAGAACAATGATTCTCAAATTCTAAAAGGATTTTTATTTTTTCATTTACGTGTTTATTTATTCGTGACATTCAGAAATATGTTAATTAAATTATTTTTTCAAATAAAAATTATATATGACCCAAACTATATATTTAAAAACATTAACTTGAAATGAGAAAATATGCTTTTTTCGAATATTGATTATATTTTGTACCTGTGTATCTGTAATAATAACATTTTGTCGTTGATAGTTGTTATTACTAGCGTAGAGAAATAATAAAAATGTGCACAGTCATAATTTGCCAAATTATTATTGCATTCTAAAAAAATAATTTTTAATTTTTAAAAGCACTTGATTTGGAAAGCTAGTCGAACGAAGAAAATGTTGGTTGAGAGTTGTCTTGGTTGTTCGATGCCATCATACTAACCTGAATGGACAAAATCTGTTGAGCGATAACCGATAGCACTTCCAACTCAATCCTATTAAACTCATCGAAACAAGCCCAGGCACCAGACTGCGCCAATCCTTTAAAAAACTTGCCCATAGCAGCGTAATCCAAACCCTCGGAGCAATTGAATACAACGCACTGTTTGGCAATAGCTTTAGCAAGATCTTTGGCCGTCTCGGTCTTGCCAGTACCAGCTGGTCCTTCGGGTGCACCACCGAGATTCAACTTTAACGCACCCATAAGCGTGCGATAGCAACGATCGGTCAGCGGTGTTATAACGAGTCGACTACTGTTGCCTAAATATTCGTAGCCGTATTCCACGTCAGTGGTTATCATGGACACCGTCACGCTACCTTCCATCCAATAATACCTGCAACAAGCATCCGCGTCGTTAGTACGCGTCAATGCGGACGCAACGGCAACTGGCGGTGCACCTCAGCTGCGCGATCCAATTGAAGTCCATGACGTCTTTGACCTTCCTTTCCACCAGCAGTTTCACCACGTCTCTCGCGTGAACGTCAATGACGATCAAGGCATTCAAAGTGATCCTCGCACCAGGTTCCAACTTGCCTCTGACCAGAGCGACGGTCTTCTCGATCTGCTCGGAACATTTGTCCAGGTAATCCGCGGTCGAGGCGTCATCGAAGGACTCGCACACCTCGCTGGTCCAATGCACTTGACTGGCGCAGAGCACAATTTGACCAGGCCACGCCAAAATCCACTCTTCGCGTGAGTCCATGAAGTAAGCGATCACACTGTCTTGCGCGATGTCGCGCAACGACGTCTTCATCAGCTCCTCGACCTGAGCGAGCCATCGTTCGACCATGCCTTTGGCGTCGGCCGGATAAATTTTGCCGCTGAACGGCACGTATTCCTCCTCCTCGGACAGCATACCGATGATTTCATCCACCTTGTGAAACCTCAGACTTTTGATGCCTTCGAAACACTTCTTCAAGTGGGGTTGTACCCTCTGCGCATCCTTCGTCTCGGACAGAATCTCGAGCAATTCGTCATTGGACAAAAAGAAGAACCTCGGGAAGAACAGCCTCTTCTTCTCCAGATAGTCGTTCAAGCCCTTCTGAATGTCGTCCAACAGATCGTTGCTCTCCCTCAGTAACTCCAACATCTCCGGCATGCTCGTGGCTACCAACACTTTCGTGTCAGCCTCGACGAATTCCATGATGCTCCTCCACGTTTTGTCGACTTTGCGGAAGTTCTTCGCCTCGGTAGGCATCTGCCTCATGATGTCTTCGCTGCCGAAAATGGGCTCGAGATACATCCAAGTAGCTTGGCAGGCCAGCCACTGGTCGATGATGTCCTGCATGCCAATCAGCTTGTCTTCCCACGCTTGCATTTCGGACTCGAATGCTTTGACGTAAGGCGAGCCGCGCATCGTTTGCGCTTTGAGTATATGCTCATCGAGCAGCGTCTGCACGTCGTCCAGGGCTGCCAAAACGCTGACGCCACTCTCGCGATAAGGGCTCAGGTCGAATCTCACGTCCTGCCAATCCTGCTGCATTCTCCTCAGAGTCGTCTCCAGAGCGTGTTCCTTGGACGCGGCGCCGGAGATCTCCTCGATCTTGCCGACGTGCGCCAGCAATCCGAGCTCGAGCACGTCGGACAAACAGCTCTCGGGGCCGACTTTCACCTCGACGCCGGCGGCCTCGCCGATCTTCGCCCAGTGCCTCGCTTGCAGCCCGGGATTGCAAATGCCTTGCAGCAGCGTCAACAGCTGCTTGAACTTGTCGACCTTGCCGCGCGCCATCTCGGCGATTCTTCGAGCAGCCGGCAGTTCGGCCAGACCGCGCGACAATTTGTAGAGACTCTTCCAGAACAGATCGACCTGTTCGCGCATCTCCTCGGCGTCGAGGCCTTGGAACGGACCGAACATCCAGCGCTCGTACTTCACGTGGAAGTCGAGCACCGTGTGCCACAGTTGGTCGAATTGCGCAACGCTCGCGCTCATTGGTGCCAGCGACAGGTACGGCGATACTTCCAGATCGAGAAGCGACTCCTCGATGTTGATCTCTTCGGCTTCCCTTTCCAATTCCCGCATTTCTGCAACAAGGAAGTCCGGATTCGCCGTGTGCTATTTGTCGCTTGCACGTATTGCTTACTTACCGCGAGCGATTATTTCGATCTCCTTGGCGTTGGAAACCATCTCGTCCATGCTGACGATTGGTGGATCTTTCTTCTTGAAAATCTCGAATTTGGAGTGCAGAGCCTCGACTTTGCCGTCGAACACTTGCCGGCGATTTCTCAGTACGCCCTCGACGAATTCCTTCCTCATGTTCAATCTCGTCGCGGCGAGTTCCATCATAGTTTCCATCTCCCGCGGCCAAGTGAACGACCGACTGTTCAGCTGGATGTCGTCGGCCGAGAGCGGCGTCTGGTGTTCCGCCAGGAACAACACGACCTCGGCACTCTGCGACAATTTGGCGCGGAGGATCAGCATGCTCGAGTCGCGGCTGTCTATCAAGTAGTTGTAGAGCTCCACGACGTCGCGAGTCACCTCCGGCATACCTGCACCCAATCGGCAGACGTTTTCGATCGAAAGCTGCGAGCAAACGGACACTCAAGCGGACACTTACCGGCGATACGTTCGGCAATCTCGTCGAAGCTCGCGCAGACTTCGCGATTGTTCGCGCGCACCTGCTCGAGAAAGCTGTTGCAGATGACCGAGCGCAAATCATAAAGTATGTCCCTCAGCGATTCGTTCAACGAGCTGCAGTCGATCTCGATCAGATTCAACGGGATCTTATCACGAAACAAGAACATCTCTTTCCGTAGCGTGTCGTAAGCCTTGATGCGATTTCCAAAGTCCTTCAAGAACGGCGCTGGTTCAATTTTGAAAAATTTGGCGAGATCTTGAGCCGCCGAGCCGTCTAGCAGATAGTAATACTGGACGTAACGCTGTAGGTATAATTGCGGGCCTTGAGTGTTGCGAACGATGGATCGGAGCGTTTGAACGACGAGATCCTTTATGTCCTTTTCCCAACGGTAGACAGCGAATAAGTAGCGCTTCTTTTGTATTTCCGGGAATAGGACGTTCTCTATACTCGGCATTCGATGCGAGACACGTATCACCATGTCAATGCATTGGGATACGGTGTTACGCACTTCGAGGACCGTTGGTTCGCATTGCAATTGATTGTTGTTCCGATCCCACAGCACGTTCAGCGTCATGAACGGCTTCCTGTCGAAAGCAAGAGAATGACATTATCGCGCGAGCGGGTCGACTGAAAAAATGCATACCTCGTGAACGTGAGATCCTGATAGTCTCCCTCGAAGGAATTGCCGTCGCCGTAAGCAACGAAAAAATCTCTCAATTCTTCCAGGGTCTTCGCCACGACGATTCTCAGCTGTCGAGACAAGATCCCGTCGACGTGCCGGAAGTACTTCTCGACGATCGCGGTAGACGCGTCGGCACGCTTGTCGAACAAATCCGACCACGCACATTTGAGCTCGAGAAACAATTCGGCCACCTCGGCTAGCCATTCCTTCTCGAGCTTCTCGCGCGATCGTTTGCAGATCACTTTCACTTTCTCGGTGATTTCCAGAGCTGCTACGGGAAATTCACCAAGATCTTTCACGTCGATGATCCTCGTGTGGCGATATTTTTCACTCCACATGTCACGGATCCTACGAACGATCTCGTTTGTCATGAACAAGTTGTGTTCCATCTTGTGGCTCGATGTGACTTTGGATTGATGCCACGGTACTGGCGCACGGATCACGAATGTTGGCCAAGCCATATTTGGAATTTGGCGAACGTTTAATAATCGACGCTGTGACGGCTCTAACAGCATGTAGTCGGTTATGAAATTGCGTAAGTGAATCTCATACGACTGGATTACTTCTTGCTCGAGTTGACGTAATTTCTTGCGATAGCTATAATTAAAAACAAATTTTTGTTTTTGTTCGATTGTACTTACTTTTTATTTAAGTTAACTTACTCGAGACGTTGACGTAGCTTATCGAAAATTAATTTCTCGACTCGAGTAGTGACGCGTTTGTCGTAAGGTTCAACGAAGAAGTGACAGTGAGATTTAAAATCCTCGACAACTTTCAAATCCTCGTCAAAGATTGTTTCGCTGGCTTGGTAAATGTTCCACGATTTCCATAACTCTTCCAGTTGATCTTCAATGCTCCTCGGTAATTCAGCCTCGCGGCTTTGTAAAATCTATGAGTGTTATCACGTTAATGTAAAGAAAAATGAATTCCAAACAAATACATTACTTTTTCCTCAACACTTTCACTCTCCATCCTTTTGCTTTCCACTTTTCTCCTCTTTTTAAAATCCCTCGTCTTCCTCTTCTTCAAATCCCTCAGCGAGATAATATTCTTGGGTATTTCCTTCATCTCCCTCTCCCTTTGCTCTTCAATCTTTTTTAATTCTTCATTCCGTGTTCTAACTATATCCGCCGGTGGGTAAATTAATTTACCATCGTCCCCGAAAACTCGCCATTTGGTTATCTTTCGTTTAACGTTACAAGGAACTCGATACTTTTCCGCTGTTACAATCTTGTACAACTCGGTAAATTCAACACATTCGGGTTTAAATGTTTGTGGTCCCCAGCACTGCGGCTCCATTCTTATTTTACGAATTTAAGTGACAAATCAAAAATATAAAACAGGTTACCATGTTGTGTGTAACCTACTATTCTCCTCCTCGGCGGCAAGTAGACGACTCGTTGTTATGGAGATAGCATGGTATTGTTGCATTGCGTGTAATATAAACAAGGAGGTATACACATAGTGAATTGAATTGATTTATTGATATATATATATATATGTAATTTTATAAAATATTTATAAAAATAACATTTTTCTCTAACATTTGGCACAGTTTTCGAACATGCAGTCTTATTCAAATTGTCACATTACATTTGTTAATCATTTAATAATACTAGGAAAAGGTGCTGGTTGATGGTTCATTTGGATAAGCACACTCCTGATAATTAGTAGTGGTTTGTAACTCTTCGTGTAATCTGGAAGCTCGTCGATTATGTGGTAAGCCTACAACGAAGGTACAAACGAGCTTTGGTTTATACAGTTTTTTCATTCCAGATATTTAGAACCACATAGTAAACTTACGCTTGTTACTAGCAGTATTAAAAGTTTTTAATAGAAATTTTTTATCACGAGCTTGCCATTGTAGCATTTCCCGTAGAATTCGCACCATTTGCTTAGAAGCTTCAGCTTTTGCTCTCAAATAGTACACAGCTAAACTGAAATTGAAATGTATAAAAGTTTTGCGTATCGCTATGATAATAAATATTTCATATAAAATTACCATAATGCAAAAAGCAAAGCAATGCCAGTTCCCGGATTACAAATTTCTCCGAGTATATGCCAGAACTGACTATTCCGATTGACATTCAACATCCTCTCGATAGCGAATTCCCAAATATAATCCCATCCAGAGAAGGGTCCACAACTCCTGGTATTAACGTATATTAGCACGTAACTATGTACAACAACAGCACTTATCATCCCAAGAAAAGCCATTGCCAACGAGAGTGTTTGCGTTTGAGCAGCTCGCCAGAATTTCGATGGTGGTTCGCAGAAGCTTAGCAACTCGCGTTTCTTCATGTAAAATGTCAGCAACATCTTTACCAAGATAATCAGTGACATAGATGGACTGAAGTAATGTACAAGCCAGAATAAACTTTGATTGTATACGAGATTCAGAGTATTCCTGGCGATGTCGAAAGTTGGCGCACCAAATTTTCTTTTGATACAAGGTGTTGCACGTAAACCTTGAACGACGAATGAACCGAATATAGAAACGAAGAAATCTAGGAGGATAAGACGATAAATTTCTTGGGATAATCGGGTTGGCCAGCATTCCGATTCAATTCCGCGTGTTAACCAAAAGGTGTATAAAGTAGCCACTGCTGTTGCGGCGATTAAATACACACGAATCAAAGTGATGTACATTGCTATGCGGTCTTTTGAATACTTCTCGTATTTTATCTAGAAATTAAAAAAATGTTATCATAAAAAATTAATAATCGATAGATTCAAGGAACATATATTGGCTATGTGTCTTACTGCCCAAGATAAGATTGGCGGGATGAAATTAACAATTCCAGTCATAACTAAAGGTATGGTTAAAACAGATAAAACGTCTTGTTGATTATGATAGTGCTCGTTGAGCAGCAACCACAAGAGAATACCAGTCCCACAGATAATTGTAATCACAAGTGACGTCATGGCAATGCGTATAAGAAAAGTCAAGATTTTTGTTGACGTTGATGACACATACACATTTTTAGATTCCCATAACAATTCTTCCAGCTCACGGTAGAGCGATGCTGAACGTAAATTAGCTGCCTTGTATGATGAGATTCCCCAGTCCCAACTGCAAAATATTTTCTTAGCGTAACGATTATACGCACCACCCGATGTCTCGATATAACATTTTTTGTACGATCTTGCCACTCTAGCATAAAAACAAATCATAGTTTGGATATAAGTATAACAAAAATTAAGTTATGAGAGATATGAAAAGCACACTCACTTAAAAAATAATAAAATAAAGACGAAGATGTAACAGAAAGCAAATGTAGAAAAGTAAGCTGAGGGTATGTCGTAAGTCATATTTGAGTCAACTATTAGAGTGCGATTAGCATAAAAACCATAATACAAAATACTGTTGGTAAAAAAGCCCTGCAAAATTGCAAATTAAAATACATGGAAAAACAAGAAAATTAATCTAAAAATCAATTTTTGTCAATCTCTCTTACATTTCCGAGCAATAAGTCCCATGAGCTAAAAGTTCCATTCTTGTGAGACTGAATTAGTGCCTGTGGCACAGTAATAAAAAGAATACTGACAATACAACTGAGTGTATTAATAATGAATAAATATCTTAGAAATTTAAAGTAAGTTGCTATTCCACTGCCAAAGTGTCCTTCAATTCTTTTCATTGGGTGATACCAGAGTTCTAATTGAAAACCAATTTGGTGAAAAGCTAATTTTGTCTGAAAAGTATACAAAAATTACGATTTTTATATTATAAGTAATATTGTTGCTTTACCTTTGTCAATGACATGCTCCATCTATAATACAACTTCTTCCAAAAACTAATTGGTCTTTTCTTTGATTTTTGACTAACAGATAGCGTTAACTTTGCTTTAACAGATCTTTTCAAAGTTAAGCCTTGCGGCATATTTCTTATTAAATCTAATCGCATTGCTTCTGATACTGGATCATCTTGCATGAGCTTGCCTTTACGCTCTATGTGGCTAGCAATTGTTTCTATTTGCTCTTCCATTTCTTCTATAGATTTTTTAGGTAACCTTAGTGTTGTATAGGAATAAATTAAATCAGCTGTCTCACTACTTTCCAATTCTTCATTGTCTATTTCTAAAAAAAGTGATTTATAATGAATTAAAGAGAAAAAATAAACAGTTACGTCTGAGTCAACAACTCACCTTTGCCTTTGTTCAAAGAACTTCGATCATATTGCACATTGTTATCTAGTTTTTCAACTCTGTTTAAGTCTATAGAATAATTCTCACTTGTTTCATTCAATGGAATCACTGGTAAACAATGAAAAAAAGTAAATGTTTCTGTTTTATAAAAAACAAAATTAACTACAGCTAAAATATCTTACCATTGTTCAACTCCACAATGTCTCTAGAAGAATGGCCACTTCCTCTATCATTCAACTTAGAGCTTGACATTGTAATTTTTTCTAACAATATGATAAGCTTGAGATAAAATTTTTTTTAATACTCTAGGATAAATGCATATCTGTCAATTACAATTGTTACCAGCAATTACTATCTATTACATGTAATTACTTATAAAAATACTTTGAATTTTATAAATAAACAGCACAGTAAGTCAGTAAACCCTGTCTGAAACCTAAACGGCTTGTTAATTAAGTCACTTAAGGACAATGAGTAACCACTACACCATTACTTTAAAACTGAACCTCAAATCAACTTACACGTTTTTTTCTCTAATCATCATTACTTCTGTTCTAGACAAAAATAATAACGCAATCTTTTCTTTTAATAAATACATAAAAAAAGTAAATAATAATAACAAATAACAACTCTATAATTGTTACATCTAATATTCTAATTAGTTTGTCAATGGCAGCTCAGATTTTTGACAGTTTTGACGCTATGGTATATAGTAATAGTACTGTCCTAACCTAACTCCTGAGTTCAGAGTTCTGCGCTGATGAGTGACAGTGACGACGTTTTACTTTAGCGGCGCTGTTGTCTTTCGTAGCGGAAGATTCGAAACACAGTATGTATATTTATAAAAGAATAACAATTTTTATTGTATAAAAAGTTTAGTTTTCTATACTTTTTTATCACTAAAACACTGAGCATTTATATAAAAAATAAGAATTAAAAATACTTCTTGTATAATTGTTACACAAATGGCATCCATCCAAGCCACATTCGCCCGAGTAGATTCAAGTCTGTTGCTTGATCCAATAAACACCGAACCTATCAACAAAAAATATAATTCAAAAAATTTTGAAACGAATTCGTACTGAGAAATTCTCTTGTACCTGTTCTTTAGGCGTAAGAAATTCATTTTTCATCATCGATCTAATGGTAATGTGTTGCTGATCTATTCCGTTAACAATAACTTCATATTTTGAAAAATATTTGTTTTCTTCATCCGTATCATCATGCATATTAGCTAATTCTTCAATCATAATTTTTGAAGGTTTTACTCCGCTCAGTTTTTGCTCAATTATGGCAATACGTTTTTTGGGCATCCACTTTACATCTGCAAATATAAACCTTACCTATTATGTCCATTATCTAAGCAATAAAAAAAATACCAACCTTTTCTTTCTTCGTCATTTTCTTTCAATTTCTTTCTTGCGTACTTGCTCCAATCAATAGGCTCATGCACAAATGTATCTAAAAATGCTAAAATTGGTGCTTTTTCATCCCTCAAAGTACTTAAAACACGTGTCATAGTAATTCCAAATAAAGCTTGTTCATCAAACGGCTGGAACAATCCTACAATTTGTGGAGTCAATCTGAACGGAACCAATTCAGGCACAGATTGATCAACGCCAGCACCAAAAGCAGCGCCAAAATCGATACCACAGCATTTTCCAGTCTTCACTTTCACAAGAATATTTTCCAAATGTCTATCTCCAACGCCAGTGAGCCAATGAATAAGACACATAGTCGCGTAACTCGTAACAAAATTATGCCTCAACGTGATGAAACTTTGCAAACTCGTACTGATATTCAAGAAGCTTCGTCGCAAGCAATCCCAGTCGATGTAACCGATCAATTCGTGCATCTTCGTGACAACATCTTCCGTGCTGTACTTCAATAAAGCTTCTTTATAACTTTGTCGTCTAGGTCGCTTAGCAAGTTCTATCCAAGTTTCATACATCCTAGCAACTTTCTCGATTACTGCTTTTCCTGACATAGAAAACTCAATAAATTCCTTCAACGATCTCGTCTCGTCGACCCACTCGATAAGACCTAACATCATTGACAATGGTATTACGTGATAAGTGTTTACTGACAGATATCTCTGTCGACATTTCACATTCTCCTGGAGCGTCTTATTCGTTAATCTAAATATCTGCTGTAATCTCTGATCCTGTCTCAAATCTTCACCGAATTTCACTAAATAACCGTAACTTTTGCCATCGTTGCCTATAAAATTAATTCTAATTGGATTCCACTTAGAGTTCATAACATGAACGAATCGATCGAACCGTGATATTATTACGTGATATTGCGGTAACGGTCTTTTACCATCAACGTACTGGCCGGGAATTTCAATTTCAAACTTGTCACTGGTAAAATCTGCTAGATATGGACTGTAATCTTTAAGTTGTACCGAGTGAAGTTTTGCTTTATCAAGACGTCTTTTCATCGACTCGTAAAGCTTGCAGCTGATATCTTCGGCGAGTTTTTTCGCGGCTTCGTAATCAAGAGTTTTCATTCGTTCTAACTGAGGTCGAAACTTTTCTAGCACTTTATAGAGAGAACCTTGTTGGATATTTTCTTGGTTACCGAGTAAAGAGTCAACGACGGTTCTGTGATCTTTAGATTCTTCGAATACCTAGAAAAAAAATCAGTCGAGCAAATCATAAAATCAAAACATTTGTCGAATAAACTCAACCAACCTTCAATAAGTAATGTCTGAGGTATAGTTCAGGCTGACAAACTCTATGCATAGCCTCACAATACTTTTCTACCTTCCCATCTCTAAACAACTCTTCATAGATACATCTTATGTTATCATTTTCTTTCAACTCGGGAAAGCTCTCGTAACTTTGCTTGAAATTATACATAATTGCTTGGGGATACTCTTTCGCAAGCCTTCTAATTATCGGCACTAACGATTCTCCAAATGGTTTGTTCAGATACGACATAATCTGCGCTTGCCATGAAATAAACAGCCAACTCGGTACACTCTCACATTTACTCTTAAACAATCTCGTCGTAAATTCGTTATTATGATAAAATTGATACTTTAACAGACATGAAAAGTACTGTGTAGCTTGCAATGATCCAAGACTCATACCAGTCAATATAGCTGATATGAAATCTTCTATTACCAATGGCTCTTGCCGAAGAAGACTGTAACAGTATTTACCGAACTTAGCGAAACTCTCACCTGTTTCGCAAGCACTCTTTATAGTTTCGTAAGAGTACTTTCTTAAAGCTTCGAATAAATCTTCTTCCCTTTCTAGGCTTAATTTTTCAACGACGAACTCCTCATTCAAGAGTGATTGTACGAAATCAAGATTCTCTTCGATAGCAGATCTCAATTCAACCGTTACATCAAATATATGTTGTTGAACATCGATTCTCAACTGAGCTTCAGATAGTAAATTATGAGCGATCTGCCAAGCACCTACGTAATACTTGAACTTCTTTCGTGGATTTGTCTCGACATGAGCGCATATGAGTTTATATTTTGACGCGGTGAATAAAAAGTCTTCGTGTAACTTTGAATAGTCGATTTTAGAAAGACTCTCGAGAGTACGTTCAGCGCCGATAGTATGTTTTTTCGCAACGATGTTGTTGCGTAAGGATATCGCCATATTGCTGAGTTTTAATCGTTGAGATACGCCTGCTGCTATCAAATCGTTGAGTAAACTGAAAATATTTTGCAGCTTACAGATTGTACTATTTAAATTAGAAAGTTAAAAAGAAACCATACCTAGACTGCGAATTATCGTTCTGAATCTTTTCATGCAACAAATGAGCAAACGTTAATCTGTACCCAACAAGTTTATTCCAGCTCAATAAATCCTGTCCTAATTGTGGTCCATTTAGTTCCCAGCTTTTCATCAGTTCTTTCGTAGCTTCCTCCATATCTTGACTCTTCAATAACTGAGCATAAGCGTAGATATTATAAACAGCTCTCAACTCCACAGGTTTCTTCTCGTTAAACTTCACCCAACGATTTCGTAATCGATCAATGGCGTGTTTAAGTGCATGTCTAGCTGAATTCTCTGAATCTTCACCACACAGATAAAAAACACACATCTGCTCAGGAAAATCAATTCTCGAATCACCTAACCAACTATCGAGATTTTTAATAAAGTCACGATTCTGTACTTCTCCGTTACTCGTCAACTCGTCGAGTGCCTGATGAAGCTGCGATTCGATCATTCTCGGTAATAAATAATCTTTTCTACTGTGATGTCGTACATCTTCATTCTTTAATTTCTGCGAGATTTTACTCCAAGAACCTAATTGTGCGAGACATTCTAGCATACCTTCGAAGCAATATTGTTTTTCCAAAGAAGGTCCTTCGTCAAAAGCTAGTTCGTAAGCGTTTTTAGCTTCCAACCATTCCGCAGCTGCATGAGCTTGAGCAGCTTGACGTAACTCAACGGAGAATACATCTGGACGACTGTATATTCCACTTACCACATCACTCAATTCGATTGCTCGATAAAGCTTCGCTAATTCTGCCCAGATTCCACGCTCGTCGTTGTTATCATTTTGTAAACGTGGTAGCTTTAATGGCCTTATATCATCTTCGGTATTTTCTTTAGAAATTAATCGTTGCTCTATTAACAGTGTGGCAAGTGAATGATAGCCTAGAGTATTGCAAACTCTTGCAGCTACAGTAACGTTAACTTCCTTCAATAATTCTTTGTAGTGTATAATTGCTTCCAACAATATCGGTCCAAAATCATCAGTTGCCTTTTCGCTCACACTCGTTATCACATTCTGCAATCGATTCTTTCTCGCTTCGTTCTCGTCATTTCTTGCTCTCTCAATTAATTTTTCTAGTATATTGATAGTCATCTGTCGACAACATTGTGAATCTATAACGATAATATGTTGCAATCCGTCGACAAAACTTTCTTGTGTAATCTCGATATCCGGTAAATCACCAATTCTGAACGACCTTCTCGTACGAATTTTCTTTTTAGCTTCTAATCTTAATTTGTCGTGATAACAATCCTGACTTAGTCTTTCGGTAAACGTTCGTATTGACAATTTATTCCTCGATGGTTCGGGTAGCGTTGATGTATTCGTGTAAGATACGAGTGGTTGCCAGTAAGCATCTTGACTAAATTGCGAGTTACATGATGAAGCTATTTGCTTGTGTTGTAACATTTGACTCGCTGAAGCTAAAGATGGTAAGAATAGTGGTGCACAGGATGCAAGATTTTTTCGTCTCCAAGGTACAAGAAGTTCGTATTCATGAAATACAACTTTGTCGTTAAGCGGGCGAAACATCGTTCGCTGGTTATCTGGTGCTTTCTTCGTTAATTCTAACATCAATAGACATATGAATCTTGAGAAACCCACGTTTGGTTCGTACAACTTAAGTAATTCAACCAAACGATCTTGACAACCTTCCGGTAATTTCGTTGTCCAGAAATCTAACAATTCGCGACGTAATTCATCCGAAGTTTCAAAAGCTAACGCACGTATAAGTGGCTTCAAACAATTAGTAGCGCCAAGGAATCGATAAACTCTACGCCTGTGTTCCAATAAACAACATTGTGGTTCGCTGTAATACGAATTGGAAACTATATCTGTATATGCTTTCAACTCATTCTCTGGCAACAATGGTACAAGTTTCTCGAGTAAATTGAGTATTGGTCCTTCACAGCTCAACGTGTGATTCAATAACAAAGGCTTAAGATTCATTAAAGACAATTCCGCAGTTAATACACTAGGATCGAGTTTGTCCAATCTGCTTATAAACAACTCGATACATTGTGACTTCACCGAGTCGGTTAATCTACCCAATCTATTCGTAAATCTAAACATTTTTTTACAACCTTCTTCGGAACTCCAACCACGATACAATGCGCAGACACACTTGGCACTGCGTTCGACATTATTGATTTCCATCTTGACTAATAGTAAATCGAGTTTGTCAATTAGAGATTCCTCGGCAACATTGAATTTGAGTAACCAACCGAGTGTCTCGAATCCTGCTATTATGTTAGACTCGCTTTCTTGGGCGTTAATTTGTTCTAAGCTTGCAATTACTAAATCACGTAGTGCTTTAGCTTCATTAGTTTTAGAAAAAGTTAGAGCGGCTTGACTTCTCAAAACGACGAGGGAAATTCTTGCAGCGATGAGTGACTTAACATTAGCATCACCTGGCCAACTAACATTGTTAAACCAGTTTGTCCACAAAGACTCGAGAAGATTAATGTTGTAATGAGTTAGAACGTTTTGTGCTTCTGGTACGCGTTCAATCAGTTTTTGTAACAATCGATTAGCTGCTAATTTTTCTTGATCTGACGTTGGCTGAGTTTTAGATTCAATGAGTATAAGAAGCGTATCTCGTATTATGTAATTCAATGCGTTATTAGCTAAGTAACTCGACAAAGTTGAAACAATAGCGAGAAAGAAGTGTGACATAAATGGTAGAAATGCTTGCTTTACGTTACTCACGATTCTCAAAAGAAACAATCTTACGTTGTCCATTTGCGTACCAAAACCATTTCTGAACATTTTCAAGAAATCTGGTAATTCATCGGTTTTCGTGGTCGATGCGATAGCATTGTTGAACATGTGTACTAACAAACCAACCAGCATTGGCATACATTCGTGATTATTCAACTCATCGTTCTCGAAACTCAATCCTAATAAGCTATCTGTCTTAGGTTGTGTGAGAAGACGAATATCGTTGAGATCGTAAGCGTGAATATTTTCGAATAACGTCAATGACGTTAATTCGGGCTTACGTAGATAGTCGTCAGTCATCGGTTGAATTTTACGACGAATGTTTAAAAGTTTCTTGCGTTCCTTACGTATATTCAATGAATCTTCGGTGAAGGTGTATTCTTTACTACAGTCGACGATCCGTTCCCAGAGTAATTGATTTTTACGTCGATCCTCCACGAATACGTACTTGTAATACTTCTGCTCGTCTTTTAAACTCACCAAAGCTATGCAACAATTGAGTGCTGCACAGTGAAGTAGACGATCTGCCGATGGTATACGACGAATATCTAGTGACTGTAAAATGATCAGTTGATTGATTGATTTGTCGTTGATTTTTACTATTGGTAGATCAAATTGAGCGAATAGTATCTCGAAGATGTTGAAGCAGCCGATTTTTGAGGTTGAAAGTTTGGCAGCATCGACGGGATTTTCAAAAACGACGTTGGTTGAAATTATCGAAACCATATCTGCGTGAGATTCGATGTAAAACGAATTGACTACGGAGAAGTTGCAACATTTGATTGAAGGTAATAAGAAATGATAGAGAATGCTCAAACGATCGTTGGTTAATGAGAGATCCATGAAAGTTCTATAAGCGAGATGAAGAGATTTTAATGCGGTGACATTGGTTATACTAGAGAAATATAATGCTACATAGTCATGAGTATTGCCTTTGAAGATACTTGTGAGAATTCCAGCGGAAAATTTTAATAAAGCTTCGAAGACTATGAGACTCTTTGTTGCGATAAGGGATTTTGAGAGAATTTGAAAACACGAGGCTGCTTGAAATTTCAATGCGTCGTTGCCTGTAAATTCACGAAGGTACACTGCTGAATCTTGATGCCGAAGGTGACGGAAGATCATGGATACTTCGGGACTTTTGGTTGATTCATCGACTAAGCATACAAGAAAGTTGCGCAAGAGCATATTTTTCTTCTCTAACTCAGTTGCTGATGACAATTGCTCGAGTATCCACCAGTATAATTCACTGTTTTTCACGGCATGAGTTGGTTTCTTTTTCAATGTTATAGCGATACGATAAATACTCAAAAATTTCTCTTGTCTGTATGTTATATTGTTGATCTGTCGTTTAAGCTTATCAAAACGTTGGATAATCTCGTCGAATAAATTTGTATTCTCAAGTGTTTTGGAGAAACGCACAAGCTCTTCAATCAGTAAAAATGATTTGTTTGGTGATTTAATGAAAAATCCATCGATGATTTTTAATGTTTCAGACGTGTTTGCGATGAGACTATGAAGTATAGGTGTTTTAAATGTTTCTAAAAAGTATTCACCGTGTGAAATAATGGAACCGTTTGGACGTAACAGTGGATCCTTGTTCATCAACAAAGTAATAAGTGTTTCTAATATCTGATTCTAGAAAATTTTTACGAATTTGATTAATGTGTATTCAACTAAGTTGATGGTAATTTTTTTCATACCTGGCAATCGAAGAGAAGAAAATTTAATAAAATATTGAAGTAATTCTTGACATTATCGTCCAGCTTTTTACAGATATCTTCATTCATTATTTCGTGTTTCAGTGATTCAAAAAGCTCTTTCAATCGGTCTTCGATCCACTTATCGTCAAAATTCAACTAAAATCGTATTTCATTATTTATTTTATAAAGATTTGAAAAAACGAACGAATAAGGTACCTCTTTTTCAAAATCTATAAACTTGCACTGCTTCAGTATGATTAAACCTTGTACGAAATCTTGTAAGGTATGTGTGTTATTTTTAAGGCTAATCAAGCCTCGGAAATCAGTAAAATTTGATGAATATATCCTCACATCATTAAGAATTATCCCTTGACATTCCTTCTTTTGAGAATTTATCATCAATGTTAACAAAATACGAAAATGACCAGGTAACTTTTCAATCAATTCTAAGTTCTTGACTGTCAATCCTACAGAACTAGGATTCAAAATACATCGAGACAGTAATGAATAAAAATCTTTATGCCAGATAGGAACTATTGAATTGTTATCCTAAAAATAATGTAAAATTCTAGAAATTGTTCAATTATTTTGTACATAAAAAATAGCCATAATTTTACTTTAGTGGCAATTGTATATTCCAAAATCTTCAAACTGATCGTACCAAACAAATTGAAAAGCTTGACATTATCTAAACTCTCAGCATTTTCATTGACAATCTTAGAAAGAAAATTAGAAAAACACTGTGAAAATAAATGCAACTCATTTCTATCTGCAAATAATCTTTCAGCTGAAATGATGTTTTTCTGTAACACCCAAATATAAAAATCCAAGCTTTTTAAAAAAACATTCGCATTCTCAATTGTAACATCTTCTCTTAAATCTTTCAAAGCAATCTTATGAACATTCTTTGAAAGTACATCTTGAAAATTATTTTGATAATTAATCAGCAAAAGCAAATTCTCAAATAACGTCATACGTTTCGATCTACATTTAACGTTTAACGAACCACATTCATCAAACAACCAAATTAACGCTCCTTTTAATGTCTCTTTTACGAAGCATGCTGGTTTCTTTCTAGACGGACTTTTCGCTAAAAACACATTCGCTTTCAATTTGATATCTGCCTCGATGTGGTCGACAGCAGTGATGATTTCAATGTTACATGAGTGTTCCATACTCTTGACAAATACGTATAAAAATTCCAACCAGTAAGTATTCAAAATATCATTGTGTTCTTCAGATAACGTCGAGTGTATGTAATTAAAAGCAATGGCAGCAGCTCTTTGATTTTTATCAGAAGAGTAAGAAGCTAAATTAATAATTCTAAGTAGAACGCTTCTGATATTCGGTACGTCGGTAAGATTATTTTCAGTCGATTGTTTGATCGACCATTGGGTAAACTCCTTCAAATAAATCCCACAGTAATCATTCATCGATGAATTGAATTCTTCGGAAAGACCTTCGAAAAGGCTGTCTAAGAAATCTTGAGGTACACGCGATTCCTTCATCAATTGAGAGCTTAAAAAATGAGTTAATTGAATGATTAAAGGATGATACAAATTCCGAATTACGTCATCGGGATCACATCCAAGCGAAAGAATCGTACGGCAAAGATTCCTGTTAAAACATTGATCCATCAATTTCTTACCGAGGATTATGGTAATAATAGAGTGTAAAAATTCACAGGCTGAAAGTTTCGTTTGACGATCTCCACTTTTAGTTAAATCAATGATTCTCAAGATTAATTTGTCATAGTGAATTTCTAAACGGCAGTCTGAATACAAAAGCTCACATTGTAATAGATCTTTTTTGTTCCAGGTCGCGTTGGTGATGATTGTTTTTTGGTGAATAAAGTCGAAAAGAATGTTAGAGTCGAGAGAACCGTAGAACAGAAGAATTTTACTCTGAAATACTTTGAGATTATCGTCGATGTGCATGACGATATTTTTGATATCTTTTTGCTTCTTTCTTCTACATTCGAACATTTCTAGAGAATATTCTTCACTGGATAGATACGGTTCTAGAGAATGTACGATTTGCATATAGAACTCATTGGAGAATTTGATATCAGAATTTTTTGACCAATTTTCCAAAGTTTCTAAAGCGTTAAACGCCAATGAAAGATTTGTCAAACCAATGCGGAATGCAATTTTGAAAGTTACTGTAAGTTTGTCAATTACATCTAAGACAAAGGATGATGGAATACTGAATATCAAATTGATGCAGGATAATTGCAATTCACCAGAGTACGTTGGAATAAGAGTAACGATATCGACTAAATATTGACTAATCAAATCACTACTTGAGCGATTGAAAGTTTCCTTGTACTCGGATAATACGTCGGGTTTCGTGAGTATGACTTCAATGAATTTATAGAATCCGGAAACCAGTGGATGTGAATATGAAGATTTAATAAAGTAGATAAAAAGTTTTTCTATCCAATTTTGAAATAAAACGCTATCGATGCTGTCGAAAATATCGCAATACAAATCGGTGAGATTGATGAAAAACCGATAATCAGTTTCGTTTACGGCTTTCATAGAAAGCAACGGGTTAGAAAAACATTCGTTATGTTCGACTGTTAAATTTAAATTTAATTTGTCTATGAATGTCGTAAGGGTTTGTACGAAGTAATCGAATATCTGAAGGAATAGTGGATCTTCATCTTGGAAAAGTGACTGCCAAAATAGTAGATAATTTTTATAGCTCCAGTTCTCTTTGTTCGGTTCAATTTCTTGCTGAAGCTCCACGTCGATTGATATAGCATGAGAACAAGACCACAGTATGCCTTCATAAACTAGAATGAATTTTGTAACTTTTAAAATGAGAATAAGTTCCTAGTAGAAAATGTACTTACAAAAAGACACAAAATATTCAGAGTGCAAGTTATTATCCAATTGACTGATATTGACAAAAATGATTTTCAATACTTTCGTAGAATACTTTTGAAAAGAATTTGTATACTGAGGAAATTTTTTAGCTAAGCATATACTGAGCTCAATCACAACATTCAACTGATGCTTCGTAACTTCTGGCATGTGAATCAAAACTTTAGATAAACTTTGTAAGTAATCTATGATCATTTCAAAATCTTTGTCTATCTCCTCCCTAAACATAACAAGATTATTAATAGGATTAAAAAAAAATTTTAAATTAATATTTAAAATCTTACTTTTCGTAAAAGGGTAATGCTCTCACAGCTAACATTTGAAATAATTTGTAAATTTCACCAGGCAAAAATTTAGCATAAGCAGCTGCGAGCTCTCCTAAACCATAAATAATCAGAGGCTTTTTTTTATCATGTATAAAATTATCACTTCCAAATCTCTTCATGAAATCAGTTTTGAAATACTAAAAACGAAAAAGTATTATAAAAAATGATACTGTTTTTCAAACCTTTTATACTCACTGAAAATATATGGTTTTCATTTTCTTCCAACATATTTTTGGCCATTGTTTTATAAAAAGTTCTTATGGCATCATAAACTGTGTAATTATCAGCTTTTTCAAATATATTATTCAACAAATTATGCCACATGAGATAATCTTCTTTAATGAATGATGAAAAATATTCCATTTGTCTAGTAAAAATAAACAGTGCTATGTTTCTAATAGTTTTTTGAGCTTGCATGGGCTTGCAAAGCTCTGATATATAAAAATAGAGCTTTTTACAGTATGCTTCTTGCTTCTCACTACCTTCGAATGGTATATAATTTACAAGCATATTTGATAAACACTCCATATAAATTTTCAATTCTTCTGGTTGCTTTGAACTATCACCTTTGAACTAAAATTTATTAAGTATTTCAAATTATTTTGACAAATGTCAGATGGTTATATTTTATCATTACCTGATTGTTTATGTCTCTGAGTATTTGCATATAAATAAAATTAGAAGTGCTCATACTCTCAATTGCAGGACAATACTTTGCAATTGCTCCAAGTACAATATAAAATACACATCCATCTATAAGTATAAGAAAAACAAAAATTTATAATATTAGTTATTAAATTAATGTATAAAATACCTTTTACACTATATCGTTCAGGGTAAAATTTATTGTAATGTTGGACAATCTCATTTAAAGCCATATCATGATTTGGAAATAACTCTATCAATTTTTTCAATGTTTCAGCACCAGTTTTTCGAAGAAAAAACCAATTGTGAGATTTGATGCAGACAAAACATTGATCCTAAAATAATTAATCAAATTATCAATCATTGAGTTCAAATATCAAAATATTGAAACAATATAAAATTTTACCCTTGTTTGCTTAATGTATGGTTCATAATCATTCTTAAAAAATTCCATAATCCATTGAGATATCGTAAAAGCTTCTTTGACAGCTCCATTGAATTGGACTATATTATTGCTTAGTAATGTAGATTGAATAAACTTCAAGAGTCCCCTTTCTTTTTCAAATATAATTTCTAAAGCTCTTTCTATAATATTATTTCACTTAAGTTTTGAAAGATATAAGTTGATATAGAAAAGATTAAAGAATCTGACCTCCTTCACTTTGCGGCACATTTTTTAAATAATTATTTCCATATTTCAAGATTGCGACTAATGAATCGTTGTTTCCTTCCTTCCAAGATCTTTGGAAAACTTCCATATAACTATTAACAGATTCCATCTTGTAATATAAATCAATAGACTAGGCACAGCCGAACCACTTGATTTGTAATATTATTTTACTCTGTTTTTACATATTTTTAAGTAAACTAAAAAACGATCTTGCCGGTCAAAACACGCTCAGCTTGGTCAAAGATTGCAATGTTTGTGTATTCACTATTCAGAGTGAAGTTAGCTAGGTCGAATGAAATTGATATTGAATCAATCAGAACTATTATCTATAGATGACATTGTAACAATGTCCCTGATTGGTTAAACTTTTTGGCGCAATTTTTAAAAAATAAAAATCGTTATGAAATTTCTCGTGAAATGTTTAAGGTACATAAAGAAAAACTGTTTTGTAGTAAGTATATAATAAAGTTAATTTATTGCCTTTACATAACATCGCATATGAATTTGATGAAATTGTATGTTTCAATCATTTTTTATCTGTAAATAATCACAATAGTTATTTATGGTACACGTTTTTGATGTTTTCATTAATTTATATATTAATATAGAATAATCTTAAATTTTATTATTAGTAGGTATCAAAATTTACCAACATGGTATTATTTTATTAAAAAATTGGAATTATTAAACAAGAAAATCTTCTTATGTTCAATTTCAGTCGTATGATTTGAATAAACCAAAATTTGATAAATGTGAAAAAAAACATTACAAGACAATGAAGCAATTGACATTATGTACCCATAGTGTACAAATATGATACAAACGATTTATATAAATTATGTATTGATACGATTACATCTGAGAAATTATCTCAGAAAAATAATATATATAGTTGCAGTAGTTTTATCTATACACGCAGCAGTAGATAATGGTTTATGTGTATTTGTAATAGAAAGCGTAGCCATCAGTCAATCAATACTTTGAACATTCATTTCTCAATGATCCTGAAAATTAATCCAATTCAAATTAATAATGTATATTTAAAGTTGAATAATTAATAAATGACAAAAAAATTGGTTTACCATAACAAATAAATACATATTTGAAACGCATCACCACATGCTGTAATCTGAGTCCTCGTGATCAAAAGCTATGAAGAAGCCAATGATAGTTAAATATACCACAACATTGCCTGCTAATGTTAAATAGCATGCTCCCCATTTAATCTAAAAAATACAAATAAGAAATTAAATCTGATAAACTGTTAATTCAACATTTTTCTCATAATTATTTAAACTAACTGCTGGTGGATCTTCAGGAGATCTTGCTAATACAATAGGAAGAGCAAAGGATGAGACTACCAGACCCATTGTAATAAATATTGCCAATTCCGTGTATGGATTACTTGATCCACCATCTTCTGAGTAACGTCTTGCAATAAGAGTTGGAATTGGAGATAAGATGTAAAATAATACTACAAAAAATGGCCACCAGACTCTGTAAATTATTTACAATGTAAATGATTATCTGTATGAAATAAGTTATATAGAAAATCTTTTAATAAATTGACTTACTTATAAGTTGGCAGTGCACAACCTAAAATAACAAATGTCATACCAATTGAACCAGCAAAAGCTAAAGTGACTAGCCTGTAAATAAAATTTGAAAAACATTAAAATTACTTATATTTTGCACATAGTGGAATAAGGTTTTAATGTAAATACTCACGCTGCATGTTTCAATCATCCAGTATCAACAACATAGAACATAAATTCATTATGAATACATTTTACATTACATAAGAGAAAACAAAAAAATATGGAAAAACTAGTAAATAGTAATGAGATCTCAATAGTAATTTATTTTCATGAAGCATTAACATTCGCATCAGGTCTAGTAAATTCTTTCATTCATTTTTCATTCAACAGCATACTTATTAAGGAGAAGGTTAAAGAAATCATAAAAATAGGTCAACAAACATTACAAGGTAAGTAAATAATTTTTTAAGTATCATTATGTTTACACGTTCGCAAGCAAATCATAAAAACCCTTGTCGTCCTCCCACGCGAAGATGACTAATATAAACAGAAAGAATTTACAACTCAAAATCATGATATATCGAAATAATACGCCGAAATTTGGCGATTTAATTTGCAAGCATTTACGAAAAGGCGAGATTAAACAATTGCCAAAAAATTAACCTTTAATTCCGGCCATTGCTGATCGTTAAATCTTCGTTCAGCAACTTGGCTACCTTGGCATATAAATAAAACTTCTTACTTTTTGTTCACCTACAACCGTTGGATGGCTCTCCAATCTTAAGAAAAATTATCTATAAACAAACTGATTTAATGCATCTCTCCACACACTCCATAAGACTTTCCGTGTGTGTTTTTTCAATAAAAAGTAATCTTTCAGGCAGCACGCACAACGGCAGATACTGATATCGCCGCGTTTGTGTGTGTCACCTTATGCGCTGATGGTGCGCTGTCAATTGTCAGGTGATTTTCTAACTCATACATTGAAATTTTTAAATATACGGACATAACACAATCACAGATTAATCTTATCCAATATATTTTTCGTATTCGCTGTTTCATTCTCGAATGTCATCTATGAAACAGATATTTTGTATCATTAGAAATTCCAGTAAATGATAAAGAAATAATTTCATTTAAATAAAGTTCACGTACAGAGAATGTCAAAGAATAGCCAATCACCAGTTAGATTAATTGTGAACCACCTTAAAGATTTCACGAGTAGTGGCGGCGGCGACGGCGGCGCTGCGAAGTCTCGTCCGGTATATGTGTCGCTTGGGGACTGGAGAAAGAAAAAGACAGACGCGGTGTTAGCATTGCATTTGGCACATCGACGGTCTTTAACGAGCATTATCGTACTTTTTCTGTGAGTGAATTAGCTGAAATAACCATGGGAGATCCAAAAAGGTAAATTGCTTTCGTCCCTATAAAGACAATTCAAAATCTTGGTTATAACGTTGTCGTCGCGCGTGAAAGAAAACGGGAGAGGACTTTCTGTTTCGAGCTCGCAACAAGACTGCTATCCACCATTCAATTTCACCTTGTCATCATGTCGATGACGCTTTAAAACCATACAAACAACTCGTATATTTTCAAATTTATCAATTTTTTGTTTATTCTTGAGTCTAACCGTTTAATTGTTAATTTGTTGTTCCCTGGCTGGAGATATTTGTTTTTGAGGTTTCTAGGTGAACATTCGTCATAAGAGGGCAACGCTCCGTTATAGCCTTTTGTCGACAAATGGCCGTGGGCAATGGTAACGTGACAAAGGATTTTTTATTACCGGAGTGATGCTCTTGATGATAATATATTTTGTCTAGACTTGGCTCGGTTTACTCGCGATTCTCTAGCTTTCGTTCCGATTCAGATTATGTTCTGTTGGATAAACGATGAAGTACAATTTCGCCCTGAACATCGTTGCATAAACAATCTCTCTCGATATCTTTATAAAAACCAGTTTATATAGCTTTATTAATAGAACAAATAACTGTTTGTAAAGTTATTTTAAGTAATTATAAACTAATTGTAAACTAAATTTTTCGTCTATAAATAATTAATAATCTTTTTATTTTCATGCTTTTTCAGTGATTATTTAGCTACTGCTATCCTTCGTAAAAAGGACAAGCCAAACAGGCTCCTTGTAGATGAAGCCAAGAACGATGACAATTCTGTTGTTGCTTTGTCCCAAGCCAAGATGGATGAGTTACAACTATTTCGTGGTGATACAGTCCTGCTTAAAGGCAAACGTCGCAAGGAGACAGTATGCATAGTTCTATCAGATCCTAATTGTACAGATGAAAAGATTATGATGAATAGAGTGGTTAGGAATAATTTGAGAGTACGCTTGAGCGATGTTGTGTCAGTGCAATCATGCCCAGATATCAAGTATGGAAAGCGTATTCATGTGTTGCCCATAGATGACACTGTTGAGGGTCTTACAGGGTGAGTAACAATAATTTTAACATTTTCCATTAACTAATTGATTCTAATTGTTTATGTGTGTATTTTATTTTAGAAACTTGTTTGAAGTTTATTTAAAACCCTATTTCCTCGAAGCTTATCGTCCAATTCACAAGGATGACACCTTTATTGTAAGAGGTGGCATGAGAGCTGTGGAGTTCAAAGTTGTTGAAACAGATCCAGGACCTTATTGTATTGTGTCACCTGAAACAGTGATTCACTGCGAAGGAGATCCTGTCAAGAGAGAGGTAACATTGCGTTAATAGTGTTCAATACCTCAACTGATCAAATTTTTCAATTATGATTTGAATAATATTTCCTGTTGCAGGAAGAGGAAGAAGCACTGAATGCAGTCGGATACGATGATATCGGTGGAGTACGTAAACAACTAGCCCAAATTAAAGAAATGGTAGAGCTGCCATTGCGTCATCCGTCGCTTTTCAAAGCTATTGGTGTGAAACCACCACGTGGAATTCTTTTGTATGGACCGCCTGGTACTGGAAAAACTTTAATCGCAAGAGCTGTTGCCAACGAAACCGGAGCCTTCTTCTTCCTCATCAACGGGCCCGAAATTATGAGCAAACTCGCTGGCGAGTCTGAGAGCAATTTACGTAAAGCCTTCGAGGAAGCAGAAAAAAATTCACCTGCTATCATCTTCATTGATGAACTCGATGCTATTGCGCCAAAAAGAGAGAAGGTAATGGTCGTTTAACGTCTTACATAATGGATGACTTTTTATCAGTTGATATTAAATTAACTTACGTATTATTACTTCGTTTTGCAAGACACATGGCGAAGTCGAGAGACGTATCGTTTCGCAACTATTGACGTTGATGGACGGTATGAAGCAGAGTTCTCACGTTATCGTCATGGCCGCGACGAATCGTCCAAACAGCATTGATGGTGCTCTTAGACGTTTTGGTCGTTTTGATAGAGAAATCGACATTGGCATTCCCGATGCAACAGGTCGTTTGGAAATTTTACGTATCCACACCAAGAACATGAAGTTAGCTGATGACGTTGATTTAGAACAAGTAAGTGTCTAAGCTTTTGCAATAATCTTATTGTACATAATGATAGTGTAATGGTTATGTTTCTTTCGTAGATTGCTAATGAAACTCACGGTCACGTGGGTGCCGATTTGGCGTCATTGTGCTCGGAAGCAGCTCTTCAGCAGATTCGTGAAAAGATGGATCTAATTGATCTCGAAGATGAGCAGATTGACGCTGAAGTTTTGTCATCTTTGGCTGTTTCCATGGAAAACTTTAAATATGCGATGGGCAAGAGTAGTCCTAGTGCACTACGTGAGACAATTGTTGAAGTTCCTACTGTCACTTGGGAGGACATTGGAGGTCTCCAAAACGTCAAAAACGAACTGCAAGAACTGGTTCAGGTGAGAGAAATAATCAGTTATAATTTAATCTTCTGTCAGGATTTCCTTTTACAAAAAGTTACGTAACGGGCTCTCCCAATAAATTCCAAACGATTTTTATCGTAAATTATTTTTGTTAATCAAATGCTTGTCATATAATGTAATATAATTGTCTACATATTTTTTCGGTTGAGTTTCTTGCACTGTATCAATTTAATCCTTCGCACTTTTTGATTGCTCTACTATTTCATAACGATTCACTTGATTGACTTGAAAATTATTCGCAGATTCATTATAATTAATGTAGAAACTGTTACTATGATCAAAAAATAAATTTAATTTAATTACTAATAAAAACATCCTTAAAATTATCTTTTAAATAAACGTGTTTTTAGTAAAAAATGTATAGGTCATATTGACCCGTAGTAGAGACCGGAGAAACTTTAATTAACGATAAATAAATTTCTGAATTTTTCCAGTATCCGGTAGAGCATCCAGACAAATTCCTGAAATTTGGTATGCAGCCATCCCGAGGTGTACTATTCTATGGACCACCAGGTTGTGGTAAAACACTGTTAGCCAAAGCTATTGCTAATGAGTGCCAGGCCAACTTCATCTCCGTGAAAGGTCCTGAATTATTGACCATGTGGTTTGGTGAATCTGAAGCCAATGTACGTGACGTCTTCGACAAGGCGAGATCGGCCGCTCCTTGTGTCCTATTCTTCGACGAACTTGATTCCATAGCCAAGTCACGTGGAGGTAGTATCGGTGATGCTGGTGGTGCCGCCGATCGAGTCATTAATCAAATATTGACGGAAATGGATGGTATGGGCGCTAAGAAAAATGTCTTCATCATTGGAGCTACCAACAGGCCTGACATCATCGATCCGGCTATTCTTCGACCTGGACGTTTAGATCAACTTATTTATATTCCATTGCCAGATGAAAAGTCCAGAGAATCTATCTTCAAAGCTAATCTTCGTAAATCTCCCGTTGCTAAGGTTTAATTATTTTTATTTTCACAGCTGTAAAATAATTGACATATATGATTTACAATAACAGAGTAAGTAACTCATGTATTGATTGTTCGTAGGATGTTGATCTAATATACATTGCCAAGGTAACGCACGGATTCTCGGGAGCCGATATCACAGAAATTTGCCAACGCGCCTGTAAATTAGCCATTAGACAATATATCGAGTCGGAAAAGCGCAGAGAAAGGGAAAGAGAAAATAATCCTGGTTCCTCCATGGATGTTAGTATATCACTTTATTTTGACAATTGTGAGACATAAGAACAAATGGATTTAATCATTAAAAATGGCGTAATGTTTCAGACTGATGAGGATGACCCTGTTCCTGAGATTACTCGAGCTCATTTCGAGGAGGCGATGAAGTTCGCTCGAAGATCAGTATCAGACAACGATATTCGTAAATATGAAATGTTCGCTCAAACTCTTCAACAATCGCGAGGATTTGGAACGAACTTTAGGTAAGTTAATATTGCTATAATTTAAGTATACGTACATGCGAGCGAATAATAATTGATTTTTTTTTATTATAGATTCCCACAAAATGCACCAGGAGGAGGTCAAGATACAACGCAAGGAGACCAACCCTTCCAAGACGATGGCGACGATGATCTCTACAGTTAAGGATTAAAAAAATTACTTCTTTTTCACTTTTATTTGTAATTTCGTTTGCAGTGAAGATTACGACAAAAGGGCCTGTCCAATAGCATTGTGTTATGCCACAAATGTGCGCATACACTTGCGCCGTACTTTATAAATGATTTATATAATAATCTTTATGAATAAAAACAGAAAAACTAACAGTTCGATTTTATACGAAGTATATATGTTGTGTGTATTTGTATAACGGCAAGACTGTTAAATAAATTTCAATTTTCACATTTTTCTTTTATTTCAATAATTCGTCGATGAAAACATAACAAGAACTTCTTTCGTACGAATGGGCTCTTATCTTTGTTTTCTTTGTATTGGTGCTTGGTAAATAAAATGTTACCGTAAAGTTAAATTGTGATTGTATAGCACTAGTATTTAACTTTTAGAAGTTCAGGTATTCACATATAATAAATAATTGCAGTGGCATTTATGCTAAGTTACTATAGCTAAGTTCATTTGTCTTCATAAAAGAGCTTTTTAAATCTGCTTCATATGAAAGAGGAGAGAGAAATGTCACTGATAATTCAAACAAATTTTCAATTTACATAATGTATGAATAAAAGAAAATTTATTGTCACTTGAATAAAATATGCTCACTTTATCCTTCGATAGACCCTTTTGCTCATAGCAAGTCTTTTAGCTTCACTGCAATGAATGCTCTTGTTGTCAGTGCATCGTGAGACCACTAACTTGATTTTTAAATAAATATTTAAATAAAGTCGCGACTACAAACACAATCATTCTGCGTATTGTACCATTTTTTCATTGACCTTCATATGTGTATTGTTGTGCAAAACATGAAGCAAAATCATTTGAAATAAATGATATATATTTTTTTGCAAGATTACTACTTGGTGATAGTACATTCGTAAAAAAATTATTCTCACCATAATGGTGTAGACATCGATGAGAAAAAGGAGACTCGAATAATTTTGTTCGTGCAAACACTAATACAATAATAACTTATCAGTGTTTACTGGCCAAACGGACATATCACATCTCTTGCAAGAAGCAAAACAAGTAATTATATATATTTATGCAAGTTTACGTATAATCGCTTGGACAATTTGGGTAACAAAAAAGAAAAACTCACCATATTTTTTTTATTTATCACATATATTCATAAGAAATCTGACATCAATGTTACTTTTTTTAACATACAATCTTTTTTTGTATATTGATGTTTTATCACTTGTTATTTTTCTGTGTTTTCCCGAAAGATATATTTACAATCGTCATCATATAAAAATAACACTACCAAAAGAGTAAAAAAAAACGACGAAAAATATAGTTGTCACAAAAGGGAAGAAGAGAGGAGCAATTAAAATTAGAAGAAAGAGTGAAGATAAAAAGAGCCGCTAATAGTCGATCATTCGCCTTGATAGAGAAAAAGTAATAATGTATTTACAAAGTTAAGACATGCCGACGATAAGATAAAAGCAAATACGACTAGCGTGCGCTTTGTTTGTTTATTCACTTTTTTTGTTTTTATTTATGTACACTCGTGTGTTTTTTTTTGTTTGTTTGAAGACTTCGCAGATTTTATAAATAAAAAATTCAGTCGGTACGTAGTGTCACCGGTGGAAACTCCGTGTCGTCATCCAGTCGGAAGGTACCGCTACCTTTTGGTGGACTCTCTGTTGCTGATATCATCTCGTGATACTTCTCTGATTCTATTACAAATATTAGGCACATTGTTAGACAAGATGCTTTATTACAATAATTTTATTTTTATTTATTTTTCATTTTCGTGAATGTGACGAAAGTTGAGATGAAAACACCAATAAAATACATATTTTTTTTACAATTAAAAAAATATATAAAACAAAGTATGGGTGCATGGGTGCAAAAACACAGTGATGGATAGGCTTTGTGAGGATTCAGGATTTGAAATCACGATGAAAAAGAAAAAAAAAATATCATTCAAAAAGTATTTTTCATGTGATCGCGATTCAAGAAAACAAAAACCTGTACTACGTTGCATGCTACAAATAGTTTGACGAAATATTTACACAAAGTAATGCCAAATAGTTTATAAAATTATTTCATTTCTATGCATTAAGATGAAAATCGAGGTTTGTTATTTGAACGACAGTTTACTTTTGAAAATAAACTATATTATTAGTCATTTAGCAAATGAAAGAGAGAAAAAATGTACATAATCACATGCTTTAGTTTTTAGAGTGCATATAAACGTGCGCAAGCAAAAAAATCAGAAGAAATAATAATAATATTTGTCTTTTTCACTTTAATATGTTGTGTGACAAATCATGAATTATTGGTATTTCCATATATACGAGAAAACGATCGTTGAAACCTCGGACGAAAAATTATATCATGGTGTTAATACATAATTGTTAAAGAACCCCAAACCAAAAAGAAAAAATATGAAGAAGCCTGTGTACACAACGAAGCGACAGATAAAAAATTTTAGTATTGCGTAAAAATTTACTATATCAAGATAAGAGCTTCAAGCTTTTGCAAGAACAACAAATTAATATAAACAACAAAGCTTTACAGAAACCACAAACCAAAATAATTGCATGACTGAGCGACAAGTGAAAGAGAAAGAGAGAAAAAGAGGTCAGAGAGTAAAGGGCAATATACCAGTACCTGACATGGTGTCGGGCGATCGGCCGCGCAACGCACCCGCGTAGCTATTTATGCAGACTGAGATTGTGTGCGTGTGTCGTAGGTTGGGGAGGGGCAGGAAAAAATATTTTTTTTGTTTGTCTTTATGCGTTTTTTTCGTTTTTTGTTTTTTGTTTTTTTTTTTTTAATAATAATAAAAAGAATAAAAAAATGTCAACGTATGTATGTTCACATGAGAGGAACACGAAAAAATAATTATTCAATTATTTGATTGCTCTCGTGAGAATTAACATGGCTTTTACTGCAATTGATCGTTATAGGTATGTTTAGTACTTTGTAAGTATGTTTAATTCAAAATGAGTGAGATGCACAAATTTTTATTCTGTAAAATCAACAATTTGTTAAATCACTCACTGAACTTTCCAAACGATGTAACTAACGTCAAAAAATCCAACCGAAAAGCAAAAGTAATTTATAAACTATTTACTCGATAAAACAAAACAACAAGCTAAAACTTGTATCAGTAGGAAAAAAACAATGTTACTCCCACGAGAACCATCGATAAAGACAAGAAATCTTTCTTTGCAGGTATATTTGAAGCAAAAAAGATGCGCCTGTATATTGTAAATTGTCTGTAATCTATTTATGATAAAAAAAATGTATGTCCGCTCATGTGTCATTGGCTGCAAAAATTTCTTGCTCGTAAAGAATGATTGTCTCGTCGATATCGTTTTAACGATACCCAAAAAGAACAAAAAATAATTAGCGAATCTCGGTATATAAAAGCGATTAAAAAAAACAGGAATCAAGCAATGAAAGGCTTCTAATGCATTCGTTATTTTAATATATATATATATATAGCACAAACACACACGTGCACACACACACGCGAAAAGAGAGCAAGAATACAGCTTATAAAATAATATATATAGATATATAAAACTAGATTTATCTGGTAAGTGTGTATACATGTATAAATAAAAATAAATATGTAATAAATCCCAAGAAAAAGAAAAAAATAAAAGTTAAACTCGATAAATATCGCATGCATGCATGCAGTCGAGTTAATTTTTATCTTTTTCTCATTACTAAACACACAGTGTGTGTGTCTATGGGTGTTTGGCATGCCATTACAGGGAGAGCAAATGCGGCTACAATTATAATCACCGGCTCTCTTCGCTGCTTTTAGAAATATATACGTGTCGAAATATACCTTAAAACAACAAACATCCTTTATCAACAAGTTCTCTGTTTTTTTTTAATCCACACGCATATAATTGAAGCATTTATAGCCTGCCATTTTTTGTCTGTTTTCTTATTACACTTAATATCGCTATCGTTAAGTATGGAGAAAAAAGTAAATAAAAGTGTTATGCGATCGTTAAAGATTCAATAATAACGTATTCACCTGTGTTCTGTGTTGGCGTAGGTGTTGAACCATCACCAGCTGCTCCACTGGAGCTTGAACCACCAGCTGCTGTAGATACGGTTGCACAATCTACTTCGTCTGCTTTACCATCCAGCCTTCCACAATAAATACAATCAATATAACGTTTTTTACTTTCTAATGTTTATGTTTTAACATTGAAAGCAAACCTATGCTGCTTGTAGAGGGTGCATTCGCCACCATCTTGCGTGTCTAGATTATACACATAAAGGTAGCCATCCGCGCTGGCCACCAGTAACCTTAACACTTTTTGTATTCTGTAAGGTAACAAAGTAAAAACAATGAAGAACATATTTTCGTTTAATAATCGAAGATATGTCGATTACTTACGTTGTGACAGCACAAACATTTTTGAGCCCTTGAAAAGGTAAATGAACACTTGTGAATGAGCGTCCTTGACTAAACACTTCGGTTACTTGTGAAGGTAGATAATTGGCTGATGCAGATACTGCTTTTGTTAGATATCCCATCCAAGTTTGTGCCTCATCTGGTGCCTGTTGTGGTCTATAAGACGTAGATGTCAATAAAAATTCAAGATATTTATTTTTAACTTCTGAAACACTTACGTATCTTTTGGATCTTCCAATCTGAATATGTGAACAGTTTCTGTGTTGCTTGAGGAACACAAAAACATGCCATCTGAACTAAATGCTAGGCTACAAATAGATACACAACGCTTGACACCTCTACGGAATTCAAATACCTTTGCTCCATCTTGAACCTGCAAAAGTTAAATAATTAACAGGTGAATCTGCACATCACTGGAATTTATTAAGGAAAATTAATATACATTAAAGACTCTAATAACAGTGCCTCTTTCCGATGCTGTTGCAACTCTGGTACCGCTAGGATTGAAAGTAAGAGCAGCTAATGGACTGTCATGAGCAGGAATCATTATTTTGGCTTGCTGAAATATCAAAAATTGTACATGTCCCTGTGAGTTTTTATGATATGCTCAAGAATACTTCATTCAAGTTGTATACTTACAAGATTGACAGCATCAAATATCTGAACTTCACCAATGGTGTTAGACCCTGGATAAGCTAAAAAACAGTTTTCACTGTTTATGGACAGTGTACAGAGCCCATTCAAGTTGGGTGGTGTATCACGTATGGTGTGCAGCACTTTCATATCCTTTATATTATGAATATACAGTGATTCCTCTAGACATACTACTAATCTCTATAAACAGCAGAAAATACATATTTCTATTTACATTAAGAAGACATTGTTGGAGAATGGAGTTTGAACTTACAGCTCGATTAAGTTTCACAGCCAGTATGGTATTGGAATAACTGTAATTGCAGATTTCAGTGCCCTTTCTAAAGTGACAGACCTTGAGCTTTCGGGGTGACGATGCACTGACCGCGGCAATGAGGCTGCTATTGAACAGCCTCTCAATGATGCACACATCTTCAATATCTACAACAACAAAAAACACCACATCTCAAAACTTGTTTTCTCTCAAACAACGCAAGAAATGTAAACAGGTCGATAAAAGAAGGGATGGGAGGGGGTAGGTAAGGTGTATAATTACCGTTTTCGAAGATTATTTCGAGATGATCAATCGCATTGAGCGAGAAGATTTTGTAGCCAGTCCTTGACCCAACGGCCAGCGATCTACAAAAAAGTCAAAACAGAATAAATAAGTATTATATCCGTTAAAGTGAAAGGCAAGAAAGAAAGAGAGTGAGAGAAACAACGAGTAGTATAACGTATGTCAAAGTTGCGCAACGCTAGTCACCAAAAATGAAGAGAAAACAAAAGAATAAGAGAGAAAGAGAGAGAGAGATAAACAACCGAGAAATTAATAATCAACGAGAAACTAACGAGCAATCTTGATTAAAGTTGACAAAGAACACTTGGCTCTGAGGATCTTGATTCGCTGGATTTGCGAGGTTCATGAGTCCGGCGATGCTGCGCTTAAGGCCTTGCGTCAATAGATCCACGCTGAGAGCGAGGCTTTGCATATAAATACGGGGATTGACCCGCACTAACGAACAGAAGAAAAAAAAACAACCGAAAAATCGAACGTTCGACGGCTATGGAGGGGCCTTTGCACGAACAACAAATACACACGCACACAACAGCAGCAACGCGCACAACGCTATTACTTCTCGTCACTACTCTCTGCGACGACAAAACGCGGTTGTTTTTTTCTAAAAAGCGCGCGGGCGAGGCCTCTTTTTTTCCTACTTTCAGTTGGCAGTAACTTTTCGTGTCCCTGCCTCGTTTATTCCATATTGAATACCCGACAGACAGAAACAGCTGACGCTCCCAATAACAAAGAGCGATGCGCAGTTGCTGGGCTAGGAAGAACCAGCCAAGGCGAGAGAGAGAAAGAGAGAGAGAGATAGAGAGAGACGGTCAAAGCGTTCAACCCAACGATGACTGGCTATACGTTTCACGACTCACTCGGTCTTCTCTCTCTCTCTCTCTCTCTCTCTCTCTCTCTCTCTCTCTCTCTCTCTCTCTCGCTTAATCAGAGTCGATTGTGGCGACATCATATGGACGTTGTCAAGGCGACCACATTTACAAACTTTCGGATTTCATACAAACAATTGTCATTGTATCGGAAACATGACGGATAAATGCATTGTTGCTTTTTCGAAATCAGAATGGTGAGTTTGCGGGGTTTTCGTTATTTTTCTAAAATTTCCTCACCATGGCTGGTACGTTGAATTTTCAATATATGTAACGACGCTCGCATCAGTTTATCCCCCACGTGTATGTATAATCGTGAAAAATGTGACGCTGCGAATAAATATTTTTCAGCTTTTCAATACATAACATTTTTCCTTTGATTATTAAATATCCAAATTTTTTTTTTTCGTTCTTTTTTGAGTTCTTTCTCTTCGGTTCTTTAATTGGTTTTACATTGAACTTTGTATGGTTCCAGTATAATTTGCAATGTCTCTTGGCTGATTTAAATCGACAATATTGTTTGCATAAATCGGTTCAATGTTTCTACACAAAGTTTTTATGAGCGCTAAATCTGGTCCTAAAAAAGGGAGAACGAACCGCGTAAGACTTTTGTCAAATAAATCGTGTGATGTATATTTTTAGTAATTGAGAATTGGAATGAACTTATCCTAAAAGTTAGTTGAAGCACTTTGAAAGAACTGAAAAGCTCGGGTAATGTTATTAAGCCGATGCGCTGGTCTGCCAACGAGAACCAAAGAACCAATGCCTTTGACTCTGCAGATTCTTTCCCGGGCCAAGCCAGCCTCGGGTGAAGCTGTGCGTCGATCGGCGCATTCGCGTCGCGACATCCCGAGCTTCGAGACGTTCCTCTCTCGACGCGATTACACGGGCGCAATCACTTTGCTGGAGTTCAACGAGGCGACGAGCTCGGCGGCCGACAGTCAGCTATGGATCGCCTATTGCTCCTTCCACCTCGGCAATTACAAAAAGGCAGCCAAGATCTACGAGCAGCTGCGCGCCGGCAACGAGCACCTCAAGGACCTGAACACCTACGTGGCTTGCTGCTACTTCTACTTGGGCATGTATCCCGAGGCCGCCAAGATGCTGCTCGACTCGCCGCACAGCCCGCTCAAGACCAGGCTGTCGCTGCACTTGGCTCACAAGCTCGCCGACAAGGTAAGCGCCTCGTTTGAGAAACGCGCTAAGATAGCGATCATCGTGGATGACTTTACGCTTGTTCAGCATCAGTCGAAGGAGTACGAGGACAAGCTGAACGACAGCGTGGAAGACCAGTTGTGCCTAGCGTCGGTGCACTATCTCCGCGCCCACTATCAGGAAGCCATTGACATCTACAAGAAGGTGCTGCTCGACAATCGCGACTACTTGGCGCTGAACGTCTACGTGGCGCTGTGCTACTACAAGCTCGACTACTACGATGTGGCGCAGGAGGTTCTGCAGGTCTACCTGTCCAAGTACCCCGACAGTGCCACTGCCATCAACCTGAAAGCTTGCAATCACTTCAGGTTCTACAAGAGCACCGCCGAGATCGCCGAGATGAAGCAGCTTATCGACAAGGTCTTCAATAACAGTCATTACGGCAACGATCTCATACAGCACAACACTGTGGTGAGTTTCGGCAAAAAGTCTACTTGGTGGAAAAGTGGTCTTGATTCAAACATTTAACAAGAGACCCTCAGGTTTTCAGGAACGGCGAGGGTGCATTGCAGATACTACCGAATCTCGTAGACGTCATACCAGAAGCGAGACTGAATCTGGTCATTTACTATCTGAGGCAAAACGAGGTGCAAGAGTGCTTCGAGTTGATCAAAGATCTGGAGCCGAGCGTGCCACAAGAGTACATTCTCAAAGGCATTGTCAACGCTGTTGTCGGACAAGAAAAAAATTCGGTATGAGATTCAATGCTGAAATGTTTTACTCAAATGTCTTTAAAAAAATTTAGATTGACAGTTTCTGATGAAACACACGCGCGTTTGGCTCGTAATCGTCTAAACGACTTAACTATACCTAAAATATAAATATAAGTCTATGCATTAATGCCAATCCGAGGTATTCGAGTGTAAAAATAATTATTTAGTAGAGGCTTAAATAACTAACGAGATTCATTTGTCAGCAAGAGTACGTTAAAGTGGCACAGCATTACTTCCAATTAGTCGGCACGTCGGCGTCGGAATGCGACACGATACCAGGACGTCAATGCATGGCTTCGTTTTATTTCCTCATGAGGCAATTCAAAGACGTGCTCATCTATTTGAATTCCATCAAGACCTACTTCTCCAACGTCGACTGCTTCAATTTCAACTACGCACAGGCGCAAACTGCCACAGGCCATTTCAAGGAGGCCGAAGAAGCCTTTTTGGCAATAAGGAGCGAAAGATACCGCGCAGATTTCGCTTATGTTAGTTTGCTGTCGTATGCATGTAAGTGCGGCAGGACGCAAATGCGAAACCAATTCATTTTCATTATATTAGAGCTCTTATTTCGTATTCGTAACATTTTGTTTGACGCCGAGTTCGCGTACAAAGTTCACGCGAAATGAACGCGGCATTAGTTGAACGTCTGCTTCTTCGACGCAGACATAATGAACAAAAAGAGCCAACTCGCCTGGGAGCTCTACCTAAAAATGGAGCCCTCCCCGGACTCGTTTAACCTGCTGCAGCTGATCGCCAACGCGTGCTACACCATCGGGGATTTTTGGTACGCAGCCAAAGCTTTTGACATGCTGGAAAGACTCGATCCGTCGCCCGAACACTGGGAGGGCAAGCGTGGTGCTTGTTGCGGCACTTTTCAGTACATCGTCGCCGATAAATTACCCAAGTATGTGGAATATTTTGGAATTTTTATTTGGTCAGCGAAATTCTAATTAATTTTCATTTTATTTTTTAGAGAGCTTTTGCCAGAAGTTATTAAAATATTGAAGAATACCGTGAATTCCCAGGTGGACCAAATTATCAGAGTCATAAAAAAGTGGGGCAAAGATAATCGCGTAGCTTATTGATCATTCAAGTTTGTTAATTAATGGATTTTAATGATTTTATTTTCTTGTTTTTATATGTACTAGCTCAGTTACCTGACACTTTTAGTGAAATACAGATATCAAATCTAGTCAGTTCGTAAACGTCAATGCATGTTTTTTACGTAAATATAATTCAATAATTTCACGATATTTCCTTATTTTTATCAGTACCATACGACCAACTATTGAATTTTTCAATGCAAAGAACACAGCTTAGATCACTTTTTACAAAATAGATTTATTTTTTAATTGTGATGATACATCAATTTATGTCATAATAAGAATAGCAATAATAATTAGATAATTACAAGATACAAGTAAAATGGTCACGATGTATATCAATAACCGATCCATTTAACAAGTTTTCGACGGAAAAAAAGAAAAACTTCATCGTTAACGACAATTGACCTTACGAATTTATTGCGTACAATTATTTTTTGTGCGACAACGACATTTCACTAAAAATAACGAAATTATTGAACAACTGTCGTCTGAATGGAACAATAATAACGAAACATGAACAAAAATGAAAAGAAAACACAATAAAAAATGAGAAAACAAAACGCTACAAGGCATTACAATTTGTTCGTAAGTTATTATTCTATTTTTTTTATCGAGAGAACACTTAATTCATGTGCTAAATAATCCCTTACTTTATTTTTATCGTAAATCTAGTCTATTTGGATTGAATTACAATTCATATATTTGTAGTCAGAGAGTAATTGGTTTGAGTGAATCAACTTCGTCCGCTATGAAATTTCCGTTCAATTAGACACAGATAGAGTAGAGATAATGCAAGAGCGCAAATGAAAAAAACTTTGTTCGTGCTTATCGCTTTTGTTCTTTTCTTCAAATCTGAGACCAAAAATGAATTATAATGATATTTCCACTTACATATTTTAATATACAATTATTTTCTTTTATATCGCATCATACTTTCCCTACACACACACACACATAATCTAATCGCATTTGTATACACTTTAATCCGTTGCATTAGAAAACCATCGCTGTACACACTCGTTAATTGATACATGTATATATCCATTTGCTCAGCTAAATCGTATTCGTGAAAAATCCCATAATGGAGAATATCGATAAATAGCTATTTGAAGAATCGTAAAACGTTTAAATGCAGCAAATACCGTGACCAACCGACTTACTTAGTTTATAAAATGAAAACAAAAAAGCTTCGTTTATCGAATCAGTTCTTTCCTTTTTCTTTAGTTTAAATGCATAATCAATTACACTTTATTGTGCTCAACAATCAGCCTTGGTTCAATTTCACGCATTATACATATTATAGCATCTGTTTCCTTTTTTTGGCAATGAAAGTTGTATATCAGTCCCAATTACATTATCGTTATCGTTAGATTTAAGAATGGCAATTGTTAATAGAGGTGAGAGGGTTCGGGTCACAGTTATACTGTGTTATACTCATAATTGTTTAAATCGCTAAATGCATTTGGTCTTATGGCTCAATTATTCTGATTTTTTTTGCTTTTCGCGTACTCTATACATTAACAGATAATTACGCAAACTCGTTGAATATTAATTTACGCCCTTAATTAAAAAAAGAGGATATTCAGTAATAATAATAAGAATAATACAACTATAGCGCTAACGCATAATGAAAAAAAGATAATATAATAGTAAGGACACAAGAGGAAAAATAATAAAAGAAAAGCAAATATATATCAAGAGTATTTGATGATCGCGCTTTCACAGCTCAGACTGCTTTATAGCGTGTTGTGATCATCATTATCGTTAGCGTCCGATTTTTATTTTTGTTCGATCGTACGGTATACTTGAGTATTGCACCGACACACTTTTATTGCCCTAATTAGACATTAATACATATATCACGATTATTGGCAGTTTCTTGAAAAATTTTGACGCAGAAAAAGGAAATAAGAATGATTTTTTAGGGGACTAGAGTAGAGAGAAAAAAATTGTTTTAAAAAAGCCGTGACATGCTTGCGGTATCATCATAGTAGTCAGAATTTTTGACTGGTGGTTAAAGGTGTTGTTTCTTTTAGACATAGTCTCGTTTGATGTAACCTCGGCGACCAAGTGCTCGTCGATAGCTACGTTGTAGGCTGTGCATCGCTGCTACACCCAATGCCGTCTTTGTGCATGCCACGGTACTCGTATTCTAATTTCGATCCCTGTACAAAAAAACAACATCCGATAAGAATATTTTAAGAAATATTCCAAGGGTAAGAAATTTTCTTACTCCTAGAAAGATTTTAAGAAAAATTTTGATTTAAGAATACAACGAATGTGAGAATTTTTTTTCCTATGGTGTAAAATTTACCCTGGTCCTGGGTAATAGTAGGGAGGAGGCCGTTCGTATTCAGTGCTCAATGGGGGTGCTACGGCTGGTTGATACCTTGGAGGTCCACTATTCGAAAAGTCCCAATTCCTGCGAAATCAAACAATTGCATTATTTCAGTACTGCGTTCTTGACAATTTCGTATACATTCAGAAAATTGTCGGAAAAGATCTAAAGATTAAACATTTATTAGTGGATTATAATGATTTATTGCATGAATCGCTCTTCCATTAACCTATAATCCTCTTTTTATGCATGATAAAAAAAATCTGAGAGAACTTTTGATCTCACTGCATGAAAACGTGCGTTATATATGAAGAACAACACGATGAATGAGACATGAGATAAAAGAAACTTTCGATTTCCTATGTAAATGAACTTACATGTTGGTACGTATTGAGGGTCGTGAGGAATTGTTTCCCCGTGAAGTTCCCACTCACCTGTAAATAGTTTACAATCACCAGATGTGACCATATTAATTACTATTATTATCTTTTCCTGCAAAAGCGATTTGTACTCTTTTTTTTTCTTTTTTTGAAAGCAAAAACTATTTTAATTATGTTTAAAAGCAGATGAGTTACATTTATATAGAGAACGTAACAAATATTATATAAAAATTGAGAGATGAGTGGGAACCCTATATCATGATATGACTAAAAACATACAAATGATCAAGTCTCAAGATTTCTGCTGTAGATACATCAAGAAATGTAAATGTAAAACCTCATTTCTAAAGTGCAAATGATGTTGCAACCTGTCGAGACTAAGGATAATGACAATGAAACTAAGAGAACGTTCTAACATTGCTTGGAGCTTGCTTGGTTTGGTTTTTTGTTTTTTTGTTTGTTTGTTTCTTTGCATTAATATAAGTGAACGATGTGACAACGCATGATGAATTTACTTACTGTTAATATCACAAGATGGATAATGAGCGATTTTATTATTTTTCGCGTGATATTTGATTCTGAAATGAAACAGGCCTCGTTAACACATACACAATCAGAACTTATGAGTCGTCAACCTCTCGCATGTATAGTTATGTAAATATATTTATCTTTACTTTTTTTTCTTTTTCCGTCACGCGATCAACAAATGAAAGATAAAAATTAAAAAATTAAACTAACAAAATGGTTGGAAAGGAACTCACTTAGGCGCTAAATCCGAGTATCTCGATTCGTGATGAGATGATCCTTGATGAACATCTACCATGCGTTCCCGGTCACCGTAACCCATTCCTGGACCGTCGTAACTTTCCGGATAACCTCCACCTGGATGATTGTGATGCCTACTGTTGGCGTATTTCTTGTCGTGGATGTTGCGCAGACGATTCGAGCTAATTATTAATTGATGTTATTTGCAATATTCACACTGGATTATCATTGAGACTTAAAGTTTTGTATTCGAGATGAACAATTTGTTATGGAGTACATTATTATTTTGCCTTGCATGATTATACGTTTAACATGGTTTGTTAAAAAATAGCAACGAGTAGATGAAAAATGATGGATTCTATTGCATACAAAATTCGAATAAAACTTTGAAATTATACAATGAAATTCCACACGTCTGTAAAATATGCCATAACAAATCATTCTTGTCGTGTTCAAATAAAAAAGATTAATATCAAGTGGTATAGAAACTGATGGCAAGCACTCCCATGCTAGCTAAAGACGATATATAATAAAATTAACGAATAACGTATTTTCAGTACTAATTATACGCTTGTCTAATATTAAAATCGTGTTAGATTCAATGCAAGTGAGAAAGTAAGCTATAAATTAAAACAATAATAAAACTCAACCTCTGATAATTAAATATGTGCAAACTATTTCTAGAACGTTATTAATACACGTGAATATTGGGATTAATTCAAAGAGCGTGAAAAAGAACATAAAACATACAATTTGGTTAATCATGGAAAGAAAAAAAATAATGCTGTAGCGTGAACCTCATGCTATTACTTATTTCTTGTACGACATGTCCTTTTTTGAGGGAAATACTTACTGGGCGAGGGGCACGTTGTCCCTGTCCGCATACGCGTCATACAAATACTCACTGTAAACGGAGCGTTTTAAACGCCGATTAATACTTTTTTGTACAATTTAGCACGCAGTGTTAATGGATTTTTTTGTCAGAGTGCTTGCGTCTCATGTATAGCGGATTATTGTAAAATTTTGCACGTAAATAAACGAATCGGCTTGTGCAAAATTAGTATGAACAAATAAGTGTGATAGGTTGATATAATACTTACGCTTCCACCAGCGGTCCAGGATAAGGATCTGACTTTTGATACAGTGTGCTCAATTTCACGCACAGTATTATCGTCGGTATTAACAAAAGTGAACTCCAACCGACGCTCAACCAAAATCCATTCTGAAAGAACAATTGAAATTTTAATAGTAAATGAGTGAGGTGGAAACAGATAAATTATTATATACTTACAAATGGATCGAGGATTTTATTACAACCAGCTACGATCGTTGCATTGTAAGCGTTTGATATAGGCCCGCACTTGCCGATGTTGTCAAAGACATTGCCGATCACATAGTTTAGGTAACTGTTCACTTGATAGAGGAATGCTTTTCCAAATTCCGCTGCAAGCTGTAATAATGAAAATATACATCAATTGTTTTTAAACACGTCACATTTTATATGTTTGAAGGATTCATCTTCCGAAAATATATGTACGCAATAAATATCACAATTTATTGCGTTGATGGACGTAAACGAAAACACGTGTATAAATTTGATTATTCTACGCAACAAGTATATTTGTTATTAATTCAAAAAGGTATATAAATAAAAATTTATCACTTAACAAAACATTCCAAAAATTTTCTAAGATCAAATCAACTAACCGCTTTAACATGCTCCGGCCCTTCCTGGCTAATAAACACCTGTGCCTTATCAACTTTCTTGATGAGCGACGGAATAGCCGCAGCAAGGGATGAATGATTAAACTTGAGATGCTCTTGCAGCTTCACAGCCTTGTCACTCAACTGATTACTCAGATTCGTCATTGGCACAACAATACTCTTGTGATAAACTTCCAAATCGAATGCATTTTTCTCGAGATCATCTCGAATATCATCGTTACCAGGCGGCAAACGATCTCTCAATTCACGTAACTTCACGGCCAAGTGATCGAGATGAATATTGGTAATATTGTCTCGTAAGTTATCGGTGAATTGGTCGAATTTGATGGCACTCAAACCACTCTCGGCTAATGCTGTCAGTTTCTCACGTGCTGATTCGCTAATTATCTTGTAATTGTGCGATAAACTAATGCGATTCTCCAATTGGTGAATCGTGTCGTTGATCTGGTATTGATCGATGTAACCGCGTAGGGATTCCACGTTGACTATGTATTGCAGTTTCAGCACTTTGTAAATACTTTCGTTTTTATGGCAATGGCTGTAAACACATTTTTCATTTTTCAGTATAATGCGTTTGACTTTAGGTTTTGTCGATAAAATTTTCCACTCCAAGGAAAAAAAAAACGTTTAAAAATAACGAACTCTTATCAAATGATAGATTAGCCTGATTGCATGCATAGTACAAAAAAAAATTCATATCAGTCTTGTGAAATAGGATTTGTTTCGACAAACCTTTCGCAATCAACAGTAATCATTTGAAATCAACCTGCTAATAAACACATTTCTCAAACTCACGTTAAAATGTAACTCATATTGATATCGGCATTAGGATTCTTGGGATAAAGTACTTTCTTGATATCCAGAAACTCGTCGATTAACTCGAACATACGATTATTATTGGGATTCCTAAGTGGTTCGCATACGGCGCGTTCGGTCAAGACACCAGTCACCATATGCGCCACCGTTGCTATCAACAGTATACTCGTCTGCAAAAATATTATCCATACAGCCCTGCAAAAAATAAAAATGTATTCAGAGTAATACGTATCGATCTGTTGGCTTTTAATGGAAGCATGTATCGCGGTTAATCTTATCTTATCTTAGCGTCTACTTATTGTGCTTGTAAGGTTTTTTTACAAAGACTACTATACATACAACATTAAAAATCTGGCACCAGATCCTTTATTACAGCAATCATCCCCATAACCGTCAGGTCTCTTCCCGCAAATTCCACAGCAAAGACCGAAAGTTAAGCACATGAGTACCATGAGTAAAACACAGGAAGTACTAAGTCCCGAATAATATCTGTATGGTGAGTATTGATCGATATATCGTCTTGCGACATCCAATTGTGGTATGTATTTCTTGCGAATATCAAGATTAAGACGATCGATCAATTGCATAATTTGCTTGGCTTGTTCGGTCAGAGAATCACCAGCACGACGAATACTCGCGCTTACGATTGGAATGGTCTTGTTGACTGCTTGTTGAATCTCCTTCTGGATGTTCATGAATTGCTCCTTGCCTTTGCTCACCTCTTGCACGATGTTGTCATCGAGTAAATTTGAGATGTTACTTAGGGCTATGTTAACGTCATTGTCTGGCAGCTATGAAATGAAAAAATAATTACAAAGTGAATGAGGAAGTAAACTAAAATCTGTCAGCGAAATTAAATGCCACCTGAGCGAATCAAATTGTGTTAGTCGGGTGCACACAGAAATTCTTTTTTTTCATTATGACAACTTGAAATCTGAGATGGCATTATATATTTTGCTGCCTGTTTTAAAATAGTTCAAATAAGATAATATACGACGCATTATTACTCTACAAAGTCGGGATTGCATTGTAGGTTAGTTATTGGGATAAGATAAAAATTATAATTCAATTACTGTTTAAAATATATGAAACTACATAATTTAGTTTGTAAATTTATAAATTTAATTATTTGTAAACTAATCTACAATAAGGGTTATGAAAAAATTAATAAACGTAAAATATGATTTCAGAACCACTAAAATTATGACTACAAATTTCTTAAATGTTTTCTTTCACATCATAATAAAGTATTTTTTTAAATAAAAAAATTAGTTTCTTAAATCGAAAAATTTTTTTCTTAAATCAAGAAAAACGTTCTACATTGAATAAAAAATTCCTTTTGAGAGTGCAACATTTAAGAAATCCTTTTTTACTGTATTACGACTAAAGTAAACAACATTGATTTTACACAGAATGTACAATCAGATTGTGTACCTTGGGGAAGTACCGGTCCGTGTACTGCATCCAAAAAAAAAAAAACACAAATATTTTGCTTGTTATCAGTCACCACACCATCGCACCATTAATTATAATTAATCAGATCCCAAAGAAAAACAACACGCAACGACAAAAAAATCGAGGGTTTTACCTTGTCGAAGTGAACCTTGACTTCCATTTGATTAATCTTGTACTTGTGCATGAGATCCTTGCAGTCTTGCGTGGCGCATTTCGTCAACGTTTGCAGCAGATTGGTCTTGACTTTGCGCACAACTAGCAAACGAAGAAAATTCAGATTGTTGGCCATACTCAACGACAAATGAAAAGAAAAGTACGCGAATAGACTCACAGTTATCCAATCTCGAGGCATTACTCCTGAGATCTCTCGTAATGTCATTCATCAATCGCAAATCCTGACTGACACTCGCCAAATCCTCGACAATGTCGTTGAGCGTCATCAAGGAAACGGCATGCGAGGATTCAGCCAACTGATCGGTAACGATTTTCCCACTGGCTTGTAGAATGTCATTCAAAGCAACCTCCAATTCGTCGTAATTAACCTTCAGTAAAATCTGGATCTCGCTTTTCGTCGCAGCCAGGTAAGTCTGTACGTCGTTCAAGCTCGTCTTGGCGTTGCTCGGCAGATCTCTCGTGCCGTCTTGCATGTACTCGTTGGTGACGAACGCGCAGACAACGCCGAACGGCAGAATCGCTGCGATTAGTATGAGAACTGTACTCAGCATGATTTTGCGACAGTGGTCGTGCTTCTTGTCGAATGGCTCGCTGCGTGCGCCACAGTGACCGGCACAACGGCAACAGCAGAAAAACAGCGCTACACAGGGTAAAATTGCGGCGATCAGTAGGCACACGATTGCTAACCCACCCAAGCCACCGTAGTGCCCCAAGATTAAACGCCATTCCGTCTTCACGTCGGCGAATTGGAAGCTGCCGTTCGATAGTTTGATAAGGCCTGCAACAAAAGATTTTCCTCGCTGATCTACTTGCGATTTTCGTCGAAAAATTCTTTATTCTTTCACCATTTCATAAAAGGATTCCTTGATTTATAAGGAATCCGAAAACACTTCATGTTATCTCTAAAATAACTTCGTTCATATTTCAAAACGTAAGAAAGATGTATTTTTTTACAAATCTCGCCTTCTCTCGGCTTCCTATTTTCTTTCTTTACTTTATATGCACCCATAATTATGATTTAAAATAAAACTTCAATTACATTTTTTAAATAAAACTTTATTTTTTTTTTATTCAGCATTTAATTCGTAATTCGTGATTCTGGCTCAGTATACTTTCAGTCTACACTTATGGAATCACTGAGCATTTCTGCAGTCAATGAATAAATGAGAATTATCACTCGTTTTCAGAAAAAACCACATCATAATAATCATTGACTTGACTAATAGTCATCCGAATCACATGAAATGAGTATAAATCTATAGATGTAAATGCCGATCTGATGAATGAATGTAGAAGGTTTTATTTTTAGGTAGAGAACCGCCGTGATTATATAATGTACTAATCGCGATGGACAAATGAGTTGTGTGGGTGTTTGTTTCATACACGAACACAGTCGATAGTCACGATTGTATTTCAATTGCCCTCAGTCTGTCTCGCTTGCATAATTTCAACTTGTAGACCGACCAAGTGGTCTATCGATCCTTGATTGGATTACAAGCGAAATGATCGCCAATCAGAATGCAAAAAGAATACGATCGCACCTGGTCTAAAAATAGACGCGCGAAATTAGTTCGGCAACTGAATTCACGCGACCGACTCTGGAAATACGTGTCTGATCGTGGCGCATGGGAACCAAATAAACGACGATGGTTGACGCGTCTAAATTGTTAATGATTACTGAGTGTCTTTTAATGACTACTTTCTTTCTCGTCATTCACGATAACATTCTTTCGCGACATACCTATGTCTGAGAAAAAGAAAGCATAAGCCATACGCTGTATGTCGTTGCTATTGACAATCAACAAATTCAATTGTTTTTTCCCTGTTATTAGGTAACAATCTCTCGCGTAATAGTAGTGTAATAGTAATCCAGTCTACCAAATTTCTAGCGCGTCGCAACTCGCGAGAGTTCAGTTATTATTATTTAAAAGAGCCTACACTTCACTGTGTTCAGCTCTTCAAGAGGAAGTGAATCAGCGCAAGCGCTCGTGTGCCACTATGCGTGTAATCTACGTATATTTTTTTTGTTTCGTGTATCACAATGGAGAAGTAAGCAGCCTAGGCGATCTTGATATTCGATTGCGAGAAAGAAACTCGAACGCGAAAGTCAACGGTATAAAATTGCTGTCGATGACAACGATAATAGCAAAACGATGTTAGATGTGCTTAGAAAAACATGGATATAACGGAATTACACGTTTTTTCTTAAAAAGCTGGATGATTCACGACCGCGTAATGTTCTTTTTGTAATCACGAAAGTAAAGCACGCAAACGCCAATTATTAAGTTGCCCGCTGTATGCAAAAAAAAAGGATCGATAATATACGTCTAGGGTAACAATAGTGCAGGTCGTGTATATAAGTGTAACGTATAAGTCGACCCTAACCCCATAAACAGACACATCCGCGTTGATATACACACTATATGAACCCAAAGTGAGAGAGAGGGAGAGAGTGAGAGAGATACAGAGAGAGAGAGAGCGAGCAATTAACTATTTTTCTCGCGAGCAAGCGAGAGAGAACGTTGAACCAACGAAAAAGCAGGTCACGATCTCTCTCTCTCTCTCTATGCGTCTATACCAAAAAAAGGGCTATCACTCTTACACACATAACATACTTACCCTCAGGATAAGCTTGTTTAGGTTGCACAAGATCTATAAACATATTCGTGATGTTGTAAAGCTGTCCCATGCCCTTGGGATTGAAGTTCGCAGAAGCATTGTAGTGCACCTGCAGCGTGCTTGAATTTAATGGTGTGTACCTCGGTGAAACCTGCTTCGACATCGTCTCGTTGAGTTTACGCTCGAGATCCTTGTCCATCGTAGCATTACTGCATCTCACGCTTATCACAAGAAAGAGGCAAAGGACGCTGAAGCGTCGAGCTACTGCTGGTGGAGGCATTGTTCCTCTCGGTGTTTATTTTTCGTGCGATGTTGTGTGTTGATCGTAATGCCGAGGAGGACGCCTCCGCTGCAGGATGCCCGCGCCAGCGCACTGCCTTTCTGCCAGTAACGCGGGGGACCGTTATAGGAGCTATCTGCTAGATGCTGTTGCTTTATGAACTATCACAGAGAGACTAAAAGAGAGAAGAAGCGTATATGTGTTTGTGTGAGAGAAATATAAGGCTCCCTCTGGTAGGCGGTTACGTTCTTTCTCTCAGCAACCACACATAGATGCGCGCGCGCGCACGCGAACACGCACACAAGTATTTAAAAGCCACGTACGGCAATTCTAACCTACAAAAATATTATATATATTTTAGAGTGCGGTGTTTTGTTTAGCTGTAGAATATAGGATATTTATTGAAGAGAAAAAATGAAGTATTCTACTTCGCCACCAGTTAGCCGGTGTGCATCACCGATATCATCTGTGAGATCTAGCTCTTCCTTACCTATGCCTGCCACTTATAGGTAATTTTTATTTTCAATTAAATTATATACATGCATGCATCAGTAATCCTATAAACTATATAGTATTGGAATACATGTTTGGCAGACAAAATTGTTTTGGAGCACCAACAAAATGTTACAAGTACCTGAGAAAATTACTTAAGTTTGAGCAAATGGACTTTGAGTTTGCTGCTTGGCAAATGATCTATCTGTTCACTTCTCCACAGAAGGTCTACAGGAATTTTCAGAGTAGAAAACGTGAATATATTTTTGAGGGATTGATTTTTCTAAATGGAAATTGGTAACAAAAAGTATTTGTAATAATTATATGTGTGATTGTTTTAGAAACCAAATCACAATTTGCAAGGGATGATCCAGCTTTCTTAGTATTGTTTGCTTCATGGCTGTGTGTCTCATCTATAGGTTTTGCCATTGTTCTGGGCCTTGGATTTATACAGTTTTTCAAGTTTCTTTTGTATGTCATTTTTGTAGACTGTATAGGTACTGGAATTACTGTGGCTTCAATTTTTTGGTAAAACTTTTCAATACATTGCATCATATTTTTGTTGCTAAAACTATGAATATTTACAGGTTTATTACAAATAGATATCTGCGTGTTGATCGTTCACAAGATGTGGAATGGGGGTATGCATTTGACATTCATTTAAATGCATTCTTCCCCCCACTAATTATTCTTCATTTTGTTCAACTATTCTTGTATAAAAGTATGTATTATAATATACAGGTTTGTATAAATTAATTAGAATTTGGTATGAGTTAATTAATTGTACTTTTGCAGTATTGATTAGTCATGATTATTTTCTCTCACGTTTTGTTGGAAACACTTTCTGGCTGATAGCAATAGCATATTACATTTATATCACATTTTTAGGATATGCAAGTGAATATAATAAAGTTTTTTAGTACTAAATTTGATTTTTCAAATAATAATGCATTCATTAATGTTTTTTAGGTGTAGAAATTCTTCATAGAACGCATGTGATACTGCAAGCAGCAGTACCTGTTGCATTAATAACATATATTCTGGCTCTAGTTGCAGGTTTTAATGTCACTCAAGAAGTTATGAATTTTTATCATGATCGAGTCATATGAATTGTAATTGACAAATGAAGACACAACAAATGTACATAAAAATTTAGATTGTAAGTGTAAATTCGGAAAAAAGGACATTTCCGTATATTCTCTCCTCTTTATTTATTAATAATGACTCATTATTTTTCTGTTAAAAATATGTTTATTATACAATTTTTTTTTTCATCCAATATATAAATTAATGTGTCATGTACAAAATGTAAATAGTTAATTTTTTTAGCTAATGCGCAAAATTGATATAAAGCGATCGTTTTCATGTTAAATGTCACATAATCAAAAGGAAACTTCTGTTAATTATTTTTATATATATATATTTACAATACTGGAGTATTCAAAGATACAAAATAAATCATAAATTATGTTTATGTAAGGTGTCTAATGAAAAAACGAGCAAAGGTAGCTTGATTACTAGCTAATCACATTGGGTATAAAAAAATGCGTTTGAGAAGTACTATCTTTTGCACCGTAATGACTTTGCCTCAATATAGAAAACAAACAATTGAATCTTTTCAAAAAAATCAAAAATATATATAATTCATGTATGGCTAGTAACGTTTCTGAAGTTAATAGTAAGGGTATTTGACTATCAATCACCGTGGCCGCTTTGATTATAACTTTCATAAATATAAACATATTTAGCTGTACAATAAACTCATATCTTTCTCGGTTTCTTACAGATCCTTTTTTTTTTCAAAACAAAAAAAATTAAAATTTCGATCATCAGTTCCATGAAAAGCCCAAGTATCAATATGTATCATTAACAATATACGCTCAACAATTTTCCGAATAAATACATCCGCAGTCCCACGATCAAAAATTAAAAATTTTCTTTCTATAGAGAAATAATAAACACGATTAAGTCGACGACGAAGTTAACAAATTATCATTGACTTAATCCAATTTCTTATATCTCACCACCTATGTAAATTTTGATCTTTCTAAAATAAACAAAAAAAAACACAATTATGGCAGTTAGGCTCAACATTGATTAGTACCAACTGATCAAGATTCTCTACTCATCTACTTAACAATAAATACATTATCGTCGATTTTGACGCATGTAAAAATGTCGCAAGCTCAGCAGCACTTTATATGTATGGCAGCTGTAAATTGTGTATAACGTATCAAAATTTTTTTGCACTATTGCTTCTTTTGCAGTCGCTCGCGTTCCTCCTCTTCCTCGGTATAAAATATTCGCGTGATTACAATGTCGCCGGTACTCAATGTTTGACAAGAGACTTCCTTACGCAAAGGTTGTTTCGTACTATTACATAAACAAGTACACTTTGTCGGTGATGACCTTGTACTTGAGTCTGTATCATTCGAGGTACCTGTTACAGCTGAGAGAATTGCTTCGAGACGCTCAATTTTTTCTAAATCTTCCATACGGCCATCCGACAAAATTTCGTCTACCATCTGCATCGACTCCGTGAGAGTCGGTGGTTCGACGTTTCGAGGAGATAAGATTCCACCTGAAAAAAATCGTATTTCCTATATATACTGCAATTATAATAATCTGTATTCTCTACATCTCACTTTTTATTTTACTCTAAATACATAATTATGTTCAATTATTCATGACATAGCATTGAATTTGAATATTCAATACATTTTATAAGTGCATATCTTATAAAGGAGTTTTTCGTTCGAACTGACGTTATTGCTATTTATGTACATTAAAATCTTTGCGATTTCTCAATATCGGCAAAATTTCACATTTCAATCTAACATAAATACCTGAATGAGAATTTTCAGAAGTATAACTATCTAAGCTTGGATACTCAGCATCATCATTCTTATCATCATCATCATCCTCATCGCTACTATCATTTTTATCTTGACCCATATTTTCAAGTTTTTCAAGTTTCTTTGCCACCTTGTAACTTCCCTTTAATTTCTCCTTTTCCTCCTTGGTAAGATCTAAATATCTCAAAAGTCGTATCTCTCGATTGCTCAGTACGATATTCCTGCCAATAGTCTCATCCATTTTTCGACGGAGATCGGCCACTTCAGTCTCGATTTTTCGTTGTTTCTTACGAATCTTTACCTCGTTTGTGTTAACGTGCATCATCACCTGTTCTTCGCATAGTTCAGAAAATAATTTTTTCATATCTGGCTTTATCAATCTAAAAAAATCGCAGGATAATTTAAAAGATTATCAAATTTCTGGTAGTACAACGAATAAGCAGTCAAGCTTACTTGGACATAGCATTATAAATTAAAGGTACAAGACTTTGAACATCGCTGCTAGCGTAAGCAATCATGTCACGAGTGAGCGGTCGTCGTGCCCAGTAACGTTGATCACGCCGATAGATATTTTTTAGCTGCTCCTTGAACGGATTAGATGGTGCACCGTACAACTCACACAGAGTATTCAGATTGGCATTTTTCACTTTGTAAACGGGCTTGCCTGTATTCTGGTATTCAATTACTGCATGTGCTGCCTGAAAAATGAATAAAAAGTTGTAAACTTAAGGAGCTATGACCATAATTAAAATTAAGAACATTTGAAAAAGAAAAAATCACCTGCGTATCAAAAACATTAACGATATTAATTCCAAATTGATTAATCAGATTAGCGCTATCATTTTTACAGTCGTGAATCACCTGAAAATCAAAATCTTCTTAAATCTAAACACATTTATATTTCCTCAGCATCGGCCAAAGTGCGATAAACATACCTTGATAACATTTTCACTCTCCAGTAATTTTTGCAATCCACCTGACTGCAGAATATTCGGGCAAGTGATCAAATCAAAAACGTAAGTCTGCCCCGACATCGTTGCAATCTGTACGAGAGTTAACTTGCCCTTAGGGCCGACATTAATACCCTCGCAATCGAATGATACAACAATCTTACCATTAGTAGATGGTTTTCTAGGATGCATTATATCATCGACGATTTGTAAACATTCGCGTACATTAATAATGACCTTAGTCTGCTGTGAGACTCGCGATTTCAAAGCTTCACCTATCACAGCGTTTTGCAGAGTTCTGTCTCGTTCTGTATTGTCAGCCAACGTTTTAATGAGGAGATTGTTGATTCGTTGTTTTAACGTTTGTTGCTGAAGACTAACGGGAGGAGGAGAAGTTTCTATCACTGGTGAAGTTAATGAGTTTGGTTGGGTTGATGAGTGATTAGAAGTGAGACTGTCTGGTTGGGAGTTTGAAGGTGTAGATGGTCTGCGATTCAGAGATATGTGATTGTTTTCTTCTCTTAGCTTCCTCTTTTTTAACTTATCGTTCTGCTCCTCTAAATGTTTGTCCTTCTGTTCAAATGGTTTTGGTTTCCCTATAAGGGTTACTAAGTTGCCTTGAACATGAAATGCATCAGGACTCATCTTCATGAATGTTGAAAGATCCTGTGCAGTTTTAAACATAGATAGACTATCCGGAAATTTTTCAGCTACTGCATGAAACAACTGATCTACTGAAATGAAACCTTTCTGACTGATACATAGTTCAAGGAAGTCCAATAGTTGTGCTGTTACTTCAGAGTCTATTGATATTTCAGGTTCTAACGAAAAACAGAATGTAATATCAAGGTATGTGACATAATTAAAAAAATAAATCTTAAAAATAAGAAATTTATTGTAGAATATATAAAATAAATTATTCAATATTTACCTAGTTCATGAAATGGTTTTGGCTTCATACCCTCGTATTGTTTCAACATAACATTGTCCTCATTAATGATAAATGCATCAGGATACTTCATGAGAAAGTCTTTGAATTCACGAAAGTGTTGTCCAGAGATGTGTCTGACTTCTGGCGAAGCTTGAGACCTATGTCCTAGTAGACTCTTGATGGGCACTTCAGTTCCAACTCCATACTGCATAAGTTTATTGGAGAAGTACTCCACCGCCTCCAGAGCATAGTCTCGCTTCTTACTTAATTTGGTACCATCATCCTCTTCTACCACTGGCTGCATTGTGTTGATGTACACATAGTCACCATCAATATTGAACAGAGCAGGATACTGAGCTAGAAATTTCTTAAGGCCACTTTGTGAACCACCAGCAATCTGCCTCATTTCTTTGGTAAAACCCTTGGCACCAAATTGACAGCTTAAGTCATGTAGTGATCTTGGACCACCCTTATCCATGAGACGCTCAAAGAAGAACAACAAGGTCAGGTTCCTCACCATCTCATACTCTGAACTATCCATTCTTGATGATTATTTGTAATAACAGCTGCAAAAAGAGAAAATTATTAGGTTACATTGTATGCAGCTCACATCCACGCACCGACCCACACCCACATATATTTTATATTGCGCATGCATGGATGCATATACTTGTGTGCGTGCGTGTTGTTCAGTGAAAAGTGGAGCAATAGGGAAAAAATGTGTGCATCGCAAAAAATTTTGAACGAAATGATTCTTTGGAATTTCTCAGTAAAACGAAAATTAATTAAGCATGCTGTTATCGTGTATACATACAAACGTGCACACACGTAGCGCCGAAGGTAAATACTTGAAATTCCAGAGAGAAAGTCAAAAGTGAGCAATAAGTGTGTGCGTAATGAAAGAAACTTACATTAATTCAAGAAAGCTCTTCTCCGTCCGGCCTCTTAGTGAAGGTGTGTCGGTTGTAGGAAGAGCGACAAATGGAAAACACACGTCAAAGAGAGCTAAAGCAAACCCACCTCTCTCATGGGTTGCTTCGCACACACATTCGAAACACTAACTCATTTTGCCCATTTAGATCGACGACGATTTTCAGATCATATGTGCGCTAAGCGCTCTCCGCCGCCGCGCTCCGTCTTCGCTACGTCTTCCGTCTGTGTGAGAGTGTAGTTGTTTACCGTGTGTGTGTGAACTGTGCATACGTCGTGCACAGGCACACGTAGAGACCTCTACACTTGGATATTCAGACCGCCAGGTCAAGGTATAGAGTAAACGTGGAATTTTTCGTAACCGAAAGTCGAAATAGTACTCCGTCTTTTGCATTTACCTATATAGCCAAAAACCGAGAGAGGATTAATACGACGGGCCCGTCCGATCTACAGGCTACTTTGTGTCATAAGCGATGTAAGTCAAATAGCTTACATCGCTTATAGTAAGCTATTTATTGACTGACCAGTGAATTTTATTAATAATTCTTATGCAAAAAAGCCCAAGGAATAAGGTGGAGTACCAATTTTTGAAATCGAAATTATCGCTCATGCAGAAAAGTGCGGATGTATACATGTCACTCCCACCTGGAGTGCGCACCGGTTCGTCTGACCAGTCAATTTTATTGATGACTGTTATGTAAAAATCTTCAAGGAATACAATGAAACTAAAATAAAAAAATCCCAACTATTGCTCATTGAGAAAAATTCAACTGGAAACCAAAAATTTTATTAACTTATCCATAAAACAATTTTTGATTTAATGTTTAATAATAATTTTAAAGTTCAAGGTTTTACGTATTTAAAAAAAAGAATTTTATCGTAATCTCAACGATGACGAAGTGATTGATTTTTAAATAAAATTTCTTAATTTTTTCAATTGATAATCTTTGATCTAATTAATATTTTTTTCTTAAAATTGCCACAAATGTTTACCTTGTCATGTTCGCAACAAATATGTCAAATTAAAAAAATAGATTCGATGCAAATTATTGAATTTCGAACTAGCTTCGAAATAAATGTACTATTCCCACACTTGTATCGTAATGTATTAATTCCCGAACATGTGCTGTACCGTATTTTTTGATACGACGTGTGGAAAATGCGATTTTCAACACGCGGTTTCTGCCGAGCGTGCGGGAAAGACACTTTGCGCACGGAGTATCGAAGAGATTAGTACATTACGATACAAGTGCGGGAAAGTAGATTCCGGTCTCGTGTGGCGTTTACACCCGAGCGAAGCGAGGGTGGAAGGGGACACGAGACGAGAAACTCTTTCCCGAACATGTGCCGTACCGTATTTTTTGATACAACGTGTGGAAAGTGCGATTTTCAACGCACGTTTTCTGCTGAGCGTGCGGGAAAGACGCACTTTGCGCACGGAGTGTCGAAAATATATTTGTGTTACTTAGAAAAATTATTCAGCTGATCACTGGTCCTTCATCCTACATTATTATTATTAATAAAAGTACACTATATTAATCCTACATGGTAGCAGAGCGTGGTTCGATCGAAGTGATTGCAATTTAGGAAGTAAATTCTGCTAATTGGACTTTTACACAAAGTTTTTCATAAAAAAAAATGCTAGATTGTGTGTTACATTATCGAATAATGAATGGCATTGTTTATACTCTTGAAAGCAGGCAAAATACAAGAAGACTTTCAACAGGAAGTTTAAAATAAAAATAATTATTTAAAGTAGAATTTCTTCGGATACGTTTTTTATCGGTAGTGCAAAAGAGTGTTTAGTTGATTGTTAAAAACGATAATTGATATTAACAAGAAATAAAAGAGACGAGTAATTTGAAGCGGAGCAAAAAGCGTTATTTGAGTATAATGAAAATATATGTAATGAGTGTACATTGTAATACATGTAAATTTGAAAAGTGAACAAATAATTGAGAAAAAAAATTTAAAAAAAGAAAACGAATATATGACGAATAAAATTAAAGAAAGTTAAATGGCTGCAAAGAGAAAAGAATGTCGTATTTTTTTCTCATATGCAATTTCCTCCACGGTTTTAATAACTGCGTCGTTAAACAAAGAGTTGTCATTTTTCAATATATTTTCAAATAGGTCGACTAAAAATAGAAAGTTGACGATCCTGCTGAGAATATTCTTCAAATTATTTTTCACTTCTCTTGGTACTTCTGGGAGTTAGGAAAATTTAACACGTTTCTCTGAATCTTGTTTGTATCATTCCAAAGCTTTTATAATCAGCATTTGAAATTTGCTATACTTAACATTTATCACACTCGCTACTGTAATAAACATATCTTATATTTTTTTTGTATCTTGATATCATGTCAACTAATTTTCATCATATCTTTCTAGAAAGGTTTATGGAATTATTTTGAAACTGATACATGGACTAAATTATATAAAGAAACTAAGTGTGCGATTACCTTGTAGGCGTAAGATTCACTTGTTGTGCTATTGTTGTTATAGTTTCTATCTCTGAAGGAAAGGCCTAAAATAATGTGAAACCTATTTTAGGGGTTGATTTTTTTACAAATCAATAACTATATTTTGAAAATCGTATTTCAAGGCGCTTAACTTGGCCAAAAATCTTATATGTTACAAAATTTAATAACAGTGATCGAGCTCTAAAATGTATAGTAGATTACAACCTAAGGTCGCCAAAGTATTGGCAAGTCTAAAGCGCGTCAGTTGTTATTGGCTTAACGTAACGTAGACCTATAGCACAAACATTCGATTATCATCTAATTGTTCTGGGATCGCTTATAAAATTGTTAAACATCAGAAGAATGAATGAATTTGTAAATATTAAAGAGGTGTCTCCGATATTCGCGACGACGTTATTTTATCTGGCGGTATCACAACTGAAAACGAACTAAAGCAATCAATTATTTATTCTGCCACTTGCGAGAACCTATCCATCATGTACACGTGGCCCCTGCAACGGGACGTTTTGTTATATCGTCTCCGTCGATGTAGATTTAGCGAAAATAATTTTGCAAAATATACAGTTCCGATAGTGAAGATTTATTTCGATGAACGCTAATCGATACACAGGTAGGAATTTGTTAGCCTAGGACCGACACAATACTGGCTAATATCGAGCTCACAGTGGCGCCAGTAGTAGCAACGGTAGAACCAACGGTGGCAATGTCGTTCTCCGAAGCCGGCAGGATTTCCACCATATTAGCGGCCCTATTTTCAGCGGCCAAAGCTTCAGCGGCCCTCGCGGCCTGCGCACTTTTAAAAGTGTCGGCAATTTTGGTCGCCTGAGAGATTCTGGCCGCTTGGGCGACTCTGGCGGCTTCGGCAGCCCTAACGGTTTCCGCGGCTCGAGCAGCTTCGGCGGCTCGGGCGGCTTCGGCGAGCTCGGCAGCCTCCGCCTCGTTGGCCTTACTCGCCAGCTCTCCCGCTCTGAAAGCGTCGATCTTTCTCACGGTCTCGGCTTCTTTAGCGATCTCTGATGCCCGGATCGCCTCTATCGCTTGGCTCGGACCGTTTTTGCTGGATTCCAGATGCTCCAGAAAATCGGACAACTCCGTTCTCAGGTTTTCCTCGGCCTCCGTGCCGATCTCCTCGGCTTCCAACTCTTCGTTCGTCACTTGCTGAATCCTCGTGGTGAACTTGTTCACGTTGTCCTGGTGATTTTCCAGAACATTTTTGGGCAGTCCTTTTACCGTGTTCAAATCGTTGAGCCAGTTCCAGAACTTTATCAGACTATTGCCGATGTGCGCCGCTAAATCTAACAGGGCTAATAAATTCAGGCACCTCTCCAACATTTGCATTATCTTCGCTTTCGTTGCCGATGGCAAGCCTGTTTTTTCGAGCACTTCCTTTAATTCAGCTTTAATATCTGTGGCCAGTTTAATCAACTGAGGATTGAGTGTTAGCGCCCACTTGATGTACTTGCGACAAAGCACCTGATTAAAAAGACAAAATTGTAATTAAAAATTTTTAATAATTAAGGGCGCAGTAACTTACCAGTCGAACTTTAACGTCACGCTCGTGTTCCAAAGCCTTGATATCGATGTTGTATTCGGATAACGCTTGAGTAATCTTCTGTTTGAAGTATTTATGATGCAGATCTAACTGTTTTATAAGATTGGCATCTAAATTTTGGTTTTTCAGTTTTTCGTAATATTGGTCATACTTTTTATTTGCTTCCTTGGTAACAGTCTCGTAAGAAAGCAGCTTTACTCCACAAGATAGCTGCAATTTTTCGAGCATAAACAAACAATCACGTAATTTGCATCAGTAATGAAAATTAAAGTATCAGAGATTGTAGCTACTTTTTCGATTGGTTGCAAAGCATCTGGAAGCTTACATGCCTATAACAATTCGTAAAAGAGAATAACTTTTTATTGTGCCAAAATCGAACGAGCAGAATTGCAATTATTATATTTATCTATTACCTGTACAGAAACAATAAGGCATAGTACAGCACCGATTACTTTGACAACCATTTTGAAAATATTTTCACAAATACTTTGCTGAAAAGCTATTCCACTCGCGGAGTAAAAACTGAACTCATATATATACTAAAAATATCGTGACGTGACGAGTTAAGTTGTAAATTCGCGTGGATATTTTCAAAGGAAAACTTAGATAGATTTGATAGAGCATTTTTATAATAATTATAATTTCAACGAATATGCAGATTTTTAATTCTTGATTCATCATAATGAATAATGTAATTGAATCTGAAAGTAGAGAAATTTTTAAGAATATTTATTGCTGTGTCAATAAGATTTCTATTATATTATAAATCGTGCTATTGGCAGCAGTAGTAACATTTTTATTACCGTTTCATTTTTCAAATAACTATTACTCAAGCTGTCTTTTGAAGATGGTTCTAGAAATTTTCTTTACTTAAAAAACAAAACGATGTGACGTCTGGCACGTTTTAAAGACCTTTTTTTAAATATTTTTCTGTTTTTATTTTACTTCCAATCAAATAAAAACGGAGTTAAATTAAATAAATCATAAGAAAGAATACGAATAGAGAAATATTTGAGAACCCCTTTGAGAACGAAATAAAAAAAAGATAAGAACTCTTTTTGCCTTAACAGTTTTCTTTATATAGACATACAGCAAGAAGGCGTATCTAAAAAGAGGAAAATTTGAATACATCTAGTTTAAAGATTCTGTTAACTATCTTTTTTCTCCCTCGATCTTGTGCGTAATCATACATCAACAACTGCTCGCACCAGGCCTAGGAAGAATATGATAAAGGAATAGAAGGTGAAGTCGTAAAACTGGATCCGGTTTTTTTTTTCATTAAATCTTCAAATTTCAATTTAAAAATACAATATAACAATTGTTAGATTTTAGATATATGATTAATGCCATATTATAGACAATAATTTATTACGACTATCAAAAACATTTCAAACATTTTTCAATCCAAAACTTAATTTTTTACATAAAATAACAAAGTATTTTATAGATTTTAAATTTTAAGAAAACAACTAGTACTAAAAATAACAAATAAACATAACAAATTTCAGTTGAAAATACTAATTGTGGTTTGTAGAAACTTTAAATGCCGCTAGCCTAAATAAAAAAATGAGAAAATTCATAAATAATGCGTATAATCCAACTGCAATTGTTTTTAATAAAAAATGTATGAATGATTAAAAAAGGTGTGACTGTGTAATAAATTTTAAGCTATAATATGGTAAATAGCCTATTTACACGTACAAAAATAAAATAATAGCTAGAATAACATTACTCAGATTAATATACGAGATGCTATTTTTGACGAAACCTAGAAAGCCGGAAACCCGGTTTTCGGTGGCTCTAGCCATCTAAAAGAAATTTCTATGTCATCTTTAAAGAAGCTTCTCCTAGGCTATGAAAAGCTTACTCGTCCGCTTCTGCGACAGGCACTTTCTCACAATCGATCAGTCAAGCAGTGCCATTATTTAACTAGTTATTTTACCAAGAAGGGTGGTAGACAACAGATTGGAATAACTTTTGTGTAACCAACATCAAATAAATAGTAAGTAAAAGTAATCTCTCTTATATTAAAACTCTCCACTTTTATCCTTTTTTAGAACGATATTAATTTCCACTTTCTTATTTTAATTGGAGACTGCAATTGATTAGCTTAAATTATAAACTTGATTTCTATAAAGCTTCTGCAATAAATAGCAACGAAATAGAAATCGAGTGAGTAGTATTTAAACCCCCCACAACAATTATTGTATATAGGTATTTTTCTAATTGAAAAGTAGTAGTTTACATATATTACTCCTTATTATTTCTCAAATGACTAATGGTTTGAAGCATCCTGAAGTGGTTGCAATATTTTAAAATAGTCTGCACCATTTTCAAACGTGTAGAATGATTTATTTATACTTAGCATACCTATAAATACAAATAAGTACAAGACTTATGTCATAAAGATTATCGTATAAAAATGTGTAAAAATCTTGAGTAAGATTGAGGTCGGACCCCAACCACGGCTGAGCTTATCAGTATCAATAAAAAGATAACCGTGAAAATTGGAATACCAAAACTGACAGCAAGACTAATTAAATCACTGTCGTCGTCGACCTTTTCTGCATCTTTTTCTCCGTGGAGTGGCCGATTTTTAGCAGCACTAAATCTTGGTGTTGTCTTCAAGATCTTTCAACTCGTCTTATAACTTCTTGTACTCCTCAGTGTCTGCAATGACTTCTTCATTTTCCTAGTCTAGATCAACCGCACTTTTTGCTAATTTTAAACACGGCTCCTTGCTTCGTGTACACCTGTCTTTGTACTGGTTTTCTGCCATATCTGCCACGTACAGGAAATTAACAAATTGGCTTAGATTATGTCACTTCATTCGGAACTGTTGAATTTAAAAATTGCAGCTGACTATCCTACTTCTCTTTATTTTTGAATGTACTTCTTGCAAAAGCTCTGAAAGCAAACAAATAAAAACATTTGAATTTATCTAGAATGTGTACAAAATCTAGTATTCGTTTTCAAAATTGATCAAGTCAAATTATGTATTACATGTTTTCCAACTTCAATTTTGCCGCCTCACTCAGTCGGTAATTCAGTTACATTTATTTAAAATTACTTTTATAAAGACTTGTGAATCTGACGTCCAAAAAAATTTTTTAATCGTATTTTTGAGTTTTCATACGCTAAAACGTTTTCTCCCTTTTTCCGGATTATGTCTCCGCTTGAAATTTTATTTCCGGATTTTCCGTTTTTAAGAAAATTGCGAAAAAAAATCGCGTGTTCGTACAGCGCGCAAAATGCATTAAACATTTTTCTCCTGTTTAAAAAGAAATAATATCGATAGCGGATGATAGCTCTTTATTCCCGGATTACGAAACAATTTTCCTTTTGTCGATATTCTATCCAAAATTGAGGAAAATGTAAAAATTAGTAATATGCGGCAGTTAGTCGATAAAACAGGTTAAACGTTTGCTAATCACCAGATATCCCTTTATAAGTTCTACATTGCGTAATTATAATAAGGCCCCGGTCCCATAGGTACGTACAGATGCGAACGGATACGGACGCGAATCGCAACTCTTGTAACATCACTAAAAATATCTAGTTCGATTATTTAGTACCAACACTATCGGTAGTAAGCAAAAGTGACTGTTGTTTAAAACTGTAGCGCCGAACGTACAACAATTTTGGATAGAAATTCGACAAAAGGAAAATTGTTTCGTAATCCGGGAATAAGGAGCTATCATCCGCTATCGATATTATTTCTTTTTAAACAGGAGAAAAATGTTTAATGCATTTTGCGCGCTGTACGAACGCCCGATTTTTTTTCGCAATTTTCTTAAAAATGAAAAATCCGGAAATAAAATTTCAAGCGGAGACATAATCCGGAAAGAGGGAGAGAACGTTTTAGCTCATGATAACTCAAAAATATGATTAAAAAATTTTTTTGGGCGTCAGATTCACAAGTCTCTTTTATAGAATCAAGAATATCGAGACACGGCTCAAATGCCACGAAGGCGGATATTATATATACGAATGAATATGGGCGAAAGGAATCTTAGTAAAGCATCTGTACTATTCATCATCGAATGTCATTTTTCGGAATTAGTGTCTTGTATTAAAGATTTTAAGTATGTATTGCATTTTCGAATTTTTCGTTCTCCATATTTGTCGGAATTCAACCAAGTCCCACTTCGAACACCAGTCGGCAGCATCAACGGCAACGTCAGTACTGTCAGCAGAAACATGTCCTTCAGCCTCGCGACTCGCGGCTTTTCCTCTTCTCCATTAGATAGCCGTATAGTACTCACACGCTTTAATGAGCTTGCTCTCTTGCTCTCGCGATTAGTTTAAATATTTTTAGCTTTGGTCATTAAATATTTATTTCAAATACCTAGTAATTTTGGTGGTTTCATTTTCTCCCTGTGTAGAAACTCCAAACATTTAACTTGCCATGAATGACTGGCAGCAATTTGGCTTCGGTTATTATAGTACTGTATACATCATACATTTTTTTCTATAGTTCGATTACGACGTCTCCATGTTACGCTCATTCTTCTGAACAAAGAACCTAAAAATTAGAAACGGCAAAAATTAGATCATCGGATATAAACCCCACCGCGTGTAACATAACGCAGTCACCTATCTGTCACATGAAACTTCAGGCTCCTTAGTTATGGCTTGGACCGCCTACCCATGAAAATACGAATTGTACATTGTATCGTACGTCAAGATAAAGCAGACGAGCGAATGCTGTGATAATTAATTAACATCTTATATGCTTTGTTAAAATTCTGGTAGCAAACATGCCAGCAGTTATCTCGAGAGGCAACTGGTGTACTAGCAAAATGCAACAGCGAATCATCGGAATTTTCCAATTTCTAGGGAAAACACGGTCTCCGCAAACGACCTGGTTGCGTTTAGTGGGAACACGAAGTGTGCGCGTGGAAGAAGGAGCTTTCACGCTTTACCTGTTTCAACGTTTCTACGCAAAATAACTACTGTTCAAACGTCTGAGTATCATTTGCAAGATTTATTTTTAATTATTTATTTCTATCGATGATTATTTTTTTGCTTTTTCATTATTTCATAATTTCTACACGACAATTCCGCATTAGGCTGCAGAGAATGATCAGAATCTCAAAATACCTTTAAAGTATTTGATATTAATATTTTTTAACAGAATTGTAACATTGTTTATTGAAACTAATATTCTACGAATGTACATTTTTAATTGATTCTCATGGCGGCTTGATCACTCTTTTATTGGCACCAGCTTCACATAAGTTGGCTGACTTGGTCGATGAATGATATCTGTTATAAATTTGATTTCTTTCGTTTCGATAACAGGTTTCAAATAAAAGTTGTAGATCAAATAAGCCATAAACACTTTTAATTGTATCATAACGAACTTTTGACCTGAAAAGGTGCATTAGCAAGAAAATCAAACATAATCGAGCATAATTAGAAATTTTTTAAGTGAACTTCAATGGAATATTTACCAATACAATTTCGAGGTCCGGCACTGAAGGGAATGTAGGAGAATGGATGTCGTTTTATTGAGTTTTCAGGTGAAAACCTCTCGGGATCAAATTTTTCTGGATCTGGCCAAAATTCTGGAAGTCGATGTACCGAGTACGTGTGTACTTGGACCAAAGTGCCTTTTGGTATTAAGTAGTCAGCTGGAAAGATGATATAAAAATTATGATTGTTTTTCATACGGAAAACAGAAAGGCAAATATATAAGGGTGAACTGCAAGAACACACTCAATTGCAAATCCTCTGACATGTATCGCGACATGTAAGGTACGCTCGGATGAAGGCGAAGACACTCTTTCAAACACATTTCGAGATAATGTAAATTTTGAACATCCGACATTTCCAATTTTCCATTTGTCCGATTTAAGATTTCACTGACCTCACCTCTAATTCGATTCTGAAACAATTAACGTTGTTATCGATCGCGGATTTGGGTATTTAGAGTTTCTGTACCCGTCGCTTACTTGCACATCTTCGTGTTCTGCAATTAATAGTACTGCAAACATCAGAGCAACTGCAGAGGTGTCATGACCCTACAAAAGATATGTACAGGAATCATCATACCTTATTAATTGTGATAAGCAATAAGTTACTGAAACTTAAGTAGAATATGACATTTTTATTGTTGCATCATGTTGCTTCTGATGGCAAAACAAATGAATATTTCCAAATTACAATTATTCGTTTTGTAGAAGCTTACTTCAAATGTAAACGTATCAACTTCCTCCTGAATACCTTGATCGTCAATTTGCTGGTTATCTCTCTGCGCCGCAATTAATAAATCAAGCATGGCCAAGCGTTTTTTACGATCTATAATGGATAGTTCGATATAATGAAAAAAAAGAAAAAATTGGATAAATTTATCGATATATCTGTTGTGAAAGGCTTATTTTACATCCGAAATATATATCGTCTGTTGAAGACTTTTTAGAACCATCTGATGCGAATTCCTCCAAAAAATAACCATTGGTATTGTCGTGAAATTCTTTTCGTTCTTGTATTATCTACAAATAAATAGATAATACGGAATGTATCATTTGCATGCATTGAATATTTCGCATGAATAATGCGAATCGTCTTGTAAGCTTACTTACCTTTTTAGTGAAGCTGTGCAGCGTATTCAATGCCTGCTTATATTCACGGCCTCTTTGAGTCATACGAAATATAGATTCCGGTCCGAACCAAGGATAAATAGATCTAAAAATCAAATCATTACTGAATCTGCCTACAACTATCTTGGACTAAAATATCGAAATACCTATATACGGTGGAACTACCTACGCAGTGTATCGCTTTTCTGTATTCATTTATGTTCCCTTCGGTAAATTTCACTCCCATTGCCGTTTCTACACGAGTAATAATCAAATGTGGAGTATACAATTTCGAAAATTATGAAATATCTATCTAATTTATTTACCACAAATAACTTTCAAAGTGAAATTCGACACCACCTCGTCGACATCATAAATAGCTTCTCCTTTGGACAGCAATTGTTCCATAGTTTTTTCTCCATTCTCTACGATATTTTTAAAGTACTGCTGCAGAATATTGAAGTGGAATGCCGGCGTTAGCATCTTGCGCCTGGTTTGCCATTTAGTTCCTGAATAATGATATGTCATTTTGTTACTTCTAGCATTATTATCTACGTATATAATATGCTTACCGTGGCTCGTGAGTAAACCAGTCCCTAACCATCCATGCAGTGTGTTATAGAGGAAACTTTTTTGTATGTGTCTCATACTTGTTAATAATTTCTATACAGGGTACAAGATATCTTATAGTCACGTACATCATATTAAAAAAAATAATAAAAAACAATATAATAGAGATTTTACTTCAATGTCATCTGGATGCAAAATAATGACGCAAACCCTGTGAGTATCCCAAAATTTATAAGTTGGGTAGTACTTCAGATCGAAATCTCGTGCCGATTGCCAAATTGTCTCTAACAATATTATAAGACGAATTTATAATCACAACTCGTTATTTGCTGACTTCCAAAAGACAATGGTTTTGTCCGGAGGTCTTACCTTGTGTTGGGAATAATTTGCCTAGCATGAAATTTGGAATACAGCCAAGTAACGGCCATACCGGTGGTCCTGGAATGTTCCTGATGTACTTTCCTATTCTACTATATTCAATTTGGTATTTATGCCAACAAAACAACAATAAAACAAATAGCGAAAGTTCGATGAGCATTGTTGAATTGTTCAATACAAACTTGAGAGAAACGTTTCGTTCAATCCAGCTGTCGATGCTGCACTAATGTCCACGATGGCAAAATGCAAATGGAAAAAGCTCAAGAATGTTTGTTGCATAGCACGATAATGTTTCGTTATCGCTTTATAATAATAATAATTATTCGGTATGAATTGATGCGATTTTGTTTTGCCTTTTCGCGGCCGAGAGATATTTGCTACAAACGATAGCAAAGCCAAAGATGCCGGCAAAGAGTGTTTTTAAGAAGTTGCACTTATAATGGCGGTAACCGAATGCAAAAAATAAAATTACGCGATTTCGTTTTTTGCTCTGTCTCAGAGATATTTACTAGCAGCCGCAGCAAAATAAAGTATTTAATTGAAAAAGCACACGACTTCTGCATCACACTTTCATGCTGTTAAAAAATCTGATAATTTTGAAAAAATCATGATTTTTCATTAAGACAAGCTTGACTGATGAATATGTGATCGATTATGTAGTCTCAGATGTACCAATTGCGTCCAAACGCTCTAATGATTCCGAAATTTTCCGTAGAAATCCATCTATCAAGGTGGCCTTGTAAACAAATATTTTACAACTGAGAGATCACAACAAGATTAATTAAAATATGCGAGAAATGTCTTAGTTGGTTTAAGTAGGCACGGCCCTGCTAAGTACTTTCCTCCCACCATGAGTTCGTAAGGTCGACGCGCGAGCTACGAGGAAGCGCGTCATTACCATTCTGAGTCGAGTAGTAAGCGGGAGAGCACGTAATATTAGCAATTATTGATCCACTGATTTAATATTACGGGAATTTCATCGCAGAGATGCTCCTTTAATGAATAAATTAGTTGGCATTTATTATTTAGGCCTTTATACTCGCGTGTACAAAAACAAGTATACTCCGTACACACGTTTTGGAGAACAATTAAAGCAATTATTTATGATTCTGGCTTGCAAGCAAATGGAAATTGGCATTGGAGCCCACAGTTAATTCCTACGATATCACTCATAAATCTATCAAGTATGAAGTTCCACTTTTTAACTTTCATCTGATGCTATATGTAAATTACATTACATTAGAAGATTTGGCAGTTTAGCGTATGTCAAGCTTCCAGAAACTTAAAGAAAGCTTAGTAATGCATCCAAGTTCCAGAAAATTCTAAAAATCTAAACATCTCGTAATGTACAGAAAAAAGTCAGGTAAAAAGATTGAAAGAAAAAAGTACCATTAAAGAAACAAGTAACTCAGAAAAATCCGAAGCAAGCGATGCTAAAATGATACCTAGAAAAATAGGCAGACCACGAGAAATAGATTTAGAAAGTAATTGAGCTTGGATGAGGAAAAATAAGTTTTCAAATCAAAAATTAATCGTGACGGCCCTGCATCAAAAAGTAAAACTACGAAGGTTGTGTATAATGAAGATATATATCAACCTTCTTGATAGATATAAATACACATTTCAGAGATTGAAGACATACAAAAATATATTTTAAGACATATTATTTTGACTTCTATAAATAAAGATTTAAATACATTTTAACAGGCTATAAATTATTTAAAGAGTAGGAATCGTGGAAGCAAATTATAATTGAGGAGTCGAATTCGATGACAGAAAATCATGTATAGAATATAATTGAAAGATCAAAAGTAAAACTAAATGGAAATAAACTCATTATCATTGATTCTGAACGGGTCTTTAAAATGAAAATCGAAAGTTACGATCTCATATACACAAGACTTCATTAGTCACTAGAAGTTTTAAAGATAAAATTGTATACATATGACCTAAAGGATACTTATGCATCAGTGTCACGACTATTACTAATTCTTTTAATAGAATGTTGAAAAGTAAAATAGATATGCTTTCACATATTCTAGAAGATATTATTTTAACAATTTAGTTTCTCAATTTTCCTATTCAGCTGTAGTGCGTATTAAATTTTTTTCAAAGACTCTTATTCCACAGAGCCCTTAAATTATTGCCAATTATGGTAAATCAAAGATCTTACATTTGCGGTCCGTGTTAGATTTCATAATAAATGTAAATTAAAACAAACGGTGTTATAAAATAATGAAATATTATCTGTATTATAGCGGTACTTAAAAATTTAAAAATAAGAAATTTAAATATCACTTTAATTTTTATTTTTCGGAAAAGAAAATCGGTAAAAACTGTACTCACGACCAAGAATAATATAATTTATACTGAAAAATTATAATGACAAGATTTTTACGACAAGCCATAAAACTCATTTTCCTCTTCATTATACGTTCTGTTCTATATGACTGTTTCCAAGTCAATATGATGAATTGCCATTTGCACTGAAACGTCAAGTGATTTAATTGAAATTTGAAAACAAATTATAAAGATATGTCGTACACGCCTACATGTCACTTTTCAATTTTGATTACATTTGAACAAAGAACTTTAATTAGTTATATAGTGACAATTAGACGATGGCTTGAGAGATAAGTAATAGCAAAAAAAGTTTATTTTTAAGATTAACGTCATTGCAGTTTACCAGTTCAAGACAACGATAACAAATTTTAATGCTTGAAGCAGTAGTCACAATTTCATTTTTTTACCTTTTAGCAGTAGTCATAATTTAATTTTTTTGAGTCGTACGATAAAAATATTTAAATATATCTACTTTGACAGCGAAATACACGATCTGCGAATGGAATACTATTTCAAAATATATTAGAAATGACGTTAGGATTTGAAATGAACCATCATGCATTCGATTTCAAATAGACTGTCTTCCAGTAATCACACTGAAACAGAATAAAGTTGATAATTTTTATACCTCATAATATCCGCTAACAATAGTGCACTTGATATTGCAATGAAACAATATTTCACATTCGAATTAAATATACTAATCATTGAAATAAAAATTTGACTTCTTATTATTTAGCTAGATTATATTATGAATCAAACAATGACAGCTCCAATAATTACTTCCATGGATATGGAATTTTTAATGATACATTTTTTTATTTTTATTTTTAATCCTTAAAGTACCTGAATATGAGCTATTTTAACAGTTGAGTGCCATACATTATGGGATTACATCATTATTCTTAAACTCAAATAATCAAGGTAATTGTTAATCGAAAGTTTTTACGAATGGCTCGCGATGACGAAGTATATATTTTAAAATGTTATCATTTCCGTCAAGTTCATTTATACGCTCGTCCTCACGTGATAATGCCTCTGCTTCAGCTATTTTGATATCTGAATCATCTTGAAGTCTGCTGATTTCTTCATTCATGCGTCTGTCTTCTTCGTTCTCTTCCAAGACTTCTCTGTATTCATCGCTAATATCTGTGGAACTTTCTACTATATCACCATCCTCACTGATTTCATATGTTTTATCATACGCAATTCCTTTCTTAGTTCTTTTAATAGCGTCGTTCAATAAAGTTTGCTCATCTTTCAATACATTTTCAATTAGATTGGTTAGGTATAGGAAATTGACGATCTTGCTAAGAATATCGTTGAAATGATTTCTCACTTTTTTTGGTACTCCTGAGGCGTCGAGAAAATTTAACATGTTGGTCTTAATATTTGTTGCAGCTTTTGTCAAATTCTGATTCATTCTTCTAAACAATTCTATTTCCATGATGCAAGTAGTCTGTACGATAAACATCAACCATAAACACCAATTGTTTCATTAAAAATTTTAAATTATAGTGTTGACGTGTAGTTAGATGTTTAGTTATTTTATAATTTAATTAAATGATCATACCAAGGGGATTGTGTGTGATGTGCGGTTGGTTATCGTTTCATCTTTTTTCAACTTATTCAATGCTTTCGAAATCATGTTATGAAACTCACGATGCTTAGTTTTTATTACACCCGTTATTTTAATATTTAACACTATTAACTGCTTGCGATCTTTCATATATGCGATGAACATTTTCTGTACTTTTTTTATCATATCTTGGTACCATATCAACTTTTCATTACACTCTGTCTAGAAATATTTATGTAATTATTTAAAACTGATTCATCAACTGAATTAAAGAAACTTAGAGTGTGGTTACTTTGTTGACGTAAGATGCCTTTGATGTGATTTCTGTTACAGTTTTTGGCTCTGAAGGAAAGGCCTAAAATAATGTGAAACCTATTTTAGGGGTTGATTGCTTTCATGAATCAATAACTGTATTTGAAGATCCTATTCTAATACGCTTAACTTGGCGACGAGTATTATATGTTACAGAATTTAATAACAGCAATCGAGCATTAAAAACCAATTGTTTGATACTATGGAACCAGCGTTTGTAAAGCCTTTGCAAGCAAGCGTCATAAAGTAAAAAACTATATTATGTCTCCTCCCATTTCAGAAAACTAACACTGATTTTTGAACAAATCAAAAGCTATGTTTGGTAGGCTATTATTTATATTTATTACCTGTATTGCAACGGATACCAAAAGTTGGAAAAGAAATAGTTTTAATGTCATTTTTCTGGCTTAAGAAGTAAATTATTTGTACTAATGACAAAGTGCAATTTAATTCATATATATACTAAAATTATCGTGACAGAATGGACTCTTCACTGTTTATGGCAATGCATAAAATTTATTTTTCTTGCAGTCATTTTGGTCTGGATGACAGTTTTGAAATGACGGAATACTGTGCTATACTGATAATCAAAATGTTCTACTTTATTATTAAACCTCAATATATTCTAAGGATAATACTCGTTAATCGCTTATTGCAGCACCTAGTTCGATTGCAAGGGTAATGTCCGGCGAATGACACCGTGAAGTGCAGTCCGAGCCACGACCGGAGAGTATTGCCAAATCTAGAGACGAGAGCAGACCCGTGTGAGACGCTTGCCACTTTGATAATTTGCTTTCCATCTGTGTTACTGGTCTTTCCAGGTTCAAGTCGAAATCGATTTTCTTTAATAACATAATAACGTCACACTGAGTGCAAAGTATGTTGAGTAACCTGGTTGCTTACGCACGGGAAAACGTCGGAAAGACCAACGGACAAGGAGAGAGACAAGGGAATCCCCCCGCAGAGTGGATTGAAATGTACTGTTCAATGAAAAACTCAGATAGATTTGGTAGAGCATTTTTAGAAAGATTATAATTTCTATAAATTTTCAATTTTTCAATGCTTAATCTACTATGATGAATAATGTAATCGAATCCGATCATACGGAAATTCTTAAGAACATTTATTGAATGCGTCAATAAGATTTCTATTAGATTATAAATCGTGCTATTGGCAGCAATATAAAAGTTTTTATTATCACTTCATTTTTCAAATAACTATTAGTCAGATTGTCTTTTCAATGTAGTTCTAGAAAATTTCCTTTTTAAAAAGACGATTGTTGTGTATAACAATATGAACAATTTTATTTCTAGAATGATCGTGTCAAAAATTTATGTTAATATTTCTCAAGTCAATTGTAACATTATTTATTCAAATTAATATTTTATAAGTGAATACATTTTACATTCATTTTGATCGGGACACGATTACTTATTTATCGGTGCCAACTTTACATAAGTTGGCCGACTTGGTCGATGAATGATATCTGTTATAAATTTGATTTCTTTCGTTTCGATAACAGGTTTCAAATAAAAATTGTAGATCAAGTAAGCTATAAATACTTTTAATTGTATCATAGCGAATTTTTGACCTGAAAAGGTGCATTAGCAAGGAAATCAAACATAATCGAGCATAATTAGAAATTTTTTAAGTGAACTTCAATGGAATATTTACCAATACAATTTCGAGGTCCGGCACTGAAGGGAATGTAGGAGAATGGATGTCTTTTTACCGAGTTTTCAGGTGAAAATCGCTCGGGATCAAATTTTTCTGGATCTGGCCAAAATTCTGGAAGTCGATGTACCGAGTACGTGTGTATTTGGACCAAAGTGCCTTTTGGTATTAAGTAGTCAGCTGGAAAGATGATATAAAAATTATGATTGTTTTTCATACGGAAAACAGAAAGGCAAATATATAAGGGTGAACTGCAAGAACACACTCAATTGCAAATCCTCTGACATGTATCGCGACATGTAAGGTACGCTCGGATGAAGGCGAAGACACTCTTTCAAACACATTTCGAGATAATGTAAATTTTGAACATCCGACATTTCCAATTTTCCATTTGTCCGATCTAAGATTTCACTGACCTCACGTCTAATTCGATTCTGAAACAATCAACGTTGTTATCGATCGCGGATTTGCGTATTTAGAGTTTCTGTACCCGTCGCTTACTTGCACATCTTCGTGTTCTGCAATTAATAGTACTGCAAACATCAGAGCAACTGCAGAGGTGTCATGACCCTACAAAAGATATGTACAGGAATCATCATAACTTATTAATTGTGATAAGCGATAAGTTACTGAAACTTAAGTAGAATATGACATTTTTATTGTTGCATCATGTTGCTTCTGATGGCAAAACAAATGAATATTTCCAAATTACAATTATTCGTTTTGTAGAAGCTTACTTCAAATGTAAACGTATCAACTTCCTCCTGAATACCTTGATCGTCAATTTGCTGGTTATCTCTCTGCGCCGCAATTAATAAATCAAGCATGGCCAAGCGTTTTTTACGATCTATAATGGATAGTTCGATATAATGAAAAAAAAGAAAAAATCGGATAAATTTATCGATATATCTGTTGTGAAAGGCTTATTTTACATCCATGATATATATCATCTGTTAAAGACTTTTTAGAACCATCTGATGCGAATTCCTCCAAAAAATAACCGTTGGTATTGTCGTGAAATTCTTTCCGTTCTTGTATTATCTACGAATAAATAGATAATGCGGAATGTATCGTTTGCATGCATTGAATATTTCGCATGAATAATGCGAATCGTCTTGTAAGCTTACTTGCCTTTTTAGTGAAGCTGTGCAGCGTATTTAAAGCCTGCTTATATTCACGGCCTCTTTGAGTCATACGAAATATAGATTCCGGTCCGAACCAAGGATAAATAGATCTAAAAACAAAATCATTACTGAATCTGCCTACAACTATCTTGGACTAAAATATCGAAATACCTATATACGGCCGAACTTCCTACGCAGTGTATCGCTTTTCTGTATTCATTTATGTTCTCTTCGGTAAATTTCACTCCCATTGCCGTTTCTGCACGAGTAATAATCAAATGTGGAGTGTACAATTTCGTAAATTATGAAACATCTATCTAATTTATTTACCACAAATAACTTTCAAAGTGAAATTCGACACCACCTCGTCGACATCATAAATAGCTTCTCCTTTGGACAGCAATTGTTCCATAGTTTTTTCTCCATTCTCTACGATATTTTTAAAGTACTGCTGCAGAATATTGAAGTGGAATGCGGGCGTTAGCATCTTGCGCCTGGTTTGCCATTTAGTTCCTGAATAATAATCTATGTCATTTTGTTGCTTCCAGCATTATTATCTAGGTATACAATATGCTCACCGTGGCTCGTTAGTAAACCAGTCCCTAACCATCCATGCAGTGTGTTATAGAGAAAACTTTTTTGTATGTGTCTCATACTTGTAAATAATTTCTATAAGGGCATAGGATATCTTATAGCCACTTACATTATTTTATATCCAATAAATAGAAAAAAAAACTGAATACAGATTTTACTTCAATATTATCTGGATGCAAAATAATGACGCAAGCCCTGTGAGTATCCCAAAATTTATAAGTTGGGTAGTACTTCAGATCGAAATCTCGTCCCGATTGCCAAATTGTCTCTAACAATATTGTAAGACGAATTTATAATCACAACTCGTTATTTGTTGACTTCCAAAAGACAATGGTTATTCGAAGGTCTTACCTTGTGTCGGGAATAATTTGCCTTGCATAAAATTTGGAAGACAGCCAAGTAACGGCCATATCGGTGGTCCTGGAATGTTCCTGATGTACTTTCCTATTCTACTATATTCAGTGTGGTACTTATGCCAACAAAACAACAATAAAACAAATAGCGAAAGTTCGATGAGCATTGTTGAATTGTTCAATACAAACTTGAGAGAAACGTTTCGTTCAATCCAGCTGGTGAGGCTGTACTAATATCCGCGATGGCAAAATGCAAAAACCCAGGATCGAATATTCGTTGCATAGCACGATAATGTTTCGTTATCTGTTTATATTGATAATCATTAGGTATGAAATGATGCGATTTTGTTTTGTTTTTTCGTGTCTGAGGAATATTTGCTACTAACGATAGCAAATAAAAAAAGAAATGCTGTTGAAGAGTGTTTTTAAGAAGTTGCACTTATTTCGTTTCAATTTCGTTTAGAATTTAGATTGAAACAAGCTTAACTGATGAATAACTCATCGATTGTGCTTCCTTAGTTCTACCTATTGCTTCAAAACGCTCTAATGGTTCCGAAGTTTTTTTGTATAAAGCCATCTATTAAAGCATATTTTTCAAGTTAGAATCAATAATATCTATGAATTACATATTACGAAAAGGAAGTCAGCAAGTATTAAAGTGAGTGTGCGTGAATAATAAGATATACAAGGAGATAATAACTAATTGCGTCAATATTCTCAAATACATTCGATGTACTATGACTGATAACCAAATTATTTATATGAATATCAAGCTTTCCGAGTCTTCAAAAATACGATGTTAATACCGACTTTGATAATTTTATAAGGAAAAGAAAACAATGCCCGCTGATACAAGATGTATCAGCTGTCACTGGTAGATTAATAATCTTCTACAGTGATCATTCGGATATTCGCTTGCTTATTTTTCTTACAGTTCATTCGCAGCCCGATGAATTGGAAAATACAGTCATTTTACACCCTTTTATTGAAAAAAGCTTAGTAATGATCATAGCATTCATAAAACTTACACGATATGTAGCCTAATAATGCGCATATTTTTTGTCATGTTCTTGTTAGGAGTACAGTCGAGGTTGGCTGGAACAACAATGGCGCTTAGTAACCGAGAGCAAAGTCAGTGCGTATCAGTTGTTTCGGAAACTAGATGGGAAATTTATTACATGTTACTGGAATATAAAGAATACGTATACAGAATTGATTATGATTTTAAACGCTTCGTATCGTCTACTTGGCCTCGTACCGCGATAAGAAGCATCATTAAAATTAATAAAGCGGGAATCGTATAAGAAACAGCGAAGAGTGATTAGTAAGCAAGCGACGGCTCCCCTGAGTCAATTCTCCCGTCGTCAGCTGACTGGATCTTAATTGATTTGACATTATCTCTAGGATCGGGAAAGGATTTACTAAATTTGCTGCATTACATTCCATGTGAAGATGGGAGATTCATCTATATTCAACTCTACTTCTACTTCCACTATAATTACTCTCTCTCTCTCTTTCTCTCTCTCTCTCTTAAATAAATAAAAAATTTCTTAAATAAATAAAGCTTATCTATCCATCTATCTATCTTTCTCTAATACTGCCCTACCCTCAGATTGAAATCAAAATAATTCAAATTGAATGATAATCAATTACGTTCCATAAAAGGAATGGATCATTATCCTAGTGATGATGAATTATTTTCCATAGAATTTAATGGCATTTGTAATAGAGGTAAAATATATCATTAATTTCATGAATCATTTTTAATGAGACTCAAAATAAAAATTAAGTCAATAGTATTCTATTGAATGATATTTCATAAATTCAAATATTTCGTCAGGCAGTGATTAACTAATGATGTTTGATTGAATCATACTTATTAATGGCTCGTAGTAAAATTCCAATAGTATTTACTCGAATAGTTTTTTATGAATTTCAGCGATTAACGAATACAACCAGTGCCTAATATTATTTAAATGTATCATAAGCTATAGATTGAAAAATTAACGAAGGCAACCAAATCATGCTCGATTGAATCATATTTTATAAATTTTAATTCAATAAGCAATACGAAATAAAGTTGTCATAATTTCGGAAGTATCGTTTTGGAACGGAATAATTTTTAATTACCTGTAATTATTTTTTTTCTCAAACTTCCTTCAAACTTTGATATGTTCCATCCAGAAATAATCATTTTCTTTTCATTAAGCTTAGTTAATATTAAAAATTTTACTGAATTTATTTGAATCTGGCGATTAACTAAAAATCTTTTGACGTACAAGGTGAGGCAGAATAGCTAGTAATTACAAAATCGGACGTATATGAAAGCTATATAAACAATTAAACTTTGCTAAATATCAAACGATTTGAAAATACTGATCGGCAACTACTTCAGAGTTCAGCTATTAATTTTTCAATTGTTTTTTCTTCATTTTCTACTCTCGTAAAACATCGAAGTAAAATGTGGTTGAGATCTTGAGTCTAGTTTGCAATTTGGTTCCTGGTATTATATTTTTTATAAAGTTCGAAATATCGCAAGGTTTTAATTTTAAACTCATAACATCTTTTCATATAATAATACTGTGTTAGTGGAAATGATGCTCATAACAGAGATGGAAATGTGCTGATGAAGGAGTGATTACGGTTTCATTACTTTCCTATTTGATCATTAGATATTTATCATTTATTTTTTTCTGATAACTGAGTCACTTCACTCTTTATTATCTCGCGATATCGATAAAATAATATCATTTTTCAATCACTTTTAGATGTAACAAGTGGTTTTATATTAAAATAATTTTACAAAAAGTTATAACTTTTCGCAAATATATTTTATTATTTTTATCGTCAGTTTACGATAATTTTTTGTCGGTACTACTTTAATATAAGTTGATTGACTTGGTTGATGGATGATATCTGTTAGAAATGTAATTTTCTCTATCCTTTGGACGAAAATACGTGTTTACACCAAAAGAAATAACACTTTACGTTTAGCTACCACGTGCGCGGCGCCACTCGTTTTGTCGAAAGCGAAAGCTGTTTCAGCTTTGTTTTCAATAGCCTAACCTGTGTCACGCTATTTCATTTGTAAAATTTTTAGATTAGAGCAACATGAGTGATTTGCAAAAATTATCTGAAGAAGATTATTCTACCGGCGAAGAAAAAATATTGCACTATTTCGACAAAGAAGCTCAACTTATCATTAATAATGATATTTTGCCGAAGAAATCGTTAGATCGTTATGTTCAAGTATATGATGCATACAGAAAACCGCAAAATGAGAATAAAACTCATCTTTCAAGTTTGCCAGAAAACAATTTGATCGTATATATTTCAATAACTCGAAAGAAAAGTTGAAACCTTCTACGCTAGTATATGATCTAATATATGATCAATGCTGAAGAAACTCTGATACCAAAGAAAATGTTAATATCAATCAATATTCTAATTTAAAAGCTCTACTCAAGAATAATGTAAAATAATGTAAGCCAGTAAAATCGGAGAAATCCAAACGGATTAGTATTGAAAAATTTATGCCAAAGTTAGTATATTTACCAATCAATTAATGTCATAACTGCGATTATTAGTAATTTGATATATATTTCTTGTCAGGTTATACTTATACTTAGGATTAGTGGAGCGCTTAGATGTGATGAAATATACAATTTGAATATACAAGATATTGAAGAGTTGATTAACGAGAGGTTTTTAATGTCAATTCACTGTCAAAAGAATGACTACAATACTAGTCTATCACGCGAGTTACTCATTGGACCATTTTTTTCCATATCGTTTAAAAATACATCTCTCTCAGATCAGTCAAACATTTCACTGACAGATTTTTTATTCGGGATCAAGGTGGAAAATGTGTACATCAAGTCATCGGAATTAATAAAATTTGTAAAACGCTTGAAATTATTGCGAAAATCAGCGTTTGTCGTCTTTTCTTCGAAAACACCTGGGAAAGTCTTATTCAAAAAATAGTTCTGTTCAACCACCCGCTAAAAAAGTGAAAATAGATAATATAAAATTGAAGAGAATAAAAATCCAAATACAACTGGCTGAAAAATTTGAATGTCTATTACAAAATGTCTGCACGCACGTGAATGACAGCCGAGGCTAAGTCGAAAAACGTAATATGTACCGGTGCAATTTGAGGTCTAGCACTGAATGGATTGTAGGAAAACGGATGTCGCTTCGTTGAATTTTCAGGTAAATTCACTTTTATCGGAATCACATTTTTCTGAATCTCAACAAAATTCTAAAATTCGATGTACCGATTATGCATGCACTTTCATTAAAGTACCTTTGGGTTCCAAATAGTTAGCTAAAGATAAATACGGACATTATAATATTCTTATAATTAAAGTACGATTGAAACATGAATTTGAAAAGATTATTAACTCAATTGTAAATCTCTACGGTGTGTCGTGATATGGAAGGTACACTAGGATGAAGACACTCTTTCAATCTCATTTCTCAATAACGGAAATTTTAACATGTGTGCACGTTTAGAAATTTATTGCTTTGTTGTTACACTAAAAGCATGAAATTTCAATAACCTGGAACAAATGCATTTTTTTATTGGACATAATTATCGCATTTCGGAAAAGTCAGTTATTTTCGTAACTTTACTATTTACTTTGTTAGGAACTTGCTTCAAAAATAAAATGTCAACTTCCTTTTGTATTCCTTGATCATCAATATTGGACACACCTGAACCTAAAATCAAAAATCCAAAGACGTTTGTCCACCGTTGGCTCATATTGCTAATATTCGGGAGATAAAGTTCTGGTAGGAAAAGTATTTTGGACAACGTTCAATAATTCCAGTATATTGACAATATTTTTTTACAATATTTTGTTGTTTTTATCCACATTGATCGATCCATGAAGAAGAATTAATTAACCAATAGACAAGAAAATAAAAACTAAAATCTATCGAAGGCCAGCGTTGAATAGCCGAAGTAACTGCAGAACGAACGATTTCAAAGTTATTCAGCAAGCTGTCGGTGACCGTATGTAATACAGTCTGCTGACTTTGAATAATCCTAATCGACTGGTAGATACAATTAGTATAAAATAAGCGCGCGTTATTTTTCAATCGGTACCAGCTTGACTCGTATCGACCTGGCAGGTCGGATAACAATATCCGCCAATATCGGCACGTCTTTGACTCTGTCGACTGGCTCCAAGTAAAAATGGTAGATCAGGTGAGCCAGGAACGCCTTGAGCTCCATCATCGCGAACTTCTGACCTGCAAATCGTCGCTCGGTCAGCGTTACGCTGGACGTTACTCGCAAATCGTCGACCGTACCGATGCAGTTGCGATGCCCGGCGCTAAATGGGATGTAGGCGAACGGGTGCCGGCCGTTGCAATTTTCCGGCGAAAATCTCTCGGGATCGAATTTATCCGGGTCCGGCCAGAACTCCGCGGCTCTGTGCACCGAGTAAACGTTGACGAATATGATCGTGCCCGCGGGTATCAGATGACTGGCTGGAAGGGTCGAGGCGACATTATATCACGCGACGAGCAGACGAGCGCTACTATTCACCCAGCTGCAAGTCCTCTGGAGTGTGTCGCGACAGGTACTGAACGCTGGGGTACAGACGGAGACACTCCCGCAGGCACATCTCGAGATAAGCGAACCGCTGAACCTCGGCGATGCCCAATTTTCCTCCGGTTCGCTCCAGAATAGCGCTCACCTCGGCGCGGATGCGCCCCTTCAAATACGTTCACGGCCGATTAGAGCACGTCTTTGATCCTCGATTCGGATCGCTTACTTGCGCGTCCTTGTGCCCTGCGAGCAGCAGCATGGCGAATGTCAGTGCTGCCGCCGAAGTGTCGTGCCCCTGGAACGATTTTACGACGGCAGCGCCACCTGCAAGCTCTCTCCACGAGTCCACGACACGACTGCGGCATCGGTCTTACCTCAAACGTAAAAGTGTCCACCTCTTCTTGTATTCCGACGTCGTCTATCTGGCCTCCATCCCTTTGCGCCGCTATCAGCAGGTCGAGCATTGCCAGACGCTTCTTACGATCTGCAATTGGCAATTTGCCGAGTTTAGCTCGCGAGCGAGATTTCAGGTCGAAATTATCGGTTTCGTAGGTGTCCGTTACAGCCGTGATATTCCACGTCCACCGATGAACCTTGCGAGCTCGAGGGCAGCAATTCGTTCAAGAAGTGACCATCGGTTCGCTCGTGAAATTCCTTTCGCTCCTTTATGATCTGCCGGAATATATACGGGAGATTTTGAATGTGACGCGAGCAAGAAGAAAAAATAATAAATAAATAGCGAGATTTACTTTTCTGGTGAAGGTGTGCAAAGTGTTGAGAGCTTCTTTGTATTTTCGGCCTCTCTCCGTCAAGCAAAATATTGATTCTGGCAGGAACCACGGATTCAGAATTCTGCAAGTTCACACATTGTTCGATAAAGTTTCGACGAGGTCTCTGGAGTAGATGGCAACTACCTGTATACGAGACACTGCCCCAGATAGTGTATGGCATCTCTATACTTGATTAAAAAATCTTTGTCGTCGAACTTGTATCCCATAGCAGTATCTGTGAAATAAAACGCGCAGTCGGTTTCGACGCAGCGTCGAAAAAGTTACAGGCTTACCGCAAATGACTTTCAACGTGTGATCCGCTACCAAATCAGTAACGTCGTAAATAGCTTCGCCCTTGGATATCAAGTCTTGGATAGTTTTCTCTCCGGTCTCTACAATGCTCTTGAAATATTGCTGCAGAACAGCGAAATGGAATGCTGGTGTCAACATTTTGCGTCTCTTTTGCCATTTCGCTCCTTCGAAAGATAAGTAGATAAAAATAATAAGTCTTTTTGAAATCCCAACTTCGTCACTGGATTCGGGAATAGAATTATTTTTACCATGACTCGTTAATAATCCAGTTCTCAACCATCCATGGAGCGGATCGTAAAGTACACTTTTCTCCGAGTGCTTGATACTCGTGAATAGTTTCTGAAAGGAGTTAACGATCAATTTCGTACGTAAAGTACTCGTAAAACGCGCCAAGTGCGCTATATTACTTCGATATCGTCAGGGTGGAGAAGAACGGCAACGACTTTGTGAACGCTCCAAAATTTGTAGATAGGGTAATACTTCGTGTCCCACGCTCGTCCGATCTTCCAGATGGTCTCTACAAATAAGTCGAATATCGGGAAAGCAGAGTCAATGGGCGAAAATGGAATTGCAAATTGTTACCTGGAGTCGCCAATCGTGGAAAGATGAAATGCGGAAGCGACCCTAGGATCGGCCACGCCGATGGTCCCGGGATTTCGCTCAAGTATCTACCGGTTCTCCCGTGCTTTGTGAAATACTCGAAAATACAGAGCAGCACGATGAAACCTATTGAAATTTCGATGAGCATGGCAGCTGCAATTTTTGCAACGGCAATCCGCTCCAGTTGAAACTGTTCTGAATGTTTGATAATGACTGAATATGCGATTCTTACAGACGTTGGTGTATTCGATTAGCAATGATAAACGTGACGTCGGTGTGCACGAAAAAAAGCGATTATATGAGAGTATCGACGAGGGAAAAATAGCACGCTATGTTTGTCAGATAAGCGTCTTATTTTTCTTGGCTTTCGCAATATATATCCAGACTACAGTTCAAAGCTACTTTGCATAATTGATAATTAAATCGCTCTTTCGTGAACTTGAGTGAAATTAAGTTCTATATTACAAAAGAAACCACTTATGCACCAATCCTACCTTCCCAATTGTTTGCTAAAACAAGCCTGTCTGTGGTCAACCCCTATAGTGGATATGTCGAAATAGCGGTAAATAACTCTAACACGCTCCATACCTCGGCCTGTATGATCACCAATAAGGTTATTATGTCAATTTCTAGAACTCAAACGCACTTAAATGAAGGAACCTTTTTAATTCTTAAAAAAATGTTGCTGTATCATATGTTTTGCAACATAATCATCATTAACGTTTTACGTGAGTAATAATAACAACAATAACAATAACATCTCCCAGATTTCCAGCAAACAACGTAAATGTTGCAGAAATCTTACCATAACATGCAAAATGTCCGCCTTTGTTTCCAAAACGTTTCTGGAATGATATTTATAATTGTTCAACCTTTGGGTAACATTTCTTCAACCTTTTTATAACAAGTTCATGGAAAATGGACTTAATCTTGCTACAACTTTTTCTTAAGGTTAGACAAAGCATCTTTTGCTGCATTCATTTCTGCAACATTTTTGCAACCAAATATAAAACGTTAACTCTACATTACTGTGACTCCATTAAAATAAAACATTTTTACTCATTATAACAATGTTATAATAGACTTCTGACCTAGAATTCATTTGTTTCAGAAGCGTTGCCACAGCGTTTGCGTTAACACGTTTTGCACATAATTGCAACAATTTTGTAAGGATATTTCATGAACGTTGGTCTCCATAAAAAAACAACCTGCCTAACATTGAGAAATGTTTGTAATAAGATTAGGTCAATCTTTCATGAACTTAAAATGTTTATAAAAATGTTGCGCAAAGACTCCCTCACAAAATAAAAAATTATAGCTACCATTCTAAAAATGTTTTGGTAATATTATTCGGGAAACAAAGGCGTACATTTTGAACGTTGTGGCAACATTTCTGTATTATTTTTATTTGTTGCCGGAAATGTTGGAGATGTTGCAAAACGTATGTGCAGCGACATTTTTAAAAAAATTCTTGCTACTTGGGTATTTCTTGCATTATTTCAAATTCTCGCGTTCGATTGTGACGTCATGCCAGCAAGCCAATCAAATTGCAACTGGCTATCCTATCTTTAAAATTCGAACGTCGCGTCTGGTGTGCGCGTGCGACGCGTCGCGTCGCCGCTCTGGACATATGATCCATCACAACATTCACACACAGCCCATGCTATTTAGCATATGTGTACAGTCAGCAGCAAATAAAAATGGATGCGCTGACATCTGGCTCGCATAGGTAAACAAAGATTCCCGACCGTGTCGCGAGCTACTGGTATCCGCAAATAAATCAAGTATTATGAGATAAAACTTTGTTTTTGTTTGTTGCAGACTAGTGCATATAGATCTTAAGGGAGCGCCCCCCCGAGTTAGTTATTTCGAAAAGGTTTGTTTTAATTGATCGTAAACGCCGATAGTGTGTGAAAAATTTTACATTTCCACATTTGCATTTATCATTAATAAATTGATAGTGATATTTTCAATTATTTTTCACGTTGTTATAAAAATTATGGCATAATAGGTTCCTTTTATTTTTGATTGAGAAAAGTATTAATTTGTGTTTATTTTTGATGTGCTTTTAGCCATTGATATATTATTGTTTCTATCAGAATGATTTGCACACAACTGACACATGGTATTCATATATTTTCAGTTATTTCCTCTTCTTCGAGCTTTGGGTGCAACAGGGTTGTTACTAGAGTGGGAAGATACATTCCCATATACCAGAGAACTTTCGCCGATTGGGAGTAATGGTCCAAGCAGTCTTTCAAGTGGGTACACAGCACAGGAGGCTCGTCAAATTCTACAAATGGCAGGAGACTCTGGGTTAGCTGTTATACCACTCATACAAACTTTTGGACACATGGAGGTAATTATTTATTTACTCTACTTGGATCCTATAAGAATATAGAATAACAAATAATACTTTCCTCTTATAGTTTGTATTGAAACACGATGAATGGAGATCTTTACGAGAAGTAGCTTTATTCCCAAGTTCCATGTGCCCATCTAATCCAGGATCACAACCTTTAGTGAAGTCAATGATTAGACAAATAGTCACGTTTCATCCAGACATTCAATATCTGCATATAGGTGCAGATGAAGTTTGGCATTTGGGTTTATGTTCAGTTTGTACTAAACGTGCAAGTTCCAGCAAGCATGGGAAGGCTTCCCTGTTTTTGGAGCATGTGCTTGCGATAGCACAGTATATCAAAGAGACTTATCCTTATCTCAAAATCATCATGTGGGATGATATGCTCAGATCTATAGATTTACAAGTTTTAAATGGTAAATCAATTTATACTAACTGTTATTGTAAGATTTTATGTTCATCAAAAGTTGTCATATTTATATTATTTGCAGAACATTACATAGGAAAATATGTAGAGCCAATGATCTGGCATTACAATGCAAGAGAAAATTTTGCTTTACCACCAGGTAACGTAAAAAACATTTATCTTACTATTCATTTTTATATATTTAAAAACTTAATTTATTTTTGTTAGATATGTGGGACAAATATGGCGTGGTATTTCCACACATATGGGCAGCTACAGCATTCAAAGGAGCTACTGGTTCATGTCAACACATTCCTACAATAAGGCATCATATAAGCAACCACGAAAGGTGGCTTGAAGAACTGAGTATACATGTAACCAAAATTATTGAATTTAGGGGGACTGTTTTTACAGGTTGGTCTAGGTCGGTATCATTTCCCTTATATTTAATTTCTATTCAAGTGCATATTTTAATTAATGTATACCTGACTGTATTAGGTATGACCATTACGCGACAATGTGTGAACTTTTACCCACAGGAATTCCATCATTAGCAATATGTTTAAAAGTGTGGCTTCACGGTTATACTGAGCAGACACATAATCAAGTTGCCAAAAGTTTAGGATACATCGATCATCCATTATTTGTTACTCCACAGCCTAGGCCAGTACCAATACCAAATAATTTGAACTTTCCTGGCTGGCAGGTAGCTGTGGGCATAGAGTGGTTTTTAAACTATAAAACTAAATTTCACGGACTTGTAAATAGTGAACAGTCAGTATACACTTTTATACATTGTGAATCACATGATTTTACTTGATTTTAAAAAGAAATCTTTAATTTTTTAGAATATTAACTTGGATGAATCCATGGCAAGTTGGGAACAACTACACTAACCCCATGCAACTAGAAAGTTTAGTGCCAGCATTTACAGAGTTAGTACTCCTATACTGTTTTTATTAGATAAAAATATTTTAAATTTAGAAAAATCAACGATATGTTTTATTTTTCAGCATGTTGCTGGAGCTTTCAGCACTAGAAAACTACATGCGCGTCCAAATGGACTTTATCTATTTCACAGCAACATTAGACGAGTGGATGGGTACAAATGTTCAACCCCTGAAAGAAAAACTCATGAAGCTGAAGCAAACAGCTGAGAATCAGATCAAACTTAACAGCAGAATGTAGACTGCTGCAAGCAATCATTATTAATTGTACATAAAAACAACACATTAAATGTTAAACTATATATCTTAGATGTAACATACGTGTCAAAATATAGGTATATGATATAGTTTTCATATTAAAAACAATTGAGCATTTGTGTTTCGTCATGTGGCTTTAGCTGCTAAAAAATATAACCTTGTCGGGGGGCTTGAAAAAGATGTCCGAAGAAGCGCATCGGCTAGATGAGCGTTTCGAAGAGATATTGGGAAAATTGAAGCCTTACCTCCTACGATTGCCGGCCTCTCAAAAATCGAGACTCTGCAAGAACTGGCTAGAGAGACTGAATCGCGCGGAAGATCAAAGAGCTTTAAGGAATGATTATCTGGTTGAGCTTTACAAGCAACTGAAGAGTGAATGTCTTGGCGGGCCGTTCGATAAACCGCCTAAAGCCGGGAAGCTCATTCCTATCTCTTACATCCATCGGATGGTAAATTGGATTTTTTTGTTCGGTTTAGCTTGATTTGTTTTTTCGAAAATAGTACCGATATCATTCTTTAATTTTTTTTTAACAATTATACACCGAAAATAATAATCGTCTTTAAAAATACAAATGAATAAAACGTGATTTGGCTGCAATAAATCTACTCAAAACTCAAAGCCAGCGAGTTCGTCGTGCAACGAGCTTACGGAGACGAGTTTGTCATTATGCGAGGAAAAGTGGAGTTGGCCAAATGCGCGATCGAAAAGTCTGCGAAGAGACGATCGAATGCGGCGACCGAGCCCAGCGACGAAACATTGTTTCAACTCGTCGACCAGTGTCGAGGAGAACATTCCAACCTCCCCGACGGTTCACTTCCACGAATACGACAACAGGTTGGTTTCTTCGAAAGATCGCAGAGTAAGAAATTAACGAAGTCAATATATCGGGATCGAAGATTCGACGACAATCTGCCGATAACGTACCAAAATAGAATTGACACGCTGAACGCCATAGTTATTGAGTTGGAAGCCCAAAACGAGAAAATGAAGCAGAAAATCGCACAGTGCCACAAGGCCTCGAACGCCAGCGAAGTGCCGCAGTTGCAGACGAGAATCAAGCTTCTCACGAACGAAATAGCGACTCTAAAGAAGAAGTGAGTTCACCGCGTATATTCGTTGGACCGCCACGGTGAAACGGCGCACGATCGTTGCAGGCTAACGGAGGTCTGCGAGATCAAAACACTGCTGGAAAACAATCACCGTAAGGTGATCAGCGAGTACAAGGCGAAGATGACCGAGCAGTTCAACAAGATGAAGAAGCAGCTGGTGAGCGCGAGGCTGGAGAAGAAGGAACTGCAGAGCAAGATCGCCACAGTCGAGCTGAAGCTGCAAGAGCTAAACCAGGAGAAGGAGCTCTCGTCCAAGACCAGCGAGAAGACATGGGTCCAGCAGGTCGAGAGCTTGAAGCAGGACTACGAGCAGATGCTACAGGAGAAGGAGGCCGAACTGAGGAAGAAGGACGAGCTGATGCAGAGGAAGGAGGCCGAGATCGGACAGAAGATCGCGGAAATCCAGATGCTGAACGAGAGACTCAAGGAACTGCAGCAGCTCGTGGACATTAAGACTCAGAAAGTGAGTATATACGACGGTTCCCACCGCTCGCGGTCGTCAGAGTGTTGCAAAACTGACAGGACGTCGCAGGATATGAAACTGCAGTCGATGCTGGTCAGCCAGTACAACACCATTAAGGACGAGCTGTCGCAAATGAGGAGCAACATCGAAACGGCCACGCAGAGACAGAGTGACAGCCACAAGCAGGAAATAGGCACTCTGAAGAGGAATCTGCAGAAGCTTGAACAAGAGTACGAGAAGAAAATTTCTCGCGTCGTCAAAGTATTCTTCGAATTGGAAAGCCGATCTTTCGCGCTCGTAGTCCGCTTAATCGCTCCCCGCTCGTAGCCATTCGCTCACGCCTTTTCTCTCCGCAGGAGAAGAACAAAGAGATAGCCGGTCTGCAGCAGCAGCTGCAAGCCAACGAGAAGTACTCGGACGACTCGTTGCTCTCGAGGAGACGCTACGGCGGAATTGGTGACGGTGGCAATCCTCTCGCTATTATATACAAGGAGTTTTTGGACGCTCTTCAGACCACCGCTAAGGACAAACGTTACAAGTATTATGAGGTGTGTGTGAATAAATAGCTCCGTTTTGATGCTCCTTCAGCGGCAACTTGTTTGTCTTTTCAGAAATTATCATTCATGGAAGACTCGATGAGTCGTCTAACGAAGGAATTTTAATGGCAATCAGTGTATTTTTCAAATACATTTTTGAAAATATTTTACATTTATGATATGACAGTCATGCTTATATTTTAACAATACATTTTATTTTCCATGAGATCAGAAATTTGATTTCGCGAGCTTTCGGAAATGACTGCGCGCGCGCAGCTGTGACAGTACGTAAAACACAAACAGGGATCTTATTGAGATGCATGGATCCGATTGCACAGTTGCAGTATTAAGTCTATGTGCAACCGGATACATTTATATCCCACGATGGATTGAGCGGATGTTAATAGAATTCGCGACCCGCGAAGTTCAAAATCCAAATTATTTTCGACGATTGAACATCGGTAGTATCAAATGGATTTTTTCTGGCAAATTGCGGGGGTACAACTTACCAAAATAAATCTTTGACCTACTTACCTCGTACGATGTCATCGATATTCAATCGTCGAAAATAATTTGAATTTTCAACTTTGCGGATCGCGAATTAATGTTCGCGGACAGTGTCCATATTTAACGGGTGCGGCGGGAAATTCAAACCCCGGTTACGGGCGCCAATTGGAAACCGCCCCCGTCCAAACTCCTAGACAAGTCTCCTTACAAAAGGTTGAACAGAAGTCGAATGAGGAAGACTCGCCGTATTCCTCATAGGCTTTATATACACTTCCCTGGACTACGAAATATCGATTACAGAGTTGTGCGACGATGCGATCGATGCTCGCTGGAGAGCAATTCAGTAACAACTGGCTGAATGGCTAAATTCAAAACTGCCCCTCGCTCCGAATTACCACACATCGTGGATACGGATTAGTCACGCTCGGCGTTGCCATTAATAACTAGAAATCGGAGCGAAGGACGAGCATTTGTTTACGCAGGCGACACTGAGAGGTATTCTGCCGAGCCCCTACATATATATGTATGTATGTACATATGTGCGCGCGTCACTTTTGTCGCTCTGTGTTTGTTTACTTTTGCGTTCTCCTGGTCACCAATTGTATGTTGTGCTACCCTCAATGAATATATTTTTTCGCGAGAAATACATAAAATACGGATGTTTTTTAATGTATTAGCTGATGAAATGTCCTGGGAAAGTGAATTAATACTACAATTTACCTTAATCGATGCTGTTCACGCAAATCATTTATTGATAAAATATAAAAAAATTTAACAATAGTTTGCAAATGTAATTTTAAAAATGTCTCTCTACTTTGATACTCGGGTACAAAATCCTGAAGCATCCTCGGTCAGTACATTTGTTTCGTGGCATTTTAACCTGCCGTTTCTTGCGGTTGCTGCCTACTCTCAGGACAAGGGTGGATTCGTAACGGTTTACGATGACCAGGGTGAACTTTTACCAGATGTAGAAACTTCCGGGCACTCTGTTGCTCAAGTCACTGCTTTAGCATGGCACCCTGAAAGAAAATGGTTAGCGGCTACGTGGGAAAGTGGAGAATTAAGGGTATATATTTTTACTTCACAATATTTCAACTTTTGTGAACAAAGACTTTGACACTTTTTCTCTTTTTTTACAGATATGGGCAGGAGATACAGGCTCCAGTGAGTTCAATATAATAGTTACACCTCATAGAGATCCAGTGACAATACTACAATGGAGTCAGTATGGTGGTCGACTGGTATCGGGAGATATAGCAGGCTCAATTGTAGTCTGGAAGTTAGATGGAAGAGGACAATTACTCATGATGTTTCATCACGAATTGAAACAGTCATTAACTCATATTGCATTCAAAATTTCTCCTCCAAAACCTGGTGTTGATATGAGGTAAAGAATAACCACTCAAACACTGCTGTAAAAGAGTGAATCGTATAAAAAATTGCTTATTATTAGTGGACTAGCAAAAGCAGCAGTAGCAGGAGATGAACGAGCACTAGACCTATTCAGTTCTTGGCGACCAAGAACAGCAGCTCCTACTGCAGTATCTATTCAGCGAGACAATCATGCTTTTTATATTGGTACAGTCAATGGCATTGTTTATTACATTGACAATCAAGGACAATGTCTTCAAGTGCTGAATATGGAGGGATCTGCTTTGCACTCTCTGCTTCACCATCAAACCAGAGAGTCTCTAGTGATTATGAGCGAGGGTCTAAACATTGGACACTTTCAATGTGATTCTGTTACTGGTCATCTTACAGAATTAACAAAAGTAAGAGCTTAAAATTCAAATGTGGCATTATAATTTGATTTCATTATAATTTTCAGGTAAAACTCAGTGGCAGAAGTGATACAACAAAAACTGGACCATCCTTATGTTGGGCTGGTATAAATACACTTGCAATTCTAACAGGAGAACTGATGGTAAGAATGTGGGATCTCCACACTGGAGATACTTACGTCCTAACTCCAACAGAAAGTTCGATTAGTGGAAGTTTAACTACACCAAAGGAAGTTTGTACCAGTTTATCATACTGCAAAACTAACGGTAGTTTATTTCAATTTTTAACGAGTTGTTTTAAAAATGTGTATTATAAAAAATAACAATTTCAGATACACTGGCTGCTGGGATAAATTTAGGTACAATATACCTGTGGAAGCGTAAAATTCGAGGCTTAGAAAGTGACGAAAACTCGTGGCCCACGTCACCGGATTGTTGCTCCATTCACGGTACAGTGAAGCAAATAACATGGGGCGCGATACTACTTCGAAGTCCTTTATTGGCCGTCAATTGCGTTACGAATGTCTATATTTTACATCAGCAACCGATGTGTGCAGCTTACAACGATAGTGTTTGCGCTAGTCAAATTAGTCCGTCACAGTTACTCATTGAAATGCAAGAACCTGGTTAGCGAGCAAATAATTATTTCTTATCAAAGATATTACTATGTGTTAATGCATACTTTTTTATATCTTCAGCGGAACAGACATTTACGTTGAAAACCGACATTCAAGTGCAAGTGGTTGCGGTAAACAAAAATTACGTTGCTGTTTCATCCGGTAGACACATCGCAGTCTACAAAGTCAGTGGAGACATGCAGCCAACTGTACTGATGAGCTTTGTTTGTGATACTGAAAAATTGTTAATCCACGATGCTGTTTTAATAATTTTAACGCCGCAGGCACGTCAACGCTATTTATTCTTACTCCAATATGTTAATAAATATTTCTATTTTAATTCCGTAGGTAATTCAATTACGATCAATCGAAGAAGGAACGATAATTCAAACTCTACCAACCCTTCCGGAAGAAGGCGAACCGATTACAATGGAAATGACGGACGACTACTTAACAGTAGCGTCACTTAACGGTATCTTAAAAATTTGGGATTTGAGCAAGAGAGAAGCCAAGCTGCATACTAGAGCTATGGCTACTTACGAGGCAATTAGCGATTTTGCTGAAATTATCGAGGCAAGATGTAATTCCGATTGCAGATATGTTTCCATTACCGTTGCTATGGCTAATCTGATGCCAAGCTCTATTTTGTATGTTTGGGATATCGAGAGCGATCAGATTCACGAGTTTGATTTTGCGGACGTTGATAACGATGATGAAACGGCTTTGTTAGTATTTGATTTCGATAAGCTTGATGGATGGGCTTTTAATTATCATTGATTATTTTTAGAGCTACAAAATGCAGAGGTAGATTAGTGACGTCGCATTGTTGGGATAATGATGATCCTCGATTGCTTATCTGCAGAGCTCAAAAGCCAGAAAGTTTGAATTCGAAGTCATCTAGCGAACTTACCGATGATCATGTAAGTAACAATCTAATTTTTGCAAAACAGAGCTTGCACGAGTTTAATTACAATTTCACTTTTTAGGAAATTACAAACGTCGTATTAGTTACAATGTTTGCCACCTCCGAGTATGGGATTATAGTTCAAGATGTACGACCTGTAAAAGACGATAATTGCCGTCTTTTAGGTGTCCAATCACCATACATCGTCATACTCGATTCGACGAAAACCAGCGGCAATAAAACTGTCCGACTACTGATGCGGGATTTCGAGGAGCTTGGAGCTTGCGATACAGCGATCAAAAGGGCAATACTTGATTTTTGCTTTTACTTGAGCGTTGCTAATATGGACGAAGCTTTCAAGGTAACTTTTTATAAAACATTCATTCAATTTAGTTGCATTAATACGGTTGACTTTTTGCAAGGCTATAAAAACAATACAAAACGAAGCTGTGTGGAAAAGTCTGGCAAAAATGTGCGTAAAGACGAAACAACTAGACATGGCAATGCTTTGCTTGGGGCACATGAAGCAGGCCAGAAGCGCACGTGCATTGAGAGAAGCTGTACGAGATAATAGTTTGAGCTTGGAAGCGAAAATCGGGATACTCGCTGTCGAGTTGGAACTCTACGTAAGATAATAAATACTGTAAAGCCATAGTTTGCTTATTGAGTCTTTTTGTATTTCAGACTGACGCAGAAAAATTGTTTCGCGAAGCGAAAAGATTGGATCTTTTAGGTTCTCTGCTCGAAGCTCGAAATCAATTTAAAGAATCGATCGAGCTTGCGAGTAATGAAAACAAGATACGTGAGAAAACAAGTTACTACAACTACGCCAAAGCCCTCGAACTCGAAGGGAGAACGAATGAAGCCATCGATATGTACACTAAAGCCGATTGCCACAGATTCGAAGTACCTCGTATGCTCCTCTCAACGCCCAGAGAGCTTCAAAACTATCTTAACAACAGCGATGACCTGTGAGTAACATTGAAATACGTACTGTGAAAGAATGTCGTTCAAGTGAATTACTTTTTAGTGAAATAAAGAACTGGCATGCGCAATACACCGAATCAACTAATGACATGGAGACAGCATTGAAACTTTACGAGCAAGCCAAGGATACTCTTTCAATGACTCGATTACTCTGTTTCTTTAATCGTGAAAGCGATGCTTGCGATATGGTTACGAGGACCAAACATGCGGCTTCTGCATATCATCTAGCGGCGCATTATGAGTCAAGAAATAATATCAGCCAAGCAGTTCACTTTTATACGATGGCTAAAGCTTACACAAATGCTATCCGAGTTTGCAAAGAGAACGACATGCTCGAGGAATTGTGGCCTCTGGCAATGATGGCACCAAGAGTCACACAGATTGATGTCGCTAAGTATTACGAGGATATCGATCAGGTTATTTATTACGTTTCAGTCAAATAGCCATTAAATTAGAATTTTTAATAACTCGCATTTATGCTATTTTAGGCGGATAAAGCAATATTGCTGTACCATAAAGCAGGTCTTTTGAAAAAATCACTCGACCTGGCATTCAAAAAACAACAGTATAATGCATTGCAATTGATAATAATGGACGTGAATGCTGACTCAGATCCGGAGCTCATTGAAAAATGCGCTGAATATTTCGTGCAGAATGCACAAATAGAAAAAGCCATCGATTTGTTGGCCAGTAGTAAAAAGTATAATGAAGCATTGACGCTTATTCATGACTACGATATTGTTCTCACCGAAGAACAAGGTGTCTTAATTGTATATTATTAATTGATAAGTTCTATTTGGATTTTTTATATTTATCAATGGTATGTATTCGTTACATAGCGGAAAAGATGACTCTAGAGAAACCAGAAAAAGATCTCGAAAAGGAGAGCGCTCGCATAGCAATTCTCGAAAAAATCGGTGATATAGCATTAAATCAAGGCAATTACCATTTGGCTACGAAAAAATTCACACAGGCAGGTAACAAGCTGCGAGCGATGAAAGCCCTTCTAAAATCTGGCGACACAGAGAAGATTTGTTTCTTCGCGCAGGTCTCGCGTCAACGAGAAATCTACATAATGGCTGGGAATTATTTGCAATCACTCGACTGGCAGAATCAGCCCGATGTCTTAAAAAACATCATCAGCTTCTACACCAAGGGAAAGGCAATGGATTTGTTAGCAAATTTTTATGTTGCTTGTGCACAAGTAGAGATTGATGAATTTCAGAATTATGAGAAAGCTCTTGATGCTTTGAATCAAGCTAGCAGAAATTTAGCTGAAGTCACTGATCCAAGAGATAAGGATATGCATAGGAGAGCTGTTGAAATTGTGAATAGTAGAATGGCCACCATTAAGCGATACTTGGAGATTAAAAAGTACATTAATTTTAAGATTAATATATGTTATTTAATAATGAAAAAATAAAATGTTATATTTAATTATTTTGCAGATTATTTGACAGAGGAGAAACGGAGACAGCAATGACCCATGTTCGTTATCTGCTAGACTCACAAGGCAGCGATCTCGAGCAGTCAATTCGTCGTGGCGACTTGTTTGCCATAGTAACACAACACTACGCGAATATAGGAGATTTAGACAAAGCGCGAGCTTCAATTGAAGAATTAAAACGATTAGTGCCTGGTATTAATTTAAGCTACTATTACAATGTAAATTTGCTCGAAAAGTTAGGTTTTAAATTACACATTGAAAAAGAAGAATCATCTGACCGAGAAGATGATATTGAGGAGTTATTAGGAGAGTAATATATAATGAAACTGTATGTGACATTTCATTAATCACAGTAACTGTTCCGTCCATAAAGTATTAAATAAATTTACTTAGAGACAGCTTAAAATCGTTTATTTGTTCTTTATTATCAGAAGTTTCAACTTAAGTTAATGAGATATTTAAAAATACAGTAATCTTAACGTATTTGAAATTTGTTGACAGCATTTATAAAAAAAAGCATGAATCGCACGATTTCACTGTTACGTACAAGTAACAAAATCTGGAAAAAGGAAAGTGTGAACTTACAGTCTAATCTTTACAAACTTATCCACTATACTGGTGAGACTATTACTAAAGGTGATCGTTTATTGAAAGTGTTACATGGTTTAAAATTAAAAAAAAAAAAAAAAAAAACTTACATCAAGACAATAAACAAAAAGAATTAAACGGAAAATAGTTTACGCGGACTTTTCACACAAAGGTTTTTTGCATGGTGAGCTAGTAGCCTCCTCTTCCTCGTCATTCTCCTGTTTCCTCTTTTTTCTAACAAGATGTGAGATATCACTGGCTTGTTTGACTTCTTTCGTCGACGTAATTGTCGCGCTAGACGAGGACGAAGTGCCTTCGCCACTGGAATCAGCACCATTGGAACAACTACCACCGCTTATAGCTTTGATCTTCTCAAGAACCAACTTGGCAGCTTCTGACTTGAAATCTTTCATATCGGTGATCTTGTCCTGAATTTCCGGGAGCAGCTCTTTTAGTTCCTTGATCTCCTCGGCCGCCGTTTCCTCGGTAGATGATTCCAGATCTTTGATACGCGTTTGAAGAAGTGAAGTAGCCATCGAAAATTGCTCTATACTTGCATCAAAGTCGTTGCCAAGAGAGTATGCCAAACCTAAAAATAAAAACAGGCACATTACTCTAGTTTTATGTGTTTTTTATTTACAATGATTATATATTAATTTTTTGATTTTACGACAATACTCACCTAACTGATAATGCGTTTCAGCCATACTTCTTGGATCAACAGGCTCAATCTTTTTCAAAAAATCCAAGCAAGCATTTAGATCAGTGAGAGCTGCAGGTTGATTTCCACCTTCCATTGAAATTTCCCCCAGTAGCCTGTGAGTATCAGCGAGCAATTTCCATCCAGGTGGTCCACGCTTGATAAGGATAAGCTTGGCTAATTCAAGAACCTCCCATGCAATCTGAGTAAAAATAAATTAACATACTATTAGTTCATATGTATTTCAAAAATTTTGAAGTTATTAGTGATAATAAAGCTTACCCTTAGGTTACTATTAGCATCATCATCTTCCCCATCCACATCATCCCCATCTTCACATTCGTCATCGCTGTTATCGTGTACCTCGCCATTTTTCTGAAAACCAGAAGTGGATGCTTCACCATTCATCTTTGAAGTCAATGTATCACTTGGTCCTGCACTGGATGACCCACTTCCTCCTGCAACAGGTTCTTCTAATTTAGATTTTTCTGCTGCTGGTTTTTCTTTAACTTCGACGGATTTTTCTTTTTCCTTATCAGCTTCAGTATTTGTTTCTTCCGTGACAGCTTTTTTAACATTTTCTGTATCTTTCTCTTTGTCTTTCCTGTAATTTTATTTGAGAAATTAGTTTGAAACGATTTTCAAAGTTAATAAAATATTTTATAAACTTTTTAATGAAAAAATGTTATATAAACAATTAATGCATGAATTTCAACTACAAATTTTATAGAAGCCATGTAAAAAATAATTGAATCACTCACTCGTCAGGCTCTTCTACTTCATCTTCCTCCTCATCCTCTTCCTCAGCACATGGAACACCAGTTCCAAGAATACCAGCTTCCTCTCTAGCCAAAAAGAGCAAAGCTTTTCCATAGAGCACATAGGGCTCGGCTAGCTCATCAGCCATTTCTCCATGCTGATTGGCAAGCATTCCAACACCTTCAGCAAGAGTTGAAACTGCCAAACTATAATCACGTACAAGTAGATGTCGTTTACCCTGAGAGATTGCTTGGCCGGCATCTTCGAACGTTGGTGGCTCGAGTGAGCCTTCGACCTCATCCAATGCTGCAGATTCTGTTTCTGGAATTTCAATTAGAGCGCTTCATTAAAAAAATATTCACTGTGTGAACGTTTAGAGGGAAGTCGTTCGTGATGAAATACATACCAATATCTTTTTTCATCTTGTGTCGTTAAAGAATGAAATGTTATGCCTGTCAAAAGAAAATAACAAGTCGGACATTAGGTTTGACTAATGTAAACATCATTCACCTTCGGCGATGCTGGCGGCGAGTGCCCGCATATGCTATATACATCGTTGCGTTTGAGTGACTTTCTATCTTTGTTGCACTCACACACACTGAAGGTGTTTCCTACTCGCGCCTTTTTTTTTGTTATAGCTATAGTGATTAATATGAATGAACGGTGCTTTCATGTATCGACTATTTACTAAACATTAAAATATCATACCGATGAAAACAATGAAAATGGCGAGTACACGAATCGATTAAACGTACGGTAAGACGTATGATCAAACAAATGAAATACCACGCAAAATAACCGTCCTGTCCATTGGAGTAACAATGATTATCAGAAGTTTCGAATTATTATTCCACTTTACTGTTGAAATTTTAGAAATGTTTGAATAATAATAAAACAACAGAGAATACAAAATTTAAATCGAAAGCCATCGGTATATTAAAAAACTATTATCGTAACATTCTAACCTTATCCAACCGTTACTTCTGCAAAACTCGAAAACTAAAAGCCGTGAAAAATCAACGAAAAAATAAGCGCTCAATGTTAACTAAAAGTTCAGCCGAACCGTCGCTACGAATGTTGTTCAGACAAGGCAAATCCGGAAACGCAAAAACTCACCTTATAAAAGGAAACGGAAAAAGCCGCGAGTTCAACGACCGGAAAAAATCAGGCACAATAAAACTCTCTCAACAGAAAAGATAGTTAGTCTCTATGTTTCTTTTCAGCAAAGCAGCAATTAATAGTTTTCGTAAAAAAAAAGTCGCGTCGAAACACAGAGGACAAAAGCCTCGCTCTGCCGTTAGCGATGTCACGGACGCTAATAGGAAGGTGAAATGGAGGAGTTATCTCCCGCGCGAAGAATTATTGCCGGCCTCCTTTTTCGCAGCAACGTGAGCATGCGCGCGCAGCTGGAGAAGTGGATCAGTGTTTGCGCGCGCAGCCTGTCCACTGATCACGTGGCTCCGTGTCGATTTTCGAATATACTTGATGCTTTGACTGTTGGCTTATCGAGGATGGCATTAGATGTAAATACGATACGTCCACACTGATCGCGTCAACGTGCAAAAGAGACGACTCGTCTCCGAAGAGAAACTGAACGTCGATCGAACCATATTGCAACAGTAAGTCATTAATAAGATTACTTTCTTTCTCCGGTCTTAAAAAAGTGGCGGTAGTTTGATGCAGCATAAGAGCTCAATCACCTTTGTCGGTTATTTCTTTGTAAGGCTAACAAACTTTCATCGACAAAGTTTAGTAGCGCCTCTGTAGATAAACTGTATCAGACTACAAAATATTTTCATGCGTGTATGATTTGCAAGAAGGTGGGTTCCTTTGAAATTTTTCCCAAATTCAAAGTAAAGTCCGCGTTTAGTTCTCAATGTTACACAATTAATTAGTCGAACAAGGAGAACAACAAGGTTTCGATACTGCAAGCATCCTCGGCGCAAATAATATGATCGATTACATGCGGCGCGTCAATTTGACTTAAGTCAGTTGGAAGCCTTAAGTTATGAATGAGCGTCCATGAAGTGTGCGCCACGAGGTGTGCCTTCTTCTATTAGATTAGTGCACGAGATATTGAAATATCGCTTGGAAGAAAATTCTCACTCAGGGAGGACTCTCAGCGGCGCGCTCGAGCAATTCCAAGTTCCGTCGATCGAAGAAGTGCGCCGCCTTTCGAGCTGCGCGTCGATTCGAACAATAAGAAGACACAAGAAAGACGAAAAAGGAAGAAACAAATCGGCATCACCATCGCATCCCCGAAACCTCCGCGAAGAGTCAGCCGTCGGTCGTCCGTGAAAAGCAAGAAGCTCCCACCCTCGCGAGTACAGCAAAGACAGGCGCGTCGCGCGCGCAGCCCCCAGTGCGCGCTGGTCGCTCGGCGTCGACGGAGGTGCGGCACACAGACAGTAAGCGCGGAGCTCGACAAGTCGGCGGCGCGACGGGACGAAAGCTGAGGGTACGCTGGTTCGCGGCGAGGGCCGGCTGCAAGAGCGGCGGCGGCGGTAGCAGCAGCAGCAGCAGCAGCTGGTGCAAGAGGCAGCTTCTACTGATGGAGCCGTCGCGGCTGCCCAGGAGTCCCGCGCCTAGGCTCGTCTTTCTGTTCGCCACGCTCGTGCTCACCTGCGCTGGTAACGCTCTCCTCCTCCGCGCGCGCGGCTGTCGTCAGTTTTCGCTCTTTCCCCGATAAGAGGCAATTGGCTTCGAGATGTCATTTTTCCGAGCGCGCGCTACGGAATGCCCCTGTCGAGGTTGCGCGACCCAACTGCAATCGGCCGTAGCAACGAAAACTGCGCTGCGAGATCCCCGAATACTGTTCCAGCGACGGGTCTGCTGTGCGCGGCGATAATGTCGGACCACTGGGAGGAGGTGGACTGGGACCGCGAGGCGCTCGAGCGAGCCAACGTCAGCCCGGTAACGTGGCTGCTGGATGGCAAAGTGGGCAGGATCGAGCCGACGCTCGGCGGCGGATCGTCGCAGCAGGCCAAGCACCACGTCGTCGGCGACAGGAGCCGCGCTCAGCCGGCCTTCGTCGTGCCCATGCACGGCGGCATCTGGACCATGTGCGTCTCGCTCACCGGTAAGTCGAACGCGCGGAGCGGGGACCGAGCGGACGGGGCAGACTGGGCTCGCCGGCCAAGCGCATCCCCAGTCGCGATCGCGCGCCTCGGGAAGTAGGTCGCGAGCCCCGTCGCCCCCGCTTATTGATCTCGCTGGCGCCCGATGCCGAGTGACAGGACGACGACGAGTCCTCGCTGTGGCCTCGCGAGCGTCGCGCCGAGGACTCGCGCTCGAGCGGGAACTCGTCCTCCGGCGCGACGTTCGGCCTACATCTCGCTCGATAGTTCTACTGGGTCTAGGTTGCGCGCACGAATCATTGATGCCTCCGTGCCACGAAGACGAGTATGCGCGTTTATCGATTCCGCGAGCGCGGAGATATCGACCTCGCAGGTGGGCGGCTCGCGCGAGCCGCTTACGTAAGCAGTCCCCGGACAATGTTGTTTTGTCCCGAGGGACGCGCGACAGGGATCCATCCCTCTCTCGGCGCAAGCAGCCCCCAGCTATTGCTCCTCGGACGGTCCGATGTGCTTTGACCGGCTTTTCTTAAGGGGCGCGCATTATTGCGACAATATCCGTGTGTCATCGGAACGACCATTGTATTTTCCTTTATTATATACTCTGAACAATCGTCGCGCGAATCGCTTACGCGCACAGGCACAGTCTTCGCCCTCATTTTGTCGTTGCATAGTGGCTCGGAAAAAAATAGTTGAAATGTTGAAATGTGCAACTTTTACGCCATTAGTGAACCCGAATATTTGTTAACAACCTAAGTGATCCTAGCACATTGTCTCGATGTATCCTGTCGACTAAAGTTAGTCACCTAAAACCAGTGGTTTGCTTAAACTAATACAAAGTAGTTTGATAATGAACCTATCGCAGTTAGACTATCAGAAAGAATTCGTCCACTTGCAATCATCCAGAAAACAGAAGACGAGGCTTTGCAGATGGCTATATGACGCGCATAGGGTACTATTTCGCTAGCGCGTACTATTTGCACTTTTTCAAAGCTCTGTCAAATTCCAAGTTTAAGTAAATATTTTATCTGACAATATGATAAAACCGACAATCTGATATTAAAGATGTGTAAATTGCACACTTCTGCTCAATAATCTTTTTACACCCAACAACCAAATTATTAAATTTTGAAAGTTCCATATCGCAACCGGAAATAAACCTAACATTCCAATTATGTTATTCTTACGAAAGTAAGGATTAAGGTAAAGATGGTGTATATAGCAAGGCTACAATCAAAATACAAATTACGAATTTTTTTCACATCTTAAATAGCTCGCCTTTTGACAAAATCCCAGTAAAAACTGAAGCAAACCATTTTGTAGCTCGTTTTATATACAATTCAAAACGCTTGAGAGCTTGGCTTTGGCTGAGTGTCAGTGCTGCTACGATGAATTGCAGCGGGACACTACGATGAATTGCACCGGGAGTGGAAGAAGCCATGTTTTACGTAGCTTGCATTGCCAGGACAAACTTGATGATTTTGATCGGCAAGCCGATGGTCAAGTGTTATTGCGCTGATTGCGCCAGAACGACATCGGCTTGCAGATTTTGAGGATAATCTCGCCGGACAAGACCTTTAGTATATTTATATAAAGAAGCGACAAAAGCAATCTGGAGCTTTACCGGTTTTGTCCGCATACGAGATGGAAGTCGACCGCCACGCGATGACTTGCTACTGGCAAAATGTCGAATACACGAGTACGCTATCAGGGAATAAAGCCAAAGCCGACCGTCTCTTCCTTTGCGGGTCCTGCGATAAGCAGCACCATAACGAGCAGGAGTACAAGGGCTCGTTTGATCATGTTGTGCTACCGATGTAGACAGTCTATTTCAAATAACACGCTTTTCCGTATGCCAACGGCTGTCCCCTACACGAGAGTCGGCCGAGGATCGATAAGATATACAAATACAGCAGAGACTTTACGAGACTTTCAAGGATTGAGCGAGAGTTTCCAAGCGCAAACATATCCCAGATTTAAGCGTCGGCTCATCGTCCGCAAATAAATACTGTTGTTATTTTCATTTTTATAAAAGAAAAGTCAGATTTTCTGGATTTATCGTTGGATATCCCTTGGACAAGCATAGAGACTCGAATGAAATTTGCTTTATTCCACGAGACTGCGTTCGACCGTCGGACGTTGCCAAGGACTAATAAAAGCGCTCGCGCAGTGAAAATCCAACCTTTTTGCAGACGAGGAGATCGAGCTGCTGGGCCGCGTGGGCTTCCCGCAGGAGCGATGCATCAACTACCTGACGCCCGACGAGGCGCACGAGGAGATGCGCGCCGCCTGGCAGAACCGTAAGTGTGCGCGTCGGCAATAGCTTGCGCGCGTTTGGCCGATCGTCTCCGAGCTTTGCGTTTGCGCAGGCATGCAGAACTTGAGCATCTCGTGCTCGCTGGTCTGCCTGATAATCCTGGGCGCCGCGGTGTTCGTCGGCTTCTTCGGCCTCTGCAGACACCAGATATCCGCGGTGCTCGTCACCGGCGTTATGTATCTACTCGCAGGTAGGTATCGGATCGTCGGCCGCGCCACTCGAACTTTCAGCACGGCGCTCTGGTTAGCTGCACTCGATCGATGCGCCAGAAACGGCCGCGCGCTCGCACCCGTCCGTCCTCGCTTCCTCAGTCCACCCCCACGGCGCCTCGACGAGTGGGACAACCGCGTGTGCCTCTGTTGCAGCCACCTTCGCGCTGTTCACGCTGACGATAATCCACTGCAAGCGCTCGCAGGACCGCGCGAACAACCGGGTGATCCTGGACGGGCCGGAGGACGGCGTGGTGGGCGGCACGGTCGACCGGCAGCTGCTCAAGGCGCGCCGCTTCGTCAACTCCTGGAGCATGGACTTCGGCTGGAGCGGCGTGACGCTGTCGGCGCTGGCCTCGCTCGCCTGGATCCTGCTCAGCAAGATCATGCGCTTCAGCCCTATCTCGGCCATGATCGCGTAGCAGCGCGAGGCCTTCGAGGTCTAAGATGACTTTTAGGCCGCCCGTCCGCCATATCGCCGACGCGCCAGACGACATCGCAGCGCAGCTTGCCCGCATCGCACACGCCCGACAATCACTCGCAGCTTCTTCGCGTCGCTTACGCAGCGTCGTCTCTCGCGTCGTCTCCCGCGTCGTCACCGGACGGACGTACGCTCGTACACGTCTGTACCTCGAAGGTTCGCTGCGACGACAGCAGCCTCGCGCGTTAACGCGAGACTTTTCGCCCCTTCGATCGCCCGCGCGACGGACGACTTCGAAGGGTCACGACGTTCTCCTCTGCCGCGCGAGTCCTGCTCCCCCCCTCCCCCCAGCCCAAGACTGCGACTGCTTGGAAAGAGAAATGTCTCGTCTGAAGCTGCTGACGCTCAAGCGGCAAATGTATTTTTCAATTGAGCGGTTTTTTTCTCTTTGTCAATCGGCGGGCGTCGACTTTTTACTCTGACAAAAAACAATAACGAACGCGAACGAAAGCACGTTGGATTTAGGGCTAAGATTTTCAAGACAGAGGCTGCTATTCGTTTCAAAACAATAAGTATAGATAAAAGACTATTCGGTAGATGTACGCGATGTCTAAATAAACAAACAGTCGTTCAATAAGCACAGCGTAATAGCATACCACAAAGTTCGTGACCTGCAGAAATACACACGCGCATGCGCGCCCTTACTTTTTACAGATAAATAGAACTTTCAGCGAGTCGAGATAATAAGATATGCGTAGGATAGGCGTAGCTAAAACAGATTGCTCGATAGTAAAGTTCAGCTTTTATGACGAATGCCTTAGCCTATAAGCAATGTGACAACGTTAAAACTAATCGAATGCGCCTTGTAGAACACAGAGCGTTTCAACTATCGTCGCCTTTTTTTGTATAAAAATGGCTTTTCGTTTGGAGAGACGCGGAAAACAACATACAATACATCAGCCGAGTGGACAAACAAAAGACAAGTAATATATCGTGAAGATACAAACGACGTTGAGAATATACGTACATATATATAGTTTTTTAAGTCGAACTTTCATCCACAGCGCCTTATTACAATTGCAAACAAGGAACAGAATCAGCTTTTTGCTATGACTGTATTTTACTGTAAAAGCCTACGTGTAAATAAAGATATGGTGCAACAAAGTGTTGTAAATAAAATCGAATCATGTCAAAAAGTCGCTTAACTTATCAAACAACCCCTCAATCTAAAGAGAGAGAAAGAGAGAGAGAGCGAGAGAGAGATAGTATGAAGGAGAGAGAGTGATTAGTAGCGCCATCTAGCTCACCTTGTCTGCTTTGTTGGGTCGTCGGCGAGGCGCCAAGTAGCAGCAGACCGCAGCAGTGTGCAATGCGCGGCGGTGCGCGTGCGACAGCCTAGCAGTGGCTGGAATGTTAGTCGTCTCTGATCTGTGTGAAAAAGGAGTTTAACGTAAGCAGTCAGCGCAACGCAATGGCCGACGAGCCGTCCACGTCGAAGCATCAACAGCAACCCAATGACGGGCCCGTGGTTTCCGACCAAGGCCCCGCTACTACCGGTACTAAGGTAAGTAGTTATACGTCGCCCTCTTCTAGCCTCTCCAGTCGTATTGATAAATTGCTCGTTACGTCAGCGCACTCGTGACTTTCTCGTGCGCGGAGAATATTAAGGCGAGCGCACTCCAGTTTCAGCGTGACCCTCCGCACGACTGTACCCAGTGCCAGCGCTTCCCCGGGGAACGCTTCTTTTTTTTGACTTTCTGGATTGTTTCGAGCCCGACATGTTTCTGTCGTGATTTTCCTGCATTCTCGAAGGTGTGTAGCAGCTGGCAGATCAATACAGTAGATTAGCAGAAAAAGCTACAAGCATGGTGCAGTTTTTTCTTGTGTAATTACATTTGCTTTATCGATAAATACATGATTTTATCTATGATATTAATCAATCAAAAACAGATGATCCGAGAGATGTACTCGAGTGGCACTGCACATGCATAAGCCACACATTTGGTCTGTTGATAGATTCTTATCCAATTAAGCATATTGACTCATCGACATGGGTATACAGAGATCAAGCGAATTATATTTCTTTTGAAGGGGACTAAACATTGTGGCTTGTGCCAATTGAGTCTCATCAAGCTTGAATGAATTTGAAGTGTGGACAATCTATTAGAAAACTGAAAGACTGCCAGTTATTGTTGTGAAATGACTGTGTGCCGTACTATACATATAACGATTGTTGGCAAGTTATGAAATACATCTAGTGATCTGCAGCTGTCGAATTGTTGTATCCTCGAGAATGCAAAGTATTGGCTCTATTCAATAATGCTCAAACAATTGCAAAAGGTTAGATGTAATTTTGTTAGTTCTAATTGGATACTCGTACAGACTATTGTGTGAATCTGTTGCAATGAATGTTTGATATATGGATGTACGTAAGCAACGAGAGAGCCTCAAAGGTTATTCCTTTTAAACTGACTCGATAAATTATAAAGTGTACATTATTTCCTTTGATGATGTTGTACACATACGCAAAACGAGATTGCAGAATTAAATAAGCTACCTAACTTTATTTCTTTTTCTCGTTTTATCGATTCTCTATGTAAATGTGTCCTTCAGCTCGCACAGAAATGTTCCTCTAGTCACGAAAGTGACCAACGGCCGATCGATCTTTATCCTGCACGTAGAGAAACTACTGTTTTTTAGTTCGTCTTCTCCTTTAACTAGTAATTTATTTCGCGATACAAGGCCTGATTAACTCATCCTCCGCAGATGTGACAATAGGTCGGTTAAAGAGTATCGAAATGACCTCGTAATTGATACTCAAATACATTACTGGTCGGATATGACGTACAGTCCGAGGCAGGTCTGCATGTGCGAAAATAAACTAGAATTCTTTTTTTTTCTCTTAATTTTGAAATTATTATCGCTCACGTGCGAGATGATGAACGTTTAATTGTTGTTATTTCAGAGCCTAGAGGCTACGAATAATGCCTTTTACGGCGCGAGATCTAAAGTTGTAAGTAATATGTTGTCCAAAAGAAAAACAAAGTAAACTAAAAAAACTGCAAAACAAGTTGCGCCCACCTGTACATTTCGAATCTCAGTGTATTTCTTGACTGTATATATTTGTGCCCGCTCTATTTGCATTTCTCCTGTTACTCAAACTAACGTCCGCGTGATCCATGCATTTTTATACTAATCTTGCTCGTGTACATTCTCATTCGTAGCATGGCGAGCAACATTGTAGATTACCGCTTCTAATGTCTTTTGTATCTTGGGCATCATAATCATTCTCATTAGATTTGGTTTAATGAAGATGACATATCATGTACACTTGCCTAGCTCCGCGATAACATTCACTTGTACGCCCCCGTACTTTCTTCCTAACATACATACGCGGCCTTTGGAATCATATATTTGTATTACTAACTAAACTTTACATAGTAGACCGACTACTCCATTCACTCTTTTCGTGGATCTCAATGTTTTTTGTTCTTTTTTCCTTTCTCGTGCACTTTGTGTATCTGTGATTTTTTTTTGTTTTTAACACAGTCTCGCGACAAAATGTTGTGTGCTGGGTGATGGCTCGATTTAGCTACTGTCCTTATGCATCGAGAGCAAAAAGTCACATTATTTACGAACGAATAAAAGAAAAAAGTACGCACTGTGTGATCGAAAGAACGATCGCTTCGCGCGATAAATAACGTGACAAGCACGACGCGATAACAGCGCAGAAAAACCTATTAGTGCTAAAAGAACGGAGCAGAACTAAAAACTTGATTGTTGAGCTGAATGTGCGTCGGCGCTCGGCGTCTCGCGCACGAACGTTCTAACTCGTGCGGGATATGGTTTTCCAGGAATCCAAGTCCGGCGCTTTGAAGAAAGCTGGGAGGTACAGGAGTCGCTCTCTGTCGGCAAGCAGCACCGACAGTTACAGCTCGGGTAAGCTTGCGTTCGCGCGTGCTCTTTCTCTGCATCGAGCTTTCGCGCCGTCTCTCTCGCTCGTTCGGTGCGAAAATTTCATCCGCATCCGCGCGAAAGCAACCAAGTTCCAGTTCACCGAGCTTCTCGCTCGACGTCCGAGAATAGAGCGTCGTCTCGGTCGCGCTCTCTTTTTTTCGTCCCGTTGTCGGTTCTCGAGGCGCGTCGGAGCGAGGGAGACGCGCCCCGCCGAGAAAGAAAGCAAAAGCAAATGATCGTGTCTCTGTTTGGCGCTGCTGCCGGCTGTGGACCTGCCGCCTCGCGCGATCTGTCGCCGTGACGCGCTGTCGTGCCAAGCCTCCTACACGGGAAGCAGCAGCGAGGACGACGACCAGTCGCCGCGCGAGAAGATCCAGAAGAGCGACAAGGGCTTCGCGGACTTCTGCGTGCGCAACATCGAGCAGCACGCCTTCGGCCGGCGCGAGATCGAGATCGCCGAGCAGGAGATGCCCGGCATCATGGCGCTGCGCAAGAGGGCCCGCGACGACAAGGTGCGTGCCGCGCGCCACCTAATAAGAGCAAGAGCCACCGGGGCGACCACCGCCTAACCCCGTAACTCTGGCTTGCAGCCGCTGAAGAACGCCAAGATCGTGGGCTGCACGCACATCAACGCGCAGACGGCCGTGCTGATCGAGACGCTGGCGGAGCTCGGCGCCCAGGTCAGGTGGGCCGCCTGCAACATCTACTCCACGCAGAACGAGGTCGCGGCGGCGCTCGCCTGGTCGGGCTTCCCCGTGTACGCGTGGCGCGCCGAGACCGAGGAGGACTTCTGGTGGTGCATCGACAAGTGCATCAACGCCGAGAACTGGCAGCCCAACATGATCCTCGACGACGGCGGCGACGCCACCCACCTGATGCTCAAGAAGTACAACGCCATGTTCAAGATGATCAAGGGTGAGCGAGTTAACGTCCGCGCGTCCGAACGCCCGAACGCCCTCTAAATCCTCTCTCGCGCGCGTGCAGGCATCGTGGAGGAAAGCGTAACAGGTGTTCATCGCCTCTACCAACTGTCGAAGGCGGGCAAATTGTCGGTCCCAGCGATGAACGTCAACGACAGCGTGACCAAGACCAAATTCGACAACCTGTACAGCTGCCGCGAGAGCATTATCGACAGGTCAGTGTCGATCGATTCGTTCGCCTTTGGTTTTTCTTAGCTTTTCCGGTGGTTTTGTTTTCTCGTGAAACGAGATTGCAAAAAGCGAGAGAACATTCTTTGTCTACAACGACAGTTTTGGCAACAGCCTGAAGAGATCGACCGACGTGATGTTCGGCGGCAAGCAGGTGGTCATATGCGGCTACGGCGAGGTTGGCAAGGGCTGCTGCCAGGCGCTCAAGGGCCTCGGCTGCATCGTTTACATCACCGAAATCGATCCCATCTGCGCCCTCCAAGCCAGGTACCGTTGAATATTCGTGCGAGCCATCCCACCCACCTCTCCCACTTCGACCGCTCCAGCGTTTCATTTTCATTTTTTTTCGCAAAACCCTTAAGGCATTCAAATATTGACAGTCCAGTCTGCGTAAAAGCAAATTTCGTTGCAGAAAAGGGACTCGCGGTAAAAGCTGTTACCGTAATGAAATGAAAAGAACTGCTGGGTCCGGGTTACGTAAGAGCCGCCGCGTTTCGAGGCTTAGGAAAGGCAAGTTGTTATTTTTTCCTTTTGCTTTACCAACCCGTAATGGACAGGCAGCCCAGCGAAATCTTGCAGCGTCCGTTAATATCGGGGAAAGAGGAAAAATCAATTAGTTCCGACATGGCCGAGTTGAAAGGCGTACACGTTGGTTTTGTTTTTTATGTCAGGGACAGGTACGCGAGTCAAGGATTTTAACGAGCATACGCGCGCACATTATCGAGTTGGAAAGAAATAAAAATGCAAACGTGGCGTTTGTCTTGGGTGTTGGGGGAAGGGGAGGGGAGATGATGCGACCAAACGAGAGAAACTGGCTAATCCAAACGATCGATACTCGACAGCATGGACGGCTTCCGCGTGGTCAAACTGAACGAAGTGATCCGCAACGTGGACATCGTGATCACGGCGACGGGCAACAAGAACGTGGTCACTCGCGAGCAGATGGACAAGATGAAAAACGGCTGCGTGGTCTGCAACATGGGCCACAGCAACACCGAGATCGACGTCGTAAGCCTTTCTCGTTGAAAGCTCGTTCGCTCGCGCGCCGCTGCGATTGAGAACGTTCGCTAGCTAGGCGAACCGCTCGGCGAATCGCTCGGCGCGCCAGAGCCGAGCGTATTATCTTCGATTGGTTTTCGCTTATGCCCTACCCTTCGTCGGATTTGTCGATCTGACTGTTTGTTTGTTTTTCCTCGCACAACAATAGAACAGCCTTCGTACGTCGGACCTCACCTGGGAGAAAGTGCGATCTCAGGTTGACCACGTGATCTGGCCAGACGGCAAGAGGATCGTGCTGTTGGCCGAGGGCCGCTTGGTCAACCTGTCGTGTTCCAGTATTCCGTCCTTCGTCGTGTCCATCACCGCCGCCACGCAGGCGCTTGCACTCATCGAACTGTTCAATGCGCCAGCCGGACGCTACAAGAGCGACGTATACCTACTGCCTAAAAAAATGGGTGAGTGATTTCCTTGGCAATCTCTTCTTTCGCCAATAAACCACGTAATTCTTCGGGCGGTAACCTTGCAGACGAGCAAGCACACGCAGTGCCTTGTTTAATCGATACTAAAGAAACTGCTCGGGATACCTCATGACACATTGGAACTGCTTTGAAAAGCAAAGTTGTTCGACGGCTGCGATATCAAACGAATAACGAATGACATTTGACCAACTTAAAATTGATCGTCAATTTTTTCGTCGTTCCTTTCAGACGAGTATGTAGCCTCATTACATTTGCCTACGTTCGATGCCCATTTGACAGAATTAACCGACGAACAAGCTAAATATATGGGCTTGAATAAAGCTGGACCTTTCAAGCCTAATTACTACCGGTAAGTAGATTCATCTCTTTTACAAATTCATTTTTATCATACTATATTCATTTACACTGAAGGTTTAATTTCCATAATCTTGCTGTCATAATAGTTTTTAAGTTTCGCTATGCATGGAAAAGCTTATATACGTTTCTACAGACTATAAAACAGAGTGTGATCAGTTAATGTTATATGCGCATCATGTCTATTATGATTTATCATCATAAAGCATCAATTTTCACATGATTATAGCCTAAATGTTAAAAAAACAGTTAATGCATTACAACTATACATGAAATTATTCTGAAAACACTTAGATCAAACAAGTATCGTTCTTTCGTTTACACGGATTTAACTATTGTTCAAAAAATGCCTGTCTCTTTTTTTTCTTTTTTCGTTCGATCAATTTCGTGTGTAGTATTTTTTTATTCTCGAGTAAATTTTCATAATCACTTTATCATATTACTTTAGAACTTCTTTCAAATATTTCTTTTAATTATTAATGAATAATAACCAAAATAAACTTATTTTTATGTCTACAGATGCCTTTCTCAAAGTCTGGCGTTACGCCTGAGACAAAAAATTTTACAAAGTAGCAATAAGTAGCAGCGATATTTGAGTGTGTAGGCGATAAACGGTATAATGTAACCCGCGGTAGGGCTAAAATCGAAAATTTATACTTTATCGATGTAGATAAACCTTATAATTTTCTTTTGTTTTTTTTCAACACTGATTATAACAAAAAATGTATAAAATACATACATTTTGTCGTTTTCATATTCTTTCACAACTTCAAACAGTCTTTTCATAACTGACCTCATTATATTTGTTTTCAGTTACTAAATGGGATTTGCAGAAACAAAACAAAACAAAACAAAAAGTAAAAACAAAAACAATGTGGATCGTCGTTCCGATCCGTCAACGAACAGAGACTTACCATGATGCTAAAACAGTATTTCCAAAGTGAAAGAGAACGAACATTATTAAAATGATTTCGAGAGCACAGATGTATCATTCCAAAAGAACAATGCTATACATACCTTCTGGTCTACTCGGTTGTAATGACAAAATTAAGATGTAAGAAGGTCTTACAATGAGAATGTGCAAATGTAACGTAGTATATTTTGTAAATAATAATTGTGTCATGCGGGTTTCACGTTACGAGCCACGCTGACGGCATGAAACGCGGCTCACTTTATCGCCCCAAACATGAAACCACTCAATAGTTTTTAAACGAAATGTTCTAGAAATCATGTGATTTTCCTTCTTTGTGGCCATTAATTATCGATTTTATGTGTAATAGTCTACCTTTCATTTAATGTATTTAAAATCGTATCGAATTGTTTGATTCATTTTTAATCTTTGCAATGCTTTTATGAAAAAGTGATTTTTAAGACTTGTCAGCCAAGGATGTGTGAACGGGCAATGTTAATTGATGGTGAAGGTCATGCAGACCTGTGCTTTTTGTCTCGAGGAAAAAAACCGAATGGATTTTTTTGTGTAATGTAAAAAAAAACGAATGAATGTTATCTTGGTGAGAAAAAGAAATATTTAATGAAAAACAAAGCGATTGAATAGTTTTTAGCCGTATACAGTTACTTACAGTCACCCATAACGAGTGAGCAGAGCGAATACACTAAACAAATCCTCCACTCGGCATAGTAAAAGAGTTTAGATTAATGTGAATTAGGAAATGAAAACAATTCCAACGCCAATGATCAAGTATTAAACCAACAAGAAGTCAGCTGAACGGAATTATACATAATTATACGCTTTTATTATTTTTCAAAAAGAAATTGTATTGATTGTATGTAATTCCTGTTGGAGTGGCTTTTAAAACTTCCTGTAATGGCAGAAAAAAAGTTGTTCCTACCGTATTCACGCGATAAGAAAAAAAAGAAAAAAAAATTAAAAAAAAGGCCTAATATTTTTTCGAAGCTTTTTTGCAATTGATGCTAGCCAGTTTTTTGTCCTTTGAGTTTTAACCAGAAATAATCCTTCATTTTTCTCTTTAACGAAGGTTCAAAATGTATTGAATTTTCTTAAGTATGCGAAATTATACAAAAATCGAACCTTCATGTACTTTGTTGTGCGCGTCATTGGAACCGTCTTTGTCAACTTGATGTATTTTCGCGTTGAGGTTAACGTGAAGACGGTATTAATCCAAAGTTAACAGTGTATAATAACATATGTACATGGGTGTGACTAGTATTTTTGTAAAATAACGTTGTAGACCGTGAATAAATGACGGGCGAATTTAAAAAAGAACGTGAAATTATTTTCTTATTTTCCACCTTTCTACAAACTCGAAATAAGTGATAGCGATATTTTCAAAATCTTAAATCTTTATTTCAAGTTGAGATAAAGTTAGAATATGAAACAAGCGTATTCTTATGAAAAAATTATACAAGTCTTATTGAATCGATGCTAATATAAATATACATCGTAATAAAATAGTAATACAATCTAAATAAAATAGTGACTCAAATACTTCCTTATTAAAAAGATCTTACAGCTTAAAAAATCTTTGTACGCAGGTACAATAATGAAGAGTAAAAAATTACTAACGCAGCGCTATACAACATAATTTTTCAATAAAATTATTATTACTGATCCGAAAAATGTTTGCCACGTAAAATTTCATGTACTTGAAATTTCAAATCAAAAACTTTTCGCAAGGATTTCCATTTTCATTCAATCTTTTTTTAACGTAACATTATAATATGTCATTTATAAAATTTTGGTAGAAAATAGTCAATAAGTTTCTAAAATTCAAAAAATTTTCGTATATAAATCTACGACTTAAAAAGTAAATGAATGATCGTATCAACAAATAAAATTCTCACTTTTGAAAATATTACAGAAAAAAATAGAAAAGAAAAGATTCTTCAGAAGCGCAATGATCATAAACATTTTCAATATTATATATAGATAATAAAATTTACAATATAACCATCAGCTTCAGCCGTCGCTTGCTCACTTACACATAAAACGCTCAAACCGTTTCGAGTAAAAGTATTGCTGTCAAATTGGAACAAAGATAAATTCCTTATTCATCGTAACAAGGAATATACAATACGTGGAGTGTGAATTTTTTTAATTTTCACAGAGTTCATTATCGTTGAAGACGACGCAGAAAAATCACACGTTCTACATTTTTCGTTTATTCACCAATACTTTTAACGTTAAGTACTCGGGTTAAAGATTTTCAAACGTTGTTATTTAACATCATTTGCGTATAGCGATATAGTAATCGATAAAAAAATTAAATGATAAGTCTATTGGATTTCTTTGACGGACCATCAAAGTACGTATTTTGTAGTCTGTTTCATCGTTTTTCATTATTGTTAGTAGAGTGTGTTACGTTTCCTTTCTTTTTGATCCACTTACAAGTAAAATGGACGAAATTTGTAACTACGAGCTTCTAAAAAACATTTTTAATAAAAAAATATGTATATATTATTAGGTGTGGCAGTCGCCGACAATTTCACCTGAAGTTTATTACAATTATTTGAAAATTATTGTTATAGCGACAGAATTTGTGCCTACCGTGTTTTAATATTTTGAAACGTCAAGTTGGTCGATTTGCATATATCGTTCGTAATGATATATAAAAATGAGGAATGTTTGTGCATAGACGAACAATAAATAAGTTAAGCTACACAACGCTCGCGTGATAAAATAAATCAATTCCATACGACGACTATCTAGGGTAATATACACATAACTCGTTTAAAGCATATTTACAAGAGAGAAGATAAAAAGAAGAATCGATAATCATTACACAAGTCAATTTCTTTTTTCGCGGGTTTCATGTACTTATTAATCATGTAGCAGATGGCGCGAAAATGGAGCTTTATTTTTTAAACAATGCTTTTGAGAAAATCCGTTTTGTCTTTAAACCAAGAAAGCTTGGTTTTTAAATTGATTAAAAGATGTTTAAGTAAAAAAGAAATGAAGTCTGAAAAAAAATTGGGCTTACAAAAAAAAATCATCACGAACAAACGTGCACAGTAATTCAAAAACTAACATAAAAAAAACAATAAAGAGATAGCTTTTGTAAACCGGTATTTCGGCCTTAGCGGAAGCACTCCTCACATAACACAGCAGCAGCTCTTATCGCCTCGACTATCTCCAACGATATCACTGGTATTGCCAGTGAACCTCCTGAAATCGTCATTCGCAGTAACTCCAGATATGGTAGGTACAGTAGCGACGATACCATTGCCATTAGAATCGGTCGGTATACCGGGAGGTTGGCCTTGACTGGTACGATTTTGCGCGCGTTGCTTTTTCAGATCGGCCAGCGACTTGACAAACACTACCGACACATGGATGTTGATTTTACCATTGGACGTCGTCTCGATTTGCTGCTGTGGTTGCGGCTGCTGTTGCTGATGCTGTCGCGGCAATGCTGTGTCTGGCAAAAGCTCTGGTTATTGGATTTTTCTCGTTAAACTCTTGCGAACTTTATGGGACAACACTAAAGTATACACCACCACCTTCATGCGCGCTTTATGGTGCTTTCATGCAGGCAATTTTCGGGATAGCAACTGGTGTTTTCTCTTCAACATTTGAAGCAGAATAACATAAATTTGTCAAGAATGTGAAAAGAGAGCTAGATATTACAAACGCAGTTTGGCGTCAAAAAATATCAGTATAGTAATATTGGTTCGCATGAGATTAAGATAGGTATCATAGTGCAGAAGAAACATAAATATATTCGTGATAAATTTATTGCTAAATAACAATTATATTCAAGACTAAAAGTCGCTGTTTTTTATAATCACAAGAAATAAATGCTAAATTTTAATCTAACTACATCTACAAATTGTATATTACTTTTATAGATTTACAAAAAATGAAAGTAAGAGCTACAAGAACGATAGCGCATTTATATAAAGTACAATCCACTATGAGAGCGAGCAAGAGAGAAGAAAAAGAGATTGATTTATTGCTTCATGCTTATATGCTGATATGTTCTCCAGATAAATTGACTAATTTACAATCACGCGTGCCTAGAGATTCTGTTCCCGGCTAAGTGCGATAAGTGATAACACGCTTTTAGGCCATAACCACTATTGGATACGTCTATGCTACACGGATTGCTCGAAAATATTTGAACAATACAATCATTCATTAATCGTTACAAGTGATAAAAAACAGCTAGACACAAACGGAAGTGACATGAAATTTCAATTGCTTCATCACAGCATCAATATTTTATATCTTGCGCTTCGTACGTGCGATAAGACATATTCTGAATTTACTGAAACTCGCTGCGTATCTTGGAAAGTGTCTCCACGCATAGATAAAGAAAATTAAACAGAACACTCATATGCCATGTACGTACACCCGATGACTTAAAAACAGCAAAATAAACAAAATCAAGGAAACATGTATCGATGTGCAGGAAATGTAAAAAGATCTATGTACCTCGACGCGCACAATTGAAACAAACTCTCTTACAAGACTAATGAGCAGCACCTGAGATTATATAAAAAAAGTTTCGAGCGAGAAAAATTCGACGTATACAATTTGGCATAATAAATTCACAGATAATATCAGACTTTAGATAAAATAGAAAATATGTAAGATCGAATATTAATCTACACTTATAGAAACATGAAGGTTACGTAGAAAACTGACCTCACGATGAATGGATGAGAAGGTGCCGCCGAAAGAGAAATGAGCAAAACACACAGAGACAACATAGGTAAATGTAAACGATCACAGAATGTGTAAAAACTAATTAAAAATCCACACGTGTATGTACACACACGCGCGCTCTAAAATATTACATATGTATAAACTCGCGAAGCTTTGTCTGTCACCACACGAGTCTACTGTACCACAACCAATGCAAGCGAAAGTAGTTGCGATATCTACCTGAGTCGCGATCCACATCCTCGTGCAAAAACGATTCGTTGTCCTTGCCCTCGGGAGCACGACGCACCGCAGGGGTTAAGGCTGTCGAGTCTGTATCGTCGTGAGTATTGTCTAGACCACCTGAACTATTTTCCGACGGTGGCAGGCTTACAGCTGGATTACCATACGTGTGCTTAAAAAGTAATGATACAAATAGTTTGAAATTTCTGTAACGATAATAAATCTAATTTTCCTCGATAGGAAAACTCACCTGTTGAGCTTGCAGCCTCAATCTTGCCTCCTCTTGAGCATCTTTCTTCGTAGTAAGTACTTTGTCCCTAATGGAAGTTCTTCGAACGCTCTGCGTCCTAGTATTGATACTGTGTGACCTTCTCACTCGCCTGTTCTGGGCTTCACGTAACTTTTTACTCTCTTGCTCGGTCCTCAATTCCATTATTCTCTCACGTATCTCGGGATCTTCGCATATGTCCGCTGGCGTTTCATCATGCTTGTTTTTTGCATTCAAGTCCGCGCCATTTTGAACGAGTAACTCCAAAACTTCCAACTAAAATGGTTAAGAAAAATACATTAAGAAATCTATCAGCAAGTAATTAATTTTATTAAGATAGAATTTACATGTCCCCAACAAGCAGCAGCATGAACCGGTTGCCACTTATCGTTGTCTTCGCAATCTGTAGATACGTGTTGATCGAGGAGGAACTCAACTACCCTCAAGTAACCATTTGCCGCTGCTATATGAAGCTAAAAATGAATAAATTCCACATTCATACTTGTAACACTAGCAAAAAGCATCGAAAATTATTATTGCGATCACTCACAGGTGTAGCACCTTGATGATCTTTATATTCTAGTTCGCCGCCCATTGAAGCGATTTTTTGCAAATCCCTAAGCATCTGAACTTCGGTGGAAGCTCGAGTCTCGTCGATCAATTCCTGCGTGACTCCTCGACGTGCCATTTCCCCTAAAATAACAATTAACCAATCGGTCAAAAAGTTGCAATCCTCATTTATTCATCGAAAATCGTACCTTCAATGCAATCCAAAGTTTTCTCATCTTCACAGATATCGTAAGGCATATTACCATCGGCATTAACAGCTAACAGATTAGCTCCTTTGGCTATTAAATAACGGACAAGATGTAAATGCCCGCAAGTAGCTGCAGCGTGTAAAGGTGTCCATTTTTCACTATCTTCCGCATTGACGTTTGCACCAAACTCCACCAGCAGTTTCATCATCTCCTCGTTGTCGTCGATGCAGCATTGATGAAGCGCGGTCAAGCCGTCCTCGTTAGTTGAGTCCGGATTCACTCCTTTTTTCAACAATCGCCTCACTACGAAGCCAAAAAGTTGTTTGACAGTTTGAACTGAATCTAGGTGAAAATAGATAAGGGCCAAGTGGGAATGATGCCAGTTTCGCTGGCATTGATTTCAGCTTAAATTCATTGATGGAAGTAATGGGGACATATAAGACAAGTCTACATTTCAGAAAAATTAGCTTTGAAACATTTCTCACCATTCACATACTCAACAATTATTCATCAATTAACAAACTAATTATGAAATAATAGAATTTTAGAACGGTCTATATGACAATTTCACAATTTTTAAATAAAAGTTGTTTTCCAATAAGAGCAACCAAACAAATAAGCAAGTAATAAATTTTTGTTTGAATTTTACAGTGACTCATCATTAGCTTTTCTTTGCTGAAATATTAGGGTCTAGAAGTTTCCATATACCTTCATCGATATCATTTCTGGCTGCAGCTTCTAGAAGCATGACACTGTCACTAAAGAAAATATGCTTTTTAGTGCTGGTATGTCTGATCTGATGTCGAAGCCATTCCTTCTCCCGTTGTCTCCAGACTTTGAGCTGCTGCAGTCTCCTGTGGCGAGCCAGGTGCAACCTCTCCTGAGTGGTCAGTCTTTCGACATGCACCATCTCCGCCACCAAGTCTGCATGCTCCATGCTTACGTATTTGTGGTTCTTACAACTATATTTACCTAAGCATTTTATTCAATTAGTTTTTGCACACTTATCCATAAAATCTAATTTGTTGGAATTCAGATATTACGCAAGATACCTTGCTGCCTAGCATACGTAGACTTCATTTCTCAGTATTTCAAAAGTATATAAATGAAAAACTAGGAGGCATTGTTTAACAGAAGAGTACATACGATATAGGAGTTACCGCAAAACTGATTTGAGAAAGTGAACAATGTACAGATATTTTAGCTTGCCACAGGACTTTATCAGTCGCTGAATACTTGGTTGAGTCTTGTGGCAATATTTGAACAACTGTTCCATTGAGAATGGAGAGAAGTCCATGTACGTAAGCAAGTGCAATCTTAATTTTTTCAAGGTAAGAATAGTTTAATTGAAACATATCATGATATCTATCTATGAAATATACTTATTTTCACTTGTTAACTTTATGCAAGAAGAACAAGTAAAAAATTAGATTAGAAAGATTTCACTGATATGCATTGAAATTTAGAAAATTAAACTGTGAAACAATTGTGTTTTGATTGATACTCAAACAAAGACATCAGTGAAGAATGAAATCACGAAAAAAATTTCCAAAAACACTGGCACCAATCAATTATTGAGACATCAATTTGGGTACTTTTATCAATTTCACAAAGGCAAACAAACGCATGTACAATTTTATCCTCATAATTAAACTTGACGTCCACACAACCATACCACCAGATACCTTACTGCAACCACTCGCTATCTCGATAGTATTATTTTTTATAAAATCACATGTTTTTCTTTGCCACCTGCAAATCAATAAAACCTTACGCGCCTTTATAAAAATAATACTGATTTAGCGTGAAGGCTGGATACTCGAATGTGTGTTTGAAAATAAAACATCGCACACCTGCGCTCTCGCTCTCTCTTTCTCTCTCATCTATGCAATACAAAAAAATGAAAGAAACGAACGGGTGTTCCGGGCTAACGACCTCGTCGCATTCCTAATCACACATTGCACACTCGCGCGCTTACTCTTGAAAAGAAAAGAGAAACACAGCGTTAACACTGACAAATGAGCTATGATCACCTGGAGACAAGGTACATCACCGGTGAACGACATCGGTGATGCAGTTCTGCACTCCGTCTGCGAAAGATCACGCGAGCAGGAGAGGAGAAACACACACGGTACATACATATACTACGTGCCCGCCGCCATTTTTAAACTACCTGTTAAGCGAACGGTTGTTCTTCCCGATGGTGGCGTCTCGGTGCACAAGCGTGCTGCTGTTGCTGCTGCTGCTGCATTTTGTTCCTTTTTCGACTAGTACGTGAGAGGCAAAGAGTTTTTTTGCGATATTCACAAGACAGCCGGTTTGCTTGCATTCTTCGAAAAGGAAGGGAAAGGTTATGGAACGCCGTTAATTTTTTGTTTTACACAAATTTGCACGAGACACTTGCATTCTATGACAGGTTGGTTTTTTTGTTTATTTTTGAAGGAATTCACGACAGGGTCGCGTGCGTGGTTGATAGTCGATTATATTTAGATCAATGCATTTTCTCGTTTTTTCACTGTACTTTGCTGCATGCCTTATTTTTTATAATTATTTTAACAAATACATGTTAGGGAAAGGTCTTACTAGAGGTTATCTCTAAGATAATTAAAGTTTTTATTTCATAAATTGTTTTGAAAAATTGCGTACACACATCTACATACACATGCATTCGTCGCGCACTGACGAGCCATTACTTCGTTAGTTGCTTTTAACAACGTAATTGATTTAGTTGCTTGTCTGCGAACTACATATTATAATCTAATATTTCATCACGCACATTTTACTTTTAGATGCTTTTATAGATTTTCGATTTCCTTTCTAATAGTTAATGTTAGCCAGTTGTGATTTACTTTAAGACCTACAGTGCAGTTTTTTTCATCATAGTAAACAAAGTGTTTTCCCAAAAAATGACACTGAAGCGCGAGGCTCCTCTATGCACGGGAGAGAAATCGGGGGCACTGCGGCGCGGTGGTACAACCCAATTAGCATTTTCCGCAGCCAAGCAATGAGGAACCTGGTTTCCCTCGATTAATTAATTTGAATGCTCGAAAGTTTTTTTTCCCTCTCGGGAGCATTGCTTTCGTAAATGTTTTTTTTCCTTTCGCGAACGTCTTCTCTTATCACAGCCCTAGGATCGCATGTATGAAAGCGCGCGCAGTGTTAAATATTTCAATCGCGTCTCTTACAACTTCCAGCTTTTTCCGCTCGGCCCGTTATCGAGCATGTTTGTTTTTTATTTATATTTCCCCCCCGTCGCCGCGTGTACGCAAACCCGTTATCGTCGAACGGACGGTTCCCATTATTTCGAGCACTGATCTGATTGATCGTTCGATTTCATTGCCATTTACATTGGCAATGGAGACAATCCCGCTGTGCTCGGATATACTCGTGAAGCATAATGATGAAATGTCGCTGAAGCCACGTAGTCGATCTCTTTCGTTATCTCTATATCGTATCTCGATTACTCCGAAGATTTTAATCAAACAATTGTGTTGTACTACTTGTCTTCTCGGCAGGAATCGACAAGAAAAAAAATCACGAGATATGGCTGGGAAATCGGCGATACAACTGGCGATATTCTCGGGTTTTTTGGGCTCTGGCAGTAGCGTCTTGGCTAAACTCGCTGGATTTTACGGGATACACGAATGGGTAAACAATACAATTGAATTATAATGTCTGGGAAAGAAACCTTGAAGTTTGTATACCGTTGTTCCGAATTTTACGACCTAGTTAGCGAATTTTTCTTTTTTGCTGTCGTTACGTAAAAGAGACGATCTTGCAAATGGCATGTTCTACAGATCGAAATTTGTACGCGTCATGCGACAGGGGGATGCGCGCGTTTGATCTTTCTAGACTCGGTCCCGTTCGAGGTCGGCCGCGGTGACACCGACTACGCGTGTATGCGCGAGCAAGGCGAGTCGCGAGGATCACCCCCTGCAGCTCGCGGAATCGACCTTGAGAAGACCGTCGAACGAAGTCGCGCGCTCGCTCCCAAACGAACAAAACAACAACGTGCGTCGAGGACGACTCACCGTTCGGATCGCCGTAATCCTTCTTCGACGTCATTTTCCGCGGCGCAGTGGAGTCTGTTGTGGAAGCTGTGGCTGCTCGGCCTGATGCTGCTGGTTAACACGCTCAGCCTGACGCTGTTCTCGCGAGCGCTGGCCAGGTCGGCCTCCTCGCTCGCAGCCGTCGCCGGCGCAGCGGCCGTCAACTACCTGTGCTCGGTGAGTACTCCTCGCGAGAGAGAGAGAGAGAGAGAGAGAGAGAGAGAGAGCAGAGGAGCACCTCGCCTCCTTATCGCTCGCGCTTATCTCTCGGCTTCTTGCGCGCGGCCGGATTTTTGCCATCGCCTTGTTTGCTCGGCTGTGGCCTTCGCTCTGCCCCCCGAGGTGGGGAGGGAAGTTCGCTCGCCGTGGTCGCTTCGGGGCACGTGTACTACGAGGGCTCTGCTACGCGAGATTCGCCCTTTCCTCGGCTGCCCAATTTTACGCGCGAGAATCCGAACCGAGAGGAGGCAAATTAACCAGCGTCGTCGCGGCCCCTCCTTCTTTTTCTTTTTCTTCTTGCCTCTTGCACGCTCCAATTTTTCCGCGAGAGAGCGAGGAAAAAGGGTCTATTGTCGCGTCTATTTTCGTATACGACTCAATTAGCTTACTTTTGGGCGTAGACTGTCGTTGGATGGTTGGTCTTCGACGAGCCAGCGTCGCTGCTGAGGTGTACCGGGATCATGGTGGTTCTAGTGGGACTCGTTGTCATGCTGAAGGCTAACAGCGACACAGCGGAAGCAAAGTCAAGTGAACGTAAGAGGTGAGCGTAAATATTTCTATATCCTTTTTTATTTTTTGATTGAAATGGATTTTCCGAGATTTGATTTTTCGAATCGATAATTATCGAAGCAATCGCGATACGTTCGAGTCAGATAAGACATCCGAACGAAGGTTAAATATAACTTGCGCGAGCTACGGGAGATCCGTTGAATGAATTTCAGCGAAGCAACACGCGTACAAAACAAAAACAAGGGAACGGGGAAATTTTTTCATCGTCTTATCGCCGTCTCGTACCTCTAAATATGATTTATCTCATGCTTTCAGGAAGGACTAGCCGTTGCCGAGAAACTACCTCGCGATTTTTCGCAAGACTAATTTATAAGGTGAATTGTAAATAAAAGCGCAATAGCAAAATCCACCAGCCACTCGAGTCAAAAATTCCAATAGTCCTGCGAAAGACAAGGTTGATCCTCGATTCTGCGAGCAGACGCAGCAGTCTTCGCGAATGAAAGAATTATCATCAAGCCACGACGAAGGAATCTTCGTCGAGCTATTATTTTTGAGGCGTGCGTATGCACGTGTGCGTGGACCGGAACCGAGGACGCACTCTTCGTTTTTTGCACTGCTCACCGAATCAAAGTCATTAGAGCGATGCCGACGAAGGATCTTTGCTTCGTAACCGTTGCCTGTACTTATTCTCATTTTGCACAATCAATGGCTTTGAGTTGCATCTTTCCGTTACATCGCAAAGTTTCATTGCTGTACGAAAGCTCCAAGAGCCGACTCGATATTATGCTTAATTGTTACAAACGCGAGCCGTGCGTAATTAAAAATATATCGTCTAATGCTCTGCTTTCTATTTCTGCGCAAGACAGAGTCCTCGCCATCGGGATCTGCATTGCAATTATACGAGTATGATTTCGAGAAAGAAATATTGGCCGACCTCTAATATCTCACGCTAACATTTCAAAATCACGACTGCTCCGGATTGAATTATCGACGGCTCGCGCCGTTTAAATTTACTTACAGTTCAAGAGGAACTTTCTTTTGCGCTTGTTCTCTTGGAAAAGAAACAGCTTCGGCATAGTAATGATCGCATTTGCTTCTATAACAAGTCCGTTCTGAGCGCGACACTAGCAGTCCTCTATGATCAAGAGCAATTCCAGTCAGACCTAGTCTCGGGAAGTATGGTCGTCATTAGGAATGCATTTGTTACGAGTCAAGGTTGCAATGAATATCGAACAAATATCGCGGGGCGCCGCGCCGAGGCAATCCCAAATGGAACAGCTCGGCGTGCCGCACGCGGCCCCCGTGTGGTCCTGGCCAGGACGTCGACGGCGGGCCGAGCGATCGAGCCACCGGCGGTGGCCGCACGGAGGGTCCGAACTCGGCGAGTCGAGCTTCGGGCCGCCCGCGGAGCGGCGGCGGCGGGCGGGGTGGGGGACGGGCTCGTAAAGTATAAGCCTTTATCGAGCGGCGCTTGCGCCACGCGGCTGCAATGTGCACGCCAGCGAGCGCAGCCCCGCTCCGCGACGAGTCTCGCAGTCGAGTCTCGCCGACGACGACGACGACGACGACGACTTCGCGAGCAGTCCGCGCGCGCCATGAGCAGCCCAGCAGCCAGCGACGTTGCCCTCCACGCGCCGCCAGCGCCAGCCGTCGGCTAGGCCACTTCGCCAGCGGAGCACGCGTCGCGGGGTCGCGCGGGCGCGCAGGGCGCCGTCGATCGAAGAGGCTGCGGACCCGAGACGCGGCCGAGCCGCCCGCCACGCCCGAGGCCCCGCGTCGGCGACAGCGGCAGGCGGCGATGTGCAGGGGCGCGCGGCTGGCCGTTGCGGCCGCGCGCGGGGTGCCGTGAGCGGCGGCGGCGGCGGCGGCGGCGGCGTCAGCGGCGGCGACCGCCTCCTCGTCGTTGGCTCCCGCGCGACTGCTCGCGGGCGCCGCGCGCCGACGGCATGACGTGGAGCGGGTGGCGCGAGGAGCAGCCGCTGGTGCCAAGGACGTCGTCGCTGGAGGACAGCCAACGCCACGGATAGGAGGCGCGCGGGGCTCGCAGCCACGTGCTCGCCGCGCACCACTGCTCGCACCTCGTGGCAACATGGGCAATGGCATGAACAAGGTACCCCTCGCGTCGTTGCCCCGGCGGCCGAGCGCACTTCGGTCGAGGCTGCGACCACCTCGAATCCCGGCTGGTCGCGCGCCCGGCGGGTGGCGGCGGGCGCATTCGCCGCGCGCACTGTCCGCAATCCAATCTGCGGCGCGCGGCCGCTCGTCGTCCCTTTGTCTTCGCGACTCTCCCTGCGCGGCCGCGCGCTCGTCAATACCGCGGACTCGTGACCTCTGCCGTCGCGTCGAAGCCTCCCGCGGATCGCTGCCGTTCCTCCGTTATTCTCCGTTACTTTCGTCTCGGCGCTAACTTTTTCCGGCCGAGGTTCGGCAGTCGTTCGGGAGGAAATCCCGGGATCGAGAAATTGCGCGGGTGCAAAGCTTCTTTCTCCAGTGATGGAGTGGGCGCCTCGTTCGAGGAATGCGTCTTTGCGCGCTGCGCGGCGAGTCGAGTTTCTCTCTTCGCGAACGAGCAACTGGCGTGGTCAACGGAGAGCGCCGCGTCGCCAAAGGCTCGCCCAGCGGGAGCTAATCGCGGTCCAATTGATACCGACGAGGGCGAGCCGCGATCGAACTCTCCCAATTGTCCCGCGCGGCGTTGGCCGGCGTCCAAGCGTGATTGACATTCGCGCGGGATCGGATCGAAGGCGGCGGTGCGGGGCGAGGCCTCCTGCTCCCGCTCGCGGGGGAGGTCGAGGAAAAAAAGTGGAGCGCCGCGAGGCGAAATCGATCGCGCGTCGTCGCGAGCTTTGCCCCCGCGCGTCGATCGCCGCTCGAGGCGGCTCTCGCACTCGCCGCCGAGAGTCGTCGAGAGTCACCGAGGCTCGCCGAGTCTTTTCTTTTTAGGGCACCTTCTCGCGCGGCGCCCTCGCTTGCCCTGGGCACACTCCCGTGCCTGCCGCTACGTCTCGCTCGGTTTCCCTTTTCGCGTCCTAGCTTCGCCGACGGTCGGTACGCTCCTCTTCGACTTCCGAATTCCAATCGAGGTTCCGACAAAATTGAAAAAAAAAACGCGGTCCGTCGGAGCGCCAACGGAGCTCAGTTGACGGGCCGAGAAACCGTCGGCCCCGGCGAAAACCGCGTTGCCGAAGTTCGACGAGCGAGCGATCGCCTGCCCCGGCGCGCTCGAGCGTCGACGAACTCCGGCGGCGCGTTGGAGTAAGCGAGCCCGCTGGAGCCGCAGGTGCTGCCCGGCCTGTACGTGGGCAACTACCGCGACAGCAAGGATGCCGCCCAGCTGGAGCGGTTCGAGATCACGCACATCCTGGCCATCCACGACGCCGCGCGCCGGCTGCACTCGGTGAGTATGGGCGCGCGTTCCAGCAGGCGGCATCACGCCCCCCCCTCGTCGTGTGTCGGCAGGACAAGCACTACCTCTGCATCCTGGCGGCCGACTCGCCCGACCAGAACCTCTCGCAGTACTTCCCCATCTGCAACGACTTCATCCATTCGGCGCGGCTACGCGGCGGCAACGTGCTGATACACTGGTAAGCGCGCGAAGGGCCCCGGCCAGGCCGAGCCGGGCCGCGCTCACCGCGGCCGCGCCGCTCTGCTTGCAGCCTGGCGGGCATGTCGCGCAGCGTGACGCTGGCGGTGGCCTACATCATGAGCACCACGGACCTCTCGTGGAAGGACGCGCTGAAGGTGGTGCGCGTGGGCCGCGCGGTCGCCAACCCCAACGTCGGCTTCCAGCAGCAGCTCGAGGACTTCGAGTCGACGCGCCTGCAGGACGTAGGTGGGCGCGCGCGCAGGCCGCCGGGCCGACCGACTAACGCCGGTTGTGCGCGCAGGAGCGGCGGCGGCTGCGCGAGCGCTACCCGTCGCGCGCCCTCGCCAGCCAGGACGCCGAGGCCTGCCGCCAGACGCTGCTCAGCTACGAGGGCCTGGCGCTGAACCGCGAGGTCTGCGAGGGCAAGTGCGCGCTGGGCCGCGCCTGCCCCACGGGCCTCTGCCGGCAGCCGGGCAAGCGCGCGGCGCGCCGCAAGTCCTCGGCCGGCGGCGGCCAGACGCCGGGCCGCACGCCGCCGGCCACGCCGCGGCTGCTGCCCTCCGCGCCGCCCTCGCCCGCGCAGGTGCCGCGCTCGGCCAGCGCCGCGGGCGTCTCGGCCGGGCGGCCCTCCTACGGCGGCCCCAGCGGCCTGCACTACTACACCGGCTCCGCGCCCGCCTCCAGGTTGGCCGCCCGCCCGCGCCCGCGAGCCGCCGAGACCAACGAGCGCGCGCTGTTCCAGGGTCGCCTCGCGGCTGGACCTGTCGGCGGCGGTCGCCTGCAGCAGCAGCGTCGGCGGCGGCGGCAGCACGTCCAGCCTGTCGGCGATCGGCCGCTCGGCGCCGGTCAGCAGTCGCGCGACGGCCCCCTCGCCCTGGCGCTACGCCGCGGGCTCGGCGCCCGCCACGCCGCGCGCCACGCCGCCCGCCTCGCCGCAGCACTGGCCCCGGCGCCTGCGCCCCGGCACCCCCGTCGCCAAGGGCGAGGCCTCCGCGCCGATGACGTAGCGCCGGCTGGCGCTGCTCGCCACCCAGGTACGGACGCGGCCCGCGCGCCCTCTGCCCGCCCGTGACCCCTGGCTCCTGCGACAGGTGCACGAGCGCGGCCCCGGGCGCGTCCACCCGCGCGGCTGCCCGGACGCCGGCTGCCCCTGCTTGGCCGGCCACGCGCCCTGCTGAGGCGCGGCGCCCACCGGAGGATCCATGCATCGTCGATAGCGCCGTCGTCGGATGCACGGACGGGAGGGGCTGGGCGCCAGGACTTTCTCGGCGTTTCTTCGCGGAAAGTTCATTACCGTGCGTATAGTCGGGTGCGCCGAGGCGACCGCTGCCGACTCAAGGCAAATTGTATTTTTTTAATAATGTATGCCGTCGTCGTCGAGCGGCGCGGCAGAGATGCGTTTCGGAGCACGTAGCCAGCGAAACGCACGAAATAACAGGTTGCGCGCGTCGTACTGTTCCCTTTTGCCCAGCCGCTCGACAGTAGCATTTGCCGGTCACGGCTCGATCGGTAACGCGCTCGCTTCGGCCTCGCTGGGCAAAAGAAACGGTAGACCACCCATGGCCGCGCTATGGACTTGCCGATAAATTGGCGGCCTTGGCTTGCAATCTACTAATTCTTTTACGCGCTCGTTACAAAGTGAGCAAAAGTTGAATATGCAACGATCGCGAAAGCACACATGCACCAAACGGAGACGGCAATCCAAGCGAGCAAGCAGAGCCGCGCAAATGTTTCGAGAGCCACTTGCACGCGCATAAGAAAATTAATCCAATGAAATGTCACGTACTAGTAATTAAGTAGGCAACGACGAAAAAACAAAGCAAAACAAAAAAAAGAATACGTAAGAGTAATGTCTTTGAACTTGTTTAGCGCAACTGCAAAATTTCAAAGCATGCATAACGTAATAGCCGAGGTAACGGGAGGGAGAAGCACGACGTAGCTTTAGACAACTTTTTTACAGTCAAGGAAAACCCAAAGCATCGCGTCAGTGTTCGAGGCGAGCAGTCAGCGAGACCTCCTTCATCCCGATGAAATGCATATCAAGGCGATCGACGATTGTTATTTTTCATACGACGTTTGTAGATAGTAGAAGGAACGCACTCCGCTGCGGGCATAGTCTCCGAGACTTGCTTCGCGAGCGAATCACGCTCGAGCTTTGGACCAACAAAAACGAGCCCGCTAGGCAACGATTGCGTTATACCAGGTCCGGTCTTTCGGAAACTTTCTCTAGCGGAATAAAATTACGCATGGCGGTTTTAACGCGAGTGCAATTTTTTCATACGTTTGCTGAATTGCTGATCTGTGATGCGACACATACACACACACACACACACGCGCGTATAAATAAAAAAGCTTTAGCTTGTGTGCACAACGATCGGATATTTCACGATAGCTTGCCAAGAGAAGATATTGTTGTTCCGTTTTGACGAGGAGAAAAAGCTTCAAGCTTCGAAGTGTGTTTCATTGTGATAGGGACAATAGCAATAAAAACGAACACACACACACATACACACGTGATCTCTGCACTTGTTAGGCGAAAGGCGCTTTCGTTGCTTCGAATTTTTGCGAGGTGTCCATGCTGAATCCAAGTCGATGGGTAAAAAAGCGTGTTACAATGTACTTAGAAAAAGTGGGACGACGAAAATTGCGCAGAATCTTCGACATACGGCTTCAGACACCTTAGGCAGCATATCTCAACTTTTGTATATAAACGAAGCGATATAGCGTGGGAAGAGCCTGCACACGTTGCTTAAACGTGCTATTATATATAATAATGATGCGAGATATAGAGATGAGGATTTACCCGGAGGATGAGGAGCAACGTGACGATGCTGCGAGACGAGTTCCTTATACATATGTAATCGAGCAATAAATTACAAAGCTCCGATCCATATCACGAGCGCACCTTGCAGGCAGAGAATGCCGTTGTTGCTGAAAGCGGCGCACGCGTTTTTCGCAATTAGCATATCCGAGAATTGATCGGCAGGCGTTCGCAGAGATGCCGTATGTTTTGACTCCACCCACGACGCATTACGTTGTAAATCACGCTCCTTTCCTCGGATCCTTGCAGTGTCGAGCCGGCAGACGAACGAGCTCGCGATACGATGCGACACGGAGGCGCTTCGAAGCGAAACGAGCGTTTTTAGCCGAAAACGTAGCTTATATAGGAAACTCGACGTATTTTTTCACGACACGGAACGACTCGCGACGAAGTGAAGGTTCTTGATGAGTTAATCGACGAGGACAAACTCGACACCCTCCAGCCTTTCAAGCAACCTCGAGATCTACTTTCGTTTATGCCGCGGCAATGCGCGGATCCTGTAGATGTGTTGTGGAATTATATCACGCACAGAGCGCAGTTTCCGTACCTGAGCGAGCGCCGAGGAACAGTCAGAATCGTTGAGGAATCGACGGATCATTCTTCAAACTTGAGAGAGGCATTTTTTTCCGACGTATCGTATGCGGGCAAATCGATAGAGCTGTTGGATTTGAGTGTGATTGTTTCACTTGCCTTTGTCAATTCCACCTATTCAGTGAATCTCGAAAATTCACAATTGCTACTATTTCGGTGTCAACGCATCGATTCAATCCTGCAGCTCACTTTCATTTCGGTATCCATATGCAGACTCATATTTGACACTCGTTTGAACAATTCGTTTTCCGTCTCCTTTCTGCAAAAGTATTATAAGAGAATTATCATACTCGCATCGATATATGCTCTATCTTAAATTTATGCACTGAAATACATACGATGAAAAAAAATGATATTTATTGAAAGAATAAATAAAGATTCGTTTCTCCTGAATTTTACGTATTTTTATCATTTACACCCAAACTCGTAATACAATTACGGTCCAATATATTTTTTTACTGACAATCTATACAGCAAAATCACGCTAAACACTTCAAAGTTTTATAATTATAAATGAAAATTATATTAAACGTATAGCTAGTAATCTTCAAGTGTGCTATAATTTCGAATACGACGTTGATAAAGTTATTCAACGCTGAACAACATTGATTTGTAACTGCACATGCAATCGAATCAAATCACTGTACTTTCTCTAAATTAAATTTTTTTTTTCATTTCAAATTACATGAAAAATTATTTGCTTATAAATTTCACTCCAACTACAAGTATATCAAATAACGAATTGATTGATTTCCATTATTGGATATACATTTATGAGGTTTCGGAATACAAGGGTTTCACTCAAGAAATCAATAACAACGTAAGTGCACTTAATTAAAACAAATTTTTATTTATTAGCAAATATTTAGGAATAATATTTTTTCGTTTTTCTCCGTTTTACATCTGGCAGTTTCTATATTCTCTCTCGGCGCAAACTACTTATATATCATAATTTTTTACACGGCAAACGAAAAAGCGCAGAGAAAAATAAACATCCAAAAAGTAAACAACGCTTCACCTACGTTTCACAAAGAAGAAAAAGAAACAAAATTTAACGCGCATAAAGGAAACGTGCCACTCGATATAGCAATCAAAACAAAATCACTGTTTTTGTTTTTTTTTTTCACAATTAGAAACCAATCTCAAAAAGATAAACCATTCAAAAAGGAAGAAAAAAAATAATCACCGCAAAAAAGAAATGCAAAGGGGTAAACAATGTACACTCAGATCAAACTTTGAAAGGAATAAATAAGTAAATCACACTCTCTCGCAACATCGCAAATTGATCAATAAGTAAGACACTTATACGCAGCCTCTTTGACATTTATAGTTTATATATATGTACATACGTAATGTGACGCGTTCGGACAGTTTTATATTTTGGTTTACTGCGTCTTATTCAGTAATAATCGTTCTTCACTTTTTCTTTGTTTCTTTTTTTAAACTAACGATAAATCTTATGAAAATAGTTCGCAAAACTTTTCCCACCTGCTTCTCGATTATTTCTTACTTTTCATTATTTACAAACCTAGTTTTATATACAACTTGTACCGGTAATGCAATATTACGATCACTTGATGATCAGCACCCATAGCGTCACTAGCATTTTTTACCGGCAAAAAAGAAATGTATTTTTCAATTACGCAAAAATAGTAATCGATAACTCAAACGTGTAACGTTGCTTTCGTGAGAATTAAAACGTTGAGATGCAAGAAATGACTATCAAGGTATAAAGATTGCACGTAATTAAATAACGAAGGAAAAAAATCATGCTTATAAATTATCTGCAGCATTAAGCATAAAGAGTTATCGATTTGACGTAATTCGTTGTCCCTATCTTAATTTATTACGAATAATCAATTTTCAAAGTTCAATTTCTCTCGGGAATTTCACTCTTACGTACAAGATCATAATAACAGCCTAGCGCACATAGTCTTTTCCTTTTCTGGCAGCTAAGAGTAATTACATTCATCTCGTTTGTGGTTGAACAGTCGACTGTACAGACGCAACAGGTAGTGATACGTTTATTTAAGACATCTTTAGACTTATAAGCAACAAGACCATTGTGAACTTCAAAAATGTCTAAACTAAGGCATTATTGATCTTTCTAAGATCTATGAACTATTTAAATTCGATACTTCACGATACTTATTAATTATCAATTACTTTCAATATAACTTTTGATCGTTTAGATATACTCGGTGCTATTCACACAAGTTGATGGTTTAATGTACTTCTGTCGCCGCAAAAAAACAACTTTAAGCATTAATGAATTTTTTTCCATAAAAACATTGTATAGTTATACAATTATTTATCTTTATAAAGTGCTATATAATGAAGTAAATCGATTAAAAAGTTAAGTTTCTGACACATTTTGTTTTTACCTTGTAAATAGTAACACATTAAGATATCAGTCATGTAATATTTATTATTATCATTTATATTTACTTGAGATTTTTAAAAGATGCCTATAATCTTTTGAAAAATAGAGAGGAGCGTTTTGCAAAAATTACACTTATTTACGTAGTTTACATATCTGTAGTCATGTTAAAATTTACTATCGAAACAGTAAAAGTGCGTTCGTTCACACATCGTTCTCAATAAAAAGCATCATGTAATAATTTGATAAATTGAGAAGTAAATTATAAAGCATTTGATGATCGAATAAATAAGTTAAAAATTGAAGGAAGGAAAAAAGAAAACGCCGTGTACGTATTTACATTCGTATTCCTTTCGCTTACTTGACCATGAGGAAACCTTGGACATCGACGATGAATTTATCGAAGTTATCACGGAACTTGAACATGTGAACACGTTCGTTAGTAAAGTCGACATTAACCGCTAGAGCGTTGAATGCAGCTGCTAACCTCTCGCTTGTGTACTGTGATGGTTGCTCGCTTATTAGATTTTGCACGATCTGCTTGTACTGATCCTGATAACAACAGATCAAATGGTACAGAGGTACGCTTGCATTTGGGATGAGGTCCGAGTTGATTTGGTGCGTTAGAATGAGGTTCATCAGTAGCTAAAAATAAGGTGATCTCAAAAATAAATGTAACTATAAATTAATTTGACAAGTTCAGTACTCGACACTCACGCTCAGGAAAGGCATCATTAAATGATTTGGCTGCTGCTGATTCTTCATTGCTGCTGTATAAATGTGTTTAGCCATCACCTGAATAATATCACAACAATGAATGGTGATCTTGTAACCGAATGAGTATAATCCCAGCTCTATCGACACTAACATCTGCGACAACATTTCTGGAGGTAAACCTATGACTTTTTCGGGATACGTTTCACAAATGATAGTTATCATTTTGTAATACCTGAAAAAGAAAAAGAAAATAGATTTAAATAAACCAGTTCAAATAGGAAAATGTGTACTATTATCCTTTTCCTCACTGTAGACAGAGTGTAGGGAATTTCAGCAACTCGATCGTCATCATTGGCATAATAACATTGAAGCCATGAAAGAAAACGTTAGCTGGTGTAATTTGTCCTGGTCTTGTCTCTGTTAATGGATTCAGCATAAAGTCAAAACTGACGATCTGAGTGATTAACTGCATAAGTAATAGAATGTCCTGGAACGTATCTTCTTCTGCCGTTGCATCTATTGTTACTCTGTTCCTGTTGCATTCCGCGTAGGCCTGTAAAAACAATTTTTTTCTATTACAAAGAGAATTTTTATTAGACTGTACATTATTGTGTCTTAAAAACCAAATAGTTACCTGTAGTATGTGCAAATAGATTTCGAGGACGTTATCACTGTCGGATAGGAAGCATAAGAAAACCTTGGAACATTCAAGTATCAATTGGACGATCTCTTGATAGTTGTGATAGAGAGTCAACATACGTGGAAACTCTCCGAGAATAGAGTAAGCATAAGGAGTCACAATTTTAGCGGTGTTGCTTGTAACTCCTTTAGCCACACCTGAAAAACATAAATACGATATTTATTTTAAATTAAAACACAGTTTAGAAATTTACGAATTTTTATTTCCTACCTATATAGGACTCTATAATCTCAACCATTTGAACGCGGATTTGCTCACTATGATAGTTCCGTGGAAATTCTACGTTGCAGATAATCTCTTTGAAACGATTCTGCAGCGGCTCAAGAATTTGTGAAAAATATTGGCGACTTCGTTCGTTGTCTTTTAATGCGCAACCAACCAGAACGATTGCTTTCATAAGACCACGTTTGGCCACTTGAGGTAGTCCAAAACTTTTCATTGCTAGCTCAACAAGATTGCCAAATCGTTCGGTTTTCAACAAAGTTTGTGATCTGCAAAGACAAATATTTATAAATAAAATTATTAACCAATTATTATATCAAACGAATCAATTAAAAATTAAAATTACTTCTCATTCGTATCTACTAGTACATTAAGCAGATTAATAGTTTCGGTAATCAATGTTGGTTCACCCTTGAAGGCCTTGATGTAGCACTCGATTTTTTCCAACAAGAAATTCATGGTCCATAACGCTCCAGGTGTATCATCTCCAAACGCTTGAATGAGAGTAGGACTGAGCTCGGAATAAAGTGTTTCTTTTGGGACGAGATAGCTAAGTGACCATCGATTTAAAAACCAAGCGATACTACTGCAGAGTTCAGGTGACAAGTGTTGTGCTGCATTCGAGTTGATAGCAATTTTTGCAACTTCGCTCAAGCGGAAAACTGCCACGATTAAACGGATCGTGTGATCAGCTGATTGCTCTGCACCGTTTATGTCGTTCAGGTTACTCTGTGGTGAGGCGAGTAATTGAAGAGTAATGTTGACGTCTACTTGGCCTTGCTGTGTCTACAGAAAATACAAGAATATTACTTGAATTATCATAAACAGAACTTAATATTTGAAACTATGCTCAGACCTGTTCCATACTGTAACGGATAATCTCCGCAGGCATCAATGGTGTTTCGCCAACAGCTTCAAGACATAAGACGTGTCCAGCAATGAGCACCAACCAATGAAGATCTTCGTATAAACTCTCGGCGGAACCGAGACCGGAGATGTTAAGAGCCTCGGGTTGACTGACCAACCTATTGAGTAGCTCCTTCAGCTTGGTTGTTCGATCTTCAAGTAGCCGAGCAAGCAGTGACAAAGAGTGGCTTAGGATTCGTCTGCCGCAATTACCTACAAAAAAATTTATATAATTAAAAGTCGAGTGGTGATTAGTAAATTAGTAAGTAATAAAATAATGAATAGGTACTAACCAATACTTTGTAATTGATCCCTAAATTTTGTCCTGTCGTCTTCTTCAGTGGCATCGATTTCTTCGTTGTTCAACTCTTTGCCTCCAGAACCTCTCGTCCCGTCTGGTGGTGACAGATGATATTGCAAATATGTGTTGAAAATTTGAATAGAACTGTGATGACAAAGCTGCGTTGGAAATAGCGGTGGATCGTGAAGTACTGAGATCCATGTCTCCATCATTGTCTCGAAAGCCTCCATGTACAAACAGTCGTCGGCGCACATCTGCAATCGGTTGTAATAATTAGCATTTTAGAAAGCCAAACATCATGACGAGCATATAGGCAAGCAACGACGAGAAAGAAAGGAAAGATAAAAAAAACCAAAAGTTGAAGTATGCAAACACGCGCACTCGTGACTTGAAATACACTTAGTCAAACGTACGTTTACCTAACTTTCGACTGCGTTTAGTCTGAAAATTTACACAAACATATGAATATTTTGAATCTAGTTGTATGGAGGTCAGGCGAATTTCAAAACTATATCGCATAAGATTTATTAAAAGAAAAATATAGAAAAATAATGAACGTACCGATTCTTCTTGCGAGGCACCTTCAGTGAAAAGGCAAGTCAGTCTAGTCATATAATCTATAAAAGATCTTTGTATATCCTCAGGTAAACATGATATTGTTTTACGAAAGAAATTCACGAGTTTATTGAATATCTTTGCAATACCAATGGCCTCTTGATCGATTATTTCAATATTGGATAGAAGTTTAAGCAAACTTTGCATGTAGTTAGTCAAATACTGTAATTTAACTTCAGGAGACTGCATCATAATTCCATTAAGGGTAGCCAGTTGTACCAGACAATTTCTTGCATGATGAGCCAACTGAGGATTTGTTCGAATTTTCCAATAAGCTGTGAAAAATAGTTGAACGACTACTGGGTCTAGCATTACATCTTTCCACATAGTTGTCAAACGAAGCGTGGGACTGCTGTCAGACTCATAAACTGCTTCAAAAACACCAATTAACCTTTTTGGTAGTGCACTGGAGTTAAAGATCATAATAAAAGAAAATTCAAATGTATAATGGCGTTATAATATGTATAAAGAGTTTGAAAAGGATATAGGACACATAGATGAATCCCCAAGTCAATACCCCTTCACAAATAGCTATTAATTGCTTTACTAAGGGTAACATAGGTTCTTGTATATCAGACTTCATGAATTCACTAAGTACTTGAACACAAAATTTGAAAATTCTCTTGAGTGTTGTGACTTCAAATTGCTTTTTTGCTTTGAAGTGTGTTTCCCATGTTAGTCCAACATCTGATGATTTCACAGTTGTTGCGTATTCTTGCATTAGGGCTGATATGATACTACAGCCTAACAGTTGCTAAAAAATAAGTAGAAATTAATTAATAGTAATTTGTCAAAATACAAGATAAGTTATTCTTACCCTTGGTAAATCTCCACTAACAACAAGTTGCTCAACTTCATTCAAAATTTCCTCCCTATCTTTCCCTAAATCCTCAACACTTCCTCTCTTAACCATGATAGCAATAACCTGTAATATTCTTTCTCTGACAAATGGTGCTAATGTTGGTCTGCTTATTATGTACTGTAGTAGATATTGCCTTAATGCTAAAATATCTGATTTTGGTAATGATGACCATTCTTTGATCAATGCAATCTTGATAACACCAGTGGCCTCAAATCGAACATAATCTATTGCGCTCCTTTCAAGAATTTCTCTGCATAGTTGATAAGGAGATTTGGTTTTGCGAAATTCCAAGAAAACTACCTCTGCTGACTGTCTCTGCTGCGCAGAGACAAGATTTGGAGGTGCCTGTAAAATAAGCAGTGCAATTGATAACAGTACCTACAATGAGATGTTATAATTGGTAAAAATCTAAATAGTTTTTAATTGCTAATCAGTAAAATTTGTAAAATCAATACTCCATTCTGCATATGTAACCTTCACCTTTGTGACATAATTTTAACTCAATTACTGTACTCTAGAGAGACACAAGAATAGTTGTAATTGATAATTGAAGCATTAAAAATTACACACAAACATATTTTTTACTCAAGATCTACACATTAAAATAAGGCTAGGCATTTCAAGGCTTTATAAATAGAAAATTGTGTTAAACATTGCTTATATAAAAACTCTTAAGTTTAATTGTAATCAAAATCAAACATCACTTATGAAATTATTATATATCATAATAGCATTAATTTTTGATCATAGTCAGTTTTGGCGCCGATTGTTCCAATATGTACTAATAAAAAAAGGCACACTGTGCATTCTTTGAATTGAAATTGTCATTTTATCGAAATTCTGTATCACGTGAAAAACTGTCTGTGCGTCACCAAAATCACACGTATTTAAAAACTGTTCTTGAAAAAACTAAAAATGCGTCATCTTATTGCATTTTCAATGGCGTATTTGAAGTTGAAATAAAATGTTTTTCGGTGCAGAGAACCTAACCTACACATCTACTAACCAGAATGAAAACCGAATGTAACCGACCAGTATTTTTCGAACGAATTCAAACGTCGAATAGTTTTGAGTTTCCTTGACGCTGTGCAACATTTTTTTCGCAAATATTTAATCAAAATCACTTACCAAAACTGCTTGGGCCGCCGTCTCCAGCTCGCGCAGCACTTGGTCCGCCATTTTTAAAGCTACAAATGTCTATGTGTGTGCGAATGCTATATCTCAAACGCAAATGTGTTTTAGTAATACAATACAGCAATACAGTAATCGAAATAAAGAAACTCAAGTACACACTCGCGCTCACAGTTAGACTTCTATGTGGCGACAGCCACAGTGATAAATTAACGATCGAAAGTACCAAATTACAGTGTTTTTCACTCTTTTTCATTATGGACCAGTGTACTGCGTATTATTAAATCTCGCTTGCAAAGTAGGCAAGTTTTGGTAAGAAAATCATATACGTGATTTGTTTAGATTGTTTTGTAAACAGGTGATTAGCCACGCTTCGGTGGAAAAAAAGAATCTCGTCCTTAACCTGCGGTTAACGAGCTAATTTGCAGTTGTTACATTTTCCTTGAAAGCCCAATCAACGCATTAATGCTTGAGTAATGAACTATGAAAACAATTACTCTCTTAACGGATCGAACAATTCTATATCTCCCGGTGACGCATGCGACGTTGCATGCCTTATTGTCGCTGCAGTATTGTATGTTAATTGTTGTCTAATGAAATTCAAGCTCGAAATGCTTAAATCAAACGAAATAACGAGTATTTTCTTGACGATAAGAATCATAATTGTTCTTGTTGTTTTGGGTGCTTCATTATATCCTGCTGACGGCTGATGATTCCCGACGTCTATGGACGTTTTTAGAATAGAACAGAATAGAGCAGAATCGTTTTCAGTCGGCGATTATTACAAAAACTCTGCGAAGCTACCTGCTGGAAGAACTAGGCCCTTCGCACGAGAATCGAACGTAGTCGTGCGTTCAATCGCCAAATCGGAATAGCATTCATAGAGACGAATATGGCTCTGAGAATGAAGATAGCAAAACGAATGCACCCGTGCAAAACATGCAGTTTTGAAAAAAGCATCGGGAAAAAGTATCTCAGTGATTGCAAGGTCGTCAAACGTGTCAGCGATGAAGTGCAAGCCCAACCTGTTGCGATCGTCAAAGCAGAGCCGCTGTTGGTGCAAAAAGAAACGTCGTTCAATGTGGGTTCCATCAAAAGAGAAGCAATTTTTTCCTATCCGATCGAGCAATTTTCGAGAAGTGATTAACTTTCAGGTCGACGCGCTGCCAATTGGCGTGCAGACGAGAACCGGACAACTCGATCCGATCGAGAAACTCGAGCGCCTTGGTGGCGGACCGAAGCGCAGACGCCTCGTGAAAGCCGAAAAAGTTGACGTCGACGGCGCAGCCAGTGACGTTGTAAAATCTTTAACGTCGTGCATGGACACTGTAAAACTGCTCGTCGCCAATTTACCTCGTGATATTACTCAGCCAGATCTATTTCGTCTCTTCGGCCATTACAGTTCGTTTCAATGCACTTACGTAATTCATGGCGAGGCTTCGGACGAATCGCTGCATAAGGCTGTACTCATATTCAACCATGAAGCTGACGCTAAGCAGGTATACAACGCATTTGTTTTTGCAAGCAACTAAATGTGCATTGATAATTTGATGCTTTTTCAAGGCGATGGAGCATTTTAACGGCCTATTGCTCGACGGCTGTGACGTGGCTCTGAAGGTAGAATTAATCAGCTTGACGCGCAGGTATGAGTATGGATCACCGTTGAATTTAATTCACTACCAAGTCGTCACAAGTCCCTCTGTGTTCAAGTGTACATTTAATCATTCAGCGATCAAACGTGAAATCTCCGACGATCAATAGAGATGAGTACTTCTTTGTTCTGTTTCCGTCTTGCGTTGTCTAGCAATTTGCATAGGAATGAAGTTTTGCCTAGTATCTTTTATGTAATATTTTATCAAAAGGTATGCTGCTGTTATTCATTTTTTTATATACTTTTCAAACGTCAGAACTTTCTACTATCAATGCATTTCTTAACGGTTTGTTTATATTATTTTAATAATTTCCATGAAAGAATAAAATTAATTTTCTACAATCTAGAGACATTTATATATTTCCTTTTCATTCGCTAATTTAAATGGTTGATCACAGAATAATAGCACAAAATAATACGGCTAATAGTGCGATCAAACTGAAATTTCGTAAATTTTTTTTAACAATTTTACGTTGAGTGAACAAAAATTGAATTGTATTGACAACGCTGTCGTGGTAGCTAATTACTTTACAGAAAATTGTTTACTATGCTAGAGGACAAACATCAGTCTCCATCTAATCTCCGTCTAATCACGCGAAAGTCTTGCTCGCGCGAATTCAAGTAGTACGAGTCGGAATGAGGTGAATTGTCCGTTACTGTGCGGTCAAATGCCAACGAAAATTCTGCATTACAGACGCGAGTCACGACTTTCTCTTCTCTCTCAGCCGTCCACTCGAACAAAGTCAGTTGTGTACTTTACAGCACTTCATCCCTTTTAGTTGCTCGACGCACTTATTGAAGTGAGGCTTCAATAGTGGGAACGATTCAATTATACTGCGACATAAGTCGATTGAAGATGGTTGCTCCTGAGCGGCAACCAATGCCAAATGGGCTATGATATATCAGCAGCTTCAAACAAGTCAGAGACTGCGCGACTTTGGCGCCGAATCGCAGCTTTTTGCAATACAAACAGAATAATATCACCCATTTTACGACGTATATAGTTAGCGATGACGCAGAGGAATAATAGGCTTCGTCACACTTGAATCGTAGAAGCATAAAAATGGCTATCTTTGGAAACCGCACGAGTTCGATGCTTCTTGGGAAACACTTTTCCATACACGGAGTGGTAGGTGGAAGGGCCCCTTAAAATCACCTCGCGATGTAGGTTAGTGACAGAAACTAAAACTACAACGGTATTTTGTAGAAAATGAATAAAATCAACCTATAACGCCCCATATTTATAACTTAATCGCCTGTAATCATTCAGTAAATGATATTCGCATCTTGTATATCGCAAAATGAAGGACCTTTTTTATTTCCTAATCGATAGAATAATTTCAAGGCTTTGCGTGGCCGATAATAGAACGGTATTTTGATGACCATTCACAACCATTAAATAAATCTTATATATAACTTTCATAACACGAAATGAAGGATCTTTTTTATTTCTTGGTCGATCAAAAATTTCCTAGACTTTATATGACCAATAATAGTATGTTTTTTTGATGAAAATCAATAAAATCGACCTCTAACGCCCCATGTCTATGCTCAAACCACTTATAGTCATTAAACAAATCATATTCACGTAAAATGAAAAAATATCGCCATTGCCAAATCAATAAAAAAAGTTTCCTAACTATATATATATATAGCCAAAACTATGCATCCAAATAATATCCAATAATATTTTCCTCCAATTTGGTATGTTTGTGAAAATCAAACAAAATATGTGTAAAATTGTTCTTACAGCATCGCTTTATTCTTTAAATTGTAATTTTTAAAGTGTACATTTTTTTCGTATTGTTACATAAATAATATGTATGAGTCTTTTTCCTATTAATGGCAAAAATAATGGATCAATGAATGTCGGAACGAGCGCCCTTTGCGAATAGTAAAACGTTTCGCTCTTGCGATTTTCATCTTTCGATTTCAAATGTTTTTTACGCGTTTATAGCACAGGAATATTTGTTTTTGGTAATGGAACATACCGCGTTGGGATAAACACGAAAGAATGGATTCGAATACGAATACAGAGGGCGAGAAGAGAAAAGCCAAGTGAGCCGAATAGAGGAGAAATGTGGAGGGGGGCGAAGCGAACGTACGAGTCAGTGCTAGCAACGAATATAGATGCTTATAGAAGGTCAGGTCAATGTAGTGTAGAAGGGCTTGTAGTTCTTCATTGACCGTTGGATGGCGCGCGTATGATCTAGAAAGACATTTTTGTAGCGAGGGAAGCGAAAAGAGAAAACGCTTGGCGAAAACTAAAAGAGATGATGAAACGAAGTAGAGAAGAGAGAAAAAGACTTATTGGCTCGATTTTCAGTTTTCTCATCGTGCTGATGGGCAGACTCAGATAAACTTCAGTTAAAGTATGCCTATTTTTACAATTTAAAATTGAAAATAATTCTTTTTCCATACTAAAGCGATAGGTTTTCATTGAACACCGTTTATCGGGGGGGACGATCAAAATAAAGTATACGACCGAACCGGAGGTCAATACTTTGGAATACAAATTTACTGATGAAGTGGTTACTTCATCAATAATCTTTATTTTACCTAAATTCACTTTTTTACGAGGATTGTTTACAAAGTCCGTGCAAAAATGAAAACTACTTAAGTTTTTTAGGATAATCCTTTTTTATTTTTCAAAATACTTATTCGTTTCTGCAATCACCTCCTCGTTTGAATAAAATCTTTTTCACGTCAGACATTTCTTCATATTACGGTACAAATAATAGTCCGAGGGAACCAAATCTAGAGAATAGGGGGGGGGGGGATGTGAAACAAGTTTGAACCCTATTTCCCTTAATTATTTGTGGCTACAACTGCTGAAGCATGAGCTAGTGCGTTATCATAATGGGCAAAAATGGCTTTTTCGTTGACCAGTCATGAACGTTTTTCTTGCATACTCGGTTTTCAAATGATCTAGTAATGATGAATAATATTTACTTGTTTTCCAGATAGTCGATGAAGATTATTCCTTTCGAATCCTAAAAGAAAATTACCACAACCTTTCCAGCCGAAGGAGCAGTCTTCGCCTTTTTTGGTACAGATTCCCCTTTATTAACCCGTTGTTTAGATTGTTCTTTGGTCTCAGGAGTGTAATAATATATCCATATTTCATTCACAGTGATGGAGCGACGCTTAAAATTTCTGCGGATTCCGCTTGAACAGCTGCAAACCGTCCTTGCAACACTTTACACGTATTCATTTTTGGTCAATTATATGCAATCGCGGCACCCATCTAGCAGATACCTTTTTCATATCCAAATGTTGGTACAAAATATTATGTACCTGTTCATTCGAGATACCCAGAACACTAGCAATTTCATGCACTTTCACTCGTCCATAATCCATTACCATATCGGATTTTATTAATGATTTCTGGAGTAGCAACCTCAACAGGGATAATCTCAATAGCGTCCAGAACGCTCAGCGACTCTTATGCTCATGTGACCACTCCGAAAATTTTGAAACCACTTATAAACGAAGGTGCAAAATCACCACAATGTTTATCGAGTTTCTCTTTAATCTCCTGAGGCGTTTTGTTTTTCATAAAGTAATATTTAATCAACACACAAAATTCTTTTTCGTCCATTTTTTGAAAATCACTCGACTTCCTCAATTCAAACGAATACCAAACATAAAAGACCGATCTGGCTGAAACTTGATATGTATTGTTCGAAGAGGTGCTGGTAACCAAAATTAACCTCGATATGCACTAGTAATGCCATCTCTCTGAGTTTGCACGGACTTTTCAAACGACTCATATATATGCCTTTTCTTCACTTTGAGGACTTTTAAGAGTAGTATCAAAGTGTACAGTGTATTTATGCTGTGAATGTGCAAGATATCGAACGAACAGGCCCTAATATTGAATAATTTCAGAGTAATAACTTTGACTTCAATGTTTTTATCAACAACAAATTGTACCGTCTCACGAAGATAATGTTCGTTTCTTCATATTAGTAACTTTATTAGTTTTATTAATTTTTCAAATAGTTCTAAATTTTTATATTTTATTCTGTAATATGTAATCCGTGTTCAAAAAAAGTAAACATGAATAAAATGAATAGTTAGGACTTGAAACAAATGGATGATATAAATAAAGTCTTGATGTTAGATTAATACGTTGGATTTAGTCTTCGAGAGATATATAAAAACAAAAATATTCCTATCAATATTAAATCAGGAATAAAACATTTACTGAGCCAATCTTTTCATATTAATAATGAAAAAATAAAAACATTGAAGCAGAGTATAATATAATTCATTAAAATTCATGATATAGATATAAGTTGAAATATAAAACACTTGGGGTTAGATCCAATAATTAATTTCTACCTTCGAGCTATTTCTGTAAAATCTGTCATTGTAATTGAAAAATGTATAATACGCCGAAACCTTTACTATGTCTTTGCTTCCATGAGTTTGTAAACCTTCTAAACACTCGACGAAATTCGTGTGACATAAAACTTTTTAACTTCGCATTGAACAAAATTCTTTTCCGATAATTCTAGATATAGGCCTCATTATCGTCCAAGGAGAGAATGGCGTGACGGTTAAGGTGAGAGCTTCGTAGAATTCCGTGTCCAAAACTCCCTTCATATGAAATGCGCTCGTTAGTGGCATCGGTGGCAGCCCAGGATTTACGGTCTTTGGAGAAGTCGACGTCACGTTGAGATCTTCCTATCTGCCAGATTTTGGGCTTCACCTCACGACCCTATGCTAGCAAAACTCACAGCTTTACTTCCAAGTAAGCCTGTTCAACAAAGCGGAAGGGAGCAAGTCTGAAAAAATATAGGCGAGGTAGTTGTTATCTTGTTTTTTTTTAATATGCGTTTATTGCTGGTGCAGTGTAGAATTAGCGAGGTGAAATAAAATCCATGACCGGCGAAAGACAAAGCAGAGTAATGTTAGCCATCCGTCGGCGTGGCACGCAAGTCTTGTTCGCGCAGATTCTCGGCACTGCGTGAAAAGCCCTCGAGCTACCTTCGGCATCCTTGTCTCTTTAGCTCGACGCGGGGGGGCGGGAGAAAGTTTCTCTCCAGTGCCTGTCAGTAAACGCGACGGTGGCGACACTCGAGGTGGAGATCGACGAACGAGATAAAAGGATGTGGAGCAGCATCCTTATGGACTGGTGTCCGTATTTCCATGCGGATCGCACCCGCGGCTTCGTCCATACCTTGTTGCCACCGCTGCGAAGGCGCGTCTGCACACCCACCACTGATCCGCATTCCGTCTGGTACTTCAGTTTCGATCAATGTTGTTAGCCAAGGTGACATTTATCGAAAAGTTATCGAAAAATTGTCAAGCTCCATTGAATGTAGCCAATCGAATCGAAAATTTGGAGAAACAGCGCGGAACGCTGATAATGGAAATGAATGGCACAGCGATATCAAATTTATTATTGCTGCTTTTATTTCAACAGTCAAATAATGTCTCTTTACAAACTATTTGTAATTTACAGAAATTCATTGAATCAGGTTTGTAGCGTACTGCGTGCAAGCGGATCGCCGGCAAAATCAAATCCAAAATGCAGCGGCAACCCCATTTTGGAAATACGGACCAACTTCCAGCGCGAGTTGTCATCCAAGATTGCATTGTACATGGATACTTTCCGAACTAGGATCCTGCAACGATAGACTTTTCCGCAGATTTCAAAGTGGAAATCTCGCTGTGACTCACGATAAAACCAACATGCTGTGAAGACAAATGATCATCTGCGTGAGTTTCGGAGGAACGAAGCGAACTTGTAAAATTTAGAGGGACAACCCGCGGCGACTTTTCTCGGCGGAATACTAGTCCTTGGTCGTTCGGATTTCCATAACAAATCATAGGAATACCCGCTAAAAACTCAATCTCGTACTTTTTCCCTCCGTCTAATCCTAAGTTAACGGAATGAATTGTATTCTAATCGATTAATACGTATGATATGACATTTTGTTTGCTGTCGAGCCTCCATAGTAGAAGAGTTGGAAAGCTGTCCGGACGCGTTACACGGAGCGAAGAATAGAATTTGAAAAAAACGCTGCCGTTTGAACGCGACACCTATATATTTATCGTGTATACCGATAATTCCTCTCATAAAATATGAATATATTTAAATATGAATCATGCCGAGTAAAGGCTGCTGCCTCATTTACCGTATAAATATTTCAAAAAGATGGAGAGCAACAAGACACGTATAGTTATTTATATATATATAATCTATGTAGTCACGGGAAATTTGATTATGTCAGTTTAGATTTATTAGACAAATAGATTGGTCAAACCTTAGCTAAGTCATTAAATGCAACATTGATAACTTTTTTTAATTATTTTGTTTTAATCTTTCGTATATCGCGGAGGAAGTTTGTTGTTCTCTGCAAGCTCAGCGCCGCTCATCGTAGAGCGGCCGGTTTCGGCAATGGCCCAACGAAAATATATAGAAAGGAGCCGGCGAAGCTACGAACGCTAGAAGCTTGGCGCGGTCCTGGATCGGCGGCGATCGAAGAGCGCGGCTCGCCCCCCACCGACGCGGCCCATTGTGTTCCGCGCGGCGCTGTCAATGCTGCCGGCTCCGGCACTGGACGACTGCGCGCGACAGCCGCGTACCCTTATCGACGCGTGGCTCGCGCGACTCGCCGACAATAGGCGCGACGCCGTGGCTCCGTTATCGTTCGCCGACTCGATCGCCGATCCGCGCGACGCTCGATCGAGGCGCGCCAAAATCAGCGCGTCACTCTGGATACGACGTATTTATAAACAGCAGCGGAAACGCAGTCGTGTCGAGAAGGCTCCGTTTGGCCCTTTGGCGCCTCCTCCCGGCCTATCCTCGTCGTTATTGCTCGTTACTCGCCGGCTCGGACCGAGGCTGTGCAGCCCGGGCGTCCTGGCGGCTGTACTTTAGGAACTTGCGCGCGCTGGTCGAGGCCGACGAGGCCGCCCGCGGCGCTTCTCCTCCGTTTGTGTTTCGACGTGAAAGCGGCTATTCCGAGCTCGCGCCCCGTCGGAATCTTCTACCCCCTAATCGCGTAGCCTACTTATTGCGACAGTTGCCTTAGACTCGTAGTACTTATAAATATGCTCGGGGTGGCTGCTCGCGACACCGCGCCGATTGTCCTTGCGCGAGCGCGGCACAGAAAGAAACTGGCGTGCGGAATGTGCTCGGCGACGATATCGTTACACCGTCGACCTTCCCAATTAAAGAAAACATTGGAAGGCGCGCGCATCGGAGCTATTGTTCAGCGTGATGTCACGCGATCCACAAGTGGAAGAAGAATTACGGACGCTCGAGATTTCATATTGTCATTGCTTGCGCCGCCGAGGAGAAACAGAGACGAAATTTGGAAGAAAGATTCGAGCGCTTCGGCACTTTGATCGCACGGACGAGAGATAGCTAGACGGAGAGAGGGAGGGAAGGAGAGAAGAGAGGAGAAGAAGTCTTGTCGTGGTCCCCGATAACAAACGTCTTTGGGCTCGGCGCGTCGGCCTCCATCTCGCTAGCGCACGCGGGGCGAGCGGTGGAGCGGCTCCGTCGGCTATGCGTCCACCTCGTGGCAGACCTCCATGTAGTCCGGGTTGTGCATGATGTCCTTGATCATGTCCTTGAGCATCGTGTAGCGCGGCACTATCGGGTAGATCTTGGAGCTGTTGTACTCCTCCTGCGGTCAGAAGAAATAAAGAGAGGAGGCACGGCAGGGGCGCCTTCGGCTTGTCGAGCTGTGGACGGAGGCGTACGCGGACGTCGCCACTCGGCGGCCCGAATAACGACCCGTGCGACGACGCGCGCGCGCGCGGAGGAGGAGGAGCAGGCGGAGGCAAACCTTGAGGTCGCGGATGAGGTTCCTCAGGCCGGTGTACTTCTTGAGCAGCCTGTACAGGTCGTTGGTCATCTGCGTGTTCTCCGCCTCGATCTGGGCCGTGGTCATGTCTGCAACACGGACAAGAGAGTGGGTCGGTCGGTCGGCCGGCCGGCCGGTGGGCACTCGCTCACTCACTCTCGAGCCTGTCGACGCGCTCGCGCCTGCCGTCGGCCTCCTCCTGCAGCTTGGCCGCCGTCTTGACGCCCTCCTTGTGGCTCTTCTCCATGATGGCGCAGGCGCGCAGCACGAAGGCCGGCACCGTCTCCTGCTTCTCCTGGCGCGGAATCTCCACCAGCGTCCAGTACTGCGTCTCCAGCTTGATCACGTCCTGCGCGCGGACAGGCCGTCGTTGCGTTTGCCACCACTCGTCGACCCGTCGGGCCGCGGGGAGGGAGGCTCGCTTACCTTGATCATGAGCTTCAGCAGGCCGTAGCGCTCGAACACGTTGCGCACCTGCTTGCTGGCGCTGTACTTCTGCATGAGCTCCACGAGCGCGCGCTTGGCCGTCTCGTAGCTGCCGTCCAGGCGGATGCGCACCGCGCGCAGCCGCTCGTTCGTCTCGATCACCTCCTCCTTGGTCTGGCCGCCTGCGGGCAGGAGAGGTCCGAGCGGTGAGCGCCGATGGCTGCGTGCTATCCCCCCCCCCCTCCCACCGCGTCGTTCCCGATCGGCTCGCGTGTACTCACTGGCGGTGCCCTCGTCCTTCACGTCCTGCACGATACGCCGCACGCTCTGCGTGAACTTGCCCACGAGGTTGGTGCTGGCTGAAACACAAAGCAGAAGGGAGTGAGCGTCGGAGGTGCGAGGGGGCAGTGTCGCTGGCGCCGGGCCAACGTGTTGCCGCCGGACGTATAGCGCACTTCTGACGATGACCGAGTTCCTCATCGAGCCCCGCATGGCCGGCGACTGCACGCATGGCCGGATCATCAAACGTATCGACCCCGCGCGACGCTTTGTGCGCCTACCCCTTCGCGCGCGCGTGTGTGTGGAAAAAGCGAGCGCGCGCGCGCGCGCGCCGTCCGGCGCTCTCACAGCGCCGCTCGCCCGAGCGGCTCGCTCGCTTGGCTTTCGATCGATCGCGATCCGCGGCCGGTCGCCGATCGCGCCCGCGACGCGGCAGCGAGACGCGCCCTCGCCTCGGCGGCGAACGAGGTGCGCGACGGCCCATTGTCTCGCTGCGCTTTCCAATCTCCAGTTGACATTCCGCGGCGGGTCAACCGCCTCTGTCTCACTCTCGCTCTCTCTCTCTCTCCCTATCTCTCGGCGGGCAGGATCAGTGCTGCGTGCGCCGGCCGAGCGATCGTCACGCGATCCATTGTTTTGACGACTGGCTCTCCGGAGGCGAGCAGATAAGCCAGCTGCGTCCGGGGCGCGCGGGTCCGTCCGTGCGTGCGTGCGCGCCCGCGAGAGCGCGGCGCGGTCGGGGGGGTGGGAACGCGCGCGCGCGCGCGCCGCTGGTGGGGGGGCCTCGGCCGCTCGCGAGCTTCTTCTCGTCTTGGAGGCCCCGCGCCGTCACACGCGCCGCGAGGATGCTCGCGGCAGGTAGTGCTCTCCGCTGACTCGAGGCCCACGACCGACGGCGATGCGGAAGTGAAGCGGCCGCACGGACCACCACCAGCGCTGACCCACTCTATCCCGTGTGCGCCGCAGTGCCCGAGACTTCTCGCCGACGCCGCACGCACGCACGCACGCACGCACGCACGCACGCACGCGCAGAGCGTAAGTTACCGCACCGGCCGACTCGCCTTGGGCGCCGATCGGCCCAATTGCGCAACCTGTCAATTACGCTTGGTTCTAAATATAGGAGCGCGCGCGTCCTTATCTCGGTGTGCCACGCGAAACTCATCTGGCCGAGCGCGCGTCGGAGAGAGAGTGGGCGCATTGTGCGCTAACGGATTCCTGCTGCGCCGCGCTCCTTCGCATGGGTATCGCGGATTAGCGGCGAGCGAGCGCGCCCGAACGGGAACGCGCGGCAAAACGCCCGATTCGTTTGCCTCGCGCGCCGCTCCCGCTCGAGGGCAGCGGGGACGACCGAGTCGCGTTTATTTACACATGCAAATCCGAGCGACAAAATGAAAAAAAACGAAATAAAAAAAAAAAAAAAAAATCCGGCACTCTTTGAGAGCAGAGAGCGGCGCGAAAGCTCGCAGCCGGCCGTTGTTGTCGCGTATCGATCCGAGCGCGACGGCCAGTCGCTCGCTCGCGCGCGCGAAAAAGCCGAGATGACAAATAAGCGTAAAATAAAACGGGCGATCCGCGCGTCTCGCATTAATAAATCGCCTCGGCGGTCGGGCGGCGTTCGACGCGCGCTCGGCTCGCCGCGATGTATTTCGGCGTCGGCGGCCTAGAATCTCGCGCGCGAGTGGCAATCGCGCCTGAAAAGCAATCGCGCTGACGAGTCGCATTCAGCCGAGAGCAGGCCACGTCGCGAGGATAAGCGAGTCGACTTACGGCCGCGCGCGCTGCTGCTGACGCTGGAGCGCGAGGACACTCGACTCTCTTTTTCCCTCGGGGATTCCTTTCCGCGCCGCGCGCTATCAACAAGTATGCGCGCGAGTACGGTGCTCCGCTGCGCCGAAGGGCGAGCGCGCGGGCGGCACGGGGCGGAGGGGGAGCGGGGCGGAGGGGGGAGCGGGGCATCTGGAACGCTTCGATGATGATGTAATACGGTGCAGTTGGCTCTCGTGTACGCCGCGCGCTAAGGCTTTGAATTTGATTAACTGCCCGAGCAATTTTCGTCGGCGCGTAATTGTACTATTATTGCTACGCGTATTTGCTTTTTTAGCTCGAGCAGGCGATAAGCACGCGGGAATACCTACGGGAGCCCTCGAGTGTTTACCTCTTCCCGAAATTCCGGACCAGATAGTGGTGTCGCCCGCGCGACCGAAAAAAGAGCGCAGCGACGGCCGGAGATAAAAAGCTCAAACATCTCGTCTGGCGTCGCGAGCGCCGTGTTTGCCCGCGGGCTACTGGTTGGCCCAGCCGCGCGCGCTCCTACCGTGGATCAAGCCGGACAGGCGCGAGTCGTCGGCGCGGACGATCCGATTCGCGCGCGAAGGCGGAACCACCCGCGGAGACGACGGCCGCGCGGACGGAGGAAATGATCCGGCGAGTCGACGTTGCAGAGAGCATCTGGCGGAGATGAGGCTGATCGCGACGAGGTTGCTGCTGGGTCTGGCGGCGGCTGCAGCCGCGGCGGCCGCCTATCCGCCCGCCGATCAATACTCCCAGCGGCGAGAGCAGCGAAGCGACGGTCGCTCGGGTGAGTAGGCGCGCACGCCGGCTTAGCTTCGTCGGCGGGACTGACTGCCCGGGCCGCTGCAGGGCCGGGCAACGCGACCGAGCTGCGCGAGCTGCTGGCCAGCTGGGGCATCGACACGCGGCAGCCGCCGCGTCGCGGTGACATCGAGGTGCAGGCCGAGCGCCGCCGCGAGCAGGCCGCCGGCAGGGGCGACGTGCCGGCGGCGTCGTTCGCTCGGCGCGGCCGCGCCGCCTGGGGTTACGCCGAGGACGAGGGCCTGCTGCCGAGCGACCAGGCCGGCGACGACGACGACGACGACGACGAACAGCAGCACTGGACCCGGGAGCCCGGCGACGCGGGGCGCGCGCGGATGCAGCAGCCGCGCTTGTGGGAGCAGCAGCAGAGGATCGCGGCCGCCGAGCTGCGACGCGCGAAGCAATGGCAGCAGCAGGAGCAGCAGCAGCAGAGGACCGCGGCCGCCGAGCTGAGACGCGCGGAGCAATGGCAGCAGCAGGAGCAGCAGCAGCAGAGGACCGTGACCGCCGAGCTGCGGCGCCCGGAGGAGCAGCGCCGCCCACGGCCCAGACCCGCGGAGCAGCTGTCGTACGAAGAACGTCTCCGGAAGTGGCAGCGCGAGAAGGAGGCGTACGAGCGCGCCCAGGGGGCTCGGACCGCGTCGTCCGACTCGGACCCGCGCGTACAGGAATACATCCGACGCATCACGCCCATTGAGCTGCGGGCGCCGGACGCGCGTCCGGCGCAGCACCCGGAGCAGCGCCCGGAACAGCGACCGGAGCAACGCTTGGATCAGCGCCCGGAACAGCGACCGGAGCAACGCTTAGATCAGCGTCCAAAGCAGCGCCCGGAGCAGCGCCTGGAGCAGCGCATGGAACAGCGACCGGAGCAGCACTTAGATCAGCGTCCGGCGCAGCGCCCGGAGCTGCGCGTTGAACAGCGACCGGAGCAACGCTTAGATCTGCGTCCGGAGCAGCGCCCCGAGCAGCGACCGGGGCAGCGACCGGGGCAGCGACCGGGGCAGCGACCGGAGCAGCGACCGGAGCAGCGCCCGGAGCAGCAGCCGGAGCAGTGGAGACGCGCCGAGGTGGCGCGTCGCAGACCAACACCTGTTGACAGCGGCGACAGGTAGACGGTGTCGCTCGCACCCGGGCGCCGAGGACTAACGCGCGCCCTTCCGCCCGCAGGCAGCAGGAGTCGATGCAGTCGGCGGGGCGCTGGGCCGGCGGGCGGCCCATCACCGCGCGCATCATCATACGCAATGAGACCGAGCCGGCCCTCAGCTTCCGGCGACGGCCCGAGGCCAGCGTCGACTGGACGGTGAGTCCCTGGCGGCGCGCGCCTGCCATCCACGGCGCGACTCGGCGCGGCCCGTCGGCGCCCGCGCGCTCGCGGCGACCATTCAACGGGCCAGGAACGCCCGCGGTCGCCTGCTCGCTCCTCGCCTCGCGCTCGCCCCCCGGCGGGGCTGCAGCGAGGTGAGCGTGCGCTGCGTGTTCTGCCGCAGGGCCGATCGACGGCGGCGCCGTCGCACTGCGCGTGGGCGATCGTCACCTGCTGCCACGCGCACGCCGGCAGGGACGCGGGCAAGCTGGGGCGCTGCTTCGAGGCGACCGAGTGCCTGGCGCTGCGGCGGGACGAGGCCGCCTGCGGCTCGGCCAAGGTGCAAGCGTCTCACGACGAGATTCGCCGCTTCTACCAGATGGAGCCCGGCCGCTAGGCCACCGCCACCAGCAGCACGCATCCCCGCTCGTCTTCCCCCTTCGCCGGCGTCTATAGCCTAACACTGTTCGTACATTGCTTAATAAAGAGTAGTCACACATGTACGCAGCACGAGTGTTTGCCCTGCGCGCGCCCTCGTCTCGCACGAGTGGTGGCACCTGTGGGAAATGTTTGTACGCGCGACAATGGCCGAGGGAGCGTGCACTTGGGTCGCCGCGGTCGATATTCCGCGAATCGCGGCGAGCTGGCACGTCGATTTGGCGTGCGCGGCCGCGTCCACGTCGCGTCTGACGTCAATGCTCATCGCGAGGCGTCGCTCGCGATGGGACGCGGGCCAAGGGAGCAGCGCGCAACAGGCGCGAGGGTGGCTGCACTTACCGCCAGCGTCGCCGCGCTGCCGTTTGTCGGCCTTGCCCATGTTGCTCCAACGACGACAGCTGCCCCCTGCGGCCCAGAGATCAAGCGCCTCGCTTACATCGTCAGCTCGACAGAAGTGGACGGGCTCGGGTACTCACCTCGCGCTGCTATCTCATCGCCGCTCGAGAGAGGACCTCGCGGAAAGTGAGCAAGGAGAGACGGAGAGGCAAAAAGCTCACGGAGAAAAGGAAGGAGCGAGGAGAGAAGACAAAATAAGAGAGCGAGGGAGAGAGAGAGAGAGAGAGAGAGAAAGAGAGAGGGAAGGAGAGAGAAAGAGAGAGAGAGAGAGAGAGAGAGAGAGAGAGAGAGGAAGGAGGAAGAACAGTTGGCTATCAGGTGGCGGCGCTCGCCATCCGGAGTGGCGTTGGAGGCGACCAGCTCGTCTGGAAGCTCGCGAGCGACTGACACCCCCGCGGAAAGTGTCCTGCGCCGTACAGGACCTCCCCGATCTCACCGCTACGCACTCCGCGCGACCTAGCCGCGCCTACGCGCTCTCGATATCTCTCTCTCTCTCTCTCTCTCTCTCTCTCTCTCTCTCTCTCTCTCTCTCTCTCTCGCCCCTCGGCCTCGTCCTTCCTGGTCGCTAACAAGTGGCTCTACCGTTCTCGGACTCCGGCTCGTCGCCCCGACGACGCATCGCGGGCAAGAGCGCTCCGATTTCCGTCGCCGTGAGCGAGAGCGCGAGAGACAGCGTTCGAACTTGCCGCCCGCGCGACAATCCGACGGCCGACCGCTGATAACGACGACCGTCGGTAGCAATGGATATCCGCGTTGCCGACGCGCCGACGTATTATCGGGCGATAACGAGGGGGACCGGCGATCGCTCGTTTTCCATCGAGGTAAATTGAAAATCTGCGCGGTGACCTTCGACAGCCGCGCGCAACCTCCCCCCTCCTCCTCAATTATTCATAATTCGTAATCCACGGGAGACTGACGTCGGAGCTTGCGCGCCTGCCATCATCGCCGGGAGCTTGCACACACGCAGCTGTCGTGTCGCGCGGACCGGCGGTGAGTAATTTGAAAGTCAAAGGAGCGCGCGCCAACTCGCCGACAAATCGGATTTGACTTTCTCCCCCCCCCCCCCCCCCCCCCCCTCCGCCACTCCGCCGTTACTCTTCTTTTTTCCCGTCTTCGGTGTTCGCTCGCTGTCGACGCGCCGGGCGAAAAAATTTAATTCGACGCGCGCGGGAGGCGGGCGCGCGTGCTGATTAAATTGAGCCGCCGAGGGAGCAGCCGAGCTCTTGGAAATTATGGATGAAGTGACGTGGAATGCGAGATAAGTGAGTTATTTCGAAAAATCGGGCGTATCTAGCGAGGAGAGCGAGCGCCGCGCTCGCTCCTTATCTGATCCGCGGCAGAAAGGGGGGAGAGTAATTTTCAGGAACGGCTTTAATCTGTTAAACTTTCGACTCGATAGTTTTCTCCGATGCGTGCGCTCTTTTTATGCAACTCGATTAGCCGCAACGTATTTACGATGTTGAGCACTTTGGACAATGCTCCTTCGAGTTTCCCTCGTCTTTCACATTTCTTCCATAATTCCTCGAGAAGAACTTGCTTCGCTCGAGAAGCAATGATTTTTTCCCAATAAAAGCGCACCATTGGGCTGCAGCCTCGACGACAAATAAAAATGCCTGGTCGGATAGAGTTCTCGAAAGTTGAGATTTCTCGCTTTGAGAGAAAGGTTCCGCGGCGCGGAATTTCGTTTGAGAAAAATCCGCGACAGTTATTATTGCGATTGGACGTAAAGCGTAACGTCCGATACGAGGCCTGCACGCAACGATGCGCTCTCGAGCGATGCGCAGCGCAGACGGAAGTCGAGCAGTAACGGTGATGGAAACGCCCCGGCTAACGTGCCGCCACATCAGGTCGTGGGCGCGGAAAATTGAAGCGTCGCGAGATCGATCAAGCGTCCGCAGGCCGCTGCGGTCGGCTCAGTTTTTCGAGGCGAGCCACATCCTCGCGCGGCACCGGCGGCGGAAGCCGAGGCGATCGCCCTATCGGCCGCAAGCGTCGGCGCATCGCGGCGCTAACGAATGTCCCGGCACAGTCGACCTGTCCCGCGATTTGCAATTTGCATCTTGAAAGAAACGGCTTTGGGAATTTTCGGGCCTTCGCGCTCGGCGATTTTCCCCTCGACTGACTTACCTGATGCGAGGAAGGCCGCGAGCTCGATTTCGGATCGCCTGCCAGTTGAACAGCAGTTCCAGAAGCTCTCCGTCGTAATTAATACGGATGGCCGAGATAAGCTCAATGATTGTATTTCGAATGGAAAGCGTTCTTGGCACAGCGATAAGCTCGTTGGTCGGTTTCTTACGAAGCGCAGCTTCGAGTGAATTTTGGCAGCTTCCAGATTCCACTGGAATTATCATCTCGAACTGCTCGCCGCGGCAAATCGTCGAGCGATTGCAGTTTTTCTCGTACTCCAGTCGTCGAGGAAAAAGTAACGCGCTGCGGGGTTGGGTTCGGGCTGGGGCAAAAAAGTGTCGTTCGCTTCCTTATCGCGAATCCTCCATGGGCAAACGAACGTGACGTTTTCGCTCGGACCTTGACATGTACAATTGGCTCGTTCGATCGAATTGGCTAGATACAAGAGCGAAAACACGAATAATAAGAACGTCGAATAATCTCGAGAATGAGTTCATCGAAAACGATAAGCTATGATTTCTCTCTCTTTCTAATCATTCTTAATGGACGTTCGCCGTCGAAAGCTGCGATACATTCGGAGTCGCGAAGCCGAAGCATGCGTCGGTATTTTTGCCTTTATCGCGCCGACCTATCAAGGAGAATCGCGGACCTTAACGAAAACTAAATACAGAGCGCGAGGAGGCAATTAGCCTCGCGATCGTGGCGCGCGATTGACAAGCCGTCGGGCGCCGAGAGAGATAGAGCCCAAAAAAAGAAGCCGCGGAGAGAAGGTCGCCCCCGGGCTTTCGACACGTACGATTTGCCGTTGCGAAGTCCGCTTATACGCATGCGACGTTGACCGATGACACACTATTCTTTCGCATCGATCGCGTGCATATGGTGCGCGCGGGATGGGTGGGGTAAGGACGCGGCGACCGAGTCGCGAGCGCACGCACCAATTTTCGGGGTGCGTGCGGCAAGAAAACACACAGCTTTTTATTTTCTATACAACCCGTTTATTGTGTAAGCTTGAATCATATATTAAATGGAGCGCGCGCGCGAGTAAATGTGACGATGATAAAATATACAACTGAAGGATATTAGATACGATATATGTATATATAATTCCTGATGTTTTAGAAAGTACAAGTAAATATGTGGCATGCGCGCTCTCTCTCTCTCTCTCTCTCTCTCTCTCTCTTCGTCGTCTTCTGCTTCTTTTGCTCTCACACATCCATACGTACGTACACTTGTTACATCTAGATAACGCTGATTTTTTGTGTTGTGTTTGCTCTTTCTCTCTCGGAAAAAATAATGTACACTATACAGCTATGTAGAACCGCGAAAAAAGAAAAAAAGAAAAAAAGAAAAACGATAATCGAATAGGCGCAGAGAAGCTCCCTACCTATTTCTTGAAGCAATCCTTCCTTCTGCTGTCCTTTGTGTGCGCGCCTGCGCTCGCCGCTGCCTTTCCCCGCGCGCACGTCTTCTTCGATTGTCGAAAAAGAACCAGGGGCAATTCTTGCGGTCGGACGAACGAAAAATTTTTCCCTCCTTACCCCGGCCGTTTTCTTCTTCTAGGACTAGCAGGAATCGAGTCGTTGTATGTATTACGGGAGCGGAACGCTCACTTTTTCTTCATCGTTGGCGCCGCCGAGATATCACTTTACACACACTATTATATGTATATATCTATCGAAAAGATAAGTTTTTTTTTGTTACTTTTACGGTTTTTTTCTTCTTTTTTTGGAAAGTGGTTGGCTATCTAAGTGCTATAAAATATATATTTATATATATATTTTTCTGTCAAAAGATGCGCAAACAAAGAGTTTCTTCCTTAACTCCTAAATACAATTCTAAAAATATGTTCGTTTAAAAAACTTTTCGTCGTTGCAAGAATTCCCCCTTCTCTCTCGTATATTTTGTTGATTATCTATACTTCAACTACTACTGTTTCAGCTACTCGACACATTCGTCGTTATCGGACGTACTACTTTTTTTTACTTTAAACCTTTGTAGGCTGTCGGTTATACCAGCGAGAGTGACGGCTCCTCGGAACTATCTCGATTTACTACATCACATTGAAGCTTGAGAATGAACATTATTTTTCATTCGAAACAAATTGACGATTATCAACAATTTTCCGTTTTTACCCATCTCGAATGACCATATAAAAATCTCGCTAAAAGTAAGTGCAACGAATAAATGCGTTAAAAAAACTGGATAAAATAAATCTTTTCGATAATACAACAATCTCGAGCTTTCGAAACGTTTTCAACGAGTATAATCTTTCCGAAAAATCAACAATGAATTTCGCCGACAGCAGAACAAGAATCGTCGATAGTCGCCATTTGATTTCCGCTTTGAATATAACATTCACGATAATTGACGACAAAGTACGCAGTACAATTATTTGTCCCTATGTGTTAAACATCCCTAGAAAAGAAAAATAACGGCGAAGCTCAAACACGCGCACACGAAAAGCTCGTACACTGTGCCTCCACGTGGAAAAAGTCGATGAAGCGAGCGCAGGTGTTACTTTTACGAGGTAATAAGGGCATTTTGCGGGACACTTTTTCTTTTCTTTTTGCACGAATTTCCTTTGCTGAACACATTCGTCATATATATGTGTATATATACGCAATACATATCTATATGAATATATATATGAACGCCCGCAGCGCTCACCTTCGTCGGCAACGACTGCTATGTACAGGTAAGATTCCTCCCGAACGTTCGGAAAGTGCGCAGTCGGTCTTTTGCGGAGGCTGCCTTGTCGCTTGCTCGCGCTCGTTCCTCTCTTTATTCGTTCACAGCCATGTCGCTTTGCCCGTGCTCGCGAGCGCCAGGGGAGCGCGTGGACACGAGCGCGAGTACGGCAGGAACGGAAACGGACCCACCAGGAAATTCGTGGCGAGCGGTGGTCGCGCGAGGGAGATAGCGTTTCGCTGCAGTTTTCGGTAGGAAAAGAGGACCGCAAAAGACTCTCGGTTATCTGCCGCCGCGTAGCGGGCGCTAAAAAGAAAAACATTACAAGAGAAAAGTAGACCTTCCGTGTGGTGACACATTCGTTAGGCCTGAAAGTTCGTGCGTATCGTTCGTCAACGAGATCGACCCGATTGTTCTCTCGCTACGGGCAGCGCAATGTTGTTTTCCTTTTTTTTTTTCGTCGAGAGCGAGAGCCTCGCTTTCTTTCTCTTTTATTACGCGATGATTGTCTACCAATTGCGACGATGGAGTACATTACACCAAGTTCCTTTTATTCCGACAAATAGTTTGACTTATTTATTTAGCCTAAAAAACGTCTATCGCATTCTTTGACGTCGGTGTCGGCGAGCTCGCGACGCTCGAATACGATTCGCCTTCTACTTTTGCTTTCGTCGTTGCTTAGATGCCTACTGCAATGGATAACGAGCGTTTACGTCTTCAATGTCCATTCGCGCGCGTGTCCAAGTGTACTTCAGTCTATTACGTCGCGAGGCTTTTGCTTTTGCTTTTGCTCCCCCGCGCGAGGGAGGAAAACCGTCATCGAGAAACGAAGCGAAGCCGGAGGAAAAAAAGAAAAGACAACGAGGGGACAATCATACGGAAACGCGAAACGAACCATCGATGAGTGCCGCGTAGCCTAAATATTCGTTAGCTAACATATCTATATATTTGTAATATGCAATCCTCATAATAAACTGAAAACACGAACAAAAAATATATATCATATATTTATATATAAAACAATTTTTTTTCTTTTGCTTGTAGGCGCTTGCATTAGGCATTTTCATATGGGGCGCGGGGTCGGAATTATTTACACTTCGACGAAAAACGCGTCTGTCTTTCCTCTGCTGTTGTTGATTGTGCGCTATATAAAAACTCTCATACACCCTTATATATGCGAAATATAATATATATATATTTGTATAATATTCGTTGTCTAAAATTAATGAACACGCACACTATGCGCGCTTTTATTAGCCTTATAGTGTATACTCTCCATGCAATAACAACTCTACACGCCTAACACACATTATAATAATAATTATCGGTATTTCTTTACACCTAGTACTTTTTCTTTATCTCTCAGGCGCCGTCCTTACGTTCGATCTCGTCTCCCGTGGGCTGCCTCCGTCTCGCATTAACGGCGCCTTCGTACGTCGGCTTATTGTCGACAGCGTATGGAGGAAAAATTAGGACGAAGAAAAGCGCGACGGCGGAGGCGAACAAGGAAGAAGGGCCGATTACGCGTTGTCAATGGGATGTACGCTGTCTGTTGCTCTTGGAAAAGTGCCACCCACGTGGTCGCTTGGCAAAGGCCGCGCGAGCGCGTGCAATGCTAACAAATAACGGCGGCGATATCGGCAGCGCGCCCGACCACCGCGACCTCTCCTCCTCCTTGCTCGACGGCAAAAATCAACGTGTCGCTCCTTCTTTCTCTCTCTCTCTCTCTCTCTCTTCCCCTTTCGTCGTGCGTACGACGACGCGCGATCTACATAATCATTGGCGAAGAAAAACGCACTAGCACTCGCACGCACGCGCGCACACACACACACACACACACACACACACACACACACATACATGCGCGCGCGCAACGCGGCGTGACTCGACACTACTCGTTCTCCAACGAGGTTATGACATGTCGCGCGCGCGGAGATCGTTTCGTCCGTCACATGCGCGTTTTTCAATTGACGGGTGCTGTAAACGCACGGCGGCTATGGCAAAGTTCGTGGGTATGGGGGGAGCGCCGAGGTGTGTGGAGGGAGGGGGGGATCGGCGAGCAAGGGCTTTCGTCGCTGCTTGCGCGCAAGCGGCCAGCAGAACGCGTGCACCTTGATCGCGTCTGCCCGACTCTGGTACGTGTGATCTCTTGTCCATTCTCTCCCACTTGTGGTGATGGTTACGAGCTACGTTTCTTATCACAAGTTGCTGAACCTTCCTCCTCCTCCTTTTTCTCCTCCTCTTGCTCCTCATCGTCGTCGTCGTCGTCGTCGTTGTCGTCGTCGTCGTCGTCGTCGTCGTTGTCGTCGTCGTTGTCGTCGTCGTCGTCGTCGTCGTCGTTGTCATCGTCGTCGTCGTCGTCGTCGTCGTCGTCGTCGTCGTCCTCGTCGTCGTCGTCCTCGTCGTCGTCGTCGTCGTTGTCGTCGTCGTCGTGGTTGGCGTCGTCGTCGTAGCTCCGCTCGTCTGCAACAATTCAACAACGACCAGCGATTATGTCATCGCGTTGTCGACAAGGCGAATCAGACGCGCAGTCGTTTGGCTGCTCGCGACACGAGCGCTTATCCGCGGCGGCGGCGACGACAGCCGTCGAGCCGATCGAGCGCAGTCGAGCGAGCGGCAAGCTCGCGCTTGATAACGATTGATGTCCGTGGAATTCGGTGGCCTCGCCGCTGCATAATTCAATAACGAGATTGCAGTCGAGGAAAAACGAGCGAATCAACGACGACACACAGAAGCGGAAAGCCTGCACGACAGGTTTGACGAAGTGAAATATGCAAGCGGCCGCCGCTGCTGTTGCGGCGCGCGCGTGTCATTCGATTGGTCTAAATTGCATGATTTATGCAAAAACGCGCGGCAAATTGGCCTCGTATTGATCTCAAGGGAGCCTTTGTCTTCGGGCGCCACTCGTCTCGGGCGCAGCGCGACTTAATTCCCCGAGAAATTGGTCCCACGGCGTCGTCCAGCTGCCGCGCCTCTCTCGAAAAGCACACGGCGGCGTGACGCGAGGAAACGCGCGATCATTGATTCAATTACGAGCCGACGAGGCGCGACCAGTTGAGACCTCGCGCGTCGAGCTCCCGGGAGAGCGAGCGCCCCGAGAATTGCCCACCGCCCCCCCCCCCCCCCCCCGATAAAAATCCGAAAACGATCGTTCAATCGGCGCCCTCGCTCGTCGGAAAATTAAGAGCGTTTCGCGAGGTTGTTTACGGGTCGAACTCAACGCGCCGGAGTTTTATGCATCCTGCCAGACCCCCCTCGCCGCTCCGTTCTTTTTTTTACTCGCCCGCTTCCCTTTGGCAAGCTACCAGGGCGCTTTCAAGATCCGATTAGCCGGACGTTTAGCGAGTGCCAATATCGAGGAAGACAAGTCCGATTGAATTAGCCTTTTTGAGTTATTAAACTCGGCCGGCGCACATATCGATATTTATTCGGGCCCTTTTCGCTGTATTTTTTACGAGTTACGAGCGGGCGAGATACCGCGCTAAAAATTTTCGATCCATTAGCGGCTCTCCCCGCGCGCGATAAATATTGGCCGGCGCGCGCCTACGCGACATTTCTGGAAAATTGACCGGCCGCGCGGCGATCGGCCTGCGCGCGTCCAAATGAGAGTGCGGGAGCCCCGCCGCGAGATCAATCATCCAGTCTGAAACTTAAGCGATCAACGTTCGCCGAGCGCTTCCTTCCAGGAGACCAACAAAAAGAGAGGAGACTCCTCCGGCGAGCTCGAGTTCTCTCTGTCTCACGAACGATTACGCACGCGCCGAATAATTTTTGACAGTCGAGCAAAAATGCAAAGTTGCCCGCCCCGTCGGCGCAACTTCTTTTCTCTCTCCCTGCCCCCGTCGGCGAGAAGTCCGGGGGGGGGGGGTTGGCGGTGCAGAATCTCTGGCGCCAGCGACTTGCCAGACTTTCCACGCTAAGTGGTTCCCTTTTACTCGTGCTCCGCTTCCCTCGGCTCTCGCGTACGTACGACCGTCGCTTTTCCACTCCACCCCTTTTCCAAAAAGGGAAAAAAAAAGGAAAAGAAGGGAAAAAAGGAATAAACGAAAAAAAGAAAATCCTCACTCATATTGCAAACTTGTTATTGGCGCGTACCCGTAAGCGCTAATAACGGACAGAGTTTCCGATCGTCCGGGCGAACGAAATATTTGTAGTTGCCAGACGCGCGTGGGATTAATATTCGTGAAGGCAAGAGAGGAAAAAAAGAAACGTCGATAGTTCGCGCATTCGAAGCGCACGGTAGAGAGTGAGAGAAAAGCGGTGGCCGTATGGGAGTGGTTTTCTCCGTTGCTGCGCAGAATCTTGACGGGCGCCAGTGTCGACCGCCGAGGAGCGACGGCCAACGAGGAGGAGGCAATTAACTCACGCATGCGGACTTTCGGCGCTGACCTACTTATGCAGATGGGCACTTGTTGCGTGGTACTTTCATCCCTTCTCCTTTCTCTCTTTCTCTCTCTCTCTCTCTCTCTCGCTGTCTCTCTCTCTCTCTCACTCTCTTCGCCTTACGCACACACGCAGTTCTGCGTTTCGACGTCGATTCGATCAATAACGTAAGCATCCCCCTCGTTCCTCGCCGCGCCGCCGATCGGCCAATTAAACGAAAGCAAGCCAAGCTTTTCTCGCGGAGAGAAGAAAGAAGAAACAAGTCGCACCTGATTTTTCGGACGCGGCACTCGACGACAGCGTCGACACGAGAGTTTTCAGTGCGTCTGTCTCCGTGGCGGGGAGAGAGAGAGAGAGAGAGAGAGAAAGAGCGAGCGCGAGTGTATGTGTGCAGCAAGTAAGTCGCGCGAGAGCCGGGCTGAGCTGGCGCCGAGACGTCGCGTCGCGGCCACGTGGACACCCTAGCTAGCAAATCGAATAGCCCCGGCTAAGTTCGCTTCTTTATTGCCACGAGAGAGAGAGAGAGAGAGAGAGAGAACTCCGCTCGCTACTCGACTCGGCGAAACTTGGATTTATCGGTGGCCGCTGATAAAAATCCAGCGGAGTGCGAGAGCGCAAAAGGCTTATCGATCCCCCGACCTCCTTCCCTCCAAAAAAAAAGACAGATTTTTTTCTTTTCTCTCTTTTTTTTTTATTAATTCGAGACGCACGGCAATATGGCCGCTACCCGTGTCGAGCGGTAAAAATTGGCTTTTATTTACGCGTACCGTTATATGCTCGAGAAAGAGAGAGAGAGAGAGAGAGAGAGAGAGAGAGAGAGAGAGAGAGAGAGAGTGCCATTCCTTTTATCGAAAGCTCGACGTACACGACAAAAGTCAAAATAATTATTCGGTGGACGCTTTATTTCCTTTTTTTTCTGTTCGGCCGCGAAATTTTTTTTTCTTATTTCCGTCGAGATGTCTTTGAATGTCAAAAGAGATAACTATCGACGCTTTTTTCTGCTTCTTCTTTTTTAATAAATATTTTCTTTCCTTTTTTTTCGGTGGGCAAGTGATGCAACGATACGATGAGCGTTTTCTTTTTCTTTTTCTTTTTCTCGTGCGTCGTGCTACCTTTTTTTTTTCGAAAGTTGAGCCGGCGATTTTCGAGTTGATTTTTTGCCTGCATATTTTCGAATGACGTCGGTTCGTCGCTGCGCTTTTCCTTATCGCGATTCGAGTTTCTTCTCTCTCTCCCTCTCTCTCTCTCTGGGAGAGAGAGAAATAATTCTTTTTTTGTCTTCGGCGAGCGACGTTTTAACGATGCAGTGCCGTCTCTTGCGCGAAAGCCGGGGAATTCAAGGTTGCGCTTTTTCTCGGAAGTAGGGTTAATTGCTCGCGTTTTAATGCTATGACGTCAATGAAACTTTTTACACAGTCAATCGATATTAAACAATAAAAGGCCAGCTCGTCGACCCCTGTGCGCGCGAGCTTTTCCAAAAATCGCATTTATTATCCATGCCTGAAGCGAATATAGCAGAGCGCTGAAAGCTCAGGCAATGGCAGTAGCAAGGGGGGAAACAAGGTCGAAATTGATAGAACTACTGTAAGCCCCTTGGCGGGATGACGTCACGCCGTTCCTCGCTCGCAAGCCCGGAAAAACTCCGAAGGCCATCGCCATGGCAGTTCGACTTGGCGCGAATCGACAGCAAAAAGAAAAAAAAAAGAATAAAACGAAAAAAAAAAGAAAAACCGACGGGCACGGGAACGGAAAGGAGGAGAAGAGACAGCACTCACCGGCAAATCGGGCAAGGCGGAGGTTTGGAAGTGAATTGGCCACACAGGGCCCGATGAGGCCCCAGTGGCAAGGCTAATGGACCCAACTGGGTGAGGCGGCATTACTCGGACTCGTCACGTTGCTCACGTCTGTGTTCATGACGGATGCTGCTGCCGCCGCCGCCGCCGCCGCTGCAGCCTCGGCCGCCAGTTGATCGCACGTGGGTAGATCGACGCCGCTCGGCATCGAGGAATTCATCATGCCGCCGACGACACCGGCGCCGACTGGCGTCGTCGTGACCATGTTCGACATTGGACCTACGCCCACGCCGCCCAAGTTCATGCCCTGCTGGAAGTTGATGTCGAGCGTGCCGTTTATCAGCAGCTCGTGCTTGATCACCTGCCGAGCAGACGCGAAGCCAATTACCTTACTTTCTCGATGACCCGAACGATCGCGCGGGGCGGCGAGATGCAAACAAAAGCATTCGGCCGCAGCTGAAATTTTCATTTGCCGCTTGCTCCATTTTTGGCATTCCTCCCGTCTATATTATATACGCCATGCGCGCATAAGACTTATATAAAGTCAGCGGCAGCCGGCCACACCTCTATCTCGTGAAATAAAATGAAATTGATAAAGAAAAAAAAGAGAGAGCGCGAAAGATACGCGGCCGTGTATGCGTCTCTAAGCGCGCGACTCTGCGAGCCAGATGAAATTTATTTGAACGGAATCCAAATTCGTATATTGAAATTCGTCGTGCCCGTCGCCCAAACACACATCTCTCAATCGCGCGTCGCCGACGGGAGCTCGGAATAGAAGGAAATTCACCTCGTCGATATCGCAGTCAAAGCCGTGCAGCGTCTCAATGTTGATGTTCAGATCGTCCAACAGGGCAGTGTTGTTTAACGCTCCCATCAGCTGACCCATCATGGTGCTTGGGATCGGCGAGTCGGGCGGGGTGTTCCCCGTCGTCCCCTGCTGCTGCGTCTGCTGTTGCGTTTGTTGAGAATCGGTTTGCTGCATGAGGTATTGCTGGATCGTCTGCTGGTGAGGCGTCATCGACGGACTTGGCTCGCTTTGTTGATACGACGGTGACATACCCGATACGAGGCTCATGCTCTGCTGCTGCAACGCATAAAAAAAAGAGTCGTCTCTTTTCGGGCTTTTCTCCTGATTTCACAGCGGGAATAACTTTTTTTTTCGATTTTTCGCTCTACTCGTACGCCACGCAATCGTTAGAAAACGGAGTCCGAGTACTTGACTTTCTTAATCGCTATCGAAAAAGCACTGATAAGGGCCGGGGGAGGGAGGGAGAGAGAGAGAGAGAGAGAGAGAGAGGGAGAGAAGCGAGCGTAATGATTTTTAGGAGACGTACACACGGCTTGCAGACGATAGCCGTATTAAACTCGTCAACGAGTTGAGCGTATTTAAACCCACTTAAGGTCTCATTACATCTGCACATGAAATGCGCACTCGACTTTCGCTCGAATTATTAGCTAATAAAAGATAGCGAGCATGTGTGTGCGTGACAGCTTATCTCTTATCAATCGATTAAATGTTTTCTCTCTCTCTCTCTCTTTCACTTCTCATACTCCTCCATGACGTTTCAACGCGAAAAATAATACATCAGAATCATGAAGAGTCGCGGGAATCGCGCGGCCGGCCAAAGAGCATAGCTAAAGACGCGCCTGTAAAATTGATGAGCTTCGGAAAATTCATTTTCTTTCGAAAGCCTTCAAGCGGTGAATTATTCAATCGCCGTGTGAATTCTGCAAAAACTTGGCGGCGGTCGATGCGACTCCAAATTATTAATGTTCGGCGTAGAATAAAAGCGCGCCGCGAACGAAGCCGCGGATTCGCTCCCTCGCTCTCTCTCTCTCTCTCTCTCGTCTCGAAAATTTTCCCTCTCCGATAGCATCGTCGCCTTAGCAATACGCCCGACTTTGCGCGCTCGTTATCAAATGAGCCTCGATTAGAATCTTCGAGGAGAGAGCGATCGAGGCGCGAAGAGGTGACCGGCTTATCTGTGCGCCACTGACCATTTGGCAGCCGCAGGGCTGCAGACGATGAATGGGACACCTTGGCGGCGTCTGCGATTGGGACGTCGGCGGCAAACCGTAAGGCGCCGGGTTGGCCCTGAGCGCGCTGCCGCGCTGGTACTGCGCCTCGAAGTACGACGGCGGCGGACCGGTTTGCTGCTGCTGACTCTGCTGCTGGGCTTGCTGCTGTTGCTGTTGCTGCTGTTGCTGCTGCTGCGTCGGCGGCTGCTGTTGCTGTGGCTGTGGCTGCTGCTGCTGCTGCTGCTGCTGCTGCTGCTGCTGAGGTTGCTGCTGCTGCTGCTGCTGCTGCTGTTGCTGCTGCTGAGGAGACTGCTGCGGTTGTGGCTGCTGCTGCTGCTGCTGCTGCTGTTGCGGCGGAGAGGTCTGGTACACTTGGTAGCCGGGCACGAGCTTCATCGTTTCGGCAAGGTTGCCGGCTGTGGACCAGTCGAAGTTTGGTTTCTCGGTTTGGACGAGCGGGATGTCCACGCGAACGATGCCCGTCCGCGTCGCGAACGCCTCGGTGAGTCACATGCGCCGAGTGAACGAACTTGGGCGCAATATAAATAGTTTTGATTGAAAACGATCCAAAGTTAGATCTCATCGGCCTGCATTTTCGCACTCTGCCAATATTGCCTCTCTTTCGTGGATTCGACGCTGCGACGGCAAACACATCCGTCCCCGAGAGCAGCGCGACCTCTGCGTCTAATCTCGGCGAGGGAAAGCTGCAGGTGTCGCGATCGCGCGAAGGCCGAGCGGGAGGCCGCTGAATGGTCGATTGGTCGTGCGTACTTACCGAGCTGCTCGGGACTGTAGGACGAGGCGTAGCCAGGCGTCCATTCCGGCTCGCCGAGCACCGCGGGTATCGGGCTCAGCCTACCGCAGGATGAGGCGTTGCTCGAGGCTCGTGGACTGCGAACATGGCCAAAGACAGTTGGCGGTGTTAATCGTGGTGGCAGGTCGCGGGCGGATCGCTCGGAGGCGACACGCCGCGCGGAATTTTCCCTCTCGCTCCGGCGCGCGCGCTCCCGACCGTTCGTCGCGCTACAGCTGAAACGGCCGACGCGCCCGCGGTAGGCTCGAACATTCGAGAGTCACAGTCCTGACAGTGGCGTGCGCGCGCGTCCGCGCGTCCTCCCGGCTAATTGGGAGCGAAGAAGGCCGATTCGCGCAATTAGAAAAATAAAAAGAACGACGCGCGCACGCCGACCTTTGCTGTCTCGTTAATTTTCGCTTTAATTGCGTAACGCGCTCGCGCTTTAATCTCCGCGCGGTCTCGCACGGTCTCGCGAGTCCTCGGCGGTCGGCGAGGCGCGGAGAGCGGGCTCGTCGACGGAGCTCTCGCCCCGAGGGGTGGCGCGCCCGGGCGAACGAGCGAACGAGTAGCGGAAAGTTTCGACGACGAGAACCGGTCGCGCCGAGCGAAGAGCGCCGACCAACGCGCGGAACAACTGACCGGAAGTCGGGCGAGAGTTGAAAGCTGCTGGCGGGATGCAGGGGACTGTCGGGGAAGAGGTCGAGGCCCTCGCTGATGCTGCTGCTGGGGCTCGGCGTGGCGTCCGCGCCCTGCAGGCCGCCGTTCCTCAGCGCCTCCACCTTCTTCTTCACTCGGCCGCGGCGCTTCTCGAACTTGGACGTCTCCATCGACGTCGCTCTGCAAGGGAGAACAAGCGAGTTGGGGCCTCGGCTCGAACGGGCCGCCAAGGACGCGGATGCGCGATGCACACCGCTGCTCGCGTCGGCCGGGAAAAACCAGCTGCCCTCTCTCTCTCTCTCTCTCTCTCTCTCTCTCTCCTCTCGATCCTCGAAAAATGACGCACGACGCGTTGCCGGAGAGAACGCGTGAAAGTGCAGCCGCGCGTCGATTGGCGCGATTGGCGGCGGCGGCGAGCCTCGCACACACGCGTCGTTTTTAAAATTCAAGGATGGGGCACAATAACGCGCGCTCGAGAATTTCGAGAATTTCGCCGGCGTGTCTCGCCTTGTAAAACCCGCGGCGCGGCGAGAAAAAATCCGCCGGGGACCGGTTTTCGCCTGGCGAGTAGAGATTGGCGACGAGTTTTAGTCATGCAGCGGAAAAAGACGAGACGCCCGTGCATCTCCATCCGAGGCTGTCGCCGTCGCGCCTCCGAGGTGGCGCATGGCGCTCCGCCGATCGCCTTTCCCGCGTCGACGAGCAGCCGCCGCCCGTCCGATTCGACGGCCGCTCGGTCGGCTTTTCGGATCGAACGCTCGAAGGCACGCCGAGGAGAAAATTCTCGGTCTCCCGGTCGACGCGCGACACCGTTATATTATTTGCAATATAAAGCGGCTCTCGCGCGAGTGACATAACGAGTTTTTCCGCGCGATCATTAGAAATTCCTTCGCTCGCGGCTCGCCGGAGAGAGAAAAAAAGAGAAAAAAAAGCGCGCGAAAAATTTTCCACTCGGGCTTTTCATCGCCGTTGCATTGCACTCGCGCTCTAAACCGAATCGCACACATTGAATATTTAAAGCCAACGCGGAAATTGAAAGAGTTATTTCTCTCTTTCTCGCTCGACCGGAGCAAAAAGAAAAAAACACGGTGAATGATAATCCGATACAGTGAAAAAAAAAGTGAGGGAATATGCCAAGTTTATCTTTTGCTATATAGATGAGGCTTATATATATATATACGTATATGTATGTATACGTGCGTGCGTGCGTGCGTGTGTGTATGCGTTGCAACATCATCATCGACGGAGCGACGAAGAAAGAAATATCCTCTCGCGTTAGAATGGAAAACTTTTCGTGATATATTGTAGGCAGGAAAAAATGCGCGAGCTGTCCTTCGGTTTACGTAAAGAAATAATCCGCATATTAATCATAATCCCGTCTTTGGCATATTAAAGCGGCTCGCCGACGACAATAATCTGACCGAAAAGTAAAAATAATAAACTATCGCGAGGTGTGCATCGCACAAGCGGAGAATGACGCGGGCGCTCGCGCACTTGGTCAAACAAAGGAACAAGCCGAGTTTTCCGCTCATTTACCTCCTTCTGGCGGATTTGCCGGGCTTGGCGTCCGGGTTGATCATCCACCACGAGCTCTTGCCGGTGCCTTCGTTCTGCACGCGCATGAATCGGTTGTGCAGCGACAGGTTGTGCCTAATCGAATTCTGGAAGCAGAGAGTAAAACAAGCGCGTCAAGTTGCGAATAGCGAAAAGAAAGGAAAAAAATAAACGAATAAGAAAATCATCCATCCATTAATCGTTCCTCCCTCTCTCTCTCTCTCTCTCTCTCTCGCTCGCTCTTTCAAAGTGTAGAAGAAGCAGAAGCCTTTACGGGCGCCGTGGAGTCGGGCGCCACTTGACTTCTCTTTCTCATCCATATCCCACCACCACCACCCTCTTCCGCCACCACCTCCTTCTGCCGCTGGAGGCGCGTCCTTACTCGCTTCCGTAATTAAGCCGCGCACCGCGTGAAAATAGACGCCGCTGCCGCCGTGCTACAAACGTTACGTCAGTGCCGCCTTGAATGTACGACCTCGGTCAACACGTGTGCTGCGCACATTGCGTAACCCTCTCTCTCTCGCTCGCTGCGCTGCGAATTCGCCTCTTCATTGCGCGCGCACGCATCGCCGTCGATTCTTTTCGGAAAATCAGAGTCTCGTCATCGTCTATTTTCGCGTAACGGAAGAAAAACGAGAGCGAATTGCGCCGCGAATGCCGGGATGCCAGCTGGCTTCCCTCCGAAAAATCCGCGAGTGGACGAGAGAGAAAGAGAGGGAGAGAGAGCGAGAGAGAGAGAAATGGAGCTCCGATCGAGATGGCGCTCGAGGGGGGCGTGTGCAACAAGTTGGCCGCTCTCTGTGCTCTCCTGGACGACTATATGCGCAGATACCCCCCCCCCCCTATGTGTGTTTGGATGTGTGTGTCAGATAAGGGCCGTTTCACCGACAGCACGTGTATCTACTACCACGGTGACATGCACCGTTACGAGTAGATAAAAATAAATAAACAAAACCCCCGTGTGCGCCGTCGCCGACGGAGCACGCCAGAGAAAACGCCGTTCGCGCGGACAGACGACACACAATCTCTCTCTTGGTCGTTGCGCGGCGGAGGCCTATTTTTAGCAAAAACTCTTGTCGCCGTGTTCGTCGACGTCGCGCGAACGACGATGAACACGGCGACGAGACGGGCGAGAATCGAAAAATTATGTAACGGGTTTTGGTCGCGCGCGTACGCGTATGCCCTTAACCTGTTGCATTGTTATTGTGTTCATTAGAGAGCGAGAGAGAGAGAGAGCGAGCAAAAAATGTAGAGAGGTCATTGCCTCGGTTAATTCACCAAGGACGTGCAAGAGAGCTTGCAAGAGAGACAGAGAGACAGAGCGAGAGAGAGAGAGAAAGAGAGAGATGGCTGATGGCGAAGGGCGGCCTCGAGAAGTGAGAGGAGAGAGGAGAAAGGAGAGAAAGAGAGCGAGACACGTCGAGACGAGAAATCGGCAGGGAGCGCCACGTAGCGCGCTTTTGCGTCGCAGACCGTGAGGCACGTGGCATCACACACAGACGCAAGGCAAAGAGAGGAGTAGAGTGCGCGCGCGAGCAACACAGCTCGACTTGCGCGTTTATTTACCAACGAAAACACCAGGGAAAGAGAGAGAAAGTAAGCTCATTCACGCTCGTTCACCTTCCATCCGGCAGAACTGTTGCTGTCGCCCTTATCCTTGAAGTAGGGTACGTTCTGTACCATCCACTCGTAGATTTGCGACAAGGTTAGTCTCTTGTCAGGCGCCGATGTGATTGCTTGGGTTATGAGGTCGGCGTAGCTCAAGTTGCCCCATGCGTTCCGCCTGGATGAATTCTTCTTGACGGGCAGCAAACCACCGGCTGAGCCGACCTGCACTTGTTGCGGCGGAGTGCCGCCGCTCTCGTTGCTGGTCTCCTTGCTGCAGCCGTCGGGCGTGAAGTCAGGACGAGGACACGGCCACGTGTTCGAACGCGCGCGCGTCTGCGGTTCGAAACCGGCGTCGAGCTCGAAACCCGCTGCCGACATCATTGCCGCGGCGGCCGCCGCCGCGCTGCTTTCCGCGTAGTCCATCCTCGTTGTCGCTTTTCCCGCCGCCACTTCTTCGTCGTGCCCTCAGTAGCTTACGCTGTCTTCCGCTCTTTCGCCGCCTCACGCACACATGGAGCTGGGCAAAAGCCGCCAGACACGACAAGATTCACACTCACTCATATACACTTGCTTACGGCCAGTCGTGGCTGCGTCCTTGATGCTGCCTCGACGCTTCGGAGACCGCGCGCGAAAGAGCGACAGAAGCCAAGAGAGAGAGAGAGAGAGAGAGATCACGTGCCTCCTCGATAACGCGGGCGAGTAGCGCTCGCACGCTCTCGAGCGGGCTCGCGCGGAATTTTCCGCCACTCAAACTTCAAACATTCACTGATCACACACAACACGTGTATGATGCGCGCGCTTGCGACGCTGCTACGGCCACGGTCAACTGTGCGATACACTCAGTAGCAAGTCGCGCACTGAACTGAATCGTCCGTGTCGTCGCGCCGTGCGAGACCAGTTTGTGCAGCAGCAGCAGCAGCAGTAGCGGCAGACCTTTCGGTGTGCGAGAGCTGGCGCGCCAGCGCCGGAGCGACCTACGACATCCGAGAACCAGATACCCCCACTCTCCTCCCTTCCCTCCCGCTCTCCGACATCTCTTCTCGTGTCCCGCTCGCACTCTCCCTGTTTCTCTTACGCTCCCGCGTACCGTACCTATACGATTCGAGACTCTTGCGCGCGCGGCGGCTGCGACTGCGAGGAGGAGAGAGAGGAGAGTTTTTAACCTCCACTATTGCACGACGCTTTCGTAGCACGCTCGCGTACGCGCGTATGTGTACACATGCATGCGCTCACTCTCCCGATCGCTCAACGCTTGTGTTCTTCGCGGCTTACACTAATTCCGCACACCGCAAGCTGATACGCAACGGCGCAGTTTCTTCGAGACTCTGGTCTCTTCTCGCACATTGGGGAAATCCGATGGAAGAAGGGGCAGCCGTACTCATGTCTCTGCCATGCTTGCGATGTGATGGGTTTTTCGTGCATTTACGTCTGGAAATGACATGACAATACCGTGCGAGGAACAGGCTTTTAAACAGATGCCTTTTAATTCTCTCTTCGTTATATAGCTACAGTGGAATGCGCGAATGTTTCAAGGAATTCTCGCGCGTAAGTTTTTCAAGTCAAGTTTGGAGATAAAAAAAATTCATGCTTGAGCAATGCGTTCACAAGTAGAAATGTTATAGAGCTAACAAAAAAGTTGGATCCCAAGAACTTCGAATAAATAGTAATTACACTTGATTTTAAATGACTATAACACGTGGGGTAAATTGATAATTAATGTATCGATTTGAATAATAAGAAAGCGTTAAACTTCATTGACATCGATGTATTATACTCTTCGACATTTATGGCACAAATAAGAAGCGCGAAATTTTTAATTTGAGTGCAATGGAATATTTAACAATTGATCAAACTGATGAAAATAACATGAGAATCAGTCGCTTTGATCGATCAGTAGTAGGCAGCAAAATACACACACCATTCAATGAAATATTGAAATTCTCAGGAAAGCTGTAATAAAGAGCAAAAAAAAAAGGTAAAGAAATTGGCATATGTACACGGGAATAAGTTCTTAAGGTATCCAAAATCCATTTAGCAAACATCTTCGTCATTAAAGAATGACAATGAGCAACAATATCAACAAAACCAAATCCGATTCATATATAAGTCATACTACAATGTAAGAAAATGGAAATGGAAGAAAAAAATCAAAACGCGCGCTTTTGATGTCAAAACAAACTACGCACTCGTTAATCAGCTTCGCGCGTTCGCATCATCAATAATAAGCCATCAAGACAAACACCAACACAGCATACGTCCATTATCAAAAAAAAATCTCTTCACTTTTTATTCCAAGGATAGTAATAATACAAATAAGGCGATAAGCGGGTTATGAAATAAAGGAGAAGCAACATCGTCGTCGATTTACATAGGCCTTCCCATTCCTCTGCCAGGCATCTGCGATGCATCACCACCACCGCTCTTAGGGCTCTTAATTGTCTCGTCGACGGATAGAATGAGGCATGCAGCTTCGCACGCGGCAGTCAATGCATTCATCTTGACAATCGCTGGCTCCCAAACGCAATGCTCGTAGTTGTCGACGATGTCCTCGGAATTGATGTCCACACCGTACCAACACTTGCCTGTGTGGTGCTTTTGACGCAGCTTGTTCAAAATGTTCGTTGCGTCGAAACCAGCGTTGTCACACAATTGCCTGGCATTTCACAAAATAACAATTAATGTCGTTCCGATGATATAGTCTTTAAACTTGTATTTCATTTTGTTACGTTAGTAAAAACGTTACCCTTTGTGTGATTAATTTACATAGTTTTTTAGGTACACTTTATTTTAATAATTAGTTAATTTGGATTAGTGTGAGTATTAAAGTGTTCAATTACTATCTTAATAATGTTGAAAAACGTTGATATCTTAACTACAGCAAGATAAGTTATTATAAAATGGTTAGTTATGCATTTTTTATTAATTTGTGATATGATAAAACTAAAAACGAAGTTTTCAACGTAGTATAAAAAAAAACAATTTTTTATGGCTCATTTAACAAAAAGAATCGAATAACAACTATTAATCTGCAACATTAAAATTTGTAAAAAAAAATCAAATAAAGCTTTAGTTACCTTGGAATAACCTCAAGAGCCCTAGCGATAGCTCCAATAATAAGCTGCTCTTTACCAGCGATCGTGCGAGAATAATCCCTTAAAGTGCGTGAAAGTTCCATTTCGATGGCACCTCCACCAGCAACAACAGCGTCATTCTTAATCATACGCCTTACAATCATAATAGCGTCGTGCAATGATCTTTCGGTTTCTTCCAAAAACTGATCGGCACCACCACGAAGAATGAAAGTGCAGGTCTTGGCATTGGGGCATCCGGAGAAAAAGTTGAATCTCTCACCACCGATTTGCTTTTCTTCGAATTTCTCGCAGTGACCCAGCACCTTCTCGTTCACGTCATTGGCAGTTGTAATAACAGCACCACCGCAAGCTTTCATAGTACGTTTAAGATCTTCCTCGACGACGCGACCAGCGCAGAACATATCTCTGTCGGCGAAATATTGCGTTGCTACGTCACCAATTGGCAGTTTGGAAAGAACAACATTGGCACCGCTTTTGTGGATCTTCTCCAGCTTGTCGTACAAAATTTTCCATTCCGCGTCGACGATTTTTTGATACTCGGCTACGTTATCCACGCGCACTTCTGCGTTATCACGCTCAGCTTTGAGCTCAAGCTCGATGTTGAGAAGAGCGATTTTGCAAGGAGAATAAGTTTTTGGCTGCATCTCGAATCCGGCATATGAGAAGGTCTTTTTGAATGCTACGCCTGCAACCAGCATCGAGTCTTCCAAAGCTCCACCAGAAACCTATAATTTATTATTTACTTTATATTCACCTGAAGTAATTTTCACTTTAGATAATATTCGCCTGAACTCTGTCAAATGAAACATACGAACAAGAATTCATTCATTCATCTAGAATGAACTTCCTTTGGTAACTTTATAGAACAAAATTAACTACCTTTTTGATACCAATCATATTAAGTGGTAGTAGTTCGTCCAACATAAGTACTGCATCAACAACCATTTTGCTAAAGAATTTTCTCTGTTGGTGAATCAGTTTTGAGTTCAATGCTGTAGCAGCACATTCTTCCAAGGTAATACGAGTCTCCTCTTGGCTAGTCTTTTTGATCTTAATGCTCAATTGATCAATTTTTTCAGTGGCCAAGTGAATAGCTTTCCTGAATGCTTTGATGATAATTCTGGGGTGAACTCCTTCTTCAATAAAAGGCTTTACTTGTTTCAAAAACTCTGCTGCAAGGAGCACCACACTAGTTGTACCATCACCAATCTGTAAAAAAAAAACAGTTAATATGACTAAAAAAGTTGAAGTTAATTTTTAAATGCTTGTTGAAACTTTGTGAGTCAATTTCATGTCTTTTCAAAATTGACAGTCTAATGGTCTCTATCAATATTCTCGGAGGAAGTCATAATCATTCGGAGACTTATACAATGATTACATAAAAACCTACATCCGAGCACATACATAAGAATATTAAATTACCTCAGCATCTTGTGATTTAGCGATGTCCACTAGAGTTTTGGCTGCTGGATGAACTATATCTAAGAGCTTCAGTATTGTTGCGCCATCATTGGAAATTGTACCTTTGCCATGGTTATCAACAATCAGTTTGTCCATGCCACGAGGACCCAAAGTTGTACGAACAGCTTCTGCTACAGTTTGACAGGCATTTATGTTGGAAATCAACTGAGGCTTGCCTTGTGATGAATCTGTTCCTTCTTTCAGAAGAATAATTTGTGGTTGCTGTTGAAATACGAAATACTTATTTAATCATCCATTTTGGTAATAACTTTCATAATCAATAATATTGTAAAGTACCATGTTTAAAAAAAAAACGAAAAATGAAGCAACGAGATACTATTATAAAGCACTATTAAAGGGTGGAATAACCGCACGAATGACTATAGCAGTAATATCATATCCTTATAAGGTTAGGCGGCGCGTGAACATTTCTCACCATGAAACAACACCAACCGCGTGCACTAAAATTTAACCTTTTTAAAACGCTAAAATTAAACCTTTTTATGTCAATCATATCAAAGTGCACTAAGATTCACCGATAATTTCGATTTTAACGATCAAACTTCAGCCGGCTTTTCGAACGATTTGATCAAATGAATAAAACGTTGCCTTTTGACTATCCCGCGACTCGGGATAGTCAACCGACTGAAATTGATCAGAATTACTTACCATTTTGGAGGAGTTGAGGAAAAGGCGCTACTTGGGAAATGTATAAATGGAAATTATCCTCACGGCGCTGTCCCTAGTAAATCAAACTACCACAAAATTAATAGGTTGGAATAATTAAACTTCACCGACCGCTATATCAATTTTGGAGTAGGTTTAGCTTAGACTTTACTGCAGCGTTGCGGCTGGAAAAATTTTTCTCAGGGTCCCTAGAAATTATTGCATTATAGTAAATGGGATAATTTCTAGGGACCTAAAAAGTTGTTTCCAGCGGCAACGCTGTTTTTAGATTTAGCTTCTACTGTTCTGTTTCGCTATATTGGCACCATTGAATTGCGACTAAGTTGGTACTAATTGACTTGCGCGCAAGCGCACTTATCTATCGGCTTGACCGCAGATTCGAAAAACCGAGGATGAACGAAATTATAAAAATTGAAAAAAGTTACAGCCGTGCAGTTTATAATTAGAATTAGAGAACGGATTACTATAGGGCATTGATTAATTGACGTCTTCGACTTCTACAAGTACTCGGTGAGCTAGCGGTAAGCTGCTTGCGTGATTTCATGGCTACTTGTAGTCCTTGTCAAAGATGATTTTCGACATTCCGAATGAATAATCTGTGCAATAAATGAAATCGTTGTTTATCACGTGGAATCTCGTGAAAATTGAGAGAATCACCGTGAATGTCAAATAAAAGATAACAGCTTAAGGAGGCTCCAGCGACTACCGCCGGGATCAAAAACACAACAAAAAATAAACTTTCAAGCTAACGGCTAAAAAATCTTATAAGCAGTTTCTAAAGCAATATTATTACAAAATAGTACGATTTTCAACTACAGTTGGTAACTTTTTACAACAGAAGTTCCAGAACTTGAGTTTGGTACAACGCACAGAACCTATAAAGTAGACAATTTCAGACTTTTTTGGAGAATATCTCAAAATTTTCCACGGCTATCCATATTTTGCAGTACATCATTCGAAAGACCAAGTTTTTATCTATAAGAAGATCAGTTTTTCATTGCGTAACTACACCATTACTTTTAGTTATTGATGAATTTCTAACATTTTTTCACCTTGTTCCATAAGATACTATACAAAAAGCGCAAACTTTGAGATGAAATATCTCGAAATTTTCCACGGCTTGAGGGGTAAAGAAGGATACCGTTGGATTCAATGCATTTTCACTTATCGAAATCACTATAACTAACATCGAAACTTTTCAATACCCCTCCTCGCTGGAGCCTCCTTAAATATTTAGCGACAGTTGTTTTTATGGACTCAATAGCGTTGGAACATCGATCGTCAGTCGATTCGTCCCAGACTCATGCGGATATGTAATCTTGTCTCAAAACTCGTTTTTTGCAATTATTAAAATGTTTAGTTAATGACCCGGAACTTCTCCTGAAAACAAAATAATTATCCATCGATTTTGATAGTTTGCGCGGTGGTCGTCGATTTTACAAGTACCTTTAGCGACTCGCGATCATCGAGGAAGTGTTTCAAAGAGAGCGAAACAATAGATAAAGCGATCGACGATCATCGCAGCGCGGCAGGTATCGTCAAATGAATTGTCGTTAACCGAGAGCCAACGACAAAAAGCAATGCTTCGGCTAGTGTAATGCAGACAAGATTCAGCGGGTATGCGTCTCGACGCAACGCGAAGGATATCCCCGAGCGAACTGTGGTTGCGGAGCCAGCGGCGCGGCTTCGGGGCGGGAATCCAGGCGTGGAGCAACCTGCTGGTGCGCGTCCCAGGCGACTTGGCATCGGGGCCGGCGCTGCCCCGCGATACCCGACGCGCGCTCGAGCTCGTCGCGCCCAGCTTCGACCTTTAGGAAGTCAAGCTGATCCTAGTCTACGGCAGTTGAGCTATATGTAATGTTTCTTTCGTTACAATAAAATAAAATTTTTTTTTAAGTAGAAAAGTGTCATTAATATTTCGATCGAAAATTCATAATTTTACAAGTAATCGTCGTGAAAACAGTTAAACAATACAAAAGTAACAAATTTGTTAATTTAATCGTAACAAGGAAATTAAGAATATAATTTGTGACAAGAAAGCAAATAACTTTTTAGTTTCTAATTTATAAGCCCCAGAAAATAATTCACAAAGTCAACAATCTTTCAAGAGTGTAAAAAATATTTTATTCAGTTTAACTTTACATTTTACTACTTCGTGTACCAAACTTTTACATTACATTTATAATTTTCTTTCTATTTACAAATAACCCTCATTCATCGACTCATTCATCACTCACTCAAAATCGTAAAAATAATCCAAAACATTAATTATACGCATGCTATTAGCTCGCGCATTATAAACTTAGCTTATTACAAATTTGATACAAACAATTAATTACAAATTTATTAAATTTAAAGCTTTTTTTAGTATAAAAATGAAAGAACAGTATTAATCTATTCTTTCTAATTTCAAATTAATTCATCATTACCATTTTTATATACTTTCTAAAAATAAGCAACACTATAGATTACAAACAGAAAAAGAAAATAACATTTGACTGATTTAATTTCAGTCGTCCAATGTAATTATCTCCACTTTACTCCCAACAAGTTCCTTCTCGGCTCGAGATGCAGAAGCCGGACTACTATTGCTCACATTAGGTTTCTGCTTCGGTAATTCATATACTGATACGCTATCGCTACTCATAAAGTTCATAGGTTTAGATTGATTATTCACGGCACTAAACTCAACTGGAGCATTCATTGGTTCGACTTGTCTTGGGCGACTGGACTGCGGAATAATTTCTAAATGTGATTGCTGTTGAAGCCGATTCAGCACAGGATTGGAATATTGATTGTTGATATCTTGAGGGGCCTTTTTTAAAGAAATTCCAGTCAGACTATTCACGTCTTGAATTGGTTTTTTCATTGAATACCCAACTGGACTGTGAGCCTCTGGTGGCTTCTTTTTCATAGAGTAAGAAGCTGGATTATGTATATCTTGCATAGATTTTTTCAACGAGAGCCCCACTGGACCACTTATATCCGGCCCAGGTTTCTTCATAGAGTACCCTGGAGAGATGTTAACGGTATCTTGAGCTAACTTTTTATGCGTGAACGCTGCCGGATTGTTGAGATCTTGTGCTGAAGGTTTCGTAGAGTATCCTGTTGCAGACGAAATACTCAAGTCTTGAAGCGTTTTTTTATGAGAATAGCCAACTGGATTATGAACAATCGAGTAAGTGGTGGGATTATTAACATTTGGGATCGATCTTTTCGATACTTTAGAGCTTTGTGTTGATTTTTTCGTCGTATATGACGTTGCGGTACCGAGATGCAACATTTCCGTCTGCAAGGGGTTCACCGTCGCTAAGTTCGACAGCATAGACAAGTCATTTGGGTCACCGAGGGCACTTTTACGACTGCTTGAATAATACGGTTTCATCGGTTCTTCTTTCCTTGACAACATACTCGTAATTACGCTGCTGTGATACGATTGATTGTGATGCTTATTGTGGAGCAGTTTGTGCTGCAACGATGTGGTTTGCTGTGATAAACTTGTTGGTGGCTTGACTGGGTCAATCGAGGTCAGTCGTGGATGCGGCAGCGGCGCATTTAACTGCTGTGCGCGAGACATCGGAGGAATCGACTTGACTGGTGTGATAGAAGTTTGACTCGTCGATGGAAATATTGAATTTCTACTGGCAGAGTTATTGTCTGTATTCAATAGATTTAAAGCTACTTGGTTCAAAAGTCCATGTTCAGAACTGCGTTGTTGCTGATGAGCTTGAGATGGCTTGAGTAGTGAAATTTCCGGTGGTGTCATCAAATTTGTTACTTTCGACGCTGTCGACGAAGGTGCACTGTCATTAGGCCTACTAGTTTTAGTTTTAGTTCCAGATTGTGAAAATTTTGGAAGAGGATTTTTCGTCACGGGTGTTATGGATACATCTGGCCTAGCTTTCATAGAACCAAACATGTTATTCGTGCTCGAAGTACTAGCTTTTTCACTTTGAACATTTGTTGGTGGTGGATTATTGAAAGGTTTTGGATTATTGAAAGGTTGTGGATTGTTGTAATTGAGTCCTGATGTTGAATTCAAATTCATTTGTCTGTTAATATACTGTTGCATAGCTTCAAAGACAACATTTGAGGAAAACTTCGAAAAATCGTATGCTAATAAATCTGGTCGAAGGAACAGATTGCTCAATAAGGGATCGACTCCAGGATTACCAGTGAACGGAAGGTTGGCATTCATTTGATTAGCATTCATTTCATTGCTAGTAGATTTGAAATTAGTTCTGGACATGTTTGGAAATTGTTTATCAAATGTTGGTGGTCTTCCACGTACTTTTGGGGGACCAGTGCTTTTCTGTGATTTTCTTGGTGCAGTGCTTGGCATTTTAGTAACTGGTGTAACAGTCAACGACGATGTACTTGGCGTAATTGTTGGGTGGACACTGGTGTTAACATTAGGAGTAGATACTCTATTCTTTAGTCGATTTTGCTGTCTGCAACAATCCACAGCAATTTCAAAAATATTACCTTGTACTTTTGGATTACCGCAATAAGAGATGTATCCTTCTTCTAGCAATTTTTTGACTTGTGGTAGCGAAGTCATTTCGTAATCCGATATGTTTTTGATCATCTGATAAGTGTAAAAAATATCCAATAACACTTGCAATTTCGCTTCGATATTTAATCCGTACAAAGATGACTTATCATTGTTGTTGAACTTAATTTTGTTACGTAAACACTGTATACACATAGTCAAAGCTTGACAAGCTAACTGCTCTCTCTCATTGTCCCTCAAATATTTTTTCTCGGCTTCTGGTTTCCTTCGCAACTGAATGCATAATTCTGTCAACATACGACTATCGCCAGAATCTTTTAAAATTTGCATCAAAAACGAAGTACATCTAGACATGTAAGATGCAAAACTTCCAGGTCGATCGATCTCCTGCACAGGAATTCGCCAGATACCATTAAAAAAATTATTATTCTTGCGATCTGCAAAGAGTCCTTGGATCTTCTGATTGGGATGAAATCGACACTCGTAAGTACCTAAAAGCAGCTGTTTACAGGCAGCAATATTTTTAAAAGTTTTGTTGTTGAAGTGAAAGTAGGCTAAACGATAAACCGACTTATAATGCTTCGGGAATTTGAGGATACATTGTTCCAAGCCAGCAAGACACATCTCAATCAATTCGCTTACCTCCTTCTCTGTGGCAAAGGTATTTTCACTTACGGCCGGCTGTCCCTTTTTCTCGGCATCGCTCGACACTGAATCACTGTCGCTTTCGCTGGAGCTTGAACTATTTGAGGAGGAGTCGCTGCTGCTGCTGGAATTTTCACTGCTAGACGATGTGTCATTTGTCTCCGACGTGCTTGTTTCAGTAGTCGTTGAGCTTTCTTGCGAATCTCTTCTGTTCAGTATCTTGTCAGATTTGTTGCATTTTTTCAATTCGTCTTGCATTTTTTTCGGAATATCCTTTGGAGCGTCTTCGACTTCAGCTATGCTTTTCTTGTCAGCATCGTCTATATTTGCAGCTGGCGAATCTTCGGTGTAACTCGTTTTAGGAACTTGCACGTCTACTTCCGTTCTCATATCTGTATCCATGATCATCGAGCTTGAAGCAAACTTAATAACAGGACAGTGTTCCGAGGGTTCTCGTTTGGGTGACAATTGGTTGCAAACTTCCATGATTAAGTCATTAACAAGACTTCCCACATCCTTCTTCAAATCTGACTCGTTATATCGAGCCCTTTTTATTCTTTCATCGTTGGCACTTGAGAACACGTCGTTGCGCCTTTTCAAACTGGTGTTCGATTTACGGTTAGTACATTGATCTTGTAAACGATTTTTCGTACTACTCACAAGTTGATCAACCGGCATTTTATAGAAAGTACAGTCGTACGACATGAACGGATATTTCAGACAATTCTTCAAGCTTTCATGTAATATGATAAACAAAGATTTTTTCAATGGTTTACCTTCGTGCTGTTCTAGGTATTTTAAAATGCTCGCGAAGATTCTATAGTAAACTTCAAGAGATTCGTGGGACCATTGCGGAGTACTCTTTGGTTTCGAATCATTATCACAAAGCAGCCATTTGCCAGCTTGTAAGTAATACTTTAAAAATGTCTGTGGCTCTTTATTCTTCTTTTCGGCGACTTTACCAAGCATATACTGATAAAGCCATTTCTCGTTAGGCTCGTCGGTACCCTGACGATTATTGGAAATATCGTCGGCAGTTGCAAAGCACTCCTTTGCTTTATTAATCATCTCGTCCTTTTGATTTTCTAACACTTCGAATCTCTTCATGTTTAAAGAATCACTCTCTTGCTTCAATAGCCGTGAACAAAATGAGTGAACGGTATACAAGAAATTACCATATTCCGTCCAGATAATTAAATGCGTTGGTTCCAAATCAACAGCATGCTGATAACTTAATTGTGCGATTTTAGCTTTCTCCAGATATTTTTCCTCGCTAATGTTTGGCTCAAAGTTGTTTAGCCAAGTTTCCATTATGGTGCCTATTGACATTGCTAATCCAGCCCACGAATTGAATTCGTTAGGGTGTTGACACAAATCATATATGTAATACTTAGATGCTTTTAACCATGACAGATTTCCTATATTTTTGAAATAATAGTCTGCAATATAGTAATATAAGTACGAAACTTGACTGGGTAATGGCACTTTGACTTTTGGAATATCCATTCTGTTTCCATGCAGATAAGCATTCATTTCTTTGATAATATCAATGGATGAACTCTCTTTGGGAACAAGACAACACATTTTCTTGAATAAATCTAGAGTCTCTGAGTTGATAGAGTCAGTTTTCTTTGAGTCGTAGTTCGGCAACGTTTCTGGTTTGTAAAATTCTATTAAAACTTGACATATTTCCCAAGTGCAAGACATGTGTTGGGTAGTGTGATCTTCCAGATGCTTTGACCTTTGCTTTTGTCCAGTGGCGTATTTTGCTGGATGACCATACAAACAAAAAATAACTTGCTCCAGAGGCTTTATTAATTTATTTTTTATCTTGGCGAACAAAGGGAAGTTTATCTTTGGAATGATCAATTTGATTATGAATATTAAAAGTCTTCCTTCCTCAACGCAACACCAACCATGCCGACCGAGAAAAGTGTGAGCTTTGAATAAGAGAATTACAGAGGCAGGAATTTCATATTCATTTTCATCTGATTCTGGACTTGACGGGATATCTGATCTATGCTTTTGTCTGGACATTGATCGTGCTCGTTGTCTATCCTCTTCATACTGTAGAATGTAATGCAATAAAATCCATGGCAAAACACTGAATATTGGAATTGTTGAAGTGCTATCTAATGTTTCTAATTGATGGCTGACAAAATGAATCAAATTCTTGAGAAAACGTGAGCGACGTGATTCTTTTAAATACTGAACTACGAATATGCTAACTTCTGAGACACAATCGTCCAACATTTTTAAGGTGTATAAAATAGAATCTACCCATTTTTTCTTCTCCTCTTCATTCTCAACTGACTGTAGATCAATGCCGATTGTGTTTAGATAATTATGCCATGATTCATTGAAACATGCTTCAGCCCAAACATAACAATCTTCATATTGATGTAGTTGCCACAAAGAGTCTAGCAACAATTTGAAATGTTCTATTCTATCTATTGATTTTCCTTTGTACATCAGAAACTCATTGATTTGTTTTGTGAAGTGAAATGTATCCTTTAATATACTGGAAACTTCTTCATAATTTTTGTCTTCGTACAAGCGCCTTATTTTACTAAATTTCTTGCTTCTCTTGATCAGTGTGATAGTTTTTTGGACAGTATCTGCACTTATTGTAGCATTATATGTACAGTTGTTTAATTTAATGTACAAATCAATCTGAGATTCTTGAAAATGACACAAAAGTAGCTCAAATATCCTTAGTGATAATTCAACATTACCTTGGTATAAAAACAAATTAGCTTTCAACCATAGCATTCGTCTTAGTAGGTAGACATCAGATAAATCATCATCATTACGAGAGAAAACTATGTAGCCTAGATCATCCGACAGTAACGCAACTTCTGTTTCTAATTTTTCTTCGGAGCTCTCTTCTGGCAATGTAGATGCTCTTTTCAATAACCATTTATCTAGAAGAAGTTCACAGTAAAGTATTTTAACTTCAGCACTTAATTTCAATAAGTATTCATCATCAGTCTTATCATCAAGTGGTGAGGATAATGGTGTATATTTTTTTACATATAAATACATTTGAATATACAATTCTGCCAATTCACTTGGCCATTTTTGATTCCATTTTGTGCACAAAAATTGAATGAACTTTGTTGTTAAAGTTATCATATTGCATTTTCCAGAATACTTGGTAATAAATTCACGCACATCTAAATATTCTTGTTCCATACCAAAATAACTTATTTGGCCTTCATTTGATGGACTATTTGCTTTGAAACTTTCCATACTTTTAGAATCTTCTGTAAAATTACTTTCCTTATTAAGCATTGCATAATATGCATCCATAGTATCCATAGAATCATTATTTTTTATTGCATCTTCTTTTGAAAACTTAATGTTGTCTGGTAACAATGCTGGAGGAAATATTTGTTTTAGTGTTTCTTCTATTCCATCTTTTTCACAATCCTTACGGTTTGAAATACGTGAAGAACGTTTCGTATTACTACTGCTCCAATGCCATTCAGTTAGAATACAAAGTGAGCTTCTACGGCGTTTCTTGACTTTCTTTTGCCTTTGTGTTTCTCTAGAATTCAAATTAGGATCACCTTTACTAGGGTCTAATGAATCATCAATACTTTTTTCATTCAATTTACAATCTTCATTCATAATATTTTCCTCATCTTTATCTTCAGAATTAAACTTTTCAACACATCCATTAGTTTCAACTTTAATTTGAGACTCATCACAACTATCTATGGGCGAGTCATCTGTACAATTAATTTTTTCTGTAATTCGAAATTCACTAGAATATGTTTGGTTTTCATTATCTAATTCATTATTTTCTGTTGAACTGAAAATTTGCTTTGTATCTGAAAAACTATTTTCTTTTTGATGTGTAGATTCATGTATTTCTATTTCTTTATGAGAATTGCATACTGAGACTAGGGTTTCTAATTGATTTGAATCTGCCAAGACAATGTAATTTAATAAATTTAAATTATTCTCATTCATATATTTAATCATAAGCATCAACTTTTCACCTAATTCAAGCCATGATAATGATTCTAAAGGCTTTTCCAAACACAATTGCCTTAAGGGACTCTTATCGCTTTTACGCAAACTAATCCAGTCTTCAGATAATTTTCTTACTTTTTTTAATAAAACTTTAGCAATATTCTGATCATATTTACTGTCCAATGGAAATTCAAAAAAATCATCTGACAATTTCTCAAATGATGGTACTACCTTCAAGATTTCTCTACAAAAGATTAATCCTTTGCTGTACGAGGGATCTCTCTCTAAGGCAAGAGAAATATACATGAGACAGTTCATGTAATCCGGAATGGCATAAAGAACTGTAATCAAACTATCTAAACATGGCCAATGATTTTTATTGCGTTTCAAACCTTGCCTAAAAGCAAAACATGCTTCCTCTAAATTTGATTTATTAAGAGCCAATGTACCAATTTTATACCAAATCATGACATCACTATCATCTAAGTTGATAGCTTGCCAATAGTTGGTAACTGCTTCATGGTAGTTTTCCAAATCTGCTTGGATGTTTGCAATATTTTTATAACAAGCATATTTCAAAGACAGCATTGGTCTCGTATGACCATCTTGTTTTTTTGGTTTCTTCACTTCATCCAAAAGTTTTGTATCCAGAAGCTCTAATAATACATTTAATGCTTCTGTTTTGTTATTTTCGATGAGTAATTGCAATGCTCGATTATACTCATTCAAAGCAAACTGCTCTTGAGCTTCCTTTGTTATGGCATTCACATTATCTTCTTCTGTTTCCTTGCTTTGAACTTCATTCAATGCAGTTATTTTCAACATTTTCAAACTCAATATTACAGTAAATAAATGCAAGAATTTTAAATCACTGAATACACAGGTGAGTGTAAATATCAAAACATTCTCAAAACATTTTTCTCATTTCTGATTGTTTAGTTGTACAAATAATTCTTATCATTTCTCTAATAGAACTGATCCTCACTGCTGAGATTTTTCGCTTTGCAGACCTACAAAAGAACGTTTCTGTAATTATTGTCAACAATTTTTTACAAGAGGCAATCTCTTACATTTGAGTAACAGTAAGCTGTAGTTACATGATTACCGTTCACATCTGCCAAGAGAATTCATAACCCAAAGATAGTATTGAGAAATTGCTGATGTGTGATACATCAACGACGTGCTCGTAAATATTGTACTATAACAGTAATTGGAATACTAATTAAAAATCTTTCAACCGCGAGATTGTGTTTTGAAGGAGCACATCTCTCACTAACAAGAGATTCGGTGAAGCACTACGTAGATTTACGTTGGTGAGTTAGTGTTCCTACAATGGCCGCTATTTTAAATTGGACTTTCTTTCGAAGTTCTCTACAATATTGATTTTTAATAATTTATTCCTGAAAAATCATTGATTACGTTAAAAAAAAGTTTGGATAATTCGTTGTTATCTATAAATGTTATCTGAAAAGCTGCGGAAAATAAAAATAAAATTGGAAAATCAATGAACATAAAAATAAAACTACAGAGTAAATCGAGTCGGCGCATGTGCGTAAAAAGCGTCCTACGCCATCTTCGTTAATGTGCGTACTGTGCAGACTCTCGACTCTCGATCCATGCGGATGTCTGTTTTTTAACGTCTGCCATTTTGCTGGCTCTATAAACACAGTCCGTTGTTCTTCTCTGTTCTTGGTCTACGAATCGGCTATCTTTTTTTGTTAATGTGAGTATTTTCAACTTTGGGTTCTTCATCTCTTGGTCCAGTGATTCATTTTTACTTTCGCATGATATTACCTCATACTGGGAACGCTCGTGCAGTGAGTCACTTCTTTTGGCATGTTCGTCGATCCCAAGGTTGAGTGCGCGCGTGATTGAACGCAATTGCCCTCGTTTGCGAGAGGATTAGAAACCGTATACAGCAGGTGTTTGTTTCGTTGTTGCAGAGGATGCGGTGAAAGGCTCGTAACTTACATATCTCGCCTACACATTAATCGTTCTGAGGAAAAAAGAGAACTCAGGTGCAAGTTTGTCAAGATGATGGAAATCGATCCTCCCCCGCAGTTCAATACCAAGGACGATGAGATCCAGTATTGGATGGAGTTAGCTCACCAGCTACATCAAAGGTAATGATTAATTTGTTGAATGACAGCATTATGGTTTCTCGTTATTATTTGTATACAGGAAAGAAGACGTGGAGCGAGAATTAGAGGAGTTCCAGGAGAACTCCCAACAATTGGAGAAGGAGTTAGAAGCTTCGTTAGAACAGGCTGACAAAACAAATAGCGAGTTGAGACAAAGGAACTCTAGGCTGGCTACTGAAATTGAGCAGCTTAGGAGTCGGATCGATCAACAAACTGCTGACTGTTCTATGTTTCAAACTCGGGCCCAGGAGCTTCAAATGTCAAATGAACAGTTGCTCAAATATGTCAGAGAACTAGAGCAGAAAAATGATGATCTAGAAAGAGCACATAGGTAAGGATTAAAACAATTCAAAGATCGTTTTATTATATTGGACTTATTGATTATCTATATACAAATGTAGGGTAAGCAAGGTTACAGAAGAGGAAATGGAAGCCAAATTCAACGTAGCTCTAGAAAAAACAGCTTTACTTGAATCAGAACTAGATGAAAAGGAAAGCTTAAGGACAACTGTCCAACGATTGAAAGATGAAATCAGAGGTATCTTGAATACATTTTGTATTTATGAATGTTGTTAGATTACTATTATATATAATTTCATTATTTTTATTTTGTAGACTTGAAACAAGAAATACAAGTTTTAGCACGACATCAACCCGATAATAATAAATCAGCTACTGTTGATAGAGTAAGGAATCACATTGACAGCAATAAGCTGCAAGTTGAATTGGAAGCTCACACTCCACCAACGAGTCCGGTCAACGGGTCTACGACGAATATTTCGTCGACGTCACCCCTTAAGAGTAAGATGCGCAGTGCGCTATATAAAACAAAAAAGTATTTAATACCCTGTGCGAGACGCAAGAGTCAGAAAAACTTTATAGTTTCAAATTAACTAATCAATTTCTTTTTTTACTTTACGTAATTGTTTTTGATCAATGGTTTTATTTTTTTTTCTCAATAGGTATAAATAATAAATTTTGTATATGTTTTTAAAGATTTTCTCTTAAAGAATACTCAATAAAGTTAGAATTTTTTTCAAAAGCTTTTTTTCTTTACTTTTGCATGCACAACAAGTTTTCTTTTTCTTGTGTTGTATAATTGTTTTGTAATTAGTTGAAACTGGCATTGTAGGGGGTGTAATCGGTAACAATATCAACAATAATGTTAATCCACCATTGGCGCCATGTACGAGAATACTAGCCATGAATATGATTGGTGACCTCATGAGAAAAGTTGGGGTAAGTACAACGAAAAAAAAAATTCTTTAATAGTCGTACGAATATAACACTGCAAACAATGCAACTGTGGTTTTACATAGCATGCAGCCACATAAAAGCTTCACAGTACGGCTTTTTTGTTGTTTTATTAAATATTTTGTTTTTTCCCCTCAATAATCAATTATACAACGGAAATTTCAAAATAAGTATACTCTATTATACCCACATGCACAAAGTGTAAGAGTACTGTATGCTTGGTGTATTGGCAGCTTGACAGGTGGGTCTGCATGGACTGTAGGAGGGTGAAATGTTCTTGTCCTAATGGAAAAAAAACAATTGTTTCTATGAGTTCCGCAAAACCACCGTCAGTTCAAATAGACACTACAATTCAATGTATAAGACAACAGCCTAAATCAACCAAAAGCTAATTGTGACAATAGAGATCTCTCACTCGATGCTCTTATTATATACTTGAGACTTTTTCAGATAAAAAAGCAGGTTTTTGATTTTGTTTTTTCATTTAAATTTGTGCTTGCTTACTTTACTAATCTGTCCTTGCTTGCCCTCCTGTCAATTTTGCTTTCAACCCAGTAAATGCTGATAGAAATGTAAAATCAACAAACCATATACTAAACACTCTGCAATTGCTATTACTGTCTAATTTATTGACAAATACATTTGTTGATATAATAAATTGTTTTCCTTTGTTCTAATACAGGCACTGGAAAATAGGTTGAATACTTGTCGAGCATCATCACGAGAAGATCAAACAGTGCGCGATCTTTACAGGTAACGCTAAATTGAGCAACGAAGTAGAGAAAAATGTCGTAGTCTTCCTTTTTTATTTATGTAGTCCTGCAAGAAAAGGATCATGTACCTACTATCAGCCGCAGTCAACGATTTATTATCTGTAAAAAAATATTTTTATTCTTTCGTTTTATACATATGAGGTTGAATGTACTTGGTGGCTGTAAGTAAAGACGCCTTTGGTACATGATACTCATCAAATGATTTTGTGTTTAGAATCCTCAAGATTCATGCAAATATGCTTGTCGACTCTTTAACTAAAGTACACTTGGTCACTCTAATCGACATTAATAATTTAATACCTGATACTTTTAGTTTGATTTGTTTTAGTTTGGCATTGCAGTGCCAATTTTAAATTTTGATTTGTGTGATTTTGAAATATGTAAGATTTGCTACAAGTTTGCACAATTTATTTTGTTTATTTGTTCATAAACATTAGATAAATGTTACATTTGGTAGCATAGCCATATCCAATACATTTTTGTTTTGCACAAATCAATCCTGTCCAAAAGATAAATAATGTAATATAGATCCTAGTTATGTTTAAAAAAAATTAGTATAGTTCAATTTTACAAATTCAAAGAGGACAAAATTCCAATTATATTTAAAAAAATGAATGTTACTATTTAACTTGTACGTAATCTTAGGAGTTGTCTCTTGTTTTTTTAACAGAAGCAAAAACATGTTTCAAAAAAGACAAGAATATGCTGCTTTCATTTATAAAAAGATCTGTAAACTTTTGTAGTGTTTTTCTCAATTATCTTTGTAATAGTTGCAATAGCGAATTATGTCCTATAATCGATCAAAATATAATTTGTAACTAATTTACTCAACACGTGATTTAGCTTTTAATAATATTCAAATCTTATTTTTGTATATTAGCTCATAATTATTTCTCAGTAATTATAAAATGGAAAGCTGATAGACAAGCAGCATTTACATAATATTTATTTATTTTCTATCTAACAAAATTCTTTTATATATTATAAAATCCAATTGTAGGCAAATTAAGCAGGCAGTGGAAAACTGTTTGTGTACTATAGATATTCATAATTCTGTGTTTGCATGATACTTTGTCGTCCTGTGTTCAAAAAAACCTTCGGTTATTTTTCTTATGTATAAAAATCTTTTGTTCTTGACGATTTGTCTGTTTCAAATTAGGACTAGAAGGCAGCAGCGAGTTTTAACTGTTGCAGCAGCCGGAAACAACAACCACATACAATACTGAAGTACACAGACAAAAAATCCGTCTTCATAGACAGAGAGAAAAGCATATTTTTATTCATAAACTCGCGTAAAGAAGAGTTTGATAACTATATTCTTTAATGTGGAAAGCGAAAGGTAGTAATTTCAAGAGTTATAGAAAATTTCAATATATAACAGACATAGCAAATCTACTTTTGGATTATCTTAATTTTGTTTTAACTTTATTTTTAAGTTTCCTTTCAGCCGTTAACAGCCAACAATTTTCAAAACTGTATACTTAACAAGACTAATGTAGATCAGTTTTTCATTAAATAACTGCTAGTTTTATTTCTTACATATCAATTGCTGCTGCATAGTCAACATTTTATTTTAATTGATGACAAATTGTAAATGCTTTCTAGTTGTATTAAAAAATCATTGTGTAATGTGTAAAACCATATTGGAGATATTTTTTTTATTATCGAAATTGTACATTGAAAATTGGAATAGCTGATTTATAAGAGGCAGTCACATATATAAAAGAAAATTGAAGTAAATTCTTTCAATGAGCTAAATATTTGTAAATACTTAACATGTTTTGTGTATAAATTACACTTGTTTCTTAAGGTTTGTAAAATACATGATTTGTAATTCTTTGTAGTTGTAGATATTTATGAATAGTTCAATAAAAACTTTGTTTCTCAACATGGAAGGTTTCATATTTTTGTACCAAATATATTGATTTTGTATATCTACTGATAAAGGAACAAAAATGTTCTGATCTAAGTATCCCAAATATTAATAAAGGTACTTGTGTAAGCAGCTCGAAATTTAATCAACGGTCATTTCCACTTTCGACAGTGATACGTAAGCATATAGCCACCTTTTAAAATTGCAGAAACGTTGTTATTGTCATATTATACACATTTTTATGAAAAATCAAATTTTTTTATAAATTTGTATAAGCAGTTCAGAATTGACTATAGTTATGCATAGTTTTTTTATAATTCATAAAACGACAATTATTACATTTATTTGATAAACTAAAATAATAATTTATCTCAAAACACCTTGACATTCCCAGAAAATGATTTAGGATTAAAATAATGAAACATGGTTGATATTTTCGTAATTGTTTATTTATGAAACGCGATTTTTCACATAAAGAACAATGTTTCAGTGTGAAAGTCCATTTATGTAAGATTCGTACATTCTAAATTGTTTTTGTGTCAAATTACGCTATAAAAAAAGAGATCTTATTCTCGAAGGGTACATAGTATCGCCTAGCGAGCACATGCATGCATTGAATGTACAAATGAGTACACTTATGTTTACATATACACGCTGTTACCAAATAAACATTACAATATTTTAAGAATGATTATTACTTGTGAACATATTCAAAAAGAAAAAAATAAGTGTAATTTTACTTTTGTTCATTATAAAGCTGCCATAATACTAAAAGAATCTTTTTGATACATACATTAAAATTATAAATGTCTCTTCAACATAGGAAAACAACTAGATGTGCTGGAAAGTATCCATAGTCACTAATCAATTAATATTTCCATCTAAATTAATCACTTGTAAGAGAATAATATTAGATAAATTTATATAAAAAAGTAGGCAAGTTGTAATTTTAAGATTGAAGCTTGATGGATATCCATATATCTAAGATAAATGTGAGTGTACTAATGCAGTAACGCTGAAGTGACAATACACGCAACATAATAATGTGGATCGGAATGAATGTATAGTCCCATCCATTATGACGAATAGTAATATCAAGATCAAACTATCGATAATCGTATTAATTGTAAATGTTATGTATGCATTAAATGACACTTCTTAAGCACGCTCGCCACGAATTCGTCGGGCCAACTGGATATCCTTGGGCATGATGGTCACTCGCTTAGCATGAATAGCACACAGGTTGGTGTCTTCAAAAAGACCGACGAGGTAAGCCTCAGAAGCTTCCTGGAGAGCACCAATGGCTGCACTCTGGAAACGCAAGTCGGTTTTGAAATCTTGTGCAATTTCACGAACCAAACGTTGGAAGGGCAATTTCCTGATCAGTAGCTCAGTAGACTTCTGGTATCTCCTGATCTCACGAAGAGCAACAGTACCGGGCCTGAAAAATAAAACAAAATAATAAGTATTACTATTCAGAAACAATTCAATGTACTTGAAGATGCTTAGTCCTGTTAAATTGGTGTATCACTTACGCAAACAAAAGTTTCTATTTTTTGTTTATTTGAAAAGCTTATTAATTTATACAAACTTTAAAATCAAATGTATTTATATTATGTATCAAATAAATTAATAGTGATGACTAAACATGAAATATTTTGTACAAACAAAAATAAGAAATGATCTTTCAATAATAATAATCCATTAAGATAAAAAATATTGCTTCAAAATTTATTAATTTAAAAACTATTTTTATTTTTTTGAATGACTAGCGAAAGTTTTATAAACAAATATACTTGCAGGCAAACTTCAGTCGTCAAACTTTCTTACCACTATAACCAACAACTCGATTTAGCGCTGGAAATATTAACTAAAATTCTCTGAATAATGCAATATCGTGAAATCGTTGATTTAAAAAAGTTCTAGAGGAAAAAAATAGTCTCACCTGTAACGATGGGGCTTCTTGACACCACCGGTGGACGGTGCACTTTTACGTGCAGCCTTTGTGGCGAGCTGCTTCCTGGGAGCTTTACCTCCTGTTGATTTACGGGCTGTCTGCTTGGTACGAGCCATTGTGTCTCAACAGTGAACTCTGCAAAGTGAAAGAGAAAATAAACAACACGCATAGACTTTAAAGTCGTGACTTTAAAAAGAGATCGCGCGGGAGGCCTCTCTTGTCGCCTATACCCCCCACTACTCAACATTCGCGTCTCGGGCTTGCGCATTGCACTGTATAGCGACTTTCCAAGCCACGCGAGGAAGGAAAACGATACGCGCTCCAGGTGCTGGATATTTAGTTCAATTCGTAGAAAATAAGTACGTCGTCTTCAAGAACTTTCATTCCTCGTGACACATGTTTCAAAACAAACAATCAACTACGGAATCCAGCGAGTTTAGCGGGTAGGAAAGGCACGTGGGTTCGTAAAGCGAAAGGAAATTGGAAACACTCGACGCGCGCGGAGAGCTAGCAGCACTTGGGTTCCCTCGCAAACGTCAATTACACACAGACACAAAATGGACGTCGTCGATGCACCGCCAACAACCGCAGACCGCCCGGTCTTTTCACCACGTATACATCTCTCTTTTTTGGATCATCACCACGAAACTACAATCCTCATCACAGACACTCGGCACCAGGATACTCTGTCCTAATTAACACTCACCTTGCTGATGAAAACGATGCTGAAGGAGCTGGAGCACTGCAGAGCGGGATGTCTCCTTGTACTTGGATGGCAGTGGACTGACGCTGCCGCCGTCACTGAGAGAGAGAAAGAGAGAGAGAGAGAGAGATAGAGAGAGCGCCCTCCCCCTAGAAAGAGAGAGAATTAAATAGCGCGCTTGGCGGCGATTGGCCGACTTTCCCACCGAATTTCCTTTAGATGTCGATGTACTCCATTCTTTTGGTAGGATTTTTCCTTTCCTCGCACTAAAGAAACGATTATAAACATACGCACCAAGTTGCGCAATGGTTTTCAAATGAGATTTTTTGTCTCGCAGCATTTAGGAGAGAATCGTCGTGAGTCACATTTATCGATCGACGACACGATGCTGTGCGTCATCTTTGGCAATTGCATGAGAGACAAGACGACGATTGTTGCTGCTCCTGCTGCTGTTGCTGCTGCTCTTGCGCTCTGTTAGAACGCCGGCCATGTTTGTTTTTCCTCCGAAAGGTCTTGTCTAGGTTTGGTGTTAATAAGAGAAACTCTTTTATTTTGTTTTTTTTTTTTAAATACAATATTGATTGGGGAATCGAGAACAAAAGTAAATGTGGAAGGCGTTTTTGATCATACGCATACAGCAAAAGAAAACTGATGATGCAAATGAGATAGTTCAAAGATTTGCGTGGAATATGAAACAGTTATGCTTAGATTCGATCTGATTCGATGTGCGTACTATACAAGATATGCCTTTCAGTAGATATACGCAGAAATGCATTATTTTTATAGGAAGCGCGAGTTGACTGATTACAATCGAACAAGCGATTTTTAGCGATTAGATAGTAATAAGATTACTGATTTCAATCGGTTTTTTGTCGATTGAAAATGTGTTGATTATTCATTCGTTACATCTGAAACATTTCTAATGGCGAAGGAGAAAAATAGAATCTATGTTGATGAACCGACGCGCTAATGAAATTGAAACCGTAATTAAAGATTTTTAATTTTCATTCATGCAATTAGATTGAATGCGGTAATTAGAATATTTATGAATTCTAATAATAATAGGTTAATAATATAAAGTTAAGATTTAACCACTCTGCATACGTTTTAAATTTATATGAAATATGAAAATTATGTCTATGCATAATATATTTAAGTGTATAGTGCAAGTGGAGAAATAAATATGATCAACATTTATTAACTTCCTTTATAGAATAAAATATTTGATATATTTTTTCATAAAAACCAAACATCTTACCAACTACTTCAATAAAATAATAAAAAAAGTATTAGATAAAGATGCTTTCAAAGTCTTAAAGGCCATCTTCACTAATATAAATCTCTAAATAAAACACAACTTTTGATTAAAGCATATTAAAGGAATCATACCTAGAATGAAATCTTATCATTTCTCAATTAAAAATGCTTAAAAATATAAAATAATGCAATTTTACATAATATAAATGTAAAATAAATTGACCATTTTTACTTAGTACTTTGAATATAAAAAGTTAATACCTTAATATTTGAAACAAGTAAAATGTGTATGATAGGAGAATTGTAATAATTAGATTCAAGAGCATTTGTTATTTCATATTAATTTATATTATATTATTTTATACTACATATAACCATGTACATTATAGCGGAAGGTCTCAAATGCCATTACTTTCTTAATTTACTTAGTATTTTTGATTTTGAACCTTTGTAGTACTAAACAATCACAAATATCAAATTGACGTTGTGTATTAGAAAAGGTTTACAGATAGATTTTAAAATATGCATAAGAGCAAACACTGAACGTATGATTTTGAGGCCCTCCGTGTACATCGCTCACAAAAGTTTACATTAACTGTCACAAATTTGTATTTAGCCTTCAATGTTGAAGGTTCTCAAGACAAACCTCCTTAATTTACTTTCAACTATATCATGTATTGTGTCCAAATGATGGACAATAATTAATTTAACATTCAACTTAGTAAGCTACGATAGTCCTATTCTAATAGTCACCTATTTTCAGAGGCTTCAATTTGTTCGCTATAATCAGTTTTGAAACGTTAACACTACAAAATGATTATTCAGTATTGCAAAGAATGAATATTCACAGTAAATAATCGATATTTTATACATTTTCCAGTTTAATGGTTTTTAAATTTATTAAATTTAAATTTAAATTTAATTCAATAAATCATCAATTGAATGACTGGAAAAATGTTAAAATAATATGGGTTATCTACTGTAATATAAATTTTTTCAATATGTAAATCTCCTAACGATACCTTGAAGTTGAAGCTACATTGTTTCTTACATTTAGTACGATACAGTTTGGGGTTACATCCTAAAAAAGTACAAGAAACGCAAACGTGGAGTTTTCGTGAAAAATTACAATGAAAAAAGATTTATCGAACATATCTTATGTCAATCCCATCATTTCAATGAATAAATCCTAATGATCCTAATTCTGAATTAAAATTAAAACTAATTGATAATTTAGCAAATTACAATAAATATATTCTTAAATTACAGTACTGACAGTACAGTGATAAGAGTTTCTTTTTTCGTTTCTTTTCCAATCTAAAACTAGAGACAGAATGATCTGCCATTCTAGATATTTGGCAGTGAAAATCTTAATAAATTTTTCATATACGAACCAAACTAAAATGCCGCTAACCACTTGGGATAATAAAGTGAATAATGGTTGAATGTATGAAAACAAGTCAAAATGAAAGTAATAACGTGGGCTTATCCCGATTTAAGCACGCTCGCCACGAATTCGTCGGGCCAACTGGATGTCCTTGGGCATGATGGTCACTCGCTTAGCATGGATAGCACACAGGTTGGTGTCTTCAAAAAGACCGACGAGGTAAGCCTCAGACGCTTCCTGGAGAGCGCCGATAGCCGCACTCTGGAAACGCAAATCGGTCTTGAAATCTTGTGCAATTTCACGAACTAAACGTTGGAAGGGCAATTTCCTAATCAGCAATTCAGTAGACTTCTGGTATCTTCTGATCTCACGAAGAGCAACAGTACCAGGCCTGAAAAACGTGAAAATTGCTAGTTATCTACGCATTACGAGATACAATAAAAAGTATTTTATATGAAATGTATAAATTATAAAAAGTACATGACAAAAGAATTCAATCAAAATACTCATTTAAAGATTAACTGTACATTAATATTAATTAATTACCTATAGCGATGAGGCTTTTTCACACCTCCAGTAGAAGGAGCACTTTTACGTGCTGCCTTGGTAGCAAGCTGCTTCCTGGGGGCTTTTCCTCCAGTAGATTTACGGGCTGTCTGCTTGGTACGAGCCATTTCTGGAAAAAGTAAAAAAATTAATAATTCATTGCACGCACGGAATTTCTATTTTTGTAAAAATCGTTACACCTCAACTGAAAATGTTGAAAAACGGAAAAGAAGGTGGGGGGGGGGGAAGACGACCGTTGTAATTCGATTTTTAAACGCGTCGCCAAGCACGTAGAAAAAATTGACATCTACTTCAACTTCTGTAATCGGAATTGAGTCTCAAAACGTAATTAGAGATAACAATAAACGATCATTTACATGAGAACAAATCGAAAGAGGAAAAAAGAAAACCTCGTCAGGTTACACACGGGAGATACAAGTAAACACGATCTGTTTTCCCTCCAAGTACTCTCGCGGCCGCGTCAACACAATAAAGAAAATGGCGGCCGCGGCGTATGTATGCTATACGTTTTCACCATGCCGAACTGACGCTACCCCGTTAATTGCGCATTTTCACCTTTTCCGTGCGCTCGTAATTAATTTTTCCACGAGACTGTTTGGTCGCGTGCTACGTTGTATCATGTAAGTACCGTCCTTAAAGTCGGGAGTATTACGTTATTTTGTACGTATAAAGTCTTACCTGCTTAGATTGGAGATGCGTTAGAAGTTGCAATACCAAAGAGAGACAAGAGAAGGTTTGTTTGCACGAAGCGTGGGGTACCTACAACAATGATCAAGATCAACTGCTGGCACGCACTGGTAGCTATAGCATTGCACGAGTACGGCGCTCTCCCGCTCCTGACGCCGCTTGTAGTGGGGGAACAGACACGGGAGAGGGGATCAACGAACTTCAGCGTGATTGGACGGAGGCGCATGCGGCGCGGCATTATTCTAAAATTTGAATTGACGATTTTGCGAAAAAATGTTTACCATGTAAAAAAAAATAAAGTAAGTCTGATATGGAGAATGCTTGAATTTTCGTGTTCTCGTGTAAATTAATTTTTCAAGCCAAAGTCAGCTAAATAAAAGATGTTAGTTCATATGCAAAAAGAAAACGCAAAAGAAATCGTCAGTTATTCGAGTTTCAAAAACTGGACAATTGGAGGATAAATCAGTTTATTCATATTTTTATTTTTGCTGGTTGGACAAAAGTTTTTATACTTATTATTAAATATCGATTCGGTATAAGCGTGCAAGATGTCGTTTCAAGTATATTTTAATAAAAAATGTACGTAGTGACAAAGCCAAGAGACAAATTAAATGTTGTATTAAAAAAAAATAATTGCTGCCACGAAGACATTGGAGCGGAGAGCTTATAAATGGAGCGCAAAATTTTTTGCAAAATTTTCTTTGAAACTGTATTAAATAAGGTGGATGACTATGATTCTTCTTTCGCAGTCTTTAGCACGCAAGACGAAGCGCCGTTTAGTCGGGCGGGCGCGCGCGAGATAAGGAGATTTTGGCGTTCTGCACGAGGGTGAAAATTCCTGTCGGTCGTTGAGCAGCGCGTACGCGAACTGGACCGAAGCTCAGTCCCAATCTTGGGAATGTTGAATACGCAGCGCATTGGAGAACGGGGGAGCGCCCTAGACGCCCGTACATACGTTACGTGCCGCGTTCGCGAGTGGCGGCAGCTCGTGTCGCGGCTGGCGTATGAATTTAACGGCGTTCTCGCCGTCCTCGCCGCTCGACTGCGTATCATTCTTCCGTCGAAGATAGAACGAGCAGCTGGCACAATTTCGGCAGTCAGGCCTGGCGGCGACGCGCGGCAAGCGACGCGTTCGCTTTTGGCTCCGGGTCGGCCTGCGTTCGAGAATCCATCGTCGCTTTCGTGACCAAAAAAGGGGTCGTCGTCGCAGCACGGACGTCGGACAGCGCGAAAAAAAGCAAAAACGAGGAAGCGATCAAGCGCGAAGAGGCAAGAGGCCGCTCCGGAGCGCCCTTTCCCGCCGCGACCGGCAGTGTGCCACAGTAGGTCACGGCGCCAGCCGCGGTCCAAGTCTATAAATAAGCGGCGACGGCGGCGCAGGGCTCGAGCTCTGCCTCCTAGTTGCGCCGCGGCCCTCGTCGAGCGACATGCCCGGAGGCTGCCTCGCCGAGCGGAGGACCGGCGGAGCGAGGGTTCCCCCGCGGCGGCGGCGGCGGCGGCGGCTGCTGCTGCTGCACTCCCCGACGGCGATGTGGACGCACTGGCTCGCGCTGGCCTGGCTGCTGCGGCCGGGCTGCTGCGCGTCGACGGTCGTCCTGGGTAAGCCGGCGCCCGCGCGCACAGCCGAGACGCCACGCGCAGCTGACGGGCCAATCGCTCGAGCACAGGCGGCTTCTTCGGCGGCGAGGAGGCGCTCGGGCGGCGCACGTTCCTGGCGGCGGCGCGCGCGGTCAGCGGCTGCGCCGACAGTCCCGAGGTCTGCGAGCTGATGCGCCCGAGCGACGAGCACGTGGACCTGGGCGAATACCACCGGCTGCGGCTCGAGGCGCTGGCCGTGGAGGTCGGCGAGGATGGCGGCGAGGACGGCGGCGAGGACGGCGGTGACCTCCTCCGCGTCGGCGAGAAGTGTGCGTGCGCGCGCCCGACCTCCGCGAGCCGCGAGCCGCTCGAGCCTAATTGCGTTGTCGCTGGCAGTCGAGCAGATCGCGAGCGCCGACGAGCAGCGCGGCTTGGCGGCGGTCATCGGACCGCACGAGGGCGTCGCCTCACTGTACGTGCAGGGCCTGTGCGAGCGGCTGGACGTGCCGCAGATGGTGATCCGGCGCGAGGTCGGGGAGTCGCGGGACCCCCCACGGGCGATCAACCTCTATCCTGACACGAGGACGCTGGGCAACGTGAGTCCGCCCGAGGTTTGCTTGCGCTCGCGCTTTTCGGACACGCGTCTTTTCGCCGCTCAGGTCTACGTGCAGATGATACAGCGGATGAAGTGGGGGTCCTTCTCGATACTGTACGACACCACGGACAGTCTGATAGCCGTGCGGGACGTGCTGAAGCTGGCCGAGCCCTACACCCGTGACATCCGGGCCTTCAAGCTGGGCGGCGGGCCAAACTTCAGGTGAGTCGGGATGGCGCGGCTCGCGAGGGCGTTGGCTGAAACTGGCGTCTGCCGTAGCGAGCCACTGCTGGCCGCGAAGGCCTCGGGCCACAGGAGCTTCCTGCTGAGCTGCGACTACGAGGTGCTGTTCGCCGCGATGAAGCAGGCGCAGGAGGTCGGGCTGATGTCAGAGGCGTACAAGTACTTGGTGACTTCCCTGGTACGGCGGGTACGGGTAGCGAGTAGTCTAGCGTCAGTCGCGGACCTAAACCGGCCGGCGATCGCCTTGGCCGCAGGATCTGCAGGCGATCGACCTGTGGCCGTTCAGGCACACCGGCGCCAACATCACGGGCCTGCGACTGGTCGACCCGGACGAGCCGTTGACCGCGCGCCTGCCCGAGCTCGGCCTGGAGTCGGCGGACCGGCTGCGCGTCCACGACGCCCTGACGTTCGACGCCGTGGCGCTGTTCGCGCAGGCCTACAAAGACCTGGCCTACAACGAGCCCGGGGCCGGCGAGTCTCGGCGCGTGCGGCCGCACGGGCTCAGCCTGCGCAACTACATGCTGTCGGTGAGTAGGCACCGTCGCCGCCCTCCGAGCCTGTCCGAGTGCTGGTCGTTTCGCGGGCGCAGAGCCAGCTGAACGGCCTGACGGGGCCGCTGGCGTTCGACGCGGACGGCGCGCGGCGCGGCTTCAGGCTGGGCGTGCTGAACCTGCGCCCGACGGGTCTGGCGGCGGTCGGCACCTGGGAGCCCGAGCGCGGCTTCGGCGACGTCAGCCTCGCCGGCGACACGCCGATGGAGCACGTCAAGGTCCTCATTACCATGGTGAGCGAGCGAGCGAGCGAGAGAGCGCGCGTCCGTCTGACCGCAGTTGGGCCCGCAGAACGCGCCGTACGCGCAGAAGGTCAGCCAGTCGTACCGGCTGACGGGCAACGATCGCTACGAGGGCTTCGTCGTCGACATCATCAAGGCGCTCGCGCGCGAGATGAGCTTCAACTTCACGCTCTACGTGCAGGAGGACTCGGACAACGGCGGCTGCTCCAAGGACCCGCTCACCCAGCAGTGCAGCTGCGGCGGCATGATGGGCAAGCTGCTGCGAGACGTAAGTCGCCGCGAGCGCCGGCGCCAGCGCTCGCCTCTCACGCCTCTCGCCGCAGGAGATGGACATGGCCATCACGGACCTGACCATCACGGAGAGCCGCGCCAAGTGCATCACCTTCTCCACGACCTTCATGAGCCTGGGCATGAGCATTCTGTACAAGAAGCCGCAGAAGGCCAAGCCCCAGTGGTACTCGTTCTTCATGCCCTTCAACGCCAGCGTCTGGATGAACCTGGCGATCGCCTGGATCGTCGTGGCCGTCTTCTTCTACGTGCTGGCGCGCCTCAGTGCCGACGAGTGGGCCAACCCGTACCCTTGCATCGACGAGCCCGACGAGCTGGAGAATCAGTTCAGCATCGACAACGCCATCTGGTTCGCCATCGGCGCCCTCCTGCAGCAGGGCTCCGAGCTCGCGCCCATGTGATTTGCCCGGCTGCGCAAACTACCGGCCGTGCACCGAGGCCCACTGACCCGAGCTTGTGTGTTGCAGCGCCCAGTCGACGAGGATCCTGGCGGGCTCGTGGTACGTTTGCCTCCGCCCCCCACCCCCCTCCCCCCATGCCCAGACCGGCCTAACACTGGCTCGCGCGCGCCGCAGGTGGTTCTTCTGCCTCATCATCTGCAACACCTACACGGCCAACCTGGCCGCCTTCCTGACGAGCGAGAAGCCCGAGGTGATCGTCGATGACATCAGCGACCTGTTCAACCAGACGACCATCAAGTACGGGGCGAAGCGCGGCGGTGCCACCTTCAAGTACTTCGAGGTAAGCGCGGCCGGGTAGCGTGTGCGCGTGTGTGCCAGCCTCTGCCCGCAGAGCTCGACGCAGCCGGAGATCCGGGCCATGTACGAGACCATGATCGAGCCCGAGTGGAACAAGCAGTGGATGGTGGGCTCGAACGACGAGGGTATCGCGCTGGCGGCCGACGACAGCAAGAACTTCGCCTTCTTCACCGAGTCGCCGACCATCGAGTACGTGCAGCACCGCATCTGCAACCTGGAGCAGGCGGGTGGCCTGATCGACCAGAAGGCCTACGCCATCGGCTACGCCTCGAGTAAGTGGGAACCGCCGCCGCCGCCGCCGCCACGAGCATCGCCTAGCCGCGGCTCGCGCAGATTTCAGGCACGTGCTCGAGACGAACGCCGTCATGTCCAAGCTGAACGAGCGCGGCGTGATCAAGGAGCTCTACAAGAAGTGGTGGACGGAGAAGGGCGCCGTGTGCACCGTAAGCCAGGCCCACCGAGCCGCCACCGCCGCCGCCTCGGTCGGCCGCCAACGCCATCTCGTGGTCTTGCCCGTTGCAGGACAGCACCTCCAGCATGCCCGAGCCCATGACCCTCACCCAGCTGGTCGGCGTGTTCTACGTGCTGGGCGGCGGCCTGCTCGTCTCCATCCTCGTCATGTGCCTGGAGTTCGCGCTCAACGTGCGCTCCGTGGCCAGGGCGACCAAGGTAGGCGCGCCACCCGCGGGCCGCGGACCGCACTGACGGGCGCGCGCGTCGTTGCAGGTCGCGCCCGGCCAGGTGTTGGCGCGCGAGCTCAGCTTCATCCGGAGCATGCGGGAGGCCAAGCCGGTGCTCGCCGAGCGGAGCGCGGAGGAGGACCAGCAGCTCGCCGCGAAGGAGACCGGCTCGCCGCCCCGGCCGGCCGATCTGGTCGAGGCTCCGCCGCAATAAACCTCAGCCACGTCAGCAGCTCTGTCTTGTCTGTTTCGCCCTGTCCCCCTCGAACCGCGCCGCGGCCGAGCTCGACGCGATCGCTCGCCTCGCCGACTCGGAGAACGGCGTTATCTCGCGGCCGGCCGGCGAGTTATCGCGTGAACTTTCCCCTCCCGAGTCGCGTGACGCAACGGCCCGCTTCGTCGCGGTGGCGGCATCCGTGGGCGAGGCGGCAGTGCGCCAGCAGCGTTCCGCACCAGCAGGCTCGCGCGAGCGGACCGTCGGCCAGCGATGAGCATCAGCTTCGAGGGCAAGCGCGTCCTCGTGACGGGGGCCGGCCAAGGTACGAGAGAATCGCGCGCGAGTCGAATGGAAAGTCCGGCGTAGCGTGACCCGCGTTGCCGCGCTCGCGACTCGCCCGACGAAGCTAAACGGGGGCGACCCTCGGTGCCGAGCAGGGATCGGCAAGGGCCTGGCGCTGCGGCTGTCCGAGCTCGGCGCCACGGTGCTGGCGCTGTCCAAGAGCCGGGAGAACCTCGACGCGCTGCACCGGCTGGACCCGCGGATCCGGCCGATCCGCGCGGACCTACGGGACTGGCAGGCGAGTCGCGAGGCGGTCGAGGCGCTGCTGCCGGTCGACCTGCTGGTGAACAACGCCGGGGTGGCGTGCTTGCGGCCCTTCCTGGCCGCCACGGAGGCCGACTTCCAGCTGACCTTCGACGTGAACGTCAAGTCGATGCTGAACGTCTCGCAGGTGGTGGCGGGCGACATGATCGCGCGCAAGGTTGCCGGCGGCATCGTCAACGTGTCGTCGCAGGCGAGCCGCGCCGCGCTCAAGGACCACGCGGTCTACTGCGCGTCCAAGGGCGCCGTTGACATGCTCACCAAGTGAGTAGCCCCCCTCCTGCCCCGGCCCGCCCGACGCCTCTCACTTCTCGCGCGAGTTCGCAGGGTGATGGCGCTGGAACTCGGCCCGCACGGGATCCGCGTCAACACCGTCAACCCCACGGTCGTCATGACGGAGATGGGCAAGCTCGGCTGGGCGGAACCGGCCAAGGCCGGCGAGATGCTGAGCAAGATCCCGCTGGGGAGGTTCGCAGGTGAGCGGCGCGCGACCGTCGCGAGCGTTGCTCCCCCCGCCTGTACCGACAGCTCGACTTTTCAGAGGTGGACGAGGTGATCGACGCCGTCGTGTTCCTGCTGAGCGAGCGCAGTTCCATGATCACCGGCGCCGGCCTGCCCGTCGACGGAGGCTTCCTGGCAGCGTGACCGTGTGACCGTGTACGCTACTAATAAATCCATTGTTTTTGCTCGGACGACTGCTCGCCTTTATTTCCCATCGCAACACGCATCGGCCTCGTCACAAGAATGGAGACGGGATCGTGGTCGAGGCTGGTGGATAGATAGGCTCGATTGATAAATAAAACACGCAATATGCTTTTCATCCATTTTATATTTCTAATTTATTTATCGAGCTTTGTTCTCAATACACTAACTAAGCATACGAAGCAATAAAAATTCGTTCTACGAATCATGGAGATATAATTAATAAGTATTTTTGTTTTTTTTTGTTTTTCATGTTGTTTTTGGAATTTCATATGAATATATACGAAGTCCCATTGATAAAAAAAATATTTACAGTTAATTTTTTTATCAGCACGTGCTCTATAGTAATTACAAAACTATTACACTCCTTTGCTTTTATATTTGAACTGATCTATCTTCTTTTATCGTATGGTATTGCCGAAAATATTTGCAGTTTGCATTACTTTCCCTCCAGCCCGCTCGCTTTGTACTGACAGATTATTACTATTATTAGTTTGGAATTGTCGATATTTCATACGTCTTGCTACGGTATACTATAATGCATATTTCCCTCGGGTAATTTAATTCGGTTTTGTCATGACTACACGCATGTGTGTTCCTAAACATTCCAAACAACTTGGGCTCACGGCTCCCGCAGAACATTCGCTGCCTGCAGTCATCAAAAAGCAGTTGCACAGGCAATTTGTACGTTCGCCTCGCACTTCTCGAAAATTGTGTTTTGTTGAAAAGTGAAACGTTATTTGTCGCGGAACAGGTGTAAATTCACAACACTGTAGCAAATACTGGTTAGCATGTGAATCGTCTGACAGAGGTGAATATAATATTTCATTACAATGGAATTTGAACTTTGAAAAATTGCTCGTAAACAGTCTTACATGTATTGGAGGTTTGTGTTTTCGTTTGGTTTGCTTGTCTTACTCATAGAAATTCTTTTCTGTACGAATATAGCTTTCTTAATCTACTTGTTTTTGCAATAAAAATATATAGTAATAGAAAACGAAAGCATGCAACGAAAATTTATAAGTTGGCTAGGTTACTCGATTCATGAGGTCCAATATATCGGAGTTCACAAGATATTAAAACGTTTAAGTAACTATTGATTTGATCACTCGAGGCTGAAATTTGAGGCGATTGAAAAATTGTTATTTTTCATAGATAAATGCTAATTTTAACGCACAATCAGATCAATATTGAAATGCTTAATAAGTTTCAAAACATTTTTAAATTTTCGTAGTTTCCTTTTTATCTTAGGGCTTAATACGAGAACGACGGGAAAAAGTTTTACAAGATAAATTGTTCTCTGTTTCATTCAAACGTCAAATGCACTATCTTATTCCTAAATCAACAATTTTTTATCTTTGCTGAACGTTCTTTGGCAATGACTTAAACAAGCACGTCACTGCGCGAAAAATTGACAAACTTATCTCAAATCATGCTACTCACGAGATTTTATTTCTAGTGTACTAGATTATCATTAAATTTTTATATTTGAATAAACATTCTTTTTAGTTGTTCCTTTACCAACTCGTGGTGATTTAATGCAAAGTTTTAAATTTATATATTATAATGCATCTACTTACACATCGAATTGCCAAATATTTCATTGCAACAGTTTTGACACACGCGAAAATTGAAGAAGTTACAATTTCAATTTATTCATGCAACTCTCATAAAATTCACCAACTGGACCTGCCAATAATTTGATTTTTTCACAACTTTAAATATGACTTTCAAACATCGCATTACACGCGTTGCAGGGTCGTAATTTTGCGTTTCATTTATTTGTTTTATGCTTCTAACATTCGTTAAAAACAAGCTCATTTGTAGTTTCACACAAGGCTATTGATGCCGCAAAACACGCAATTCCGTGTTTCGATAAATATTGCAAAAGTAGTTGGTTTTTTAAATTGTACGAGCAAAAATATGTTGACATTGAAAAATCACACCGATCAATAACATCTGACAGGTGTTGGAGGTAATATGGAAAGTCGAAGAACTTTAATTGCTCTGACACGCATGGCACTGTTAAAATCGCTGTTCACTCTCGTCACTCTTAGCTAATTTTTTTTTTTATTTATTTATTTATTTATTTTTTTCCTTTATTTTATTCACTTCATTTTTTGATAAAAAATACTTTATCGTCACAATAGATTTCACTACAATCATTATAACGACGTATCTGAATTGTCGTTTATTCGATGACGAAAAATATAGACGCACAAAGTAGAACCTCTACGAGAAAATGATTATTTTATTATTATTTTTTATTGAAAAATTTCATTTGATGTTTGAATAAACTCTCGGCAACTTCCGATCAACAAATTCGTGTGCAGTTTACGCATAAATCACAGCGGTATATGGCTGTAATTTTTTTGTTCTATATCGCACGCCATTTGGATTAAGACATGTTTTGGTGTGTAAAACTTACAATTCACATTGTGCATGATTCATTTATTGCGATAAACAATTTTTTTCGGCATTTTTGCTCTTGCAATCGATGATCGACATTATTGTTTGAAATGCATGATTATCTCAGAAAAACAAATATTTAGATACACTATGCACCCGTATATTAGCTTCAAAATTTGAGGGTTTCATTTTTATGAATCTGTATGAAAAGTACAAATCTTGATATCTTTAGTAAATTCGAATTCTTTTTGTACAATGTATTATTTGTCATGCCTCAATATACTTTTTCGTGTTGCTTTATGAATTCATTTTACATAAAGAGAAATCAAACTGCAAGAAGAGATTTTTACTTTGCTTTTACACAAATAGATCGTCTTTACGTGTACGTTACAATTATCTTGTTGCAAGAATTGTCAAAAATATATCAATTTCATATATATTTATTTTTATATAGTTTATATGCATTTATATGTACTTTTTTATTACTTCATTAGATTGTCCCAGGTCGTTTGTATAGTTGCAGTGTAAACTTTTCGTCGTCACATGTAAAATATATTGCATTGACATTTCAAAATATCAGATTACTGCTTTTTGTTGAAAATGGCGTTTTGTACGAATTTCAGCAAGTCTTTCATAAGTATATCATATTAAAGTAAGATATAAATACAAATTACGAAGAAACGTTAACGACAGGGACAAGTCTACTATAAATATTCAACTGCTTACTCTCCATTGGTAAATTAATTATAAAGACTAATTATTCAATTTGTTATTTTTCTATTAACCTATGAAATCTTTTTTGTTATTAAAACATTTTTCACAATAATTTAATAATCTAAAACATGAAAAAAATTTTATACAATATATTTGATAGTTGATAGTTTCGCAACATATAATTATGTTTCATCGCATAATTCTAATTATCCAATAATAGTTTTTTTTTTCAAGTGCTATACTGACTCGTTTACAATTGTAAATTCTATTGATATTATTTAGGCCGAAATAATTTTAATCTGGCTAATATTGATATTTGTTGCAAACTGCATAACGTCTTCTCTTCTTTTTAGTGTAGATCATTTAATGCTAGTAATATTCATTATTTACTTGACTATGTAGAAGAGAACATACAATTGTAACAAGTATTTTAATACAGTATTTTCTAACAGCTAACTTTAGCATTATATGAATGTTATCAAAGCATTAAGAATCATAATGTTTGGTTTAAATATTCATTTAAAAATTTACTATAAAAAATGCTAACATTAAAAAAATTTTTAAATACCTATTAAGTTAATGCTAAATTTCTTAAAGCATATATATATATATATATATATATATATATATATATGCTTTTATGATGCATATGGTCTATGTTTATTTATAAAAAATAAAGGTTATTTCCAGTCTGTATTAAAATAGTCTGTTAGTTTAACTTTCCTTTATCAAAATTGGATAAGCATGAATTCATTAATGACTCGATTGTTGAATTGATTGTGGACCATTTGTATCATAAAACGATGCATACTACTATTATCTTTTCTCTCTACTCCATCTCAACACATCCTAGTATTTCATAGTATTATTAAATTATTATCTGCATTTGAAAAAATAATAAAATATGAATATTTGTTGTATTTTGGCGTCATATTTTATAGAAAAAATAGAAATATTAATTTACGTTTAGAGACACTTAGTTGAAAATATGGAAGAAAAATTAACAGTCATTGTGTAGAACTCTTATTTTACGTATGAAATCGTCAATGTTAATTAAGTATTTGTTTTTAGTGTCGTTCGCCTTCATTAAAAAATTGAGAAAACCACCTACTTAATATTAAAAAATGTGTATTATAATTTTTTATTTCATACAATCTGCTACTGTTGTTGTAACCATAGCATCTTTGATTTCAAAACTTTCTAATATAGATGTAAATATTTAAATAATAATAGTCTTTAAAAAATTGGATATTGTAACATTTTTATAATTTCTATGAAGGTACAAAGTAAAAATTGAATATTGTTTTCCTATCTAAACTATGTTTTTCTTTCCAGCTTGAATATCATTTGTAGTAATATATAATTTCACTTGCTTATTCATATGTTTTATTGATTTATCCATTTCTGTATAGAGCACTTGCATCTTAGCCTTCAAAATACACAATAAATATAATCCTAATAAACGACAAGCCATAAGAAAAATTTGTACTTGAAACATTGAAAAATATTTACTTAACATATATATATATATATTGATTCAATTGAAAAAGACCTATATTTTACAGCTAATAATAATTTTAATTTTAATAACTAGTACTACTAGATATTAATAAAATTGAATAAAATTCTCACAAAAATGATATTCTTCATGACTCGGTCACTTAATTTATGAATAGTTACACTTTTGATTATTATTTATAGATATCCTCTAAAAATTTCAACGACTCGAAAAAATTTCACATGACGTATTAGTTGTCTAAAGGGTAAACATATTTGTCTCGCATATTTATGCGAATACAAATGTCATGTTTGTTTAATCTGAAAAATGGAAGAGTCGTCAAACGTTTACAATATATATGTGAAACATGTATTTGTAGTAATTAAAAATACTGTTAGGATTGAAATTCCTAAGACGTTAAACAAATGCAATTGAGAATTAAACTAATAATAGTTATGAACATATCTAGACAGTATTATTTTAATCAATTTAATTGATTTCAATTCATAATATTTCAGCATTAAAAAAGGATGATTCATATAAATGTATTAAAGTTTTCTGGCTATGAGTTTCATTCGATCCAATTTTTGAAATTAAAAAGTACTAAGCTCTTTTTGCATTGTAAAAATATATAAATATAAACTAATAAAAACTATATAAACATTAAATCTAATAACTAAACAGCAATTTTCAATTATAATGAATAATTTGATTATATTTTTTTGCAATCCTATTAAAACTCTGTTCAAGTACTTGCAATAATAAGTAACCTAGAAAATAATCGATATTACAATTTCATTATTATCACGTCAAAAATTGAAATATTCAATCCTACTTATTCAAGTTTTTTATTCTTCTAATAATATATTGAGTTAAACAAAATTGATGAATTATTTTTTTCTACAAAAACTAATTCATATATAAAATTGAAAATGATGTCTCATCATTCAACAATAAAAAAATTAAATTTGCTTTTCATAATTATTAGGCAGTCTAACATATTTATAGTTCACTTTGATAGAACTATGGTATTCATAAAATGCCAAAAATTCGAAATATCAATTTCTTTTTTTATATAAAATATAGTGAGCTATATTATTTTTATTATGGCTTGTCGTCTCTGCTGTATCTCTATTTTTTATATAAAAATTATGAACTTTATGTAATGTTGAAAGTAGTGACTATTTAAATTTTTTCCATTTACCTAGTAAAAACGAAATTTGATCATATTTTTTCTTTTATTTATCAAGTAGTTACTCGATATTTATCAATACCATCGCTTAGATACTGCTACGTATACGTTTATTTGCTCGCGTTTTTAAAAAAATTGATTGCATCGCAGTATCCCGTCCGTCTTAGCATTGTCAAGATGTGAGAAGGAAAAAAAAAACTTTTGGTGAGGCGAATATTAAACTGATCTGGTCAGACACCTAACTTGTAGAAACGACAGGAGTTTGGCAGTACGGACATTCACGTTGATTAGGGGCACAGGTTGAGCAGACGACATAGTGATTGCAGGGCGATAATGTAACTGCGCGGTTTTGTTCTTCGCAAACCATACATTTCGTAGCTGTTTCACGGTAGAGTACCTGCCAAGATATATTCACGTAAATTTCTCCGATTTACGACGTGTATAAATCAAACTATTTACCTTTTCGATTTCTTCAAGTTCAATACGGAACTGGGACTGCATGGATTTAAGAGCACTAATTGAAAGTGATTTATAATCGGTTTTCCCAAGGGAATTGATAAAAGATCCACCTCCATTGGCAGCACTAGCAGCTTCCTTTTCAGCTTTCAAAACTTTTAGTTGTAATAAAGCCTGAAATCATATCATTAAGCACCGTAAGCCATTGTTTTAAAATTTCTAATGGTGTATACTAAAAAAAATTCTTTCACATACGTATTTGCGTACCTCATCTCTCTGTTGTTCCGCCATAGCAGTTTTCCTCTTTGATTCTTCACACTCATGTTGCCAGGCATTACATGCTACGCGTGCTTGATTGATTCTTTCGTCCCATGATGCCAACTGAGCACGACTAGAAGTTAATTCATCTCTCAGTCTTTGTACTTGTAACTAAAACAATTTAAATTATCTTAGAATTCAATTGATTAGAAAATACATAAAATTAAAATACTAATTACGTACTTCGGATAATGACCCCGTAGTGTTGTTATTGCTAGGGCTGACAGAAAATACATTGACTAATGGTGATGCACCAAGAGGCTGATTGCGAGATGACGGTGACATTCCTTGGTTATTAGAGAAGTCGAATAGGCTGTTGTTGAACCCACCAAGTTTGGATGTACCACTGGACTGGGATACATGATTACTGAATGGATCTGACACTTGATTCATAAATGATGACATCGTCTGAAAATAAATTAATTGCCAATTATTTGTAAATAAGAACAAGTAAATTGGTTAAAATAAATGAAGAACTTACAGATTCAATGGAATCTTGGTGGGAGAATCTTGAACCTGCAGTGATGAAGCTACTGGCTGATTGTAAGGGTTGAAGAGGGCTTGAAGTAGATGGTGAAAAATTCGACAAAACTGAACGCTCAGCCATTCCAGGGATGTTAACTGGTGCTGAGCTACTTAATAAACCAGAACTTGCCAAACCTGCTGATATTGAATTGCTTATGGGGGAGTTTGTATCTCTGTGTACTGAATCAATCAAACCAAGTGGATCATCCAAATGTAAGTCATCTAAAGCATTTCCTAAAACAAATATTTTATATATATAAGATTTTATATTTAATTAAAATTTTTATTAAAAATTATGGAATAGAATTTGATCAAAGATTATAAAATAAACTCACCCACAACAGATTCAACAGTATCATTGTGAAAGAAGGAATTTGAAAGAGGTGATGAAAGACTTGGACGTGGAGCTATTGAATTGAGGTTGTATACAATACACAGATTCTGCTTTTTCTGTGCTTTCTCAGCCTTAGTCAGTAGAGGATCAGCATCAATGGCCATAAGTTGCTTACGAATTTCATTCTGAAAAATAAAAAAATGGCCAATGTTTAACAAATAGACCGCTGATTGTACAATGGCAACTACGTAACTTACAGCTTGGTGTAGAGAAGGGTAATTGAGCATGCTAGAAAGTTTGTGCTGTGCATTGTTATGATGTAGCTGAGAGCCTGGAGCTTTGCTTTGTGAGCTATTGCTGCCAAGGCTACTAGTACTGGCTGATTCTGACACTTCTCCACTACCATTCTGTAATATAGCCAACTATAGACATAGGTTAATACTATACTTACAGACTTTTGGTTGAATAACAAAAAATAAAAATAATGTTACAGTGCAAGCTCAACTAGAAAAGTTACTTCTGTTTTAGTATTCTAATTTCAAGATGTTAAAACAGAATAACAGTGCATTATTTAGAACTACTTAACATTCTTTCAAACATTCTTTAATCAATCAGTCAATTGGCAAAACAACTGAAAATATGTTATTTTCAAATAATTGCTTTTAATTAATAATGAAAAGCAAGCTAAAAACAGTTATCTAGTGAATATATAAATCTAGTGAAGCATCTACAATCACAAAAACACAGAAACAACAGCTATAAAACTCCAAAGACTTACGCTGCTGTCACTGAGAGTCTTGTCCTTATCATGCCTCTTGTCAGGTGGCAAGGCGTTACTGAGCAGATCTACCAAGTTAGTTGCACAGTCAATTGGTGCAGAAACAACATCTCTCGCTATTGTCAAATCCTCTGCTGGTACCACTATACATGTAAGGCACATTTATAAGTGAATTATGAATCAACAATAACAAATTTGGTTGAACAAGTGTTTTACTCACAATCAACGTGAGCAAAAGCACAGAAAACTCCTCTAGGACAGTAACCAGCCTGCTGCACATCATTACATTTGGTCGACTTATAAATCTCAGGATGAAATTGCTGCTCAGTCCTGGTATGACAATAAACACAATTGTCCCCTTGATCACAGTTACCAGGTTCACCCCATTCCTCTCCATGTTTGACATTAGGACAGGGAGTAGATCTGTACTTGTACTTTCTTGGACTTCGTCTTTTATCCTTGCTGTTGTGAAACTGTGGACAAGCATAGCCCTGTCTGCATAACCTTGGTGGTCGTTTGCATGGCTCGGTCTTATAATTGCTCAGCACATAAGTAGTATCCTGCCACTTTGGATCTTCGTTCATCAAGTTTCTCTCTTTGTCGAGTATATTAGGGCCGTTGCCCGTGCCGTTTGGATCCAATTCTGGATTTTCCATTGCCTGCAGCTCCTTGATATCGTACACCGGCGAACGAAGATCATGATTGCCATGGGCGAACGCACAGTGAGGGCCATTTTTCACGCAGAATCCGCGAGCGTCTGTATCGTGCACGCACATGCAAGTCTTGTAATAACGTAGATGGTAACGACGCTCCGTGTCTCCCGCTGTTCGATGCAAATTTGGGCATCTGCGATAATAACGAAAAGAAAGACGAAACGCTGTAAGTCTGATTTGCCACTATTCTTTCTACTTGCGCTTTTCTGAGTTTTCCACAACGAGCATACGAGTTTAGCTGCAAGTTCTATTTTTAACTTTGATGCTATTGCTTTTTCATTCATCAATCGATTGAATGAATGTTACGCTGCGTTTCTCTTATTAAACATCGTCAATCATACGTTATCGCAGATCTCTAATTACATTTATAAACGGATGAATTATCTTTGCTCCAATTTTAATTGTTTTTGCGGGAAAACGAATTAATTTTTTTTTAAAAACATACGTTTTTTATAATTTTATGTAAAATAATAATAAAAATAGATAAAAGAAAATCATCGAATCGATTAAATCTCTCGTAGAGTACTCGAACAGATAAGTAACCATAACAGCTGCTAATTTTCACGACATCTCAAATTTCATTCCCTTTTCTCGCTTGTTCTATTTTTTATCCAGCCGAGGAACGAGGAATCGTTCGAAAAAGCTGTTTTTACGTTTATCAAAAATATTCACATAGAGACGTGCACTTTTAGAACAAAGATCTATCGAAGATAAAAAAGAAAAACTCTAAATATGGAAAAGCTCGAAAGAGCAGCAGCTCCAAAATGCATTGAACAATAAGATTGCGGCATATTAAAATCAGTGTGCAATCACACGAAACAACCCACATTTCCAGCCACCTCGCCCACGCATAGTCATAACAAACGAAGCTCTCGCGGGATGGGGAGGGGAGGATAGGAGAGAAAGAAAGAAAAGCAATAAAAAGGAAGGGAACGCCTGATCGGGTCGTACAGCACTTTCTCTCTTGGCATAGATCAATCGCCGGGTGCATCGATCGGGGGGAGGGGGGAAACATTTACACACACGTACACACCATACTGCCGCCATGGACTCGTCGCCGTTTTGGACAAAGACTTCGTAGGCGAGAACCGAGGGACTTGCGGGCGCGCTCGAGCATAGTGGTATTGATTTTTTGTTGTTGTCGTAAGTATGTATACTCACTCATCACCATCGGGACAGATGCCGGTGGTTTCGTCGTACTTGGCACAATAGTTATCGGCGCTGTAGTTGAAGGTGCGGTCGCGCCTACGACTTGGCCGGCGCCTGCGCTGGTTCATGAAGTGCCAATTGAAGCAGGTGAACGGCCGGTGCTGAGTACACTTGCGCTGGATAAACAACGGGCATTGCTCAACGCGAAACTCCTTCAAGTATTTCGCGTGCGAGTCCACGTTTGTACTGCACATTGTCGCCGATTTGCTTCGCTCTCTCATCGATGCGACTTTATATATTTAAGAAAAGAGCAAATACACACACTTGCACGCACGCACTAATAAGATACGCTAACCTCTCCTCGCTACCATTGGGGATACACGACTGAGCTCATGCACAGCCAGAGCCACTCTCTCGTTTTAGGCTTTTTCTTTTCTGACGAGCGTCGCCAGCAGCAGCAGCAGCAGCACGCGGACTCCCTCTAGGCTGCGCGCGACGACGCAATTCCCCGCTTGGCTCTGCTCTTGTCACGTGAGCGTTCGCTCGACGAACCACTGGATGATGTGGATGCGCGATGATTCAAGGTCAGACGTGTTTTGGTCGGTGCTGCCGCCGCCGCGCGTTGCTATATGTACATACATACATACATATCTATGCCACCGTCGCTCTCGCCCTTTCGCCCTCTTGCTCGTATGCCTTTGATAATTTAATATCACACGCTTCGATATCGAAATTACCTGGGATTTTCCTCAATATTTATTCAAATTCGCTCACATTTTATAGTGTTACTATGATTCATATTGGATATGTATGATAATTTTATCACTTGACTCGGTTTTCCAAAAGGAAAGCTTTAGTCTACCGACTACTACTGGTTGAAAGAAAAATTGCAGCCCTTAACTTTAGTTATTTTTAATTACCTTTATGATTATAAAATTTCTTTTCAATCACATATTCGTCTCATTACTTTTTAAAATTATTTTAAATTGCGAAAGATTGTTGAAAAATTAGAAATTTACAAAAATTAAAAATTTTAACGTCAAAAATTAAGAAAAATAGAGAAGTATAATTATCAATAACAGATATTATGTATAAAAAAATGTATGAAAAAATGATCTGATTTATAATTCTTTCATCTGCACAGACGAAAGCTTTAGAAGATGATCGTAAAACGAGCAAGTAGCGACCAACGAATTCTCGCGCTGTTCTTTTCCAAACGACCAGTCGCAACCATACGCAATACTTTTGTGTTCTTTGTATTCGGCAACGATGTTTGGAATTTGCGAATCGACAATGAAAAATCCGTTGTACATGCAAGCTGCCAGTAAATATCTCGCTTCGTAAGGATCCCATTTGAGCCTCCATATTCCGCCATTTAAATTCAACTCTTCGAGTGGTCTGCGAAAATGTCGAGTATCCCATGTCCTTAGTGTCTCGTCATAGCTATAGATGCAAAATTTATATGCCTACATGTTTATTGGACGAGAAGTTGACATTGAGATGCTTACCTGCCGGAGACTAGACTGTATTCTTTTTTCCAATTGCTGTGTAGACTTGTAACTCCGGCGTTGTGCAATCGATTAGTGTGTGTTGGGCTGTTGATTCGGGTGTCAAAGCGTAAAAATTTACAGTCATCGCCACCTGTTGAAACGTCGATTGTCATTGATTGTTGCTTCAAAATGAAACTTTAGTTTCCTTTCAACCGAAATGACTAACAGATTAAAAAATAATGTTGAACCAATTTACCTGTATAAAGAACATTGGTATTCCAGTAATCGAAAGCTGCTATCCAAGCTTCAAAATCATGTCCATGTAGCCTTGAGATCCTCTCGATATTTTTCACACTTCCAGCAATGTTGAACAATGAAACTGATCCTTGCGAATCGCTAACAACAATTTTTATGTCCTCCGTCGTTTCCAATCGCCTTCCCGTCGACCAGTCCAACGAGAGTGCAAGTGGTTTCTCACTTGCATCATTCACTGCAATTTCCGATGCAAACTCCAGCTCGTCCTTAATCAACTCATATATTTGTAAATATCCCTCGGAATTGCAAACTCCAAGAAGAATTTTGCCGTAGATTTTGATGTGACACCATTTCATGTCCAATACTGCTGGTACGTCGAGCTGTTGAAGAAGCCGAAGCTTTTTGTCGTCAACTTGGAATAAGTAGATCCTGCCGACACGTTTGACTTTATTGAGTGTTGGAAAACCTTCGCTGTCATTGGAAGTCAGTTGGTACGTTCCACAGACGAAAATATCTTGAAAGTTCTCTGATGGACACCACTCGACTGAGTCGGCCGACAATTCCGTATCAAAGCTCTCTAACGTTTGGAACATTATAAAATCTGAAATTATATCATGCACAATTATTAGATTTTTAAATATTATTTGTTGTTTGTAAACTGTCGTCTTTGCAAGGAATTTGGCTATAAATTGATCAACAGCATTGATTAGCTTCAGAGATCAATATTTATTAGAATTATTCATACAAACATTTTTTTTCATACACATTATGATGAAGACTTAAAATTAAATTATTGGCAAGCACATTTGGTATTATTAATGATTTGGAATATTGTTTTTTTTCTTAACATTAATATTGAGCTTTGTCAGTCGAACTTATATTATCACATCAAACTGATAACAGATGCTTCCTTATGTGTTATGAACTAGCATATAATACTATACTTTTTGAGCCTTTGTTAAAATTAATATTATTCGATAACATGTATGTTTTCTGAAAAAATTGTGAGCCTGCATTGAAAAATAATAATCAAATAACTGATATAGGAAAAAATTTGAAACAGCTTTTGTAATCAGAGTGTACAGCATTTCTAATGATATTACAGATATTAAGAATATTTATCACGTACATATTAATCAAAATTTCAATAATATAAATCTTACATTTAATCAGGTCCATTTGTTTAATGTACATACAATCATTGCATCAAAAATACTATTAAATGTATGTGGTCCATTAACAAATATGAGAATGCAATAGCATTTTCATTTTCGTTTATTAAATGGATTCAAGTCTCTTTAATGTTAATGGATTAAGTCTCTTCAATGTGTGCAATATCAATATGAATTATCACTATTATACATTGCATTGAACGAGGTAGTTTTTGGTTAGACGTATACATATTAAAAAATTGCTTAAGATCGTTTATCATTTGTTTTAAAAATTACTGCTATTTTAAATAAAAAAACTATTAAAAAATTACTTGGGTTATTTTCAACCTCTTGGTTTTCAATACATTAAAGTATTTTTCACAATAAAATAATAATGTTACAACTTGAAGTAAAAAGTTGAAATTATTAAATTCATGTGTTTAAAAGTATTTCACTAATAAAACTGTTAAAATCTCAATAAATACATTCTTTATACAAATTGAAAAATCCATCGTCTAATACTTTTAGGAATGGATAGAAAAACATTGAACTACTTAAGTTAAACATTTCCTCATTGTCGAGCAATCCTTTCAGTCTCCATGATGCATTCTTTGACTAGAACACGAGCCTTCATGATGCCTTGTTTGATTTTTTCAGCTGAGTTTCGGTGTCCACCATAACTAGGCCGAATATGTTGTCCCAATTCTTGGATTACAAGTAAAAGATCTGTATATGGAGATTCTCCTCCAACTGGCAGCTTCATAGGTACATTGTTGAGAGTTCTAGGCTGTGATTGGACCATTGAAGGCCTTGGTTTTGGAATGGTTATCAATGGTTCAATAATCATCTTTGGATTTTCCATGTAATGGCGACTATTGTTCATTGTTGAATAATTGCAGTTTACAGTTCGCTGTCTGGGATGAGATTAAAAAAATATAGTTACGCGCAGCAAAGACGAGAGTTCAATCAAAGATAAATAGAAAAACCTCAATTCTACATAACCTAAAAATAATAAGGCTTTTATAATCTGTTAAAATTATTAAAGAATCCATTTGAATCATACCTTCAGGCAAATTTTCAGATTACTGTAGATAAAGAGATTATTTAAAGTAACTCATTAAAATAAAACAACAAACAATAAAACTGAAAAATGTTTTAATACATCGTACAAATAGACACAATACAACGTCTCTCATTGATACTTACTGTCTTTTGTATGGGTGTTCACAGAATGTTTTCGACACATTCGAAGAGACATCAATTCTGACACTATACTATCAGACTCAGTCATAAACAAGACCAGCGATGGCAGTAGTTCACGGCGTAGCCATTTGTGATCCTATCTATAGGGACTTTGAGGGAGCGTGCATTTGGGAATAAAGAAAATAAAAAATGATAAAACTCAATGAAACGATTGTTATATATGAAATTATTAATATTAATTTTTATATTGTAATTAATATTAATATTAATAAAAGTTTTAACACTTTCTACTTTATTTAAAAATGCGTACCCCCTCAAAGTCCCTATAGATCGGCGCACAAATGGCTGCACAGTGTACCACTGGTCCTGTGTTAGAATAGATGTGTCTAGGGAGTATCCACACTGGATCCCTCTTCCTTCCTGACTAGTACTCTACTACTGAATAATTGAATTACTACTGCCTGCCTTGCGGATCCTGATCTAGCCTTTTTATACCATAAGCTGGCGTACCCCTTCCCTTTCTTTTTGCCAAATTAATATGCGGTGAGTAATATTCGCGGAATTATTATGGAGAACGTGCTTAGCTTAATCCATCTCATTAGATAGATTTATAAATCTTCCTGGGAAGGTCGACAATTGGCATAATAGGAAGTTAAATTACCGATACATGATTAGTTACCATAGCCCATCACATGTATTCTTTTTAGTATCGACGTGACAATATATACCGAAGGCACAATATCATACAACGCATTCTGTTTGTATTTTTTCAAATATTTTATCAATAAATTTATTTAATTATTTAAGGTTTTAAATAAATAAAAATATAAAGTATAGAATTGACGATTTCCCACTCATTTAAAACACTACACAATTAATAATAAAAGTGTGACGTCCTCGTAGTTCGTCCATCCGCTTCATCCACTTCTTAAAATCAAATTACGCTACTTGTACTGCGCCATCGAGCGAGAAAAGTATGTAACACAGGGCGATTTGTTGACTAAAGTCGCTTTACGCCCTCAACGGCCTCAGCGATACACTATTGTTACCAGCTGCTTGTCACTCTTGTCAGTCGTAAGAGTCGCGCTTGTCCTTGTGTCCTGTGTGTATGCGTGCTTCAAGATGGCAGCGGCCAATTCCAGTTTAACAAACGAACCAGTAGAACAAAAAGAAGATGAATTTAACGAATTCTATAGTGAGGTTTGTCAAAGTTTCATGCCTTTTGATCCCTTCGATTATTATTCTTTGAACATATTGTACAGTCGAACCTTTGTTGTTCGTTATATAATATTGTAAACATTGCTAGTTAGACAAATTTACTTGTATAATTTCTTTGTGTATTTGGACATTTAATCGATAAGACATCAAGTTATTATTTAGTAAATTTTATTCATAATTCTAATCTTTGTTAATCATTATTTCAGTATTTGGCTAAAGATACTAATAATCAATCAAAGCGTTCTAACCTATCATCAGTATTTCTTAAAAAATTTAATTTTTGTTTATTACAACAGGTTAAAGAAATTGAAAAGAGAGACTCAGTCCTCACACCTAAGCAACAAATTGATAGGTTACTGCGTCCCGGTTCTTCTTATTTTAATTTAAACCCATTTGAAGTTCTTCAGATAGATCCAACGACAAATATTGATGAAATCAAAAAGAAATATAGACGTGTAAGTATACCTACTTAAATAAAATGTTTATTGAATCAACAAGACTATCTGATCACGATTCATTTTTTAGATGTCGATATTGGTTCATCCTGACAAAAATCAAGATGACGCAGATAGAGCACAACAGGCTTTTGAAAGTGAGCTTATCAAATCATGACTTATTTTAAAGTACTACAATATATGGTAATAAATTTATTTTTAGCTGTCAATAAAGCATGGAAAACACTGGAAAACGAAGAGACCAGAGCCAAGTGTATGGATGTTATCGAAGAGGCAAAAGCAAGGACAGATCACAACGTAAGTTTGTTTATCAAATAAATTTAATTCTTACTACAGTCCCTTTTATCATTATAAAATATACTCTATAGATTTCTGAAAAGAAAAAGAAAATGAAAAAAGAAGGAAAATTGGCAAATGATGCCGTGTTGGAAGAAGAAACACCAGAAGGCTATAAACACGCTGTGTATGTAATGACAATGAAACTCTTTGCTGATATGGAACGTAGAAGGTGAATTTCCTTTCAAGTAATTTATTCAATATTAATGAAATGTGTTTCACAAAAATTGGTTTATTCTAGACGAGACTTGGCTCAACGTGATGCAGAGCAGAGGAAAAGAAAAAGAGAGGAAGAACTGACAGCTGAAGCACAAGCTGCTGTAGATCGTGAATGGCAAAAGAATTTTGAAGAATCTAGACAGTCTAGAGTAGAGAGTTGGAAAGCTTTCCAGTCTGGTTCTGGAGGACCAAAAAAAAAGAAAAAGGAAAAGAAAATGAAATCATTTAGACCTCCAAAGACCAAAGCTGAATCTCGATCATAAAGTATTCAAGAAGTGTAATAGTACAGGATTACACAAAACAAGGAACTCTGTTCAAATAACTAAATAACTCAATTATAATGTTATTGATCAATTTAATTATTCCTGTAATGTACAAAACAACAAAATATCAAATATGATATAATGAAATCTGAATTTTTTGGAGTACAATTGATCGTTTGATTGATACTTTTATAGTTAACGTTTTTAAAGATGAAATAATTTCAAATAAATTTACATTACTCCAAAAAATTTAAATTGTAACTATATACTCAAAAGTCTAAAGTGAGTATAGAATTAAATTTGTGTAAGGTTGTGTGTATCATTCATTACAAAATATCAAAATGTCACTTCCTTTTTGTGGGTGCAACTACTTACTGATGACGATTGATAGAAATACATGAAAATGTTTTTGAATATATGCATATGTTAGTTCAAATTTTAACACGAGGAAGCATGAATAAAATATTATAGAACGTTAGATTAAGGTAATGCCAACCAAACGGTAATTATATTAAATTTTTTTGTTAAATAAAAGGTGAAAATGAAGCAGAGAAATAATCTATAAATGTAAGTGCTTGTGTGTTAGTAAATGATACGTAAGATTACAACATTGTTTTATTGAATAATTTTAATACATTATGCTCCACACTAGAGAGTTATTAACTTTGATAGTTTTGAATCAACTTTTTGTACAAAAAATATGACAAATATTTACTAATTAATAATGTCAGCTGTGTATTTCGTAAAAATTATTACTCAAAATAAAAACTTAAAGAAAAAAAACAAATAAAGCTTTATTAAAATGTAATTAAAAGTACTAAACTTATTTCCATTAATACCTAGTATATGACCATGTATTAATTGTTATGTTTGTAGGTGATTACAAAATACATTCTTAATTAATGGACAGCATAACATATTACTTTTTAATCATTAGACGTTACAAGGTAAATTGATTTTTTATTTATTTCTAAATTAGATAATAATTATAACAAAAAAAGCATTCTTGTATCTCTATTACAAAGAGACCAACAACTAAACATTCGCATACAATCAATGTTTCCTCCTGAAAACAAAATATAAACGAAACATAAAAGTATCGCTACTCTTCTTTAGCATTGTTATTATCGTCACACATGATTCCCTCAGTGCCTCGTGCACTGGCCGAAGAAGTGCATTGAAGCGTACAGCATAAGTATATTCTATAGGTATACATGTACGGCAGGTCAAATTAAAAGGCATGCAACCAGCAGCAGGAACGTACGATTCGGTCGATCGGCGCATGCGCCTGATCAGGTGCGCCGAAGAAAAGGCTGCAGCCAAAGTAGCAGCAGCAGCCGCGAGGAGAGCGAAGGTGAGTGGCGGCGGCGCGGCGTCCCTCCGTGAAGAAAGAGAGAGAGAGAGAGAAAGAGAGAGAGAGAGAGAGCAACAAGTGGTGTTTCTCGTTCGTCGCCCACAGCTGGCGATGTCGAGGATGCACGAATTCGTCGATCCTGGGTAGGTACTTTAGCTTACCGATCAAGCGAAAAACAGATTAGAAGTGACGAAGGTCCGAAGAAAGAGGCAAGATCGCGCTATAATGATGTTGTTCTCAGGAAGCCGACAACGATTGGAGTTGGAAGGCTAAAAACAGGGAGCGGTAAGTGTGCTCGTTGTCTCACGGCCTTCGGTCGTTTCTACAACACTGGAGCCTCGTGTCCAAGGTGTCGACTGCGCGTTTGCCGGCAGTGCAGAAGAGACGCTAATCCCGACTGGCTGTGCTCACTTTGCCACAAGATCGAGTGAGTAGATTTCTTCTCGCGCTGTTCGTGTCTCGTGGGTTGCGTGCGTGGGTGTGTGGAGTGAGAGAGACGGGAATGAGAGAATGTGTATGCAGTACTCGTGTGTTCGTGTGTTCCGTGCCCTAAAGTGTCGTGAATGTACATTCGCAGGCGAGTCAAGTCCAGCAACTGTCTTTCTGCCTTAGACATCATCAAGTACAGCATCCGCAGGGCTTGGACTATCAACGGTAAGCCTTTCTATACAACGCGCGCGAGAGACTCGCGCTCGTGCTTTTTCCTGGAGCAATGTAAGGAAAAACGGAAGCGTTGTTGTGTGCTCTTTGAAACTTAATCACTTTGGACGACTAAGGAATAGTAATTCGAGAGTTCTGAGAAATCGGATTTTTTTCAGTCGTTCCTTCGTCGTACGTTCATCGAAATAAATCGACTGTGCAAATACGTTATCGTGGCTTGAAGAAACTGCGTTATTCGAATTTTCACTTATGTAGCGAAAGTCAGAGAGTAACACGATGATTTGATTTATGATGATTTGACGTTTAGTTAACAAGCTGACCGACCAGTTTTTTTTATCTTTTATTAAGTAGAATGTTAATATCAATAGTTTTACATATTATCCGTGAGTTTGTTATGAATTTCCGTCGGTTTGCGAAATTTGAGCAATCGTTAAATTGAAAAATACAATTTGAGCAACTGCATATATTTTTCCACCTATGTGCACATACAACTGATTAGTATCATAATGCCCATAACAGGTCCGCCAGCACGTTGGTCAGCAGCTCGAAAATCAGCGGAGTACCGATTGTATCGAAGCTTACCGAGTCGACGTCGTGACTTCCTCGACGACGAGAAAAAAGTAGCAGCAGTAACGAATGAATCGCTGATCAAGTCAGCAGCGAAAGTGATCGCAAAGCCAACGAAACAGCAGCAACAGAATGAAGTATCGAAAAAGTCGAGTATACCAGTGTTCCGCAGTCGTAATTCGAAGGAGTTCGAGGATATCCGGGAGTCTCCGAAACGATCATTGATACCGCAGAGGTATTGAATTGATTTAATTGTTGCTTAATTGCAATCTGATTGGCCGTACTATTACGGATACGAGAGTTTTGTTGTAAATCTTCTATGGTAATTAGTTTTGTCGTAAATCTTCTATGGTAATTAGTTTTGTTTTAAATCTTCTATGGTAGTTAGTAAAACCATTAAGATAAGATTTCTAGCTTTAAGACTACATGTTTCTTAATTTCATTTCTTAATTTTAATCTCTGCATCGCACGTGAAAAATAGTTCTATTTTTCCATGCTTTTGAAAGATTCTCTTATAACGTAGCTCGACCGTACATACATACACATATACGTAATCATACAACGATTACCAGTGTTACGTAACATAAATGCCAGTCATAAAAGTATTTCACAATCCATGTACACCCACACACAAAACAAGCGTGCATATATGCACGTATATAGCATAACTCCCACGTGATCTTTTTGAAAAAAAAAAATCACTGCTGAACCATGACGAAAAAAAAAATCGATTTGTGCAGGTACAGAGGAAGCACGGACGATCTGCGCCGGAGCCGTGAGGACATAAGTATACCAAGCTTTATACCGAAGCTGCTGTCTCCGCGAAATAAAGAGGACAAGCAACCGCCGCTACCGTCGCAGCTTAAACGACAGGATAGTCGGGACGACGTGCGCAAGTCTCAATCGCTGCAGAATCCTTCGTCTTTTCGGGCCACCAGCAGTACATCGATCAGGCTATTCCGACGTGACGAACAAGATAAATCAGTCAAGTAAGCGGAAATTGAAAAAAGTGCGATCATGATTCAAAAGTGTATTGGCTGTTTCACCATGAATAAGAAGAAGCGAAAAGTGTAAACATTTTTTGGTGTCATGCGTGATCAGTTCAAAGTATTATGGTTTCGCTTGGGAAACATTGCGAGTAGTTTTTGTTTTATTTTCACGCTTTATTCATTTCGAATATTTTAAAAATAGCAATTAAAATTGTAGCGGAAAAACGCAATTTCTACATGTCATAATAGATAATCACCAGCATGTTGCTTGAAAAGAACTTATTAACAAGATTCCCCGTGAATTATACATATATCTTTAGCAATTAGCTTGACAGCTATGCAAAAATATTGAAACCAGTTATTGCATCCGACTTTTTATTTTATTTAAATTGTAAGTTCACGCTTTTACAGTTCACAAAGCGAATCGCAAATAGAGCAGGAGGCATGTCCAGGAGGCGAGTCCTCAAAGATGACAGTGGACGAATTGCAGATGATCGAGAATAAGGACGAGCGAGCCGATTCCTACGTGAATAGCAACGAATCCAAGGGAGACGACGAAGAAGAATGCGATAAGAGCGACGACGTCGCTTTAGCCACGACTGCTATAGCTACAGCCGCCTTCGTCAAAGATCTGGACAAACAAATTCTATCGGAACCAACGTCCGGTAAAAAGATCGATGAACCGTCTGTTGTAAGTATGCTATGTTGTAAAAATATGCTTTTTTTTATTTTTCTAATTTAATGTTATGTAAAAAATCAAATGGTGAACATATTATTAAAATGAATAATTTACTATCATAATGAAATTAACAGCAACTAATCATGAATTGATTACAGGTGAAAAGAAAATTTTCTAAAGAAGAGCTTTCAACCGATGACACCGATGATGCACATAACCGACGGTGTTCTAGCGTACGTATACGTATGAAATTTATTATATCTCGCATGAAATTTAATCGAATTTATCGTCTTTGCAGCATCTTTCGCCAGAAGCAAGCCCGCTAAGCACAAGGTCCTCAAAATACAGTCCACGTGAGAGCGAAAGTGAGCCGACACCAGCGTTACCGCGTAAAATTGTCGGTGAAAGGGGTGAATCGAGTCTGGCTTCGCAAAGAATTCGAGATGCCATAACTCGGACTCGCCGTGAGTCGAACAGTAGTGCCAAATATGAGAGTAGCGGGAGTGAGGGCGTAAGGTAAGATCATTGTAATAATAAAATTAAACTATACTATTGTACACTATAAAATAAGGTTAACGCGAGTATAAAATAAAAACAAAAAAAAGCGTTTATTACGGATATGTTTTCATTGAACGGCTAATTTTTTCCTTAAGACTAAGCGAATCTGGCCTGTCAAGCTACGTCGACATAGCCCGTCGCGTGAAGCTTTTTAGCAGTGGAAGCTTGGGTCCATCAGCCGGAAGTTGTGACGAAATCCTACAACGAGACAGTGCCACAAGCGCAGGAGAAGATGATCATGACGATTACACGCGGATGGGACCTGGCTCGCAAAGTCGTGTTATGATACGACGACGTCGCCAATTCGATGCTCAAGGTAAATTTCGAACGAAACACGAAAGAGAAATGGAAAAAAAGTCGAAACCAACACACTCGAAGGAACGAAAGTAGGCAAAGCACAATTAGGAACGATACTCACGATAACTTACCTCGTTCTTTCTTTGTCGTCGCTGCTAACATCGATTTTCGAAGCCCACTGATTTCACTCGAGTCTCAGAGCGGTTCATCATCGCGTAGCGATAACAGCACGATGAAGCATCACGGCAGCAGCAGCGACGATGAAGACGAGGACGATTGCTGGTGTGTGTTCGGTTTCGAGCTGCGCCGAATTGTGCAGCTCGTCTTCACCTCCATCATTGCCACCTATTTTCTCGTACTGTACGCCGCAGTAATTATTATGCTATTTTTTTATCTAACGTGGACTCACGGATACTAAGCCATCGTCATTGTTGCCTTATCGTTGTATTACGGACAAGTGCGAATTAAAAATAATCGAACGGTGTCAAGGTGTGTCACTCTCTTCGTGGTCGCGGCTGTAGCTCTGCTTTGAACGCCATCCAAAATGCGGCGCGTACGTATTTTTAGCGGTCGTCTGAGGGCTGCACAGGTGTCTCACTAAAGGGGGCTTCACGGTTCGCTGCTGCCACAGGCTGCTGTGTGCCTTCGCCTGCGTTTATTGCCGTCGGCAGCTCAGTGTGCGCCTGACGACAGACGTCGTCGGTGCTGCCGTTTGTGCTGTAAACATAATAATGCTGCTCTGTGTGTGTATTTTTCGTTCATAATACTCGGTCTCGGTGTGCGCGTTGGTCTGCGATAACATGGTTCGTGCCTGGAACACAATTATCAACGTCCATTGATTGCGCCATACGTGAATCATCGCCAGCGATTTTTCTTCTTTCCGATCGATGTAGAAAGCCTGCGACCGGAGGAATAAGAAAGCGCATGTCGATTAGCTGTCACTGCTACTAATATTCGTGCAGTACACACGTGGCTGAATTCATAGTCACTGACCAGGTAATTCATTAGCGCGTGGAACGAGAAACTCAGTACGCCGTAACGCCCTTTTTCGCTCTCTCGGAGCTTCCTTTTCTCTTTTCTTATGGATTATTATTCTCTTTCAACGAGCAGCTTTTTTTCCGCTCGTAGGTCAGTGATATTTCAGACGAAAATATTGATAGATGTTATTTGATTTGATAAACGCATGAATGCGCTTTTATTTACCACCTAGTATTTTGTTTATCTGAGTGCGATATATTTATTTACGATAAAAAAGAATATTCAATGTATAACACAGTGTATTTATTTAGATGATAATTTTGATTTGCGTAATAAGGTTATGAGATTAAATATAAGAAAACATTACGATCGATATTAGATTGCTTATCAATATTCCTTTGGTTCGATTAGTTCGTTGAAAAGTTGTTGTCGGCATTTATTCGGTTCAGCTAACGCCTATTTTTCATTTCGGAAAACGCTGCCGTCCATAATACAACCAGCTTAATTTATTATACATGCGAGATGAGCGACAGCCGAGTTAATTAAATTTAACTGTGAGTCGAGCACACATATCCGACCGACCGACCTTTCGCCGACCTACGTTGTGCAAGCGAAAATCGCGCAACTTGAGCCCATGCACATTTATAGGGCGTCGCCGCCAGTTGATCAATTCACGAGCGACTTTGCAGGTCCACGAAGGCGAGGAAGATCGCACGCACGAGCGTGTTGCGGCGCAGAGGAACCGCTACTAAACTTGTCGGATGAGGTGTCAACGGCGTCAGCATTGCTAGACTACCGACGGCTCGTGTTCATCAGCTCGGACTCGTCGTCCGGCCGCGAGGAGGACGACGCCGACAGCAGCTGCTCCGGCTCATCCTACCTCAACGGCAATCCTACGGCCAAGCAACACCAGCCGGGCTTGGAGGATTGCGACTGGGATTACTTCGAGAGCAACTCGTTGAAGCTGCCACCGCTGCAGGCTGCCACCGTCGGTCAAGCCAACGACTGGAGCTGCTGCCCGGCCAGACCCCAGGCTGGATTCGGCGGAACGACGCCGGCTGGTTGCTGCCAGGTGTGTGTTCATTCGAGTTTTTAGGGTGTGCTCTCCGATAACATTTGCGGACGCATTAAAAGGGCGAAAGTATGTTTTACGAGGGAATATTTACTTCCACATTGTTGCACGCAGGAGTTTAGGTTGTCTTAATGTGTTTGCGCAAAGTTATCCTGTTTTCTTCTAAAAGAAAATGGAAAAAGTATTCTTAAAAGATTAATTAAACGAGATAAAAATTATTCATCTTATTTCTTTTTTTAATTAAATCTTTCAACAAAAATTACTATAATAAGACTTTTGTTTGCTGAAGTTCGAAGCGAAAATCAATAAGCAACTTTTGGATATTTGATTATACCAAACATAGAAATATACTGAGACTTGAACAAAATTATAGGAGGACTATTATGATTAACTTTTTTTTAATTTTGATTTTTAAAGCCAATGTGGCCACGAATAGATCAATTTATTATTATTATTATTATTATTGCTATTATAATTATTATCATGATTATATTATTCATATTAATATACCAAATGGTTGCAGATAATGCAATCTACAAAACCACTTGCAAAGATATATACAGGTATCTATGTACAAGCTAGTATAACAGAATACATAAAATTTATAATTCTAATTTATTTCTAATAGAAGTGATAAAAGATGAGAACAATGATATAAGACATAATACCTAGGTTCCTCCACTTGAGTTAATTTCTTGGATGGTAATACTAATCTGCTGATCAGGTCAGCCCTGTTTGCAACATCCATATCTACTAGTAATTTGATTTTAGTTTGAATCCACTTTTTTATTTTAAATTTACTACTGTTGTTTGTAATGTTGATACTTCTCATTTCTCTGTCAAATTTTCTATATATTTTGGTAGCAACGTATCGACTTCGAAATGTTAGGGTCTTGTTAACATTTGGTATTACTAATTTGTCTAGTAATATTTGTAACATGTGATATTGCTTTTTTAGTTCCCTTTTCTTTTCAAAACCAAGTTGTTTGTTATCAATGATATATTTTGACAAATACTTGTACAGCCTAACGTGAATTAATTTAATAAGGAATCAGTGATATTGGTCTATAGTTTGTTAGTAGTGATTTGTCTCCTAATTTGTAAATGGAAATAATATTTGTAATTTTGAGAGCAAGAGGCCAATAACCCTTGTAAATGCATTGATTAAAAAGGTACTCGAAGAGAGTACTAATAAATAAATCCAAAACCTTTAAAACTCTTGCATTTATACTATCAACATCACTAATTTTGTTTTTGAGATATTGTGTAATCTTTGGTACCCCATTAAGATCAGTATAATGAAGATAAAAATTTTCATCAATTTTCACGGGAAACTCTAGTGAGTGTTCACTGTTTTGCTCTATCCGTTCTGTTAATTTAACCGCCACTTCACAAAAAAAAAATTATTAAAAATCCTCAGTCGCTTATTTAGGATCAGAGTACTTTTGCCGTTATATTCAATTGTCTGAAACGTATCCCGTTTGGTTTGATTCGTTGAACGTATCCCATTTGATTTACCTGAATGCAACTTATAGTGATTATTACTCTTGCCTTCAACCTCTTCATTTACAAATATTCCCATTAAAGAGAGAGAGAGAGAGAGAGGGAGAGAGAGGGAGAGGGAGAGGGAGAGAGAGAGAGAGAGAGAGAGAGAGAGAGAGAGAGAGAGAGAGAGAGATATTAGAGTCGTATTGCTAATCCCGGAGAAGCAAACTTAAATTTCAATACATCCGTCTTACTCAACGTCTGGAATAAAACTTTGCAACAAGATTATAAATATTAAAAAATTCAAATAAGTTAATGATATTTCATTAGTTAGGCGTAGTTAACTTCAAAATAAAGTTAAGTTACAAAAATAATTATTTTCTACAGGCTTGCGGAGGCTCCCGAAACGCCAAAGTATTGCCTGTACCCGTGCCAATACCAGTACCAGTACCATATCCTGTACCAGTGCCAGCCTCATTGTGGACAGGGGAACTAGCAGCTAATTCGATGATAAGCAGAGAGCATCAAACATCGTTACCATTAAATCTACGCAACGTCAAACCACCATCGGCTGGTACATGGTTTTCTTGGAATCCTGGCTTCGATTCGTCTTCCTTACTTTTTTCACAGTCGCATATTTTCCCGAGAGAACTCTCTTCATCCACTGAGGCTCTGCTACAACCTGTGAGAGTTTGTACTTAGTTTGCTAATTAATTATTATAATGAAAATATAATCATTGAAAATAACTTTGTCTTTATTTGATATCTATTATTGAAAACGTGTTTTTATTTATATGGACAAATGTACTTTCATTGATTGAATTGCTTTATGTTGGATAATCTCTACTTCTATAAAATATTTGTAAAATTATTTTAAATACTAACCATTATGTTTGTGTGTGTTAGAGATGTTTGTTTTGACTGATAATCAAGAGAGTTTTTAAAAATATCGTTTCGTTTTTTTTAAACTCATATTTGTTATCTTCTTTTCTTCCAGGCGCAAGAAAAGCAGCCAGCAAACCAACAGGGAAAACCTCTGGAAGTCAGCAAACCTGAACCAATGAAACCAGAAGAAAAGGCACCAGAACCCGAATCAGCTGCTCCAAACGAAGTATCCGAAGCTTCACCGTCGCCTCCACAACGCGAAGAGCCCGAAGAGCCGTTAGCAGAGCCACAAATCATGTTTCAAGATTCGCGTAGTTCATCAGGTCGCTCGTCAGCCGACAGTAGCGATCTCGAAGATTCCGCGTCTCATCGATTTTCGCGTGTAATGATCGTAAACGATGATTCATTAACGAGTGACAACGACATCGAGGATAACGAAGATTCGGATTCCGCGAGGGAAGCCCATACCGCCCCACTTCGAAAAATCAATCATCAAAACAAGGATAGTCCAGCTAGTGAAGAGGAAAGTCCGGAATCCGTGGTTTTACGAAAAATTCGCACGTTGGATGAGAATGCCGAGTTCACGGAAAAAAAATCTGAGATACTAGAATCGGAGGGTGCAGAGGAAGAGGAAAGAGCCGACGCAGATGAAAGCAAGCTACAAGAGATCGCGAGTTACGATGAAATTTATCTGGCTAGTATGCAAGACCACTCAGAAAATTCGATCCTCTTGAAGTCTATCAGGCCGTTGGATCCCGAAGACTTTCGACGCGGAGAGGACGATTCTTCGAATGATTCAGCGGTAATGCCAGACTCGCTAGAGGTGAGCATGCAAGACTTGGAGGATAGTATTGAAGCGGCAGCGACGAGGGACGAGGAAACCTGCGATATCGGCAGAGCAATACTCGCCACCTCGTCACCTGTGATGACGGAGGAGGAGGAAGAGCAGGGGGGGAGGCACGAGCAAAGTGGCTTCCAGTTCAGTGCCGCCGCTGCCGCTGGTACTACCGCGGAGGTTAGTAGCGCGGAGTCTCTCGAGCCGGACGCCTTGATGGCGAAGTCGCGCAAGAAATGGCAGATCCCAGCGAGCTTCGACATCAAGGGCATACCATCGACGCACTTTCTGCCACCCGAGCCACGCGTCAAGAGCTCACCGCTGCTCGCCGGACTCGTCGACGTCGAGCAAGACGCAGCGACGCGTGACGACAACGAACGCCAACGACCGCGTACGCCCACTCTAGATCTGGAGGAGGAGGAGGAGGAGGAAGAGGAGGAGGAAGAGGAGGAGGAGGAAGAAGAAGACGAGTTGGAGGAGGAGTACAACATCAACGACGATGTTGGCGGACAGCGCCGCAATTGGGTATCGCCGAACAACAACAAATACAGGAGCCTCGTCATGATCACTCAACATAGTCCAGCTTATCAGGCCGTTAATGTCATCACCAGCGATACCACCACACTACTACAGCCGCAACAAGGATTTTATTCGCTCGACTCGAGTCTCGAGAGGTACGTTATAGTTATATTCTTCTGACATCTTTTTTTCCCGACGTAAGGAGAGTGAAAGTCGTTGAGAGAACAGCACGGCGCCTGACGCAGAGTCTGGCGCACGTTCAGGTAACTTTTTCAATTTCAACCTGCTTCACAGGTGTTGGCTCGTTGCGAGAGTTACGATTTTTCTCTCGCGCTGTGCGTTCTCTCTCTCTCTCTCTCTCTCTCTCTCCTCTCTCTCTCTCTCTCTCTCACACACACACTCTCTCTCACTCTCTTTCTCTTTCTCTCTCTCTCTCTCTCTCTCTCTCACACACTCTCTCTCACTCTCTTTCTCTCTCTCTCTCTCTCTCTCTCTCTCTCTTCATGCTGATTGTGCAAGACTTTTGCATTCGTCGAACATTGTAAACAGAGCATGAAGCGTTATTTAAAACTCGACGGCTGTGTGTAGTATGCTAACCGGTAAAATACGCCTGTACAGTTACCACGTTTCACAATCTAAAATAATATAACATTTGGCGTATCTCGCTCGCATTCGTTCAACTCGCCAGGTCGGTAAGCGAATGTCCAGCGCTGTGCAATGATGCAATCGTGATTCTGCTTTGTTCGCAGGAAAGGCGCTACGGGTCTACCGTCCAAAAAACCGCTGGCCTGCAAGCGACTACTGACGACGAATAGTGCGGAGCCGGAAGTGGATAGCGGCTTGAGTGTAGGAAGTGCGAGTGAGAGTGACGAGCAAAGTGTGAAAAAGTGCAGCCCCGTGCTTCTGACGAGCCGCGAGGAAGAATCGGCTCCGGTGCTCGTGGCGGCAGCAGTGCAAGAAGCTACGAATTTCATCGAGTCAAAGCGGGGCGGTCCGCTGATTCTCGAGGAGGGCTTGGCCGATGACGACTCATGGGTCGAAGAGATCTCGCACGATGAAGACGAGCAAAGCGCGACTACGGCTACAGAGGAGAGTTCTGAGGACGAGACCGGCAATAATCTCGGCGATCGGGAGGAAGAACTACGCGGTTATCATCGTCAAGCGATCGATTTCACCTTACACACGATCGTCGAAGAGTCGTGCGAGGAAAGCGAGGCGGAACACACTAATGCCAGTTGGAGAAAACGACTGGCTTCGGCTTCTGCATCCGACTTGGACAAATACTTTTTCTTCGGCATCGGAGCCGACGGCAATGCGAACAACTCGCGAGAACTCGATAGTTTGTCCGAGAGCTCGTCTGTCTTTTCCGAGGGGCTGGATTCGCTGACTCGCGAGGAAACGGCTCAGAATGCTAATCAAGAGAAGAGCAGCGGAGAGAGGTCAGAAAAGTACTATTTCTCAGAGTTCCTTGGGTTGGATCAAGACAGAAGAGACTCGGATGGTTCTGTTGGCAGTGATTCTGAAGGCCGACCTAGTCCCGAAGCTCAGAGGAGAAAACGTTTGGTCAGGGCTAGAGGCACTGGAAGATCGCACAGTTCATCGTTAGATAATTTGCTGGCTTTACAAAATTCTGGATCACATCAAAACTCCCTGCAAGACACGAATTCAGCAACAGATGCACAAGAATCTCAGTCCGAAGGATCGTCCACGGAGACCGATGTCGCAGACGAAAATCCTAATCCCGGATTTGGCAGCGACGGTCAATTCGACACGGTGAAGAGGAAGAAAAAGAAGCTACGGAATCCCGGAGCTACGAGTCCGCGTGTCAGCGAAGATCGCAACAAAACACCCGAACCTAGTTGTGCGTTATCGAACGAGCTCCCGGAAGACGAATCGAACGAGGCAGCTGCGAATTCTGAGGAAGATGAAGCGAAAACTCCGCAGCCAGAAAACATTCTCGCAGTTACGCAGCCAGGCGAGAATGAACAAGACGATGCCCGAGCTAAACAACAATCGAGGGATTCGGGCTTCGTTGGAAGCTGTGATGACCTGCTACAGAGGAACAACGGTAACGAGGCCCAAGAAGGCGCTAAGGCTGGGGAAGACGTAACGGAGACCAAAGACTATCAACAGCAACCGGCGCCGAAGAACATCCACGAGAGGATCAGACTGAACAGACTTACTGCTACTACTTTGACGAGGAAGGATAGTTTCAATAATTGGTCAAGTGATGAAGAGACGAATTTGATGATGTCCAAGATGCGGCAATTCTTCAAGACCATGGTGGCGAACAATCAGAATCAATCTGGAAGCACTGCCTCAAGTGCTGCCTCGCCAGCACCGAGTCCGAGTCCAAGATTCTCCACCAAAGTAAGGAATTATGTGCAGAATCAAAACAATAGAACGAAACCACCGCAACTCGTATACTTCGAGAATGAACTGACGAGACTAATGAAGACTGTACCTGGCATTCGAGACGATCAGGTGCGTGAGATCGTAGAATATTTGAGCTCCGAGGACACCTGGTCAGATTCCTATGATTCGTCCGACTACACGAGTTCAGATCTCGAGGGTGCAACTGCAGGTGGACGAAGATCAGCACTGCAAGAGCAAATATCGCAAAGTTGTCAGCAGATAATCAGCAAATTCGATACGAATAACGAGGAACCAAGACGAGATGCTCCACCGGTGCAACAACCCGGCCTTGGCAGAGACACTGCCTTTGTTTATCAAAAGCTGGTGCAAAGTTTCACGAAAATGGCAGGTGACAATACGAGTAGCGACGCAAACTCGACTCCTCACAGCAGCCCACCGCTCATCGCCAAAGTGATGCATCACATAGGCAGCCGACTCGTCGCTCTCATGCACGAAGTTTCTGAGAGCAATTCCACAGCCGCCGCGCATACTCACAATACCAATGCTGGCTGGCGAAGATATCCACATCACAGAACACCGTCATCCGCGTCCACTACCGAAGACGACGACTCCACTTCCGATTCGGCCGGCGCAACAACGGTTAGTTGTGCCCATATGCTCGAATATTTGATAAATAAGACTTAATAATTTTACAATTTAAGTAGCTTGACTTTTTACATGTAATGAAATGCAATTTCAGTTTTTATATTAAGTTGATTCTTGAAATAATTACCTGGCGCCACGAGACTTTTCAAACTTGTCGGCGTATGAAAAGTTAACTAGATCATAACTGCTTTGCAACTCTTCGATCCGATTAAAGTGAAAAGTCGTGTTTTTTATAATGCTCATCGGACAGGTAGAACATTTTTTATTAAAATTCAGGCCATCGCTTATATCTTTTTTTAAATGAGACGATGATCTCAATAATTACTTTCTTCGTTTTGATAAAAAAAAGCGTGGGTTTTTTTTCACTATGCTGCTCTTATTTAAGCGAGCTTTTATCGATTGTTCGAGAAGACTGTGTAAACCTACTATTCATTAACTAGTAAAAGTACTAATTACTTAATTGCGAATGAATCAGCCGAATAGAGAAAGAATGACGATCTCATGAGAGCTGTAGAGTCAACTAAAGCAAATTAAAATTACGTTTACTAAAAATACTGAATGCTCCTCGAGTAACAAATTCAATCATATATTTATTTTCCTTCTCAGCAGCACTTGCCCCGTTCGAAATCACACGATCCACTACTCCTGATAAACGGTCATACGACATCGATAAGCAGCATGCCACCGGAAACCGAAGAGCGCGAAGCGAGCGATTACGAACGTTTTTCATGGCGCGGAAGTTTCGAATCTGCATTAATGGCCGCGGATTCGCGTACGAAGTTGAGTTTACTGGCTTGCTCCAGTGATGTGAGCGTAACCGCAATGGCAGCTAAACGAAGATCAGCCGGGGACCTGCTCTTCAATCCGAAAAGTTTCTCCAGAGAGCAATTAGACAGGGTGAGAAGTTGTGGTTCCATTGGAGGTGGAACTATCAGTGGCGCTGGCACTACTACCGTTAACGGTGGTTCTATCGAGGAGAAAATCTGGAGCAATAGGAGATCTTCGGTACCGGATGCTAATACCAGGGGAGAGTCTGGTGAGTTATTTTCCTCTTTATTAGTGGTTATGAAAATTAGTTTGTATTAATGTGGAAATTTACTTTCTTTTATTGTCTCTGTTAAATAGATTATAATTTCTAAAAAACGCGTACGTACTCAGGGATTTGGATCGGTGCGGTAATGATTTCTATGAATAAAATTGATAGCAAAGTAGTTGCCGCTAGATATTTATCATTCAATAGAGTTGACTGTCACCGCAAATCAATTTATTAATATAAAAAATATCAACGTGAAGCATTTCGTGGCATTCACCCATTCAATTTGTTCAGGCGCATCGGCCGGCGACGATGACAGCGAAGACGATGACGACGAGGATCTCGACTACGGCGATTCGCGCGCGACCACGTTACCGCGCGGTATGCAGCCGGCGAACATGATCGCGACCTCGACGACGAACTCGCTGCCGCGGCAGAGTGGCTCGTCGGTGCAGAGCATGCACAAAGCCCACAGCGTGTACCACTTCCTACCTCAGCACAGTGCCGTCAAGTCGGCGCGCTACCGCCCGCCAGGCTTCACGCGCAACAGTCCGTTGCAAAGTGGAGCGGCTGCTTCTGGGGTGGCCGGGCCGAAGAGGGCACTCAGCGCCCCTGGTCTGCAGCTGCAGTCGAGAACCAGGAGGCAACAGCACGTGAGCAACAGCGCCAACGCCAGCAGTACCAATGTCTCCGCCTCGGGCTCGGCAGGTGAGCTTCGATTCTCTTTCTTCAAGTTGACCTAGTTCCGCTCGAGTTTGCGTTCGTGCCTCGAACCACAGCTCCGCTGCTAGACAATTAATTCGGTCGATCGAGATCTTTCGGAGATCCAAATGCTCGAATAGTCGTAACTGAAGGTACGCCAGACGCGGCCACGCGTTTCGAGAATCTTGTCGTGAAATTGGCGTAGCTGTGGAAACTAAACGTCGCCGAACAAAGCGGATCGTGAAAAATCGCTTCCACTCGGGAATAATCGCGTGTCAATGAAGCCGTAAGAAAAACGGAGAGTCCCTTTCCCTTCTCGAAACACGCACGAAGAACCGACTTCTGACGCGCGGCACGAGGAATTTTCGCCGCGCCGTAGAAAGGAGGAAGTTCCCAAGCGCGCGCGCGAGTGTGAGAGACTTTCACGCAAGTATGTCCTTGATTAGACGCTAGGAGTTGCCGTGCGGCACACTTGATAGCTCATCCGATGAAATTTTCAAAGCTCTGAGATTCGATTTTCCTCCAAACCGTTCTCGCGCGGAATGGACGACGACGCTGTCGCGAGACGAGAATTGCGCAATAGTCGCTCATTGCGTGCGACTTTCCCAAGAGAGGCAAAGGCGTTGCGCTAATGGTTGCCGCCGACTACACCACGTCCTTATTGCTCTTTTTTGGCGATACGCAGCGCGACCAGGTACGTCTTAGGAGTCGGCTCTAGGTCGTTTTTTTCCTTATCATTCTTCGCAAAGAGAAAATTTGTCCTGTAATGCGCGCGAGGCATGTATGTTATTCGTGTCACGCCCGTGTGTATGTATGATGCGTGATTTCACTGCTTGAGAATGCATTTAGATGATATCGAACCGCGTGCTAGATATTTTTATGGAAAAACGAAAGGCAGCAATGCTCACGACGGATCAGGGATTATTAATTAATTAGTTGTAATTAAGGTAACGGTGGATGTGAGTTGTACCCACTGCGAGAAATCTTTGATTTGGCAACTCTATCGTTACGCAATATCCAGATTAAAACATGTAAAACAGCACAAGCACACTATAGGGAGAACAAAACGATTCCTCATTCCGTTCGACACACGCAACACAGTTGCGTCCATATTTACGCCACTTGGCTCGTTACAAATTAGCAAACAATCGCAATCACGCAATCGAACTTTGACAGACGAAGCGAGCAGTCTGTCGGAAGCATGCAGCACGCCGATCATCGGAGCAAGCTCTCGCGCGACGTCCAGCCGGAGCGCCAGCATCGACCTGGACGACATCGAACGTGGATTCAACTCCTCGCATCATCTCACCACGCGTGCCTCGCTGTCGAGCTTGGGCGTAAGTCACATCAATTCACTACACTTTTTTTATGCGCGCGATTATAATGATCCCATCATAATAATTATATAAAAGTTTTTTTGTTCCCTCCTTTTGTTTTTGGCTTGGACTACGACACGAGATCAAAACTCCTCGTGTCGTGCAAATTTTGTGATATCCCGTACGCTTTATGTCAGCTAGTTTTCGTTATTTGCAGCTGAAAAGTCAACGCGTGCATCGCTTTGACTTTCGACAGAAGCTGCTGCGAGTAAAGATTTTTTGTTCGTTACGTAACGGATTTGAAATTCCTGTCTACAGTTAAATGATTGAATTACACCTCGCGAAAAAGAAAACTGCTAATTACACGCGCACGCTGTGTGTAAGCTTGAAAAGTAGATCCGCGGCAGCATAAAATCTGCATAAATCGGATCGAATTTCGAGATACAACGGCATAATAACAGTGCATCACGGATTGCGAAGCGCGATTATAAGAGAAAATTGTTGTGGCGCAGGCGCGTTCGGATTCAATGGCGTCGGTGTACAGCGGCGCAGGCGAAGGCAGATGGTGCGGCTCAGTGGCCGTGCGCGGTGAGGTTGAATTCTCCTTGCAGTACGATTACAAGCAGCTTACCTTCGAGGTCCACGTGACGCAGTGCAGAGACCTGGCTCCTGTGGACGTCAAGCGCAACCGATCCGATCCGTGAGTTATACACTTTTCTTTGTTTTTTCGGCAATTGTCTAAGAATAGTAAAGTATATCAAAATCCAATTACAATGGAAAACAATCATTAGCGCGGTAATTGGATGGTGTTTACACGAATGAAGTGATTCGACGCACAGCAGCGATTTCCTTCGAATAACGACAAGAATTCGCAGGAGCTTTCATTCTAATTTACGATGTATCTGTATCGCGTTAATTGACTGCGCTCATGTAGTAAAAGTTTATATTCTAGTAGAGCGGAAACGTCTGCCGTTCGTTACGCATTCGGCAATTAACCATGCCGCGCGTGTGTGTTGCAGGTATGTTAAAGTATACTTGTTACCCGACAAATCCAAGAGCGGAAAACGAAAGACGAAAGTGAAGAAGCATACTCTGAACCCTGTTTTTGATGAGACTCTCAAGGTAAACAACAATTCATCAACAGCACATGAATATTGTTAATAAACGTCGAATCATTAGCAATTAAATATTGTTTATAGTTCCATATGAGTTTGAACAGTCTGGAAGCGAGGACGTTGTGGCTGACAGTCTGGCACTCGGACATGTTTGGTCGCAACGATTTCCTCGGCGAGGTTCGCATACCTTTAGAGAATAAAATCTTCGACGATCCTCGACCACAGTGGTATCCTCTCCAGGAACGCGTAAATATCCTTGAGACAATTCATTTGATCCAATCCATCGCCACAACCTGTAATAATATCATTTTCTAGACGGAGCCATTTGACGACCCAGTGACGTACAAAGGCGAAGTGATAGTAGGCTTGAAGTTTGTACCACCTGACCCAACGCGACAGGAGCGCGAGAGGGATGCTGGCACACTTGGCAAGACTAAAAAGAACTGGAGTAGAGGTGTGCTTCACGTCCTCGTCAAGGAGGCGAGGAATTTGCAGACGCGCGCTAAAAATTCTGGCACCTGTGATCCATTTTGCAAGAGGTTAGCCCATTTATAATAATTTCATTATTGCTGTTTTACTGTTAATGAAACATACCCGACGATCGATGTATCTAGAAGTATAGCAATGAATTGTTTTTTACTTGTTGCAGCTACCTTTTGCCAGATAAAGGCCGCTCGGGTAAACAAAAGACAGGTGTAGTGCGTCGTTCGACAGGCTCGCCCGTCTGGAATCACACATTTGTATATAAAGACGTCAGTATCCAAGAGCTGGCGGAACGTGGCCTCGAGCTCACCGTCTGGGATCACGATCGGATTGCCAGTAACGAGTTCCTTGGTGGCGTTCGTTTTAATCTTGGCACTGGTTCGTATCTCGTTCTATTTACTTTTCTTCGTATAGATTTGCGGAGAGAATGTTCGCAAATCCGGTACGGTTAATTTTTGCAGGTAAACATTACGGGAAAGCAGTGGACTGGATGGACGCAACTGGTCGCGAAATGTCCCTCTGGCAAAGCATGTTGGAACGTCCGAACTTTTGGGTGGAAGGAGCAGTGACATTAAGGCCAAATTTACATAATCACGTCAAAACCGGTACTACCTAGAAATGATTATTGCAACTTCATATAAATATGATTCTCATTCACATGGGAAAAATTATTCACTAGAAGTGCCTTTAAAAAAGAAATCATTATAGTAAACTCGACAATATAATGTGTAGTTTCATCCGTGGATAGCGTATATTTTTTAGACTTTGTAATGATCTTTTCCGTATAGCTCTCGTGCCTATTTTTACATAGAAAGAAAGAGAGAGAAATTAGAATATTTTTCAAAATTCATCAGACTCTGTGAATCATCGAATGCGGTAATCGTAGCTTTAAAATATGTAATGTGTAATTCTTGTTATTTATTGATTGCATAATGTCGTTGTGTGAACGTCGACCTTCAGTTTTGCCAAATGTTGACTCAACGTATTTTTTACATTCAAAAGTTGTGGCCAAAAGTACTTTTATGATTCTTTGTGGAGTCAGAAGGTGTTCTGATGCTTACCACGTTGTGTAAAAGATATATGTACAGATGTGTTCGTCTACTGTTGGTATGCTTATTATTTCACAGAGAATAATCGTCGTATTTGAGGAATTAAATACGCTAGGTGATCATAATTTGATAAAACATTTATAAATGTATTTAGAAGAATATGTTATATATGAATATACAAATTTATGTTTAAAAAACAACGTTATAAAAAAACGAAAGTTAAATTTTTAGTTAGCTGCGTTCGATCGAATTATTTAATAAAATAATGAAACGCAAGGCTGATACCTATGTACTTATACTCGATCATTAATATTAACAAAATAAAAAATATAAATTTTTATTAGATTTAAATGATATGTGAACAGGGTGACGCAATTAGCTTGGCTGCCTCGGGTGCAATAACAATCTCTTATGTACATTATAATTTCTTGTTGTTTCGCTCGCGCAATGAAGGCAATAAGTACTTTTTCTTGTATTTTTTCTCTCTCTCATAAGTGCAATTGTCATATGGCGTCTCATGCATTCCGACATTACTAAAAGTATAAGAAAAGTTTAAAGGATTATTTATACTATTACTTAAATATGAAACTGATGTAAATGACGAAAATAAATAATTTTTTTCTACCTTGAAAATGTACGACGACAATTTGATTTTTGGTTGTATGACCAATCGATCACTCGCCGTTTTTACACAGCTACAGGTCGTTATTGCTTATAAAGCGATTACCTTCAGAATTTTTGCCCGAGTACTGATATCTGCATTTTCCATAGGCACCTATGACAACGTTCGCAAATCGAATAGAACAGGGCAATTAGGAAAAGGTGGTTTTCTAAAAAAGCATACCTTTGTGATCCTGCGGAGACCTCACGGAAATCGGTAACGGCGTGTATTTCACATGGAAATTGATCTCATCAAAAACGTCCTGAGGTTTCGTCGGTACAACACTCTTGGCGCTTTTGCCGTCGAACCTCACAGTCTTGAAGAACTTGCCTCGATTGTTCGCCAACGTCCTCTCTCGATTCGTGACTGGCCTGGAGTCTAGAAACCTCAGAGTTACCGGCAGCACGTGAATTGCGTACACGCGATATCGCTCATAATCTTCCTCGTCGTTGGCGTTCGGATACGTCAATTGGTCGGGGCAACCCGGATTACCGAGGATGCTGACGTAGCTAATTTGCGGACAGCACTGCCGGATGCGCTCCAAAGCGGAGTCGACGTCTGATATCTTGGCCTAGACAATTAGCGAACGCTCTGCCACTTGCTTCCCCAGTGAGAAATCATCGACGCGTGGATGCCTACCTTGTTGTTGTTCAAGCTCAAAGTGCTCAGGCCGACCATTGTCGGCAGCGTGCTCAGGTCTTTCAGATCGTTATTGTCGAGCACCAATTCTCGCAACCGAGGAAAATCCTTGAGCGCGCTGAGCGACGACAGTTCGTTGAACGACAAGTCGAGACTCCAACAGTCGGCGCCTACGACGCCGACCAGGCGGCTTGATACTCGCTGAGCTCGTTGTCCGGTGTACCATGCCTGAATCGAACGAGAGAGAAGTACTGGATTACTTACTTATCGCTCTTTTGTCACACAAATGATAAGATAGACGTTTGCGTTTATAAATAAATTGTGGTTGCTTGCGAGCGTGTCATTTTAAATAGCTTTTTAAAGCGTAATTCAATTAACATCGTATTTCGTTAATTTCTTTTTCAGATCATCGCGTCTCTCTAAAAGAAAACTAAGCTTCAGTGCGATTAATTCTACTTTAACGTACGCGCGGCGCTCTGATAATTACCAAGAGAACGAGATTCAGGGCGCTTACGCGGTAAAAGCGCGCCTCCGATCCGAAAGCACGCGAGCGCAAAGCGCAAGGAAAGCGAAAACGAGGCTCATACCCGACCGCGACGGACAGTTAGTCCGCTACGGTTGAAGTCCTGCTCGCTCGACTCGGCCATCTTGCACTGTGACTCGCCGAGCAAGCTCGCTGCGGTCGGGCCGCAAGATAAAAGTGCACGCGCGAGCGCACGGCTTCTGTAACAACAACCAAGTAAAACGGATCGCGTTGGCTCGTTGGTCTAGGGGTATGATTCTCGCTTAGGGTGCGAGAGGTCCCGGGTTCAAATCCCGGACGAGCCCTGTCATTATTTTTTTTTTCTTTTTTGCTTTTCTTTTTTCTAAATGCGGATGGCTTTTTTCGTTGTTGAAACCGTAGTGACGATTTAGCTTTTAATTAATTAGACGCGGCCAATATTGCGAATGTGCGATCAAAGTAAAAATAGTGTAGATTCCTAACTTATCATCACTGAATTCAATACGGATGTATTTTTATCGGCAAATTAGTTGAACGAGAAGCATCGAGAGAATAAAATGTATAATTTTGCCGGTCAAAACGAAAATCAAGTTCGTATTTCCATCGAAAGCATGGTTGCGATTTAAACGCCTGTGCCGCTACAGTAGTCGCGGTTCCATATGGGTTCGGTTCTCCTGTATTGTCTCCGATGCTGATTCTCCAAAATTTGGTCCAAAAAGAGCAAATTAAAGGTTTCGTTGCTTTGTAGAGACCGTTCGTTGGCTGCAGTTCCCTGGGTGACATCTGACTGAGTGGCCTCGACTACTCACTCGCTCGTTCTCTGCGGGGGGGGGGGGGGGGGGCTTACCTGAGCGACTTTTCCCGCTTTCATGCTGCGCTCAGCATTTAAACGTATACAAACATTAACTGTGAAAAGGAATCTTGACCTCATAAGTTCAGCCCCACAAGTATAAATTTGATACATTTTTGTTTGCGGAGCACGCGACGATTATAGCGCCGATCGAACTGAATTTGCGTAACTTTATTGAATAGCGCGCTCTCCGTTACTCACCTTACAAAACTAATAACGTTAGTTTATATAGATTCAGCCTGCAACCGATATATATCTTTCACTATCGTACATGTGGATCATTTCCGTTCTCATATTGGACGTGAACACTTTTTCTAATTCAAGACGGAAAACCGATGGATTCCATTTGACACCTTGACAAAGAAAGTATTGTAAGTAGCGTAGCGACATACGCACGTATTAAAATGCGTCATGCGCCTTACCACGAAAAAGATAACTTTTTCTTCGGAGCACGTACGCAATGAGTCACCCCGCGGTCGTACCGTAGTATCGTCCAAATGAGGTTTCCTCTTTTTTTCTCTGAAATCTTGCGAAGCATTGTTGTATTCTTGAAGGAAAGAAAACCGCTCGCGCTTCAAAATTCAACGCAATTTATTCGAAAATGTTAAGAATAGTCGCTGAACGATGATTGCTTATAAACAGATGTATTTGTAGATGAGCCCTCAAGCTTTTTTCACAAGACGTCCAACTTTCTACGTTACTTCGATTTAATAATACAGGTCGAGAATAGAAAGCTAATATTAATTTGGTCGAGCCGCTATGAAGGAACCTTGCGAAGTGGCACTGCGCCGTTCGCTAGCGTCCTCTAACGGTATCTCGCGCTGATAGCACACACGTGCATTAGTATGCGTGTGTGAGCGCGAGAGTGGCAGCGTAAAGGTGAGAGAGCGCTTCAAGATGGCGTCTAGCGCCAGTGGCACTTGGTAGTAACAGCAACTGTCAGTGAAAACGCGTTTATTCTGGTCTCCCGTTGTGCGGTGTGTTTGTGGGAGGATACGCCGAAGCGACATCATCAATTCCCAATCATGATGACAACTCGGCAGCCTGGCTGACAGTTCTTTCTTTCTCATTCATCGACCTCCTCGACCGGCAGCTATCAAGGTAAGACCGAGGTATTCCTTCATTATTCCCTTTTATCTTTGTATACGATAAACTGACTTATGTGAGTCACACGCTCGCCTATAATATTACATTTCAGGTACAAGAAAAAAAAACTAAGCGAGCAGAGATAAAAAGATAGAGTGAGAGAGAGCTAAGCGATACAAAAGTTCTGCGTGAGATATGGAGGCAGTAGTTGAGTACAACTACGAGGCTCAGGAACCTGACGAGCTCAGTATCCGTAAAGGTGATATTATTAAGGATATCAAAACATCCAATGGTGGTTGGTGGGAAGGTACACTGAGAGACAAGAGAGGCATGTTTCCTGACAACTTCGTCAAGGTAAATGATTCATCGCACTCTTGTGTGTTCGCAATTGTCTTCGTATACATTCCACGATTGACGTACATATATTGTTCTTGTTCGACAAACAAGGTTTTAGATCCATCGGGATCAACAAGAAACAAGAACGACGAAGTGACTTTGAGAAACAATGCCGGAAGGAAAATCTGTCGAGTGTTGTTCAGTTACGAACCGTGCAACGACGATGAGCTCAAGCTCGTGGTAGATGACAACATCGAGTATCTTGGTGAAGTGGAAGAAGGCTGGTGGCGAGGGAGAATCAAAGGTAGAACTGGTGTATTTCCTTCAAATTTTGTTGCTCCACCGGTGCCCGAAGAAGCCGAAAGGCAGCACAAGGAAAAAAAGGAATTTTGTAAGGTGTTGTTTCCTTATGAGGCGGCCAATGATGACGAACTAACAATTGTCGAGGGCGATATCATTACACTGCTCTCCAAGGATGCTCCAGATAAAGGATGGTGGAAGGGTGAACTGAAAGGCCAGATAGGTTTGTTTCCTGACAATTTTGTGGAGCTGATAACTCTGAGAAACAATGACCATCAAGATGGTCAGGTAAATAATCATGCAACCAAATCATCACTTACCAAGAATCAAGTTGTCAAGAAAAAAGAGACTGCCGTTATTCGCAAGAGTCTGGATATCAGAAACAACACGCGAATTGACAACACGGTCAAGAAAATTACCATGTCATCCTCGGCTACATCTTTGTCTGCTAATACAGGAGATAAGAAACCAACCAATGCCCTGATTTCTAGTTTCAAACGTTTTATGAGTGACAGTGGCAATAGTGCTATTAATAATAATGGTAATGGTAATGCTGGTACAGCACTGGGAGAAGAGCTTGATGAAGTTGAAAGAGGCGAAGGAGCTCCTCTTTCGCATCTCACTGCATCAAGGGCCAAAGCTCCAAGGAGACGATTGCCTTCCACACATGCACTCAAGCAACAAAACTCTACTGGCGGTTCAAGCCCAACTAATAATAATATGGTTACATTAAAGGTATGGGAAATTGAAAGAAATAATTTTATTGATATAATTTGTAGCAAGAAATTAATTTTCTTTGTATGTTGTAGGAAGATAATATGACTAATGGAAGTTCGGAACTTTTGGAAGCTCCTGCTAAAGATGATGAAAATGATGGGAATTTAATGTCCAAATCAAAACAGAAACCTCCATGGGTTAATATATATTTTTGACTGACATGTGTTTACTTATTAACATTTTCAATTCAGATGTTTACAAATAGTTTATCAATGGAAATATTGCTTTAATTTCAGATGGAGGAACTCAAGTTGAACCAAATGGAACGGCACAGAAAAGGTACAGACCGATCTGAAAAAGTAGAGAAAAAAGAAAAAGTACTACCATGGTAAATTTGGTCACTGTACTTTACGTATTTTATTATAAATTATTTCTATAAATATCATAATATTTTATTTATTAGGATGTCTTCATCTATGCACAATACAGAAGTTCCACCAAAATCAAGCACAGACTTAGAGGAAACCAAGGTAAAAGACAAAGTGAAAGAAAAGGAAAAGGAAAAATCCGATCGAACAGAGCCTTCGCCACAATCGGATCATTCTGCCTCATCACCTTCATCAGTAAACTTACCTGCCTATGTTCCATATTACCTATATAGTCAACTATTAGATAGGGTATGAATCTATAGGATATGATTATTCTTATTACACTTTTTAATATCTAATGAAAGTGTGTTATGTGTTATTTTTAGATCGCTATATTGGAAGAGAAGCAGACCGTATTACAGAGAAAAGTTGATCAACTTACGGATCAACTTGCAAATGCGGCAAGTGATAAAGATTAATTTCTACAAAACTTAAAGAGACTTGTTTTTTGCATTTCTTAGAACTTATGATAATGTTTCGACTGAAACGCGTTTTTTTTTTTATTTTGTTCCGTTCGCGAAAACCACAACGACATTACACATTCCACTGGAAACATTCGTAGGCCTATTGCCATGTGTATGGTTGATGTTTTGTCTTTTTAGTTTTAAAGCGAGTTTGCTCAAACTAGTGTCTTATGTACTTAAAAAAAACTAAAGAACCGTGGCTGAGTAGAATAATGCCTGGCAAAAAAATTTTTTTAATCTATATAGGAATAATGGAGCTTAAAAGTAACGATTCGATTGTGCCAATTATTTTATCATCATTAACTGTCTGAGCATTTATTACAGTAAACTTAATCAGTGATTAGATTAGACAATTACGATTTCAGTTGTATATTACAGATTTTTTTCCTTGTTTTAAACGAAACGTACCAAGAGTTTTTAAAGAGATATTTTTCAAGGAATGATTTTTATTTATTAAATTTACATGTTATAAAATTAACTCGTGGAATAGATAAAATAATGATTTTTTTTGCTTACAAAAATGCTTTGTACTTTAATAGGCGATTGTATACTTATAACAAATTATTTAAAAAAATGCGTTAGCATGTATTGCGAGCTTTATCGTAGTGTAAAATCAACCGTACTACATTGATGAAGAATAGAGGCAAAAAATGAAAAGATAGATACAAGTTGGATTTCGAGACTCATGATTTTTGACTTCAGATAGTACTTTATAAATCTTGATCCTCTCGAGATAATCAAAAGAAATGACACTGCAGCATAGTACCAGGGGATTGTTTTTTCCGACCAAATCTCGTTGTCAGCGTAGCTTGATAACGATGATTTTTGTATTTTTATATGTGTGAAACTAATTAGCCGCGAGTGCACTGAAACAGTCGAAAAGACCGCTGTATACAACAAAAACCGAATGCATTTATTCGTTTGTTGTTGGGGAAAAAAGGAGATTAAAAGAATAAAACAGCCGCAAAATTCTGGAAATTTTTTCACAATTTTTATTTTCGTGAGATGATATATAAATATATAATATATATATTTTGGAAAAATTTCCACGCAGCGTCCAGGCTTTTTCGTTGATGCTTCCGATAGTCGCTGTAAGATATTTGCATAATCACCGACAGTATTGTAAATCGAGGAGAGAGATAGAGCGCGCGCGCGAGAGAGAGAGAGAGAGAGCGAGAGAGAGCGAGAGAGAGCATCACGTTCTATATTGATATAATGAAAATAACATAAGTGTCCTATTTGTAAAACTGAACGAGAAAAATAATGTATAAGAGGAGAAGAAAAAGATAATTGCATGTAAATAATTTTCCGGCGCAAGATTAGAGCAAAGAAATAGGAGAGAGAATGAGAGAGATGATTATATATTTTCTCTTGCTTTTTCGTGATGATGTCACGTCCTAGAGATGTGACACAAACATGTAATTCGTATTTGTAAATATTAATAATTCATTGGAATAAACAATATACATTTTCTTTATGTGTATCTTAATATTAATGAAAAAAATCACAGTCCATTGTATTCGTTCGAGAGACACTAAATATAAATTAACGAAAGTTTTAAACTATGCGCTACCTGACTTGAAATTTTGTCGCGTTAATACTATGCGTTCTACAGTTACTTTGGTAAGATCAACTTAAAGTTCTATTGAGATACATTGTATCGGTCAATCTGGGAATCTCGCAAATGTACGGTAACTCGATTGCACAAGAAACAACTTTCCATACAGGATCAGCTTTTGGATGCAATCGAAACAGAGCCACGCAACCGCGCGAGTGCGACGGTTCCCCCATACCCCAAGCTCGGTAATCTTGGCACGCCAGTGCTTCACCTGTTAACCAAGTAAATTACGCAGTTCAATCTCGCTAAATTTCTCCTGATTATCATACTCACCGAATTCATTTTTCCAGATGCGTCGTTGGCCTTCATTGCTCAATCCGACGTAAACTGTGAATTGACCGATGAGGTTACCGAGTCCTGTGGTTCTCTCGTCGCCGACGACGTCAGCCAGGAAGCTTTTGTTCTTCTGGCACTCGTTGCGCGCGTTGCTGAAATTTTGCTTCTGAAAGTTGATCGCAAAGAGGCCGACACTGCGAACGCATGTCAAGGTGTGGTTGCCTACGCGCACGAAATCAATTTTGATCGTTGCCTGTGAAGCATCAAGTATTTACGAGGTGACATTACCGCTGTAAGCGCGACGCGAGTAAGCGCTGTAGTAATCGATTCCCGTGACGTTGAGTAGCTGACGGAACCCGCTTGTCTCTGGACAGTGTAGGAGAACGCAATTGGTTATTTCGTCGCTGTTGTTCGACGGTAGTCTCGCTGTCGAAACAATGACGATCTCGATAACACTTTGAGGATAGGCAAACGACTTGCGCGAGACCTACCGAAATTAAAAGCCAGCGCATATTTGCTCTCAGCCAAATCTCTGCACTCGTCGACGTTGGTCAACCGTCTTCTCAAAATAACCGATTCCATGGATTGCGCATCTTTCTTCACTCTGCTGTAAATAATCGCTCTTCTTGGATTTATGTCTCTGCAGCATTCGCACGTGAACAGCGCGAATAACAATGCGACTAGCTTCATGATTGTGCAGTGACGGACTGACGGGCAAATAACGACACTCGTTTGTTTTGTCTTGCGCGCTTTTATTGTCAGCGTAGTTTTTTCAACTTACACAATAGATTTTTGTACTACGACCAGGCCGAACTTAAGAAACATACGTATGTACACAGGTTTCCCAAACGTTTGAACGATGTAGACCTTTGCGTTTTTCTAAATAAGCGTAATCAGTGTGGCGCCGTTTCTTTAGTGCCGGAAATACGATGATTGACGACCGAGAGATTTATGAAGCGAGCAACTTGTCAATGGCCTGCGACACCTGCGAGAAGACGTCGTCCACGCTGCCCTCCGCGTTAATCTGCAATGGGGAAAACCAGCGTGACAGATTAATCGTCGACAAGCCGACGCGCGACAGTTTTTCAAAGTGGGTCAGTAGGTAAATGGAAGTATGTGGGTCGAACCGCGTCGCTTGAAGCGGCGAACAGCTTCCCGTCTGGAGAAGCACTCACCTTGAGACACTTGTCCTTGTAGTGCTCGACGATCTTGCCATTCTTCTCGTTGAAGATCTCAATTCTCTTCTTGATGGTCTCCTCGTTGTCGTCGTCCCGCTTGACCGCGGCGGCGGCGGCACGGCCTAGCAGCCGGCCGACGAGCGTCTCGTTGCGCACGTCGAAGAAGATGATCAGGTCGACGGCGCTCACGTCTTTCTCGAACTGCAGGCCCTGCTCGAGCTCGCGCGGGTATCCGTCGACCAGCACGGCCCTCAGCGACGGCTGCTCCGAGCGGGCCTTGGCGATGCGCTCCTTGATCAGGGTCAGCACGACGTCCTGCGACAGAGTCGAGTGCTTGCGTGCTTGCGTGCTTGCGCAATCGCGTTCGCGCAAGACGACGTCCCCTTCCGCGCGGGCTTACGTAACGGCACTCGAAAGGCGCAGTCGGGCGCCCCGAGGAAAGCGCGGCCGGCCCGGCCCTGGTCCCTCTCTTACCGTCGGCACGAAGAGTCCCTTGGACATAAGCTCCTGCAGCTCCGCGCCTCTGGGACTGCCGCTGGCGACCTCCTCCCGGAGCAGGTCGCCGCTGCTTAGGTGCGCGAAGCCGTACTTGGCGATGATCCTCTCGCACTGGGTGCCCTTGCCGCAGCCCGGGCCGCCGATTATCCAGATGGTCTTCATTCTCGTCGCGCTACCCCTGGGGGCACACTCGCACATCGAGGCGTGAGAGGTTAGCCGTGACGAGATTGGCAACGCTCGGCCAGCCGCGTGATCTTCGAGTGTTTTCGAAATTTGCGCGCGTGGCCGTCTGACGACGCCACCTTGAACTAGATTGCCGCGGCCGTCGCGGGCCGCCGCGTCGCATCGATCGGACCGCTCGCGATCGCCGCGAGCCGCGACCGAGTCGCCGACGTCGCCGACGTCGCCAGCGGACGGCGAGTGCTCGGCGGTCCGCGGATACTTACGGCAGTGAGCGCGCAGCCGTGGGAATCGCAAGGGACGGGGCGGCGGAGGTGTGCGGTCGGCTCGGCGCTCCTCGGCGGACTGGCGCGCCTCCAAGCAGCCGAAGGCGCCGCGCCGCGCCGCGCGCACCATCGATCCCCGGCGCGCGCGTCGCTGGCTGGCCGCGAGCCTTCAGCCGAGACGGCCGGCGGCCTGGCGCTCGAACAGGCAGAACACCTGCATCCAGTTGTGCAGGTTGAGCATCGACAGCAGCACCTCGTCGCGGCTAACGTGCAGGCCCTCGAGGAACAGCCGCACGAGGAAGACCAGCAGCTCGACGGCTATCACGCACAGCTGCATGAGTAGCCAGGGCGCGTGCAGCATCGGGTAGTCCTGCGACAGAGACGGCCCGCTGCGGAGATGCCGGCGCGGCTGGCTACGAGCCGGCGAGACTCACGGTCAGCGCGCCGAGCATTATCAGCGTGTAGTGTTCGATGCTCAGGATCGAGGTCATCAGCTTCAGATCGCGCTCGACTTCCTCGGGCACTGCAACCGAATCCGCGGCTCGGTTAAAAATACCGCGGCGGCGCGGCGGCGCGGCGGCCGGCAACGGACCGGCGGCTCTGACTCGCGAAGGCCTCGTCGGATCCGCCGGGTAGTCTGGCTCGGGCTTGCGGTTCACGATGCGCATCACGTTGAACGCCGTCACCGCCTGCAAGTTTCAGCCGCGTGACAGCGCGCCGCGGATCGGAGATCGACCGTGGGGCTCACCGTTCCGATGAGGCCTATCACCGTCACGTACAGCGAGCTGCCCATCACGCTCGAGCTGCACACTCCGCACGCCAGCTTTCCCAAGCGCTGCGCGCCGATCAATTTGTTCGTTTCAATTTTTTTCGCGATGACTTTTAGGCTAGTCGTTCGGGCGAGAGGGCGGCCGGCCGGCCGACCTCGACTTACTTGGTAGCTGTTGCCACTCGACCTTCTGCGAAATCGCGCCATTTTTTCGCTTACAAATTCGTTTGCTGCTGCTTCGCTATAGATTATGTTTTTTGTTTTTTGCTTTTGATTTTGCGACGGGATACTGGCAGAATTTGTGCGCGCGGGTCGTGGCTTGCGAAAGCGTTGTTGCCTCTGAAATTGTCGACGAGTGCGCGCGTCGACAAACCTAAACACACGGAGCGTCGACGACGGGGCATTTTGGCGCAGAGATTGCAACGACAGGATTTGCTTGCGAGAATCGCTCGATGTATTGCACAATCATCGGTGGTGAGTACAAAAAGTTGCTTTCGCGTTGCGCATCAGTCGCCGTCGGCGGAACAGGAATCGACGATGGGGCACTGCGCCCGGTCGGCGGCTTCCGTTGCCCTCGCCGCGGCGATCCTGACGCCGGCGCAACGGGACGAGCTGCAACAGCGAGCGCACGCTCGTGATTCAGTTCACCCTCCGCGACTGTCGCGGCGCAGCTGTACCTCGGGCAGAAGTTGGCGAGCGCGCGACCGACGAGCGTTCGCCGATCCGCGAAATCCCGGGCCATCTCTGCGATGACCGAGCCGATGAACGACTGGCACGGCACGCTCGCCGCCTGAAGGTCCTCGTCCAGCTGGATCGTCGCCGTCGCCTCCGCCTGGCTGGAAAGAAGGATTTGGCCAATGAAGCTGCGTCGAGGGCGAATCGACGAGCGGCCTCTAATAATCCGGAGCGCGGACCGTTGGCGCGGAGACCGGCGCAATCGCCAGCGAAAACGTCACTCGGACGGTACGCTCATATTTACTCGTCGAGGAAGTGCAGCGCGCTCTCGAGCTGAACGACATCTCGCGGCTCCAGCGATATTCCCGAGGAATCCCAGATAACTTGAAACTTGGCTGCCAGCTCGATCTGCTCGCTCGTCGAGTTCCCGCTCAACCTTCTCGACAGCACCGACCTGTGGGGCTCGTCAATTATCGGTCATTTGTCCGTTGACCATCGGCGTCGCCATCACCGAGATTACCTCTCGAACAGCTTGGCCACGTCGAGCTCGACGCTTCGAACGTTCGCCATTTCCAGCAGTCTCGACCTTACGTCCGCCTTGTTGGCCGTCGACGTGATTTCCTTGCCGAGGGGCTCCTCGGCGACAGCCCCGCTGCTCCCCTTCACATTGACCATCGCGATCTGAAAGGCAAAACGCTGCGCTGATCGGCGACTCGGCCAGCGGAAGAAAGAACTTGGCAGTCGTACGTCAAGCTGCGAGTGTTTCCTGGCGGCGATCTCGATGCAGCACAGCTCGTCCATGGTCCAGCGCCGCTGCTCGTGCTTGACGAAGTACACGCTGATGGGCGCCGACTGCTCGTCGCACCTGCGTCAACGGCGAGCACGTCAGAAATCCGCAGAGCAGTGCCAGCGAGGGTGCGTACCAACCGACGCGAGTCGTGTGCGCGAGTGGCAGGTGCGAGCGCGAGCGCGCCGATGCCGATGGCGACGACGACGACGACGACGGTGAAGAGGCAGACGGCCAGCAGTGCAGCGAGCGCCTCGGCGTGCGTCGTCACCATCGCATAGGCGGCGCCCGCAGCCCGCGCCCGGCCCCTCGACGTCTCGCAGAATCGCCGTTCGTCCTCCTGCGGCGGCATCTTCGCGTCGACTCGTGCGCTTCTCCCGTGCCGCCGCTGAATTTACGCTGCATTTCGCAAGAAGTGACTGCGCGCATACACACAGACATACACTCGTGTACTCAGCTGACTCGCACGAATGGAAACGAGGAATGCTTTGTTTTTGAAAAATCGATTTTTATTGCAACAACGAATGCATATAATAATAACAATAATAATAATAATAATGATGATGATAATAATAATCACGAAGGAGGTCTGCGGAGGACGAGCGTGCGAAACGGCCGATCTACAGCCGTTGCGCAATTCGTCGTCCCCCCTCAGCGGCTTTCTTTCGGAAAAAGCAGCGTACTCATCTAAAATCCGCTCTCGCAGCTCGCAATCGACGCGACTACGCGTATGCGTATCTACGTGTACGTGTATACGTGTGCGAGCGTGTGTGCGCGTGTGCGTGGGTTCGTGCGTGCGCGTGCTCTAAGCGTGCTCGCGGGCACGGGCCGCACGGCAGGCGTCCGCGAAGTTGGCGGCCTCCTCGGCGCTCGGCGGGCGCAGCGGCAGGCGGGCTCCTGCATCGGCGGGCAGGCTGCGAGGCCAGTCGCATCGTGGCGCTTCAGTGCACTCGCTCCGGCGAGCACGCGGACGAGCAGGCGGCCGCGAGCGGCACTCGGACGTCGGGGCTGCGGTCTGCGGGCGGGATGTCGACGCGGAGGTCGGCTCGGTCGCAGCCGCCGCCGCCGTTGAGCCCCGGCTGCGCGGCCGGTCCGTCGGGTCCGTCCGCCAGGCTGCCGCTCGTCGGCAGCTGGCGCAAGTGGGCCGCATCTGCGGAGACAAAGGGGCCACGGACGAAACGGTAAGCCAAGCGGGCGTCGAGCAAGCGGGCGCGGCGACTCACCGGGCGTCTGCTGCCTGAGCTCGTCCTGCAGTCGGTGGAAGTCGGCCAGCTCCCGGCCGGAGCAGAGCGGCGTGTCGACCTGCACGGTGCTGTCGAAGAGCGAGTAGTCGACCTCGTAGCCCTGGCGCTCCTTCGAGTAGCCGACGATGGGCTCGAAGCGGTGGCCCCAGAGCACCTCCTGCGGTAGGTAGGAGCTGCGCGCCTGGGTGCTCTGGCCCGTGGACTCGATGGTGCCCTCGAGGATGACCACGATCTCGAAGCGGTCCTGCAGCAGGTCCTCGGCCGACATGTGGTAGAAGGGCGAGTCGGGCCCGATGCGGTGCACCACGGTGCACGGCCAGATGAAGAACAGACCGTCGGTCTGGCCGTCCGCGCCGACGGCCAGCTCGCGCTGGTTGTGCGGCAGCAGCTCGCCCTCCTTGCTGGTGCGCGAGCGGATCAGCTGGGCGCGCACGCTCGCGCCGATGATGTGGCTCTTGCGCATGTCGCCCACGCGGAACATGAGGCAGAGCTCGCCGTCGCGCTGGCAGACGACGGCGTTGCGCGAGAACAGCAGCGTCTGCGTGCGCTGCTTCGGCCGCGACATCTTGGCGAAGACGATGCCCACCATGAAGGCCTGGATCATCATGCCGGAGATGCTCTGCACGCACATCACGAAGATGGCCTCGGGGCACTCCTCGGTGGTGGCGCGCCCGCCGTAGCCGATCGTGTGCTGCGTCTCGATGCTGAAGAGGAAGCAGCTGGTGAACGAGGTGAGCGCCACCACGCACGGGTGCCAGTCGCGGTCGGCCAGGTGCCGCGGCTCGAAGTCGCCGTGCGTGAAGGCGATCAGCCACCAGATGGCCGCGAACACCAGCCACGAGAGCACGAAGCTCAGCGCGAAGCAGAGCAGCGTCCAGCGCCACTGCGTGTCCACCAGCGTGGTGAAGATGTCCTGCAGGAAGCGCAGCGAGCGCCGCGAGATCCGCGACTGCAGCACGTTGCACTCGCCGCTCTTCAGCACCGCGCGCCGCCGCAGCTTGCGCTGCGGCCCCGCGCGGAATCGGCTCCTGTGCGCACAAACAGGCCCGCCCCGTCAGTCGGCCCCGCGGCTGCGCTCGCCCGAGCGCCCGGGCGCCCGGGGAGTCGCGCGGGCGCGCGAGGACGCGACGGGGGCCAAGGCGGCGAGAGCGACCGAGGGCTACCTGTTCTTGGCGACGCTCCTGACGACGACCACGGGCGGCCTGGCCGGGGCCGCCCAGGGCAGGAGCTTCTGCTCGTCGTTGGCCGCGTCGGGCCTGATGCCGCTGCCACTCAGCTCGCCGTTCATCGTGCGAGGCGCGACGCCACGACGTGTATCACTCGCGAACGCGCGCGCAACACTCTCTCTCTCTCTCTCTCGCTCTCTCGTCGGCGTCTTATCAGCGCAGCCTTGTAACCTTGAGCCGCCTCTCGTCTTCGCTGCGAGCGCGCGCATGTATCTCGCGAGTGACGGGTGCCGCGACGCGATGCACGCGCGGACACTTAGACGCCGCTCGCTAAACGATCAAGAGCGTTTGCACTTGCCATTCGCGCGCTCGGCCTGGCATCCCTCAGGGAACGAGCGAGCGAGCGAGCGAGCGAGCGAGCCAGCGAGACCGGACGGAAGCATTCGATTAGCGCGCGGACACTACGCTCCCGCTCGCTGTCATTCTCACGCGCGCGCGCGCCGTCATCGTCGGGGAGGATGCACGTGCCAGTCAACAGTGCTACCTGTGCGAGTGCGTATTTTTGTTTATGAGACCAACCAGCTGTCCCTCCTGCGACGGCGTCGACGAGTGCTGCGCATCGCCGCTCCGCTCACCGACACACTGAGATCGAACGCTCCGCTGCCGTTTTTTCGAGAGCCAGCGAGAGAGAGAGAGAGAGAGAGCAACTCGGTGGGGAGGGGTATCGAGACTGATAAGCTTCAATCTCAGTGGACCGCGCGGCCGCGTGCGTGCACGCGCATGCACGGATCGAGGCGATCGGCCGAGCGCCCTGCTGCGCCTCGACGGGCTGGTCGGCCGGTATCGGCGCGGGGGCGTACCTGGCCGAGTCCTGCCGATTCACGCCGCCGGCGAGGCTGCTGCTGTGGGTGCTGACGCGCAACAGCGTCACGCTCCTGGGCATGGCGCCGTTCGAGCGCCCGGACAGCAACGGTGACTCGGCGCGCGAGCCGCCGCCGCCGCGGCACTGCTGCTCCGACGACGACGGCTCCTCCTCCTCTTCCTCCTCCTCGATCCTGCCCGGCAGACGGAACAGCTTGTGCAGTTGCGGCTGCTGCTGCTGCTGCTGGCTCGCCGAGTCCTCGGTCGACATCGCGCTGCTAGACCTACTGGCGCACATCCGTGGCTGTGGGTCGTTGCTCAGGCGGCTCTGCGGACGTCCCAGCTCGGTTTAATGTCCGCGATTCGTCTCTCGTCGCTCGGCGAACTCTCGGCCTTCTCCGCGGACGGCGTCTCAGCGACGAGTCGCTCCGCTAATTTACGGCCGATTTAGATAATTAGATCGGGGTTCTTCATTTTTATCAGACGCGCTCTATTTGGATGCTGACGTTTATCAGAATTGTCTCGAGCGGTCTAGTGACTAATGCAGTATTTTTAACGGGGCGCTAACGAGCCGAGTGATATCTGGTCTTTTTCCCCGCGATCGTGACACTTCTGTAAGCTGGATTTCGCCAACTGGCATCGCCGACGTTCGGCTCGATTGCGGACAAGCTGTCCGATCGCTGCTTTGCATAATTGGCACTCAAGACTTCAACACTTATCGCGTTGAAGATTTGGATTACCGCACGATATAAGTTTCACGACCACTCGTCACGCTCGTATTCTTGCGTTTCGCGCGACGGACACCGAGCGACAACTGGAGCACACGGTCATTTTATCATCGAGCCTTTCTCGGAACCGTTCGCGCCTCGCCAGTAACATCATCGGCGCGTCGAGATTCAGAACGTTACCTGACCGTCGATTGGAAGTCGTTACCTGACTGCGGCTGCCGGAGATGCGTCGTCAGCGGCCGCGCGCATTTCAGAATCGGCAGTCGTGCGGATGCAAGTCTCGCGAGACGCGAGCCAATGTCATCGCGCGACGCCGTCCGGAAAGAAGCAGAAGGAAAGCACGGACGAGCGCGGAGCGGCGTCGAGCAGGTGGAGCGCGACGCAAGCGAGGCGAGGCACAGGAGCGGACTGGCCGTGGAGCGCGTGGCGACCGCGACTGCGGGAAAATCGCAGCCGCCGCGGCGACGAATTTGATATATTCCTCCCTCCCCCGGCTCCCGCGACTCACCCGACTCCCCCGACTCCCCCGGGTCCCCCGGCGGCGCGGCGCGATCTCGGCCCGTCCCCGTCCCGTTACGAGCGAGCCGCTTTGGCGTGTATCAAGGCCGCTTTCCATCGGGCCGCCCCGCCGCGCGACCTACCGTTCGGGGCACCTGCGTCGTCGCGCGCTCGGCTACACTTCAGGGCTTCCCACTCCGCTCCGCGCGCGGACGCCGCTGGCTCTACGGGCGCGCCGGAAATCCCGCTTCCTCGGCTCGCCGGATTAGCCGTCTCGACGCAGAAACAATTGACTGCGGCGGCGGCGGCGGCGAGGTGTGTCTAATCGACGCCAATTGCCCCCAACCTTCTCTCTCGCGGGCGTATCCTTGGCCTTGGGGGTCGTCGCCGGGCGGGGAACGGCGCAGCGGCACGGGCGGGTGAACGTACCTGCGCTGCGATCGGCACACTTGGTCGACCCGGTTGCGCTCGCGCGGCTCTCGTTGCGCAATCGTCGCCGCCGTTCGGCCTCTCGCACGTGCGCGCGCGCGCGCGGATCATTCGCGATCGCTCGACGCCCGACGACGCGACCTCCGATCGGCTCCGCCCGCGATCCCTCGCGCGCGGCGACGTGGCACAAACGAAAAGAGCGCGAACGAGGCGCAACGACGCCTCAATGCTGCGCGCGTTACAGCGCTACGGCGCGTAAAGCGCGAGAGAGGCGCAAGGCCGCGCGTACGTGTCGCAATTGGGTAAGGCGATACTCGACTCGCGGCTGAAAATCCCGTCGCCTGCCTCTCGCGTGTCTCTCAGCCGCCGCGGCACATCCCCGGAGAACCTTCGGACGGGCTTTCCGTTCTGAATTGTCTCTCTGTTTGCCAGCGCGTTTCCGCCGATCGCGCGCTCCGCCGAGGTCGCGCGAGCGTATCATTTCCAATTGTCGCGTGCGCGCGCAGGGCGAACCGCGCGACACAGGTGCAATTTGGCCGAGTTGGCGTGCCCTTTCCTGGCCTGCAATTGCGCGCCGTTTCGTGCTGGACGCTTCTGGAATGACGCGACAACCGAAATACCTCCGTAATTGCCGTCGATCTCGAACGAAAGAGAAAAAAAAAAAAAGAGTCGTTTTTTCTCGTCGCACGTACAACGCAAGTCCGGAGCGCGCCGCTCGCCGCGCGGCTGATTAAAAGGCCGTCGCGTCGCCGTGCGACGCGCAGGCGGGAAGTGCCCTCGTTATCACGCGCCGTCTCAATTGTTTAATCTCGGTCCCGTTCTCCGCGATACGGATCTCTCGTTGACGGCGCGGCATCAAATGCCGCGCGCGACCGACAGCCGCCGCTCGACACCTCGTTCCCGCCTCTCTTTCTCGCGCGCAATTCGAGGGCAATTAGCGCGCCCGGCTGCTTTGTGCTCGTTCAAATGGCCAATTGTTTAGGTGCTTTAAGACGTACTTAACGGCTCGCTTTTACGCTTTGCGTTTATCGCGTTAGCGCTGCCATTGAGCGCTTTCATCTTCGATCCGGTTAGGCGTGCTGTGCGAAGCGCCGACAAGCCAATTTGCCCTTTGGTCAATTTCAAGCTCGACGTCGCACGCCTAATGCCAAACTCTATTTACTTGCGCTCTCACCGAGCGCTTCATGTTTTTCCTAATTATGTTGCATCGAACGTTTCCAAGTGCTCCCACGTTTCATTGCATTTATTCGTTTATCGTCAAATCTATTATTTTATTCCCGACTGTTCTGCCAAAGTGCTGCACAATCTCCGCTCGCTTCATCGCAACGGAAAGTAAAAGCTTGACAAAGGAGCGAACAATTGCTATTTGTTGTAAATTAAAAAATGTATTTTTTTCTATCACATATGGTTTGTACAAACATGACATTAGAACAACAATAACAACAACAACAACAACAACAACAACAACAACAACAACAATTTCTCCAACGAGCGGAAAAAAACTATTCACCTTTTATCGCGCATAGCGCACACTTCACTCGTGTCTCGTCACGCACCTATCACTATCGTCTACACTGCGAACTGCATTGCACTACGGGCTGCGAGCAGTTTAGTTTACCCAGCATGGCGCATCGAGTCCAAGTGGCCGTTCAGTTTTCATTGTGATCCAGTTAAAACTCACCTAAACGACGTCCTTGGGCCGAACGGCAGCGGCCTCGCCGGCATCGGTTGGAGGCCGATGCGCGGCGCGCTCTTCCCGAGGCTGCTCTGGAGCCACCAGGTGGAAGCTGGTCTTCTTCGACGCATCGTTCTTGCCACTGCGCCTGCTATCCGTGAGACTCGAACGCCGCACCAGCGGCCTGCGCGCGGCACGGACAATCGTTCATTCCCAAGCGTCAATTTTCGCGCGCAAATTTTTTCGGGTATTTACCTCATTTCCAGCCCGGTATGCGACGGCGCTTTCCTCATGGCACCCTTCCCAGCCATCTCGTCGATGTTGGTTCTCGAGTCGTTCCTCAGCGAGTACAGCGTCGAGTGCGAGCCTTCGCGCGACGTTTTCTTGCTGCTGCTGCTCGACTTGCCGTGGAGACTCGACCTGCGGTTGCTTCGAATGCTCGCGTTCACTTCTTCCAACACCTTGTCGTACTCGGCGTCATTGCCGTTCGAAGCGTTGCGGTCGACTCGATTCAGCAGCGCGCGCGAGGCTTCGTCTTCGTTCTCTTCCTCCTCCTCGACGTCCGCCAGCTCGAGGTCGTCGGCTACCGGCCCTTGCGGACTCGTGTCGATCGTCTACGACCAAACGTCATTTCGGTACATCGTTTTGCAGTCGCCGAGGTGGAATAGTCCGCAGCTCACCTCGTCCAAAGTGTAAAAAGTGGCCAATTTTCGGCGCTCCTCGCCAGCGGTTTGACTGACGCTGCTGCCTCTGCGAGAAGGCGAATCCTCGGGCGCGGTGATGGTCACCGGTATGGGTATCGGCGGCGTGGCAACGTGTGAGTGCATGTGCAAGCCACCGGCCGAGGAGGCGAAGCTCGACGCCGAGCCCGACGTCAGCGAGCTGCTCGAGTCTATTCGGTACTGTTGGAAAGTCGCCGAACTCGTTCTCTCTGCCAATAAATAAATGAATGAACGAACGAACGAACGAATGAATGAATAATAAAAGAAAAAATCTAGGAATCGGAGCTAGCTAAGGGAGTTTGTTCCGGTGAGCGCCTCACCTCCTTTGGCGCGATGCATGGCACGCACGTGATCCAACTCTGCGGCCGAGCAGAGGGGCGTGTCAACCTCGTAAGTGTTGTTGAAGAGGGTGTAATCGACCTCGTACTCTCCGGTCTCCTTTCTGAAGGTGATGATGTGCTCGAATCTGTGTCCCCAGAGTATTTCGGACGGCAGATACGAGCTTCTAGCCTGGGTGGTCATGCCCGTGGACTCGATCACGCCCTCGAGCATAACGATGATCTCGAAGCGCTCGCGCAGCATGTCGGACGCCGACAGGTGGTAGAGCGGCGAGCGCTCGTCGATCTTGTGGACGATGGTCGTCGGCCAGATGAAGAATATCTTGTCCTCCTCGCCGTCGCCGCCCACGCGCAGCTCCGTCTGGAAGAACGGCAGCAGCTCGCCCTCGCGCGTCACCTGCCGACACAGCCGCTCGTCAGTCGGCCCGTCGGAGTCGTGCCCGCCCACGTGGCCTACCTTCCGCTTGATCATCTGCGCGCGCACGTGCGCCTCGATGATGTGGCTCTTCCTCATGTCGCCCACGCGGAACATCAGGCAAGGCTGGCCGTCGCGCTGGCAGATCACGGCGTTGCGCGAGAACAGCAGCGTCTGCGTGCGCTTCTTCGGTCGCGACAGCTTGGCGAAGACGATGCCCACCATGAAGGCCTGCAGAATGACGCCCGTCATCGACTGGATGCACATGATGAAGATCGCCTCCGGACACTCCTCCGTCGTGTGCTTCGAGCCGTAGCTGCAACACGTTCGACGATCGTCAGTCGGCTGCCGCGAAGTCCGCGACGTCCGCGTACCCGATGGTGTGCTGCGTCTCCACGGAGAAGAGGAAGCAACTGGTGAAGCCGTGGATGTCCTCGACGCAAGGCGTGAAGTTGCCGGGGCTCCTCGGCTCCAGGTCCCCGTGCGCGTAGACAACCAGCCACCAGACCAGCGCGAAGCCTAGCCACGACAGCAGGAACGTCATGGCGAAGACCAGCAGCGTCCAGCGCCATTGCGCGTCCACTAGCGTGGTGAAGATGTCCTGCGAGCGAGAAGCACAGCCCTCGGTCAGTCGGTCCGCTCGGTCGCGTTCTCGGCCTCTCGGCCTCTCGGTCTCTCGGTCTCTCGGTCTCTCGGGCGTACCTGCAGGTAGCGTCGGCGCCGCTTGGCCACGTTGCCCTGCACCACGTTGCAGTCGCCGTGCTTGAACACCACGCGCTTGCGCACCCGCCTCGAGCTGAACCTCGTCTGCCTGTACCTGCAACGGGCGGCCAGGCGTCACTCGCGCGGAAAACGCCTCCTGGCGACCTCGCGGACGCTCCGCGACGAGCCGCGGGAAAGCAGGGGGAGACGAGCGCGCGCCGAGCAGCTTGTCTGCACTCGCGGACAATGAGCGCACACTCACGCGTCGACGTCACCTCTCGCTCGCCAAATATAAACGCGAGCGCACGGCAATTATCGCGCGCGGCGAGCCGCGAGTCCCGCCGAGTAGCGCGAATGGAGCTCGCGCTCCGAGGGAGGCGCGCACCGATCGCCGATTCGCCTCGCGCCTCCCGCCGACGTCCGCCGACACACGACGTCCCGAGGGCGGCCGAGGACGGCCGAGTCGGGTCAGGGCCGAGGCGCCCACGTGGCTGGGCTTTCCGTGCCCGCGTTCGCGCGCGGAAAGTTGCGCCAGCGGCGCGCTACAAAGCCAAAATAGCCGCGCGGCGGAGTGGCCCAGATGCGCCTCGTACTTCTGGCATTCCTCTCGCCAGGCAACCTCGCCGCTGGTGGTGGCCTTCACGACGAGCATCGACACCTGGGATATGGCGCGCTTCAGGCCCGCGGCGACGCCGCCGCCGACGCCGTGGTCGCCCAGGTGCAGCACGCCCGTCGGCTGCGCCGCGACGGCGGCGGCAGCAGCGGCGGCGACGGCGGGGCGGACGTCCTCGGTGCTCATCGCCGCCTCACAGCCGACACATCGCGCGAGGCCAGCCCGTCCACAGCCAGAGGAACACCCAGATCAGGCGCTTGCACCACATCTCGGCGACGCCGCGGCTCGCGAGGCACTGAGCGAGCGCGCTCGGCTCGGCGTTGGACTGGTGCCCGCCAAGTGCGCGCCGTATATATATAGCGCGGCTCTTACCTATTCGGGTCGCGAAAGCTGCCGCTGCTGGAGTTGCGCTTCTGCTGGCGCGGCGGCTGGGTCTGGACGCCGAGCGCCGGCTCGCACACCTGCAGCTGGCCGTGGCTACCGGCGCACAGCGAGCTGGCCGCCGTCGACGACATCGTCCGGGAGGCGGCGGCGCGCCTCTCACGCGGCCGCTCGCCGACCACTCGGGCATGGCGATCTGCAAGCAGGTCGCTCTCGTTGAACGGCCGACGCGCCTCTGGACGCGCTGCTCGCGCCGTCGGTTCCGTCGTTTCGCTCGGCCGCCCCGTCGCGATCGTCGCCAATCTTGCGCGTGCGCGATTCGCTGCCGATCGCCAAAGCCACCTTCGACCTCTCTCCGAGCGGACGTATTCCGGATGTCGGGCCGCGGGCGCGTGACGAAATCTCAAATCCCAAGGCGACGTGGTCGTCTCCGTGTTCGCTGCTTCATAATTTCGAGTTTTTCGTTTTTTTTTTCGTTTTTTTTTTCGTTTTTTTTTTCGTTTTTTTCTTCTTTTTCCGCTTTTTACGCAAGTCTTGGGATCCGAAGTCCAAAATTGCGCCAGGCAATCGAGTTCACAGCCGCCAACACTCGTAAAGCGATCCTCGATTGGCAAGACAATCGGACGACTCGCGCCCGGTGTAGTCGAGAGTAGGAGTAGGTGCGGAGAAGAGGCGCGATGCGGGAAACCGCGACTTGCCGTCGTTGAATGGCCGTGAAATAACCGTCTAGTAACAGCCAATGGAGATAAGGCAAAAGAGGCAAAGACAGGTGCGTCAAATGCGGCGCGGAGAAGAGGATAGCTTTATTGGAGCAATTATCCGACGTTGGCCCCGCGGCGCCGCGCGCAACTCGCCGATCGAAAAGTAATTACGGAATATAGGCGCTCGCGCGACCTCCGAGCGTTCCGCTGTTTGATCGCTCTTATCGGAAGCATTGACGCACTTTCCCGCTACGACTGCTGGCCTTTATTGCTGTTGCCTCTCCGTTTCTCTTTGTTGCGCGCGCTTACGTAAAGAAGCGCACGGCATTCGCGAGGAAATTCGGGGTTTCCTCGCGAGTCGCTGCGCCGGATCTGTCGAGCAGCTCGACGATCGACGGCAAGCCGCAGCAACGATTTGACGCTCCCGCGCTCGAGAGCCGCACGCAAACGCGTCGTACCGGCCCCTCGGAAGTCGTTGGCTTTTCGCGCGAGTGGCGTTCGAAATTCTATTAAATCAGCGAGCTGTTATTTCGAGACGTAGCGCGCCACGAGAGAGGGAGGAGGACGGGGGAGGAGGGACATACACGCAGAGAAAAGCAATGAAAACTCACTGGTCGATCATTAAAGTACACTGGCCTGCCACTTCTTTATTGAGGACGACGAACAACAACAGAGATCGAGCACTCGCAGCGGCATTATACAACTCGACGGCGCGACAGCATCCTGCTTCTCACCTCCTCCGAAGGCTACTGCGGCTCGTGATTTTTTCACTGGCGCGCGAGCTTATCGTCGCGCCACGCGGCGCTGGATACGACTATCTTGCTCTCTCGCACTCTCGCTCTCTCGCTCTCTCGCGTGCGAGCGACCGAGCGAACGCGCCTCTTTTTTTTCTTTTTTTTCTCTTTCTTTCTTTCTTTCTCCCGCGGCCGCACGCGCGTACAGCCCACTTTTCGACGATCATCGCCGCATTACGCAAGCGGCTATATTTGGCGCTCTCCTGAAAGAAAAGAAAAGAAACCGCTGGTTAAGGCCGCGCGAAGGACGAGTCTCGGGGTTCGGCTACTCACGCGTCAGTCGATGAGCTTACGAACGCGAAGCTCCATGGCCAGGAAGGCGCGCATGTTGGGGTCTTGCACCTTGTCCATTATGGCTTTCTGCACGTCGGCCGGGCTACCTTTCAGCGCGACGCTCAGCTTTTCCGCGTACTCGATCCACACGCAGTTCGCGCAGCCGGACATGCAACAAGTTGTCGGCTCCGTTATGTTGTCCGCGCTGCTCGGCGCTTCCGGCACGTACGTCGGCCGATTTGCTTTTCTCCTCGATGGATCTTCGCCGTCGTCCGGTGGCTCGTCTTTCGACGAGGCGAATCCCCGAACGCTCCGACGAGACGCGCGGAGCAGTAGTGGTCCGAGATGCTGCAGTTTCGTCATTTCCACTGCGCCCTGCAAAGCCAATAACACGTATGAGCACATTAATCGTTATCCGTAATGGATGGCTGTCGGACGTCGAACATTCAACATTCGATATCCGCTCTGCAATGAAGATCGAGCGCAGCTATTGATTTCAAGTGCGTTCAAGTGCGATTGCCCATTACTCAAGTCTATAATTAAACCACTGGGGTAAAAATATAACGATCGGGAAGCAGTGGCGCACGTCGCCGGAAAAAGAATCTTTGTTTACTAACCTCTTGTTCCTGATAATTCCGATGTATTTTTGTTTCGAGCGGCTATTTCGTATTCCGCAAAACCACAACCACAACCCGATAGTACTGCGCGCGCCTTACGTTATCAACGACAGACTTAGCCTTTACGAGCTTCAGTGGTTTGCAGTTTGTTTTGAAAACTATCCCAGCGCAATTGCAGTATCAGCTTCAGCTGGTGCTGCAGTGCTGCTCGACATTTCTCTGGCCAGCCGCCTCACGCCTGCCGCTGCCGCAGCGCCCGCAGTCGTCAACTATAATGATGGCGCGCGAGGTCGAGGTGTAGTTCGGCCGATGATGCGCATGTGCAATAAATTCAAAAATAACGCGAATGCGAAGAAGCAAACAGTAATTATCCGAAAATCGACGTTACGAAAAATATAGAAACTTCTTTCGCTCGATATGATTTTGAGTGTGTTACGCAAAACTGGAAAACCAATTTACTCGTACTTCGATCGAGAACAATCGAGCTCTATTGATTACACGTAACAGTTCAAATTGTTAGCATAAAAGTGCGTAACGTGAGGATGATCCTAATGCCTGAAAAAAGGGTAATTGGCGTAAAAACTAATTGGTCATGACGGCGCGATCTAATCAATCTCTGAACAACAAGAAGCCGTGACGCGCACGGATCGCAATCCAAAACCAGTTTGTAGCACGATAAATAGTAGCATAAACAGGAAGACAAAACTAAAACGTAGTTTTTACCGAGGAAATTAATCATCGCGATTTTATCAGCCATTGATGTCATCGAGGACTCGTAAAGTCGTAACTGCAATGTCTGGATTCGAATTGCGAAACCTCGCTCCTTGGCGCACGCTTCGCCTTCGTACACCAGTGCAGAGCTAAAGTGCAGATATGGGTGCAGCACACGTAGCAGCGCCACACTCCGCGAGCAGCGGCGATGAGTTGTTATTAATCCATCGAGAAGAATACGCACGTGTTGACACCACTCCGGAGTAAATAAAAAGCAAGGCAAATGTGGTTGTGCCGCCATAGGACGTAGTATAAGAGATGGGCCGTAAGATACCTGGTAAAAAGCATCATGGTGTTAAGGATCCGTTCAAGCAGCAAGCCAAACGAGAATCCGAGTGAGTAATCGATTGTCGCCTCTCCCCGTCTTCCCTCTCGCGTTCGTTCTAAGTTTTTAGGTTAAGTCTGTGGAATGTTTATTTTGCTCATTTTCTTTCAGATTAAAATTGGTAATTAATGCACCGCCTAAGAACATCGATGATCAAGACATCCCCAAAAGTTTAGAACGCGTAATCAAGCTCAAAAACGCTGTTAAGAGTGGAGTTTTAGTGCAGAAGAAGAGAAAGAAGAAGAGAGGTTGCAAGTTGATAACTCTTGGTGCTGAGCAGACTCTCAAGCGTCATCCAAAAGCCAAGCCGGAAAAAGTAGTACCAATCTTTAATCAGAGATGCGATGAAACTCAACATCAGTTCTGGCAGAGAGTCAATAGGGAAACTGAGAATTTTCTCAAAGAGGCACAGTTTGAGAATAAGTATGGTGTGGATGTGAAGCGTAATACTGAAACTGGTTGTATCGAAGGAATTGTAAAAAAACCTAAAAGTGATTTGGAAGAGATTGAGAAGTTAAAATCTAAAGCCAAGAATATCAATAAGAAGAAGAAGAAGGTTGAAGGAGAGAATACCGTCAAGTTGAGCAAGTCTCAAAAGAGAAAAGAAAAGTTACGCAAAAAGGAGGAAAAGAAACTCGAGGATGATATCGATGAGTTTAAAGTGTTTAAGGACAAAGTTGAATTTGGCGATGTTGCCCATGCTCCACCTGAATTGAAAACTCTTCCAAAGAATGTTCGTAAGGTATGCAATCGTAGTTTGCTTTTCAATTTATACATGTAAATTAATTTATTGAACTTTTAACAGGTAAAATACAATGATTTGTTGCTGAACGCGCTTCTCAAAAAAGACATCTCGTCAAAGAAAGAGAACATCAAAGCATCGGATAGAACGGGTAAACGCAAAGACCTGCCAGCAGGTGAGAGACGCCAATTGGAGAAGCAGCAGAGCGAAGTGATAGCTGCTTACAGGCAAATGAAAGCTAAGCAACACAGCGCGTCTTCGTTACATATTTAAGGTTTTATTTTTATATAGAACACTAGAAGTAAAGTAGATATGGTGTGCAAAAGATTATATACACGTATGAAACAAAGATAATTTTTTTCTGTTAAATACAAAAAATAACGTAAACAAGTATCTCTCTGTGAGTAAACTTGAAAAAACTATCCTGTAGTCCACACAAAGGGCTCAAGCCTCTCCTCTATCGGTAGTAAATTGTTCAATGTTTCCAAGCTCTCCAGTGTCTGGTTGAGTTGCATGTGACACTTGTTGAGTTGCCTACTGAGCTCGTGCACTTTGCCCAGCTGTTCCGCAAACTTGGCAAACTTTTTCTGCCTCTCGGTGGCAACAATGATCATTCTATTCAATTCTGTATCCATATTTGTGCAAAGTACATTCTGCTCATTGGCCACGATTTGTGCACAATTGTTCAAGTGATGCTGGTATCTTGCGCACAAGTTGTACAACCCCAAGGGATCCAGTCTTTCAAGCACTTCGGGATCCCTCACCCTGGGGGGTAGATTGAGCGTTCCCCGCATGATGGGCAGAAACATGGGAATGTTTTGAAGCTTGATCAGGTCCGGATCCTTGTCCGTACTTGGATCCGAAGCGGCAGCTTTAACCACAACGATATCGTGTATCTTGTCGGAGGCACTTTTCTTCTGACTAAATTTTCTTTTGGCCTCTTGAGAGCCAAGGCTCTTGCCACGGTGGAGTTGCGACGACTGCTTGTTGGTCATCTTGGGCGAATCGCCTATCGGCCTGTTGACCGTGTACGATATGTAAGGTAAATCCGAGTCGCTGCATATGCTCGGGCCCGGACTGATACATCTCGGCGGCGTGTCCACTGCGACACTCTCGCGACTCGGCACACTCTTGCCTCGTCTCAGTGCCGGGCTGCTGGACTTGGCGCCGCCTCGCGCGGCCTCCCTCGACGGATCCAGTTGGGAGCTGTGCTCCGAACCCATGCCTCGGGTCTCGGACTGCAGCGTACGCTCAACGACAATCGCGATAACTCGTCGACACTTTTGCCTTTGTTTGGCCCTGCCGCATGACAGCAGCGCCGGGCGAGTGGTGCCATCTGCGCCGAGCGGCCATCGGCGCGCGGGCGCGAGCAGCGACGCCACGTTTGACAGCGCTGATCCATTTGATTTGGCCGCGGGCGGCGTCACAGGCACAGGCGGAGTGAGTTTCGTCGCCCGATTAATCGACAGTCCCGCGGGGCCAAATTATATATCGCAGCCGGAGTGCCGGTGCAATCTCTCGCCAAGATTGCGAGTCGCGGAAGCGAGTCGCGGTTCGCATCTCGGAGCCTTGCAATTACCGCGATTACCGGGCCGCGTCGGCTCGCGCGATTCGGCGCCGCGCCTCCTGTCCCGCGTCGCGGGGACGATCCGCCCGGGCCGGAAGCCAGTTTACGCCCTCGACCGCGCGGACGATCGGCCGGATCCGGCCGCGACCCCGTCGAGGAGGATGCGCGCGCTCCGACGAGCCAATGCGTGGCCGCGCGTCGTCGCTGTGTCCCGGCGAGCAGATAGGAGAGCCGCGGCCGCTCGAAAACGGCCGAGCTAACGAATCGATGTCGTCGTCGGGCGCTGATAAGCTCGTCGCTCGCGCTCGAGATCGCAGCGCAGTACATTGTCAGTCACGTGGCCCGAGCGCCGCCACCGCCGCTGCCGCCACCGCCGCCGTCACTCTGGTCCGTGGCGCGCAAGGTACGGCGGAGGAAAAGCCAGTTTGTCGCGAGCCAACGGAGCGCGCGGCGGCCACGTGCGCACCAGGCGAGAGGTGAGTCTGTCGATCCTCCGTTTTTTCCTTCGGGCCCGAGCTTCCGACTACGGCGCGCCGTGCCGCGATCGATCTGACGCGCGTCGACGAGGCGAGACGCGAGCTCCAATCGGCCGTGTCATTACGAGTGTATTCATAGAAACATTGGATAATCGCAGCTCCGCGCGCTTACATCATGTTCTCTCTGTGGCGCGCGCTCGCGCGCGCGCGCGATAGCTCCGAGACGCAATTTTTCTCGGGCGATTGTCGCCCGCCTGGTTTTCCTTTTCCTCGCGTCCGACGTCGAGCGCGCGATTAGCTGTTATCCGGCGGAGCGGCCGACCTTTCGGACGCGCGCGCGCGCCCGACTTTCGCAATCGTTATTATCCGGCTGGCGAAATCGCGGATTAGCGGGCGTCGCGGCGCATCGGCTGCCTGCGTTCCAGCGCGATTGGCTATCAGCGCGCGGCTGCACCGGAGCGCTCGTTTATAGGCCGCCGCCGAAACGATCTCGCCGCGAGGAGGGAGGCTCGTCTTGGCTTCCCACGCGCGGGCGCGTCCAACGCCGCGCGACCGCGCTAATTTTGTCGTCTCTCTCTTTCTCCGGGGAAACCAGCTGGCTTTCTCCGCGACGCCGAAAACAAAAAATAAATAGAAGTATCCATCGGTTATTATTCAATCGGGCTTCCGGTTATGTACGCACGAGCTCTCGTTGCGCCACTATCATTCGAGAAAACCGAGCTGCTTAGCCGTGAAATCGAAACGCAATTGTCAATGCGGGCAACTTTCGTGAGAAACCAGGCGAACCCCGCGCTCACTTTTTTTTTTACCTCGCCGCTCTCTCGCGCTCGCGGCCGCAGCGCGCGTGCAAGCTTTTTTTCGTTCTTTCGATATTCGTCCGCGTTTCCTTCGCGCCTTTCTTTCACCGCGAGAGACGCAGAAAGACCGAGCGCCGCGCCCGTAAGCTCGAGCGACGAGGAGCTCTCGCGTGCAGATCCGTCGCCGCTTCTATCTCTGCTTCTACGCGGCCCCGGCGCTCTAAATCAAAGCGATCGATGCTTATCGAAGGCCGTCGCGCGCTTATCAAGATGGCAACGCGCGTCGCGCAAACATTTGCCAATGGAGCATCTTGTTTTTCCACTCGTGCGCGCAATAAACGTCGGCTCCGCTGTAATCGCGATCGGAAGAATACGGCGGGCAAAAATAGCTCGGCGAGCGAAACGACGAGGCTCGTTTGGACGGCACGATGCGAGCCTTGCAAATCGGGTGCGTTCCGATGGCGCAGCCGGCCGAGCTGCCGCCGGTGCTCTGGAATGCTCGGCGTAGCCGCTCGAGACGCCCGGCCCGCCGCAACAAGTGCGCCGCGCTTCGATTGGCGCCGCGCGTGACGTTCGGCCGCGCGGTTGCGCAACCGCGAGCGACGATGCATCGCGCCTCAGCGCCGTCTGCTTGTTGTCTTTGCAGGGCGCGGACCCGGCTAATCTGGCGGACAGCTCCGCAACTCGGCAAGCGTGCGACCACCACCACCACCACCGCCAACATCGCCACCAGCAGTCGCAGCCGCCCGCCCGTCGCAAATCGTCCATCGTTTCAGGTCTCGCATCTCGCGCCTTTAATTTTAGCCTCTCCGGCAAACTCGTTCTCCGCGCCGAACCTGCGAGTTTGGGGATCGGATTTCAAAGCTCGCTGCATTCGATACGAGAGGGAGGGGGAGAGGGAGAGGAACGCTGCACGTCTGGCAGAACGTCAAGTGACGCGTTCCTCCCGAGCTGGGCCACGCGCGCTAGCACAGTCGCGGGGGTAGTCAACGAAGCCGTCAACGGAGCGCACTCGTGTCGCAGACGCAGCAGCAGCAGCAGCAGCAGCAGCAGCAGCAGCAGCGGCGGCGGCAGCGCGCACGAGCAGCAAGAGGCGGCGCGAGGAGAAGCTTGCGGCCAAGCGATCGCCGACGCCGTCGGAGGATCGCCGGCTGCCATGTGCGTTCGAGGCTGGCGCGCCTGGAGCAGAGCCAGGCGTCGAGCGGCCGCTCAGTAAGGCCGAGCGCGCGCCGATGGACGCCACGATGAAGCTGGCGGCGGCGGCGCCGCGAGCCTGCCGGCTGCGCGACCGTCTCTGCCTCGGCCTCGCCGGCCTGGTCGTCGTTTTCACCCTCCTGCTCGTCATGGACCTGCAGCTCGACCTCGGCTACAGCGGGCACCACCTGCTGCCGAGCCACGCCAGGATCCGAGTGGCCGAGGACCCGCAGAGGGACACCGTCTACAACAATTTCAGGTATGCCCGGCCTCTCGGCCTTTCACGTCTGCCGATGCCGCCTCCTATTTTTTCCTTTTTTCTCCTTCTCCCCTTTTTGCTCCTTTTTGCTTCTATTCTCTCCTTTTTTTTCCATTTTTCTCCGTTTCTTGCCTTTTTTTCTCTTTTTGTCCCTTTTTTCCCTCTCTTCTCCTTCTTTCTCTTTTTTCCACCTCGCCTCCAGGCCGAAAGTGAAATGCTCGGTAAAGATCGCTAGAAATGGACTTTCCCGAAAACAAACGTGCGGCCGGTGGGACACGATGTCGCCGTTTTACTGCCGATCGTAAACTTTTCGATATTATTCAGCGACCGCCGACTTGTCGCTTCGCTGCTCGACATTTAAATCTCGCGTAGGGCACTTTCACCCGAGCTCTCCGCGGAGCTCGCGGAATCCGTGCCGCTGGCGCTCGACGCCGACCAACGGGACGAACAGTCGCGCTGACGAGGCCGACGCTTGATCCGCAGGCGCAAGTTCCTGCAGCGGGGCAACGCCTCGAGGGAGCTGGGCTCGGAGAGCAACGGCGCGACCGAGGGCGCCCCGGCCGCCGTCGCCGAGGTCTCGGGCAGGAGCAGCGAGCGCGCGGCCGCCACGACCGCGCAGCCGCGCGACCACTTCGCCGACCTGCAGCAGCTGCTCGACCGGGACGATCTGTCGGCAAACGACGGCGTGGTCAGGCTCAGCGCCGAGGAGGACGTCGACAACCCCTCCATCGCCGACGTCAAGAGACTCAAGCTCGCGTGAGTTGGCTGCCGCTCGTTGTTGTTTCCGCGCGACCGACACCGTCGGCACGACGATGCCGTCAGCGAATTCCTCGCGCGCGCAGCGCTGACGCACGCAAATTTGCTGCAGAACGAGGCTCGCGCCACCCGCCGGCAGCCGGAACGCCGGAGGACCGCGCGTGCGTCGCTCCGGCTCGGGGAAGCGACCGCCGACGCCTGCGCCGCTGACCCACAAACCCGCATTTTCCTCGGTTTTTCGGGAAGCCGCTCGGGCGGCTTTCAAACAGAGCGTTGCGGCGCGCGGCTCTCCCCCGTACGCAGCTCCTTCGCACACTCTGTTTAGCCCGCGCGCGAGTCGCGCTCCGGGCGCCAAGATTTGCCGGACGTTGCCGCCGCGCTCGGGCGCTCGGGCGCTCGCGCGCCTCCATTGATCTCGGGCCGCGCGGCGCGTGGCCTTCGCCGGCGATAGCGTTGCCCGCCGCGCCGCGCCGCCGCCGCCGATAAGTCACGCTCGCGCTCGTATTTCACACCTTTTGTCCTTTCCTCTCTCGCTGCTACGTGCGCGCGAGCAGCGAGCCGCGCGCGCTGCTCCTCCCCGAGCGCGCGCCGCGACGATCATTAGCGTATAAAAAGAAAATCGATGAGCAGGGAAATCTCGTGGCTTGTATTTAGAGCGAGCGCGCACGGCACGATTCTCACGTTACGCTTGCGAGAGCCAGGACGCTCCGCGCGGCTCGCTAATTGGAGGACGCGGATAACGAGAGCCACGCGAGCGTCGACCGACGATACGTACGACGATACGTACGACGGGCGCCGTCGGCGGCGGCCCGCGGGCCCGTCTGCGAACGAAGCGAACGTCGCGCCCCGGCTGTCGGTTTTCCATCGCCGAGGAAAGCAGGAAGCGTGCTAACGGCGAGCAACGAGAAGCGTCCGCTTGGAAAAGGAGTTTACCGCTGCGACTCTGCCTTATTTCTTCTTCTGCTTTGGTTATCGACAATCGGCGACGTCGCCAAAAGAAAAGACAAGAACGGAAAAATGTCCTCGCTGCCGGCGACGAGAGGCCACGGTAACGGTGAGGCGCGAGAGCGCGAGAACGCGAGAGCGCAATTAAAAGTGTATATTAGCGCGTTAACCGACTCGCCGGCGAGGAAACGGCAGCCAACTAACGACTTCCCGTGCGTCTGGGTCGCGGACCACTCCACAGGAAGAACAGCACGATCCTGGAGCGCTTCCACCTGCAGATCCGCCGCCGCGAGCTGTACCCGCGCGGCTCCGGCCTCGTGGACGAGCTGACGAGCTTCATGGCCACGCAGCCCATCGTGCACGCCGGTGAGTATGTCGCGTCCGCGGCCGCGCCCCCAGGACCCCTCAGCCACGCTCCGATCTCTGTTCGCAGCCGAGAAGTCGGGCGGCACGCAGCTCAAGCTCGTCATGGACTACCCGAACAAGATGCAGGCGCTGTTCAAGCCCATGAGGTACGTGCGCGCGCAATTAACGGTCTTACGGGCCGCTTAACGGTATGTTTTTGCGCATCCGGTGCAGCCGCCGCCGCCGCCGCGAGCGCGCGCCGGCTTTGGATTCCGCGCGACGCACCTCCGCGCGTTTGTTTAATTGGCCGGCCGTGACGAGCGCCACTTATGCAATCTCTCTCTCTCTCTAGGTTTTCCAGGGAGCAGCAGACCCTGCCCAATCACTTTTACTTCACGGACTACGAGAGACACAACGCCGAAATTGCAGCGTTCCACTTGGATAGGTAAGCTTGCCGAGCAGCCGAACGATCTCCGCGCAAAAAGACGAAGGAAAAAAATAGAGAAAAGGCAGGCCTTCCTCGTGGGGCGGCCGCACGAGCGGCGCGCCGTGCGGAATGGCGAGCGTTCCGACGGAGTGCGTGGAATATTTTTGGAGCTTTTATCGGCAGTCTCGCGCTCGGCGCTCTTCGCGTTGTCTTCGATAGATAAGCGTCGAGTAATTGGCGCGCGCCTCATCGACGCTCGCGACTACCGAGATAAGCGCGCCAACGCAGTGCTCTCAGCCGAGTGACCATTGCTGCCGTGCAGCCTTTGCCGTCGAGATTGAGCGCGATGAAAGTACAGTTATCAATAATAAAGGAAAAGGAGAGCGATCGTGGGAGGGGGACTTTCATTATTGCCGAACGACGGATCGCGAGGATAGAGCGCGGCGAGTCGTCCTGTTATCGATGTACGTTGCCACTGTGGCTTGCCGCCAGGCTGCTGGACTTCCGGCGCTGCATGCCGGTGACCGGCCGCCTGCTCAACATGACCACGGAGATCTACCAGGTGACGGACGGCGACATCCTCAAGACCTTCTTCGTGAGCCCGGCCGGCAACCTGTGCTTCCACGGCAAGTGCACCTACTACTGCGACACCAGCCACGCGATCTGCGGCTCGCCGGACATGCTCGAGGGCAGCTTCGCCGCCTTCCTGCCCGACAAGAGCCAAGTGGCGAGGAAGGTCTGGCGGCACCCGTGGCGGCGCAGCTACCACAAGCGGCTCAAGGCGCAGTGGGAGACCGGTGAGTGATTCTCCCTCGGCCCGGCGTCTTCGGCGCCGCTGACAGTTATTCCCATTAATGCGCGCGCATAAATAACGCCTCGAGAGCCGAGTCGGGGACTGCCCTCGGAGTCGTGCGATCTCCCAGCAGCAGGTGTATTCTTGGCGTCCATCGCCCGGCACAAAAGACCGCCGCAGACCGCCGACACTCGAGCGCAGCTATAAATACGCGTATTATCTCGTAGACTCGGACTACTGCAATCTCGTGAAGGAGCTGCCCCCCTACAACGAGGGACGCAGGCTGCTCGACTTGATGGACATGTCGGTCTTCGACTTCCTCACCGGCAACATGGACCGACACCACTACGAGACCTTCAAGCTCTTCGGCAACGACACCTTCACGCTGCACCTCGACAACGGACGCGGCTTCGGCAGGCCCTTCCACGACGAGATCAGCTGCCTGTCGCCGCTGCTGCAGTGTTGCATGATCAGGCAGAGCACGCTCGCCACTCTGCTGAGGTGAGCGCTTGCAATCGGAATTCCGCTGTCGACGCGCGCGAGCAGCACGAGCAGCGCGACCTTTGCCTCGTCGCGCATGCCAAGCGAAGCCGCGCGATGCTCGCCGCGTCCGCAACTTTTTCCATGCATATCAACTCGGCCGCTCGTTGCCCAACCGATTACGACACAGCTCTCCCGTCTGCTCAGGTATCACAACGGCCCGGTGAGACTCAGCGCGGCGTTGCGCGAGAGCCTGTCGCGAGACCCGCTGGCGCCGATACTCTGGGAGCCGCACCTGCAGGCGCTGGACCGCAGGATTCCCGTCGTACTGCAGGCCGTGCGCGAGTGCATCGACCACAGTTCGCACTGGAGCAGAGTCGTGCGGGACGATAAGAGCGAGGCGAACGCCGCCGCATCCGACTGAATTCACACCGAAGCGCACCAAAGCTCATCGAGAAACAAGCGAAAGCAGAAAGGCTGTCGTGCTTTTATATTTCTATTAATCATTGTGATCGATCTGCGTGTAAAATATCGCACTGTACATTTTCCTTTTCCCCGCCGTCTCGAGACTAAGCGTTGATCTATTTTTTAAGTGTCGGTTATTCATGTTTAAATGTAAGAAATGTGTACAAAGATTAAACGTTCCTTGTCAATGCTGCGACGAATTTTCCCTTTACTGCTTCTCATTACGCCTTCTTTGGCCATTGGTCGTCATTGTGACATTTTTGCACGACTCAGAGTTACGCGATACCCACAGTGGAAAAAGAAAAAGAAAATGTTGCCGTTATAAACTCCATTAACTAAAATCGTAGAGCAGTGCATGAGCCACAATATGGCCTTGTAGCTCTGAGCAGTTGACGGCCACGCTGGTATTAGCGGACGGCCACGGGAATCAACTAACAAGGACACCAGCAGACCTGCCGGATAAAAATAACAACCCAAAAACTCATCCAAGTTCTTTTCTCCGCGCACTTTACGATTCAGAACAATTGGTTGCCGACGGCGGCACTCAACCGCTAGTTACGGTGGTAACACCGTGCCTTTGTTAAGAAATTTATGTCACTCGAGCTTTTCGCTCTAGTATCGAACCGCCCGAAGGCAACCTGTGTCAATTAAAACACAGCAATTAGCATTTTCTTCTGCTGATAAGCGACTGTTATCCAATCGCGACTGAACGCGTGACAAAGCATGAGCACCAGCTTAGCTTGTGTAAGCGGTTTACGCGCGACGATTGGAAAGAACTTTTTTACTCCTGATTTTTTGCAACGTGGACGACGAGCGTAGCATCTGTTGGCAGTCCTGAATCCCCTGGTCAACACGACGACGTGGAGGACGTTCTCCTGCGTCGCGGTTTTCAGTCCACGTTTCGAGAGCAGTGAGTCAATGAAACGCCTCTGGACGTCGTTTGCAAGCTCGGTGCGGAGCAGCCTGCACCTATCCAACGTCCACGCGTGCGCGTGCAATCTGGCACATGCCGCTCGTCGCGAAAATGTAAAACACTGCTGTGCTCTCCGAGATTAATACAAGGCTAGAAATAAATGCAAATCGCGCGCAAGATGCGATCTTTCGTTCGGCGTTGACCTTCCCGAACTTCATTCGGTGCCGAGTCCTTGGCTTGCTTCTCGAGCACAGATCTCCGCTTCGATTCATTATTCGCATGTGCTTTGTTCGAGGCAGTTCGGCTCGAGTTTCAGCTTAAATTGTCTTAATTTCCATTCAAACTTATCACTATGTTTGGAATTCACGCACATAACATTGCTACTTAACTGTTGTATCTCGAACGACAAAGCGTTTGTCAATCGCGTTCTCCTTATTTCAAGATGGCTTAGCTTAATTAATGAAAGACACATCGATTCTCGCATCTTATCAGTTAGAATCCGCCGGCGGAATCTTGTTGTGTCCACCTTTATCTGAAAAGCGTCCTTGATCTTTCAATTTTAACGATTGACAAAAAGAAAAACCTTGATTACGTGAGCCGAGTCAGAGATTGTGTACGTTAGTTTTCGGAAGTAAGCGACAATTGAGATTCAAAATTTCTCTCGCTTATCAAATGATAGAGATTGCGTCAAATTTTCAAAATAACGAAAATAGAACTTGGAGAGACAAACTCTTAGAGGACAGACTGTTGGCAGTTCAGGTCGGCTGATTTCCAAAATGACGGGGCGTTCTAGGTTGCCGAACTTGCCAGGTTATGAGCTGCACTTCGACTAGCAGTCGTTTTCAGACAACAATAGCCGGCGTCCGCGTTGTGCGACGGGCGGCACACTTGGATGACACCTATGCCTGCCCGCGACGTAACGCTGAAGCTGGACCGGCCTCAGGTAAACGGCACCACGTCGTCCCGATGCCATTCGGTCCAAGTCAAGCTCTCGTTTGGTTCACGAGAACGAGATATAACGGTGACCAACTCCGACGACGTAGACCGTGGCGCCGTCAGGCGTACGAGGTACCTTGCAGAGTGGCCATTGAATCCTCGAGTAGTATCGTCGATAGACCGACGAGTACTAGCCAATTAGTCGATTTCGTTAGAGCTATCGATCCCAAATCCCGAGAGCAGGGTACTTGTTATGTGGAGGCCAGCGTCGACGTGGAAGAGTTCGCCTACCTTGTACGCACAAGCTCAACGGTAAGCGCGACAAAGGTAGTTGAGAGAAAAACTTAAAAGGTTCGAGAAAGTCGTTGGGCAGATATCCTAGCCGGCCGCCGAGCAAGAAATCCATGTCGTAGAGCAACTTTACGAAGCACTGCTGCCGTCCAACTTACTGTACGTGACACTGAAGTTCGATCGGCTGGACGAAGCTCACCGACAACTACTGCCTGCCTACTGCTATCTACTACATCAGCTAAAATTGGACAGCGATGGGTTCATTAAGACTATCGCTCACTGCTTTCTCGACCAAGATATGTTTGAATAAATGCGAATCGTGAATATTTCTGTCAATACGCGTTAATATCGTGTTATTGTAAAATTAGAATAAACTAATTTCTTTTCTTCAAATTTATTGGCGTATTCGTCATTCGGTGGTAGAACAACAAATGCTATTTTCATTGGAAGCGCAGAACGTTCAACGGGACGTGTTTCAATCGAGTTCCGTGCGCGCCGCTAGCAGACGACACGCGCAAGGACGTGACATTCTAATAATCAAAATACCGAACATGGCGAAAGAGTTGATCAGTAGATATGGCGCCAAGCCCTACGATATGGCTTATCGTGGTCATCTCTCGACGTTAAAGGCTTTGCTCTCACAGGACGAGAAGCTCAAGGATCGAGCTGACGAGGTACGTGCTCGCCAACAGCTTCGCGAGGTACTTCGCTACGAAACGCGACTCGAGCGCGAAATAACCTACAAAATTTCCGTAGAACGGCAGAACTTTGATGCACTGGGCTGCACTTGGTGGCCACGAGGATGTTGTGGGCCACTTGCTATCATTGGGCGTGGCAGTCGGTCCTCGCGACGATGTAACTACCTAATGCACATCGAAATTTCATCATCTTTCCCTCTCTACTCGTCAATTTATTCTTCTGCAGACGGGCATGACACCACTGATTCTGGCCGCATCGGCTGGTCGCGAAAAGGTAGTGAATATGCTGCTGAAAGATGGAGCGAATGTGAACGAAAAGTCCGAGGGGGGACACTCAGCACTGCAATACGCTGCGTCGAAGAATTGGAAACCGATCTGCGCGAATCTGCTCGACAAAAAGGCCAATGTGAACATAGCGGATAATTGGGGTGCTACACCACTTCACAGAGCAGCTTCCAAAGGCAATATTGAAATTGTCAGACTCCTCATCGAGAATGGTGAACATTTGGATATTGGCGAGTAACTTTTTTACACAAGAATCGTACTGCTTCGCGATGAGTGAATTAACTTTTATAACAAATGTTTTATGCTCGCTTAATTTTTCTTTTTTACAGATAAAAAAGATAGATACGGTAATACAGCTCTCCACTTAGCTTGTGAGGAAGATCGGCAAGACGAAGCTAAACTTTTGGTTCATAATGGTGCTAATTTGGAAATTCAAAATAAGGAGAAAAAAACTCCATTGGATTTATGTAGTATGGATCTCGCTAAAGAGTTACTGAAAATAGCTCATAATAGAAACAAATAATTATGTAAACATTTTTTAAGTCATTCATTATGAGACTGCATATACATTTACATTTATATAAAATATTCTTAAAATAAATTATTTTTGTAATTCTCTAGTCGCCCTCCATTCTTTATTATTTACTAGTTTCAATTTCACTATTCCAGCTGTGTAAGTCGTTAAAAAAAAAATTATTAAAAATCTGTTCTTTGAATTTCACGACAATAATAACATTAAGTTTGAATAGTCACACTGAATCGGAATAAAATAAATATGGTAAAAAAAATCGTTTGATCGTCAGTCGAAAAAAAAAATTTACTAAAAATTCTAAACTAACAAGGGTTTCCCATAAATAAACTGTACGCAACACTTTAAACTAAATGTTTTGTAATAAGTTTATTATTATTATATCATCTCTTATTTCCAAAAATTCAAATCATCTGTATAATCTGCGCGCGCGTGCAATCGCGTATATGTTTGGTCGTATAAAATGTATCAAAACTCATTCATAAATCGTTCCCAATGTTTGATTATTACTTGTATATTTTTCCGTTTCAAAGTGCACCTCAATTAGTCGCTCGTAGTACGGTGTTATAAAACGAGACGGCAAAGTAATCAAAGCTCAGCATTTATCAATCAAAACGCTAAAAAGCTCGGGCAACAAAATGAGGTGATACACTTTATCTCGTGCTAATAATCAACTCGTATGTACAAAATTAGTCGAGGAGCTCTTCTTGTTTTCGAAACGGTCCTGCAACGTTACGCACAATTCCTGTTAACTTCGTTACGTGTATTTAATCGTGATAAGGCCCTAGTTACATTAGATACGATTACCTGGGGAAATAGAGGAAGTTTCGTTATAATTGCATTATAAATCGATGTCCGTTAGTTGATTTTACTCGTCAAAAAATATATCATTGTATAAATACTTGTACAAATATTGTAAATGCTTTTTTGTATTAAATACAGACGAAATTTAGTGTGAAAAATGCTCGTAAAAAAGGGATCGAACGCGCGAGAAATTGACGTGATTATTCAAGAGAACCTCCTTGTAGTAATTTCAATTTAAAAAAATAGTCATCAGCACGCCGTCACCCATCAGTAACTTTAAGTACACCCCGAAGAGAGAACGCTTTTTTCTTTCTTTAAGTAACTTTATTAGCTTGTCTAAGCGCGAAAGATAGAAAAACAAGCGAAAGCTTCTACATGTGTCTGCTCTGCTCGTCAGAACAAAAAATAAATCGTCTCGTCGTGTCTTGCGTGTTATCTAAAAACTTTTTTGCGTATGCAAGTAATAACGTAGTAATAGTAATAATAATAGTAATAATACAATTTTTTATAATAATGAAAATGTCTTAGCACTACCTACAGTGTTATACAGGATTATAAACGTTTTTTCATTTTCAAAAAAATTCCTCATCATCTTATCGCGACGACCTCGACAGGACAACGGATAATCGCGCATTTGACTCATCCGAAGCCCGACCAAGGCAAAGCTTCTCGCGCGCGCACGCGTCCTTCGTGTAATAAACCGTTCTACGGTCTCTTCTGATATTGTTGTAAGTTTATGTACATTATTCCCTCTCACAAAAGAAAACTCTTACTCTCTTTTTCTCTCAAACTCACTCTCGATGGCAACTGGGGAAAAACTAGTATATTCGTAATATACGCTTACATAATGATATATATCTCCTACTGAGGGGACACGAAAGAATTACCCTGGAAGCCTATACGATTTTCATTTGTTTGTTTTTGGAAACCCGGACGATATGATCGAAGATTGTTTTATATGGTGTGAGAGCGTTCATTATGCGCGTCTTTCTCGCCGGTGATTTCCGTCAAAAAGTTTATTGGATTCAGTTAACAATCTCCTCTCTAACATCTATGCTCTCGTCTTGTGTTGCTGAATCTTCACCTGAACCGCCAGTCTGCATCGAGGTTCTTTTCAGTCTTGCTGATCCAAGGCCTCCCATTGGTTGACCACCACGCCTGCAAAATTACAGTCGCATAATAAAAACTATTAAATCGATTCACTCTTTATTATTTTTTTGTTTCATAAAATAGCCGAGCGTTTTGAACTCTATTAATAATGTAACATTTCTTGATCCATTTATACCAAGTTTAATGAATGATTTATTAATACTATTAAGAAGCAGCATTTGATTGTAAATACGAGGAAATTTACCAGCAAAATGTATGAATCATTGCAACCACATGAACGTTAATGTTTAAAAACTCAGAAAGAAAACCTAAAATTCTATCTGTGTTCGTTTTCTTGTTCGATGTTTTTAAATCAAATTAATAGAATTCAAACTACTCCGATTAATTTCTAAATAGTTAGTTAATATTGAAAATAAAAACAAATTAGTTAGTAGAGTACATATTAATTTTAGCGTTTTGTGGGCCTATGCTTTTATACAAATTATCTCGGCCTCGTACTCGTTCACAAAACGCATTGAACGGGAAAAGATCGATTGTGTTCTTTAGGGGGAAATCTCTACACAATACCTACATATTAAGTGAATTAATCACTTCGTCCTTCCATCGTCCACGATAAGACGTGCCTAATGGCCTGCTAGAGTGCTTTGTTGTATCTAACTCACTAAACGCAACATAAGCAGAAGTGCAGAAAAAAAAGTTGAAAGGAAAATAGATTTTTTTTCAAGATTGAGAATAAGAGGCCGGTGTTTATAATTAAGTTCAAATTGTTAGTCAACTTACCTCAGTTTATTTTTCAAATTCGCGACTTCTCTCGTGAGAACTTCTTGCGACTCCATCATATCTTCCATTTCTCTCTGTTGCTTCCTCTTGGATGCCTTGTGCCTGCTGATCTCTTCCTCAGCTTCATCGAGTTGCCTCTTCAAGCTCTTCATCCTATTGTTGACCTTCTCAACTTGTTCCTTGTACTGCTCGGCGTTCCTTCTTTCATCCTCCACTTGCAGGACCAATTCCTTGACCTTCTTGTCGAGCTTACGGTTTAGTTTCTGCTGAGCGAACCTCTCCTTGGTTTCTGTGTCGACTTGCTCTTCCAAGTTGTTAATCTTACTCTCGAGTGCTTGAATCGTGGCTTTCGATTTAGCTCGTTGAGCTGTCTCAAGCTCGGCCAGTTTGGCTTTAAGCTCCTTGTTTTGACGTTCAAGGAGCGAGCGATGAGACTCAATCTTTTGGGCTGCCGAGCGCTCGGTTTGTAAATCCGTAGTCATTTGTTCGATCGCTAGCTGAGCTTTACGCGCGCGATCCATGAGAACCTTATAAAACATACAACGTCCGATATTACATTTTTGATTATTTAAGACTATAATAAGATAATGAAAAGTAAAATACAAACCTCATTCGTAGACTGTTCCTCTTCAAGTTCCTCCTCGAGTGTGGCAATCCTAGCCTCCAAGCGTCGTTTTTCGTCGAGTAGAATCGTGCCTTTGTTAGCATTGTTGTTAATCTCCTCTTGAAGCTCATCTCTCTCGGTCTCTGCAACTCGTCGTGCGCGCTCACTGCTAGTCAGATCCTCAGTCATCTGCATAACATCAGCTTCAAGGCCTTTGACTTTACGCTCAAGTTCTTTTGATGAGGCAGCCAGTTCATCTCTGGCAGCTCTAGCTTCTTCAGTTTCTCTCGTACAGTCTTTAATTTGGGTCTGAAGTTTTTTTAACTGCTTCAGAGCGTCTTCTTTAACTTTGTTGTGCATCTCAAGTTGTTGCTCCATGTCTTTATAGTCTGCTTCGATCTTTTTGCGCTGAGCTATCGCAGCTGATCTCTGTTTCCTTTCGTCCTCTGAAAATGAGAAAAATTCAATTAGTTTTAGCGCCAGTGAACGTGTATTGCTAATATGAATATCATTGATGTTTTTAGATAATTTATTTGCTATTATTTGCTATTATTCACTAATAAAGTTTCTTTGGACTAAAAATCACTGGTAATTACCTAATTCAGCTTCCAAATCACGAAGCTGTTTGACAAGTCCTCGTCGCTTCTCTTCGGCTTGCTCCTCCTTAGCTTGCAACTCTCGGTCGAACTGTGTTCTCATGGCCTGCATATTAACCTCGAGTCGTAGCTTAGCGTCCTCCGTACATTGTAATTCATCCTCGAGTTCCTCTACTTGAGCTTGCTGCTCGGCGATCTTCGATTCAAGAAGTCGTTTAGCTTTTTCAAGTTCGTGAACGTTCTTGTCAGCAGTGCCTTGATTGTTAACGAGCTCATCAAGTTCAGCTTGCAAACTCTTACGGCCACGCTCCAGTTCTTCGACTTTGTCGTTGAGTTCGTCGAGTTCACGAGTTAACGACAGCACCTTAGTTTCCTTCTCACGGGCTTCACGTTCAGCAGCATCTCGAAGTTCTGCATACTGCATGGATATGGCTTTTTCTTCCATAAGGACTTTGTCAAAATTCTTCTGCTTCTTCTCGAGTTCGATAACTTTAGCTCGCTGCAAGTCCAGCTCGATCGTCATGTCTTCAAGTTCCGCTTGAATCTTCTTCTTGGACTTATCAAGCTTTTCATTGGCAGCTTGTAATTCTTCAACCTGGCGTTGCAGAGCTTCAATATCCTTCACTAGACGCTTTCTGGCCTCCTCAAGCTGAGCAGCAGCTTCGCTCTCCTCGTCAGCACGTTTCTTTGCCTCAGTATACTAAAAATACAGTTCCAAGTTAAAAATTTTTCAAGCAATAAATAATATTAATGAAATAATAATGAAATTCATATTTTATGACGAAACAGTAAAAAATGACAAGATATCATTATTTTAATCACGTTAAAATGATTGTATAATGAGAAAAAAATATTTACTTGTGTGTTCAAAGCAAGAACTTGCTTCTCAAGAGCACGTTTAGCTTCTTCCTCCTCGTCAATTTGATCCCTGAGAGCTTCCTTTTCACTCTCGAGTTGTCTGAGTTTGGAGCTAAGCGCTAACTTCTGCTTAGTCTCCTCTTCGAGTTGCTGTTGTAACTCAGTAAATTGAGATTCGCACGTAGCCGATGCCTTCATTGCCGCGGAAGCTTTGAGTTCGGCAGCTTCAAGTTGCTGAGAGACATTTTCAGCTTCAGCTTGCAGCTTAGCAACTTTCTCGGCAAGTTCCTGCCTGACACTTTCAATTTCCATCAGCTTAGCATTAACCTCGACGAGTTGCTGTTCCGCTTGTTTGCGTCTACGATCAGATTCCTGACGACTTGCGCTGACTGAGCGAAGCTCTTGGGTGAGTTCACCATTTTCAGCTTCAAGGGCACCTTTAGCTTTTTCAAGAGCAGCCTTGGTTTTCTTGAGAGCATCCATCTGCTCATTTATTGTCGTCAGTTCCTGCATGTGCTTGTGACGCATCTCTTGAAGGGTAGTTTCGTGAAGTGCAGCTTCTTCCTCAAGATTCTTTTTGAGGTTAGCTAACTCCTGCTCACGCTTACTACGAAGTTCTTGTTGCGCAGCCGTGGAGTCGAGAGAGTCTAGTAGTTCATTTTTAAGAGCTTCAAGTTCTTCGTTAAGATCTCTTTTGAGCTTCTCTGCTTTGCTTCTGGCGATCTTCTCAGCCTCGAGATCTTCTTGCAATTCGACGAGTTGAGATTCAAGTTCGCGGAGAGCTTTCTGCGACTGAGCTTTAATGGCACTTTCCTCGTCGATCTTCGTCAGCGCTTGAGTCAGTTCCTCTTCGCGCTTACCGATCAATAGTTGCAACTCTTCGAGCTGTCCTTTTTTCTCTGTCAACTGCTCCTTTAAATCTTGCACTTCGGTTTCGACTTTCCTCTTTGATCTATCAACTTCTTGGCGCTGTTGATGGTCCTTTAATAATCTTTCCTCGAGATCAGCTATCGTCGCTTCGTGCTTCATCTTCAGCTTAGCTAAGTGCTTAGCTTTTTCTTCTTCCTCAGCCAAAGCTTGTGACAAATCATTGGCTCTTTCTTCGAGTAGTTTCTTCTCCTTGACAAGTTTTTGATTTGTATCTTCTGACAAAGCCAAATCTTCTTCCAGCTTCTTTATCTTCGCGTCACATTGGACCTTTTCCAACTGCAACTTTTGCCTCGTAGCTTCCTCTTCTTCCAACTGCTCCTCCAAGTCACTAATATTTAACTGCAGTTTCTTCTTCTCTTGCATCAATGCTGAGGTTCTCTCTTCTTCCTCTTCGATCCTTGCTTCTAAATCATGCAAGATCTCTTCGAGTTCCTGCTTCCTGGCAGCCAACCTAGCTCGCATTTCTTCAGCCTCGGCACACAATTCCACCTCAGCTTGTAATTGTTCAGCGAGCATGGTCTTTTCCTCGAGTGCCTGCTGATACTTTCTCTCGTATTCTTGTGCCGAATGCAACTGCATCTCCAACTTATCACGGACCTGTTTGAGTTCATCTTCCTTTTGCGTAAGCTTCTCTTCTTGTTTTGTCACTTCCAACAGTGGCTTGACCTTTGTGTACAAACGCCACCACTGCCAATTACGAAGTTTCAGATAAGCAGCGCAATTTCTCTGGATGATACGAATAGCATTCAACTGTTGAAGACGTTTCTGGTAGTTGCGTCGTGCCAAAAAACCACGGCAGAATGCTTGGAAATTAACAATTAAGTCGGTGATCTTGTAGTCGCGCTCCTCTTCGAGATGGGCTAGCACACCAGCACGGAAGAAAATCTTTGATTGTCCAACACGGTAGAGGTTGGGATCCAACTCCAGGGATTGAATCTGAATGTGACATAAGCAATTAATAATGATGGTTATAGGATATGATCATTGATATTATCGGGTTTGATTGAAAGTCATTCGAAAAATCATTTGTTTCGTTTTTCTAATTTTATTTTAATTGCTAACCTCGATTAGTATGACGTAATCGTGAAATAATCATAAATCAAAGTACGCACGATAAGTATTTTACGACGGAAACGGAACGAAAAAATTTCACTCGAAAACTCATTGCAAAAGTATTAAAATTCGTTAGACATAATCCGCATTCGCGTCAGCGATGACTCATCAAGTGACTAACGTAAAAGAGAAAGTCATTTCATTTAAAAAAAACCGAAGCAAGAACTCGATCCTTAAGGAAAATAAAATAAATGGCACATACCATGTTTTCGCAAGCTTTCTTGCCGTCCATAAAACCCTTGGGAATCACATTCGGCGTAAGCAGCTCGTATCTCTGTCTGAACTCTTGGAATGGAATTCTGTTGGGGAAACCTTGTCTGCAAATTCTGATACCCTCGAGTACACCGTTGCACCTGAGTTGATCGAGTACAAGTGGAGCATCAATCTTGCCGGCTCTTTTCTCGTGATTAGGAATGATACACCTTACGAAATTAGGATTCGTATTTCTCAGAGTAACCATGAGTTTAGCAAGCTGCTCCTTGTAGAGTTGACTGACGGTACGGAACATACCCTTGCGCGTTCTTGCGCCAAACTGAGTATCAGTAAGTTGCTGAGCCATACCAACGATCTCAGCATCCTTCCATATGTGACAAACAAAGGCATCTTGAGATGCTTGAAGAAGACTGACGACGTTCTCGTTGAGTGGATCCATGTTTTTCATGAGCCACTTTTCAGCCGAATAGTCGACTTTTCCAGCGTAATGGATGATAGCAAAATCAGCGACACCTCGGAAGTCAGTCTTAACGAACTTGGGATGAACGTGGTGAGCACCGACGAGTTTTTCCACGAAAGTCTTGTCGGTTGCCTTGGGGAACCAACATTCCTCATCGAGTAAAGCCATGATACCCATGGGTTTGTCGATCAAATCAATAGTTGGTTGTAGGTCCAGGCCAAAGTCGATAAATTTCCACTCGATTCCTTCGCGCTGATACTCCTCTTGCTCAAGGATGAACATCGTGTGGTTAAACAGCTGCTGCAGCTTCTCGTTTGTGTAGTTGATGCACAGTTGCTCAAACGAATTTAGGTCAAATATCTCAAAACCAGCCATATCGAGAATACCAATGAAACTGGCTCCCTGCCTCTTCGTTCTGTCGAGCGATCGATTGATTCGATTGACCAACCAGCGGAATAATCTCTCGTAGCAAGCCTTTGAGATCGCTTCAACGGCAAATTCAACTTGTTCTTTAGTCTGTGCCTTGGTGACGAAATCTCTGCCAACTTTGATCCTTGGCTTCAAGAATGCCTTTGTCATCTCTGTGACGTTCAATCCTAACAAATGTGAAATCTTTTGAGCAACGGTGTTATCGGGAAGGGTTGCTTGATCGGAATTACGCTCTTGACGGAACTGCATCGAACCAAAGAGCATCACCGCCGAGACAATGCGAAATATCGCATGAAAATCGTCGTTGGTCATTCCCATGATGTTCATGGCTTTCACCGTCGAGTGGAATTCTGCTGCATCATCGACACCTGGCACCGGTAATGCACCACACGAAAGGAATGGATAGAGTTTTGGATCTTCCAAAATGAATTCTTCTGCGAAACAAATTAGATAATCAAATTAAGAGTTATATATACTAATTAGAGTATTGTTTGGAAGGCGATTGTCATAGATATATGCAGGTACAACAACGCGCGAGATTTATTACAGCGTCGAAAGTTAATTTGAATAGTAAATTAATGGCAAGCGCTTAAAACGAATCCTACGGAATGATAAATCATTTGCAATTCTATAGGTCTCTCTAGCGTTTGTCTTATTAAAGCAAAAAGCGGCAGCGACGGCAGACACGATGACGTATAAACATATAATAGACATAACATGAGAGAGAGAGAGAGAGAGAGAGAGAGAGAGAGAGAGAGAGAGAGAGAACAATCAATTATGAAACCAAATCAATAAATGCTCTCGTTTTTATTCGCGGAACACTAATCAATGTACAACGCGCACATGAATATTCAATGGGTAGTAGACTTTTTCGCTCTTAGAAACATAATATACTACGACAGCTTACAGGAATTTAGATTTCCACGCATATGAATAATAATCGCGTAAGCGCGGGCGCTAATTAGTGTAATTATTACGGTATTTCCCTCCGCACGCGAGTCCGTTTGTATCCAACCTTGAACTTGTCATAGTAGACTTACTCTTCTGTTCTGGCGAGGCACCGGCAAGCAGCTGGTAAAATATGTGGAAAGTTCTTTCATCTTTGGCCTGGCGGATGGCACGTGATTTTTCCAAGAGGTACGTTTCGATGTTCGCACCAGCGATGTAACCCGACGCGTCGAAATTGATCCTGATGAATTTACCCTGTGTTGAAAAGATAAATAGACGTAAATTTTCAGTTTTTCGAAATATTTAAAAAAATTGATAGTGAATACTTACGAAACGTGATGAATTGTCATTTTTCACAGTCTTAGCGTTACCAAAGGCCTCGAGAATGGGATTCGCTTGAAGAAGTTGTTGCTCTAGTTCGCCCTGGTGAAGTTTAAAGATTATTAAACAGCTCTGTCAAGTGGTCATGGACTAATGAAGAGAGGAATAGAGAGACAGAGAAATAGAAAGAGAGAGAGAGAGAGAGAGAGAGAGAGAGAATATGATGACGATGAGCAGTAGTTATGAAATAGAAAATAAGCCAATTGATTTCGCTTCATGAGGCGTCGGTTTTTACGACTTTCGTTCAGTGATATATGATTGCCATGAGAGATTTTTTTCTTTTTTCAACGAGAGACAAGATCGCTTTTATGTGTGCGTGACGATATTATCCCTCTTAGATGCGAGTGCGAATTATCGAGGGCAAGTGAAATCATCGTCGATGACAATTTTCTAAATACGTGATCTATCGTAAGTGGAAAAAATCCTTCCTGCAAGAGTATTAACAAATGCTACGTATTGATATCATCTCACACTTATCACGTATTAATCATCATCGTTTTCAACAATAAGCATATAATAAAAATGTTCACGTGTCCTTGATCGTGTGTCTGGCAACGAGTGCAAATTAGCGGCCAAAGTCAGAGTTTATGGGCACTGGCGCTCTATTGGAGTGAGTGAGAGTGGGAGAGGGGAATATATACACAATGACGCAATGATCTAATATAGTCAGGTGTGTAACGAGCGCAACGCAAAAAGGAATTCCTCACTTGAAAAAAAAATAAAACTATACACGCTATGTCTACAATCGTTCACTCGTTCCCAAACATACGCAGGTTGACAGATTAAAAAGCCAAGTGAAAATGAGTTTGGTTAGTTTAATTACCGCAAATTTGTCGGAACCAGTCCCAGAGCTCTGTAGTTGTCAATGGCAAATGTAGTAGGCACAGGCGAAGGCAGAAGGCAGACAAAAATACAACAAGGCAAATGATTATTAATCAGAGCGATTGCGTCAGTTTTGCGACTAGTCGATTAGTTAGCGCGCGCGCGTCGCGGAGATGAGAGTACAGCAAGGCTCGAATGACTTTTATTCGTTCGACAGCACTTTTTTCTTCTTGTCGTTTTCGTCGACGAAAGCTGAATAATTGTCGTTGAGCAATCTTATTTCGCGGAGTAACCTGGTTTTTTTTTCTTGAAGGACAATCCAATTGGTATTTCACGCATACGCCGTTACGCTTATGAACGATTTGAATGCAATTTAAATAGAGTAATTAGAGAGTGCTACAAGTTTTAACTGCCCTCCTACTGCCTGTAAAACGCTATTTATCTTTTCCTCAAGTAATGCTCGAATTAAATTTCTATTGGCAAAGTTACTCCAACAAAAATCGATATTTATCATTATGAGAGTTCTGGAAATTATTTAAAATTAGCTATATATAATCACGTATAACAAAATTACGTTGAACGACACAAAAAAGAATGACAAAGTGAAATTTCATGCGTGGATGAAACAAGCAAAATGAAGTATCGAATGACATAAATTCCGAAGCGACACATAAATATATGACTACTTTGCAGTAGCTAGTGTAGAAAGGTTTGAACATTGTTGACCCGATAAAAGAGCGAACGATATCAAATGTTTCTCTTATGATTAAAAGCGTCGACGAACTCTTAGTTCATATTTTCGCCGAAGCAGGCATCGTTCAAACCTGTGAATCAGCGTTTGATTTGAACGGCTACGGCGACAAAAAAAATTCAACGTCTCCCCGAACACATTCCTACGTGCGCGCGGGCAAAAAAAAGAATCTCAAGGATCATACACCCCGTGCGAATGACGTAAGCGCCGTAACCATCGTATCTTCAATTCTATGTGTTGGTTAGTAACGAACAATTAGGAATCGAAGCGGTGATTGAGTGAATGAATGAGATACAAAAATGGGATGAATGGACAAACGCTAAAAAAATAATAATCAACCAAACAGCAAAATAAATAAAAGGTAATTTTCTTCGTTTCGTGCAGCGCTTTTTCATATTGAACTTACTATCAATATCGCCGGGCTGGGGGACTACAGTGTAGTGTAGAGGAAGAAGTGAGCCGCAGCACCGAGAAAAACATACAAGTATACAATACTCAATGAATTACGTTTGTTTTATCTTTCGCGTGTGTGATCTCTTCTTCGTGTATGATACACCGCGATTTTGTAAGAAAAAAAGACAAATACAAATATTTACAGAATCAGATGGCAAATACGAGAGCCACGGTACACATTGACTTACGGCATTTGATTTGGGTTTCGATGCAGCAACGTAAGCCAGATACTGGATGACTTTCTTGGTGTTCTCGGTCTTGCCGGCGCCTGACTCGCCGGTACACAAGATCGACTGGTCCTCGCGATCTGCAAGGTCAGATAAAGAGAGTGAGTCACCGCGATAACCAGCGCGAGCGGAGAAAACTCTGCGCTCCTTTGTGGCGCGCGGCTGACGCGAACGACCACGCCGGGCCACTTGTCCGGACTACCGCCGCGGTGGCTCTTATCGGAGCGACACTCGCGTACCTTGCAGCATGGAGCGGTAGGCGGTGTCGGTGATGGCGAACACGTGCGGCGGCACCTCGTGTCGCTTGATGCCCTTGTACCTCTCCATGATCTTCTCCGTGTAGATGGGCAGCTTCTTGTACGGGTTCACCACCACGCAGAACAGCCCCGAGTACGTCTGCAAGCCAATCGAGGATTAATCATTGCCGATCGAAGCTGGGCGCGCTGCTTTCGAACTCCCTAACGAGCTCAAGTAGCCTTTCTTTCGCAACGGACGCCGCTCGCTCGCGTCAATTCGAGGGGGCACGTCACTCGCGCGAATCGCTTGTTATCTGAAAATGCGCGACGACGCCAACGCAGAACGAGCGCCGCCGTTTCCCTCGCAATCGCGTCGGGGCAAACTGGTTTGCTCGCTTCAATGGTTGTCGCGAGCAATCGGAAGTGGACGCAGGACGTAAGGGATACGCGCTCGTTGCGACATGATTCACAGCGCAGGTAGCTTGCGCATCTTATCGGAAATGCGCGCCGACTGTCATCGCGGTTCAACTACAAATCAGTCCGTTGTTCCAGGGTCCGTCGTGGGTTGCGAGCAAGAGGGAGAGGAGAGAGAAATCACTCGTAGGACGAAGCCTTATCTCTCTCTCTCTCGCAGGTATCGCTTCGCTCTTAGTGGGTCAATACTGAATAGTTTAGACTGGAAGGAAGGCTGCTGCAACGCGCGACTCTCCTCTCGAGCGCGCGATTGTTTTGACTTTCCGCGCTCCCCGTTTCCCCGTATAGATTTTGTCGCCCTTTTCTTACTTTTCGGGACACGCACGGAGAAAGGAGCGTCCACGCGCGACTCGAAAGCCGGTCCCCCCGCGCGCGCGCGCGTGTCGTCGAACCCACATCGGGCTGCTGCCAGCTAGTTGGCATTCCACAGCGTGGAACCTGCGCGCGCGACCGAGAGACGGACAGGAGCGATGCTCTTTTTGGGAGGAATGGCACGACCAGGCGGTTATTGCGGAGCTTTCGGCGGTCTTACAGTTCTGCGGGTAGAACCGTCTCTCTTGCTCCGGAGCTGAAGGCCGAATCGTCTTTCCGCTCAGATCCGATCGGCATTCTCTTTTTTTCCCGCATAAAGTTATTATTATGAAACTTCTCCAAAACATTTCTCCATGATCGCCTCTTTAACGAATGTCACGTGTTTACCGTTACACATTTTACAACATCCGAAACGTTACAGCCAAAAAAAAACATAACAAATCGTCCAGTTGTTATTACCGCGGAAGTGCACGAAGAATTCGCGTTCCGAAACACGAATCAATGTACAGGTCAATAATTCCTCTCCGGCAGTCCTTTTACTTTCCGACGAGGAAAAAAATCGCCAAAACTTTCGCACCATGTTGGGTAAGTATACGTTATAAGTCGCGATGAATCACGTCTCCCTCGCGGTGATGATCGTCCATCCATATTGGGCATTTGCGTACATATAGGCAGAAGCGGGTTAAGGACGCATGATCCTTATAAGGACGCTTCTCTCCTCACCTGCGCATCGAACCGCAGGCCGATATGCGTGTAAGCGTGCAATCTCGTTCATGTCGTAGACCCGCGCTCGCGACTCGCAAAATTTCTGGGGGCGCCCAAGATGGCCGCACCGCCTTTTTTTTATCCTTGCGCGGCGGCGGCGGCGGCGGCGGAGCTGAATCAGCCGGCACACCATATCTACGACTCACGCACACCCGCAAATGAACAGCGCCAGACTGCGAATCGCGAGAAATTCCTTCGTTTTCGAGCGATCTTCTCGCTCACCTATGAGGCACGCGGCTCGGAACTTTTCCCGATCAAAGTTTCGAGCACAGAGACGAGGGTAAAAAGCCAGCGCACAGGTGTACGATTTGCAGCGGCACGCACCTAACCTCCAATGAGTTTTCGCGAAAAAGAATGCAAGCGCGCGTCTGCAACGTAAGCAGTCGACAGAAGCACACTTGTCAAAATATTGGCGAACAAATATATGCTGCGCTAATGTCCAATGTTGCTCGGGGTGAAATCTCTCTTGGTCGATCGGTGTCGGTTAATCAGCTGATGAAAAAAGGTCTTCGCGCAGTAGCGACGAGTGAGAGAGAGAAAGCGTTGTTGTGCGATGAGAATTGGCCGCGACAAAGAGAGCCATCGTCGGCTCAAGATACGTTATCTCTTGGCAGGACGTGTGTGAGTCAGGGCCGTACGGTTGGTAAGTTAGCGGGGAGGGGCGCGGGAGAAAGAGAAAGAGCACCGCGAGAATAAGAGAAAACTATACGGTGAACACGACCGTTGGGCGCTTCATGAGAGAACGAGTGAAAGAGAGAGAAGCCAAAGCTCTGCTCTACTCTATTCTACTCTACTTTACTACACCGGCCTGTCTCTCGTCCTAAGGAAACGCCCGAACCTGTTGAATGTGTCTGTGTGTGTGTGCGTGTGTGTGTGTATGTGTGGTTGATATGTACTCACGTAGATAAGTCCTGAGTAGTATCTGTCCTTGAGGTTGTGCAGCACTGATGCCTCGTTGAGGCATGTGAGCTCAGCCATATCCTCGGCTTTGTCGAATTTCGGTGGGTTCATCTTTTGGATATCATCCTTGGCGACGAGAACACGCTTGCCGGTCTCCACGATTTCCACTTCTACCTCGTCGCCGCGTTCGCCCTTGATTGACGCCGCGACGAAACCTTGATTCTCCGATGGCACCCATACCAGCTTCTTTTGTGTCCACTCGGCTTGGGTCGCCGGGTCGTTGAAACTATTGCGATCCACCGAGAGGATACGTAACTCTGGGTCCGAACGGTCCGCCCTCGAGTCCCCGTCCGCCATCTTCTCCCAGAGACGATGATTTGATCACACAAAACCAGAGCAATAACAACAAACTATTCCGTGCGGAATTCCCCGACAACGATTAAATATCAGTTGGCTTGGTCTGTCTTTCTCTATCTCTACTCTCGCAACGAACGCGCGCGCCAAACTGCTCTCCGTCTGTCTGTCTGTCTATCTCTCTCTCTCTCTCTTTCTCTGCGGTTCAGAGCTCTTTACTCCTCGAATGTTCGCGGACGCTCTTTTTCACTCGACGCTGGACAACACACTAAAGCGTCTGTGTTTCTGTCCCGTTGTTAGGCCATGCCGTGCCGCATTCGTTCGCGATCACGACACACTACTCTTCGATGACTCCGGCCGAAAACAGCGAGCGAGCTCTCCTCCCTACTTTGTGCACCGAGCTCGCAGCTCCAAACGCCAACGAACGCGACTGCCGCCGCCGACGTTCCACCAACTGCCCCCCGCGCTAAACATGGCGACGCTCGTTGTGCTGATAGTGAGCTACATTACCGACAAGATTCACGCCGCGCACCACTTTCAAATCTCCGCAAATGCATTTTTTGCTCCTTGTTTTTTTACCATTTCGGGATGTATTCCGCTCGCGCCGATTTTGGACGTACACACCGCGAGCACTGAGTTTTGGTAGGACACATACGCGTGTATGATTCAACGATACGTGCACTCGAGGTCGACCGGCTTTGCGAATGAAAAAGGTGCTGCGCACGCGATTAAGGTGTTAATTAGCTGATTAAGGTATTTCGCTTTTTTATCTGCACTTTATTTTTGCCAAGCTGGCGTTCTATTTAAATGCTCGCGTACGTGCGTGTGGTTCGTTTTCTTTCGTTCGGAGATTTTGATGTTTTTATGGGCTTGTGCTTCATTTTCCTGGCTGTTAGCTTTTAACTTGCACGAGTGATACCAGGACAAAAATGTTGCGTGAAATTTCTTATATTCATTAGGAGTTACCTTCACAGCTAATAAACTTGGTTGATTATGAAATTAAATAAACACTCCATAAAGTTTTACTATCTACTTCCCGCAACTCGCACACTGCCAGAACTTGGTAAAAAAGGAAAATGTTTTACTAGTTGCGAAACATTATACGATGATCGCTTGATGAGAGAGAAAAGCACGACATCCCGTAAATAGCCTACAATCTCGTGAAAATGCCCACAGCCAAATGGTGTATTTACATAATAGAGCAGCGCACAGACGTAGATGCGCGTATAGGGAGTCGCCGCGACGCATTAACAGCAAGCGAATACTTCCGGAACTCGTGGAGTCGACCATCTCGCTTGACAAGCCCGCCGCTGCGTAATAGCCAACAATTATCGATCATCAAAAACGTTCATCTCGCGATTCGCGCTCAGTCGAGATGCAAGCATGTCGACCTACGGACAGAGCTCCTCACCACGAATTCGCGATTATGCGAAGGAGAGAAAGGTGAGTGGTCGATCGCGTAGAGCATCATCGGTTGGACGCGTGTACTATCATTTTCAATCGTTGAAGGCACTACTGGTGGATCTGCGTAGCGACACCATTTCGCGACCATCGCCGGCAATGAAACGTGCCATCGCTGAGGCCGAACTTGGGGATGACGTCTGGTCCGAAGATCCCACCGTCATAAGTATGCTGAGGAGAACGTCAAACGAATGATTTATGCGATGGAATTTTTTTGCTCTTCTTTTCTCAGAGCTCGAGGAGAAAGCGGCAGAACTGCTTGGCAAAGAAGCTGCTCTCTTCGTTTCTTCCGGCACTATGGGCAATTTGATTTCTGGTAAATGCAAATTCTATAGTCAATTATTGTACGACTAGGTCGAGCTTGATTGCAAGCTTATATCTTATCGCATTGACGATTAGAATTGATGCATCGTTTGTGGCTTAAAAAGGAATTCCACCAATGAAAATTTTAATGAAACCCGCAGCGGTATTATCTTATTCAAAATAAAATCACGATTTTCTTGAATACGCGTCGCGGCATAATATGTCCAAATCGAGTAGCGACCTTAATCTGCAGCGTCAACGCTGTCGCTTGATCGTCGATTCTTTTTCTCTCCATAAATAAACCGCGCGAGGGCAATAAGTCAGTTGCGTTCGTCATTTTTTAAATCTAAAAATAGCAAAAGAGAAAATTTTCAAACAATTCATCGCATTAATGCGACGCAATCGCGCGAAAGTTCAAGCGCGCGAACTAGTAACAATGATCTTTCGATATATCTTTCTCCCTTGGCCATACTCGGTAAAGTAACTCCAGAGCCGCATTGAGCTTGAAAACAGAAAATTAGGCGAACTAAAGGAAAATCAATTGCTATTCGTAGTGTTGAACCATTGCGACGTGCGTGGTAGCGAGGCCTATTGCGGCGAAGACTCACACATTGTCCTTCACGAACAAGGAGGTGCCGCGCAGATTGGCGGCGTAACGGTCTGCCCGTTACCTAACAACGTCGACGGTACGTTTGATCTGAGAAAGTTAGAGAACAAAATCAAAGCCGACCGACAACACGAGCCAATCAGTAAATTAGTCGCTGTTGAAAACACCATCAACGGCAAGGTTGTACCGCAGAAATGGATCGACGAATTAGCCGAGCTAGCCAAAAAGCACCATCTAAAGATGCACATGGACGGTGCGAGATTGTGGAACGCCTCGGTGGCGTCGGGCTTGCTAGCGAGCAAAATCGTCGAGAAATTCGATTCCGCGACCTTTTGTCTCAGCAAACTCGGTGCACCGGTTGGCTCAGTGCTGTGTGGCAATCGCGAGTTTATCGCCAAAGCCAGAAGAGTTAGGAAAGTCCTGGGTGGTGGTATGAGACAAGTTGGCATACTCGCTGCGGCTGGGATCGTGGCGCTGGACGAAATCGTACCACTGCTGAGGGATGATCATCGACGAGCTTTTCAAATCGCTAAAACTATCAACGACATGAATTGTAATACGTTCAACGTTGATCTGCAAACAACTCACACGAATATGGTGTTAATAAAGGTCACGTCCAATGATAACTATACTGCGTTAGACTTTGTTAATAGGCTACAGACAGTGAAGGAAGATGTCGACGACGATAGAGTTGTCGTTCGAGGATTAACTTTGACACCTGAACTAGCTAGACTGGTCTGGTACTACGAGATAACAGACGAGATGACCGATGCTGCTGAAAGGAAGATCAAGTATGTGATAAGAGAGTACCAAGCGAAGAGAAATGAAAAATAACAGTTTAATTTGTAAAACGGTTTTTTGTATTTAAATTGGCACTAATAAAAGAAAACAAGTTGATTTGTTGCGTGAAATTACAATTATTCGTAATGGTTTATTCTCAACAGCTTTTACTAGCTATAGAGCTTACAAAAGAATCAATGAGGATTGGTTGTAACAGGAGAAAAACGATAAAAATACAATTAACTTTGGAATACGTCTTTTACTTGTTCCTCATCGTCATCCTCTTCCTCCTCGCCTTCACTTTCGAATGTATTGTCAGGAATATCGTAGAGACGGATCATGGGCTTGTTGGGATCCTTCATGATTAAATACTTGCCATCCTTCTGTTTCATACAGATGTCGATGATGCAACGCAGAATACCCCAAGCATTGTCCATGTTCAGATTGATCTGGTTGGCAAACTCCAATGGCTTGTACTGTTGAATGTCCAAAATCACGTGTTTACTGGAATCTCTCACGCTGGCACGTGACACGTAACCGAATTTCAAAATGTCAGAGCCGGCGAGGATAGCTTGAACGGTCCATTTGGCCAATTTACAAGCGTTATTACGTAGCTCGTTGGCAAGAACGGCACCTCGCTGGGTATCGAGCTTGCGACGCCACTCGACTCCGTTAGCAAGTTTCGAGTCCCATTCGTTGAGTGCCTTGATCGTTAGGAATTGGGGCTCGTTGTTGGGTCCCAATACGACGGCATCGTGCTCGCATCTGGCAATGAGGGTGATGCCATTGTTCAAGTCCCATTTTCTGTATCTGTAGGCGACGCTGGCAACTTCTCCTTCCTCTTCTTCCGAGATAAATGGATTAGACTCTTGGAACTTGTGCTTGAACTCGTTGGACTTGAGTACTTGCTGGGAGAAATTGTGATTAATAAAAGTAGCCTCCAAAGCCAAGTTTCTTGGAGAATTCAAAGAGTTTCCGTCGTCCTGTGGAGGTTCTACGCTTGTCTCGTTGACCGTCAACAGATCGAACTCTGTGTTGTCACGTTTGTCAAAGAAAAGTTTATTGCCAATCTTCTCGATGACGATATCCCAAGAGTAATTACTGCGAGTACAGCACATAATCGTCGCCAAAATGGCATCAGTGGCATATACATTGCCCTCAGTTTTCGACAATTTGCGAATAATAGGATCATCTGTAGTGGTGACAGTGTGGAAAATACGGTCAATCCTTTGCAGTGGCTTCTCGTTCTTCACATTGACTCTGTCGTAGCTCTTATCGTACCATTCCAAGGCACCAAAGGTGGCAATGTCTTCACCATCTTTCACACCAGGAAGAGTAAGTTTGCTCAGTCTTGGAAAATCCATTTCCTCTATAGTAACCCAATCTGGTCTAACGGTAACAGAAGCATCCCTAATCTTGATTGGAGGTTGATTTTTATGATTCCTAAGACCTTGCTGGCGACCCCAGCGTTTAGTTTGTCCTTTGCGATCTCTCTCCCTCAGTTTTAACTTGCCAAGAGCCTGCATTTGACCAATAGCACCACCACGGCCACCACGTCCACGCATACGCTGATTCTGACGACCAAATCTACCGCGCTGGTAAGGTGGTTTCTGAACACGTGTTGTGTCAACCAAATGAAAGGTTGATTCATCTTCATCATGGTAGTAAGCATATTGACTTCCTGAGCCAAACTGCGATGCATACTTATCTATAAATAAAACGAATGGTAAATAAATAATATAAATACCGAGTTTTTACAGAGATACATTGAAACCTACTTGCAAACTTCTTGTCTTGGAAAGCTGGACCAGTCCAGTCGGATATCTAAAGATAGTACACCTAATAATGAGTTCTTGTCCACAATTCAGTTAATAAATTGCTTACCTTGCCAATTCTGTCACCCTTGGAGAACGGCTGGTATGGTATATCTTTGAATTGATCGGGTAGCTCGCAAGGACCCCATCCATCAGGATTGTTCTGTACTTGTGGCGCAATAAAGTGTTCTTTGACCTCGACGTTTTCACCGTCGGAGTGCAACATCTGCTGCTGCTCGTTCACCTCATCTTGTTGCTGCTGTTGCTCTGGCATCGCCTCGTTCGACTCGATTTCCACGGGCATCTTTCTGCTGTCAATCTGTAATTTATCGTTCAGTATCGATCACTTTGTTATTCACTCAAATATATTACCGTTGGTATATAATTTTTGTGACACGGCGAACTTTTGTGGCACTGAGTACGATTTCTTGTAAAAATATAAAAAGAATTTACCTACGGCCAGCTGAGAAACTCGCGGTGAATTTGGTCTTTAATGTATAGGTTATCCGACCGCCTACGTATCCGCGTGCCGGAAAGACCGCCATATTACCTCGATTGATGGCCGTTCCCAGAAACAGATGGCGATACTTGGTTATTTTTAGGCAACGAGTTTTAAATTGCATCGTTGCATGTATGTAGATGTAGTTGCCGGCTCCGGCATTTCCATTTGCAATATATTGTGTGACGGTATAAGCTTATCCTTGTCTCTCGCGTATACATAACGCACCTCATCTCGATTACTTCTTTTTCCCCTCGTCGTTTTCACACGGCACCCAAGTGATTCAGCAGTACTCGAGGTAGCTATTGCAGCCAGTTATCAATTGTACGTGGACGAGACAAGAGAAAAAGCTTCTCCAAGATGGTCAAGGCAGTTTGCGTGTTGCAGGGTGAAGTCAAAGGGACTATTTTCTTCGAGCAAGTCGTAAGTGTATATTTTTAATTAAAATTTATCGCGTTTCATAAAAACGTTTTCATTATTTTTTCGTCATTTCGTTTCTTCCTTCGACAATTGACCTTGCGATAATGCAAAGTCATTGCATACAGTGATAATCGTAACTATCGTTTTGTTTACTTGTAGAATTCCTCTGATCCAGTTAAGGTCACCGGCGAAGTCACTGGACTGAAGCCGGGTCTACACGGCTTCCACGTGCATGAATTTGGCGACAATACCAATGGTAAAAAGAATTTATATAACAGTCTTACTTATTAAGGTTGACGACGGACATATAATTAATATTCATTATATATGTGCAGGTTGTACTAGTGCTGGACCACATTACAATCCACTGGGCAAAGATCATGCTGGACCCACTGATGCTGATCGTCACGTAGGTGATTTGGGAAACGTTGAAGCTGGTGCCAATGGAGTAGCCAAAATCAACATCACAGATAAAGTGATACAATTGCAAGGTGCACACAATATTGTGGGAAGAACCATGGTTGTAAGTAGAGCATGTTAATTGAGAATTTATAATGAAGTTTCTTGTTGAATGAACAAAGCTTGTTTGTTCTGTAGGTTCATGCTGACCCTGATGACTTGGGTAAAGGTGGTCATGAACTATCAAAAACTACTGGTAACGCTGGTGCTCGTTTGGCATGTGGAGTGATTGGTATTGCAAAAGAATGAATTTTCAGTAAAATTTAATTTACTAAAACATATATCCATTGCATTATCTTGTTACTTGCTGTATGGGGTAGTCATAAAAAATATCATTCCTTTGAATACAAGATGTATCAAGTTCTATTATTTTTTTAAAAAGTATATGACTCTTAACACTACTTTTCATTTATTAGTTACTTAATGTTGATTAAAATATTACTATTAAAATTTTTAATTATTTGTCTTCATTTATACAATTCTATTGTCTTATTCTCAAATAAAAAAGTTACTCAATTGTAACAAAATTATTGAATGATTTTTATTATAAATCTGTTGTTTTCAGTTAAACATCTGATCCAAACAAAATTTTATTCAAACAAAATTATGGTTATATGTACTTTTATTTCTATTTTGAATAATGCTATCAAAAATCAGCATTAAAAGAATTAATGTTTTAAATGACTAAAATAATTGAAACAAAAGTTTTCATAAGTTATATTGGAATATACATATTTTCTAATTAATTTTTTAAAAATCATATGTAAATTATTGATTTACAAAACTGTCTATAATAAAAATGGTTTTCAATATTGGTACTGTAACATTAAAAATTATCGCAAATGCTTTTCAAGATAGAAAAAATAAAATTAAAAATATTTTGTCAATCAATATCTGATTACTTTTTCAACCTTGTAAACTGAATCTAGATCTGGGATAACTATTTTATGTATTATCTTGTATCCCAAAGCACTGATGATCAATTGATCGTCTTTAATTGCTCATGAGTGCAGGTAGCACTACAGAGGTAGTGAGAATATCTTGAAATATTATATATATATATTAATCAGTAAAATCCTCCCACACTTTTATTAAAAACTCAAAACATGTCTAAACATATTGAAGTCAAAACACGCACAAAATTAACAATCACATGGCTTAATTTTTTGTTCAATTTTGCCATAAATTACCGTTAAAACTATTAAGCTGAATTTGATTGACTCATATACATTTTTGTATGTAAATATCCGAAAATTAATGCAAATCAATAATTAATTTATAAAAAATTGCTAACTATTATGAAAAAAAAGATATGCTTGATTAATATCAAATTTTGGAAAATCAAAACTGAACCGCGGCCGGAAGAAGAGTGAGTACTTCTCGGCTCACTATCGGCTATGTATGTATGTATGATGTGGAGATGCGCGGGCTCAGTGCAGCGCCGGAAGTCGAGGAGGTAGCCAGACTGAGCCAGAGCCGCAGCGCCACGCCAGACCCATAGACCAGGCGGCTGCTCGAATTTTCGCTGGTTGTCTCTACTGACCGAGGGGTGTCAGCACTGACCTGATGCAAGCGCCACAAATCATTATATACACATTCTAATTTTATACCTATATAGAATAATATACATATTAAATATACATATATACACTGTCTGCTACTCTGCCTTACCGACCTTAAAACTGCAGTTGACCGCCAGATGTCTAACAGATGTTTAATTCGTATGGCGCGTGTGTCTGTATACCGTATGTAATGTACACAAATTGCCGGGTAAAACTACGAAAAGCACGTGGCTTTGAAAAATTCTTATTCGTAAGTTGATAAGTAGCGCATTGAAACAATAGTTGCATCATTAGTACAGTTGAGATTACCAAGCAACACACCTATATATGGCCTATGTATGAAAAGGGATAAGCATTTCGATTATGAATACTGATAAACCTAACCAAGCTAGCACTCATTCAAAACGTTCACGTAATTTCAGCATGCAATCGGAATATTGCCCTTTGTGTTCAAAAAATGGAGCTAAAGTTCGTGTCAGGGCTTATCAGCTTAATCTGGAGGAGGCTGTGTTCATGTGCTCTACAAAAGAGGTAAAGGAATTTTCTAATATCAGTCGTATACTTCTAAATATACATTCCAAATCTTTTGTATCATTTGTTTATTCGCAGTGTACATGGCCAGTTGGATACCATGAACTCTTATTTATGGATAGGCTCTTGGGCAAGCACTCAACAAATAATTGGCCTGAGGTAGCTGATAAGTTTTTAGCAGAACATTTTAAGAAACAATGTGATTCTCTATCAGAACTGTCAGCATATACACCACCACAAACACCAGGCAACTCAAAAGATACTATCCATGATGCTACCACTGGTACGGTAGGTCCTTCATCCTTATCTATGGTCAAAGAAATTGATACTTTGGAGCAGCAACCATCTACCAGTAAAAGTATATCTTCTTTTGAGATACCAGTTATTGATCTAAGTAGTAATAATATATTTGATGGCAAAAATACACCATTTGATATTCCAATTATTGATTGTACTCATTACAATACATCAATATTTGATGACAAAACTGTTAGTTTAGAATCAATGTCAGGTTTAAAGTCTGATTTATTAAATACAAAAAATGATAATGTTATGGAAACATTTTCTAGAAATGACATATCACTAGGTGATACTTTTGCAAAGGTTTCAGCAGTTAATAAGTCTATAGTTATTAAGAATGAAAAACCAAGCTTTGTGCCTGAAAGGAGTGTTATAAGTGACAATGTACAGCATAAAAAATTTCGAATAATAGGCAAACAAAAGTCTAAGTCATTTAATTATAAGAAACAGTTTGATATCTTTGATGATATAAAGAAAGCTAAAAGTACAAATGAGCAATGCAAAGCTAAAATTACCATAAAAAAACAAATAGATTTAGATAAAATGAAGCCAAATGAAATAAGAGATATATTGTTTGTAAATAGTAAATCAAAAACTAATAATTTAGGTAGTGCATGCAAACTAGAATCTACTGAAAATAGTGTTATTAAACTGGAACCTATAAAACAAGTGATTAAAATGGACAAAACAGTATATAAATCCGATGTCAATAGCCAAATAGAAGTAGAGAAAAACAAATCTGATACAAGTAGTCAGATTGAAACTTCAAATGAAGACTATAATGTTAAAGTTGAAAATGTTGCATTGGAATTGTTAAAGAAAGAATCTAGCGACAATTTGTATGCTCAATATGATATTAGTACAATGATTGATACTTCTACAGAGTTAGAATCTGAGAGAATGTGGTCCAGAGATCACCATAATTTAGATAGTTTGTTGGAAATGTTAGAAGATAGAACAGCCGAAGACAACTTGATGACTACTGATAATATATCGAGTGCTACTACATCTCTTACGAATGATACATTGAAAAATAAAAAAATTGATAACGATGTATCAAATGACCTTAATATAGAGGTTGATTCCATTATTGATAATTTGATGACTACCGATAATACATTGAGTGCTACTGCATCTATTTCGAATGATACATTGCAGAGTGAACAGTTGGAAAATAAAACAATTGCTAATGACGTTTCAAATGACCTCAAAATAGAGGTTGATTCTATTATTGACGACGACACTCTGCAGTGTACCATTGAAGACACAGACGATTCGTTCTTCACCTCTCTTTTTTCTCCTCCAATGAAACAGTAAGTTTCATAGCTAGAAACAATGTAATTCTTATTTTTCTACACTTAAAATGTGATACTTAAAGACTTGATAGTCATAAGAATAGCGATTTTTTTAGTTTTGTACAAGAATTCATTTAGCGACGAAAAAAAATTTTTCTTTTCATGACTACAGAGTTTATTTTTCGAAAGAAGACGAAGTTTTAGAATAATTTTAAGGAATTTGAATGAATCTATATAGATTTAAGTCGATTGCATGCAATTTATCGTAGAAAAGCATATTTATAATATTTTTTTTACTTACATCACATATAATAAGAATATTTTTGTTTAACTCGTTGACGAATGACATCTGTGCAGACCAAGTACATTCGATGTCTCCAAGAGAACAGTCAACAAATTGTACGTTTGCTTTGGATAAAAGCTTTTTCATTCGCGTAAAAGTCATATTCATAAAGCTTTTGATAGATCTGTTCACATTGGAGATATGTCATACGTTGATTTATGCATGAAAATCGTCTTTACGACCATAAAAAGCTTTATTTAATATTTGAAAAAGTATTTGTTGCATGTCGTTGATATAACGCTAAACCGCAGGGCAATTATAATGTGCGTCTAGAACGGATGAAAAGCGACGAATCGTTGCATCCCATGGAAGCTCAATCGTTTGTTCTACATTGACTTAAAAATAATAAAAAGTTATTTAGATTTATTGATGTATAAATTATAGTTGTTCTTTACGGCTGCAACAGGTTTATTTGAATTTGCCAAGAAGTGTGTAATATTGTGCAGCCCACATCGTATGTTTGTGCGAATAAATTCTTTGGAATATTAAAAAATTCTCCATGTTTTCTGAAACACCCATGCAAGCGAGAAAGGAGACACGCGAGAGAAGGAGACCGAGGCAACCGCACCGAATAGATAATGGGGATAATTGGCAATAATAAGGATCGCGTATCGATAGCGTAGGGAGAGAGAAAAAAAGAAGAAGGCGAGATATGGCGGCGCGCGGACGTGTATTTTGAAATCGAGCGGTTTTTCGGGACGAAAGAGCGCAATTACGCTCTCTCTCGCTCTCTCTCTCTCTCTCCGTCTCTTTCTCTCTGTGTACGCGCGGCTCTAGCGAAATTACAGCCTGACACACGACTGACACGTAAATTGCCTCTGCTTCTCGGAGTTTTATCTATACACATACGCGCGTGTGCATGCGGCGGGGGGAATAGTTCGTTTGACTGATGGCCGAGGCGCAAACCTTGCCAGAGTCCAGAAGGAGACCCTCGATCTTCGAGAGAGGGCTAGATTTCATTTTCTTTCCACGCGGACGCCGAGTGCCGCTTCGTACGCGCGATTATTCCCGTACGCGCTCCGGGCCTCGCGCGGAGCAAACGCGAATCTCGACTTTGTTCCGAGACGCGCGGCTGATGCTTTGATTGCCGCAATTATATTTGCATCCTTTATCGGGAAAAACACATGCACGCTTCGCATTTGAAAACTCGCGCGCTTCTTTCCTTTTATTTTTCCGTTTTTTCACGCGGTAATTCTTTTCGCGCGCCTTGCTCCTTTTATCGAGAGCGTTCTAATAGCGCCTTCTTCGTTGTTGTTCATTTTTTTCCTCCAGTCCAAGTATATAATTTGCCGCTCGAGAACTTGATGAATGCAGAGGTAGCAAAGTAACGAGCGGATAGATCAGACTTGAAGCATTCCGAGAATCCTCGCATTGTTGCATCAAATTTATTCATCGGGAGGCTGCAGGCTTCGCCGGTGCGCAAGCTGCAGCGAAAACAAGGAGAGGCGATAATTCAAGCTTGCGCGCAAGTCCACCGGGACAGCCCGCCTCGGCTGCGTAAGTCCTCGAGTCGGGCCGGTCGTCGCTTAAATTCGCACCTAGCTGCGGCGCCGGCAATCGCAAGGAAAACGAGAAAAACGAGAAAAACGAGAAAAACGAGAAAAACGAGAGCAGAGCCTCGCAGCGTCCCCTTCCCTGTCGCGTCGCGGCCGGTAGGGGCGCGTTGCAGCTCGGCGTCGCCGTCGCGTGGGAGTAATATAATAGGCAGCGAGTCGCGTCGGGCGCCGGGGCGGGGCTGTCGCCCGAGCCAACCAGAACCCGGCGCAACGCCCCTCGGCAGAGCGCGACTTCGGCCGCATCCCCCTCGCGCTCGCGCTCGCTCTCTCTCTCGCGCTCGGCTCGGGGAAAAGCGCGGGCTAATGATGACGGATGGCGCCCGCCGATAGCGCGCGCGCGCACTGCATATCGCCCGGGCATTAAGTTTTATTTTCGCCACTCGCGTGCGCCGATAGCGAGTGGCGAGCGCGCGGGGAGGAACGCGCTCGCGACACGACTGCCGATCGCGCACGTCTGCGGTAATTGCCGATCTCGCGTTGCTTGCGCAAGGCTGGCGCTGAGGCAAGCGGCGCGACGCACAAACGAGTCACACGGATTCCTCGCCGAAGGCTCGCGGGAATCGTTGTCGCGGTACCTCGCTACGAGAACCTTCCTCGACGGGATCCCGTCGGGAGAGAGGAGCGCGCGCGGGAATAGCCGAGTACTGCGAGCTACGTGTACGTGTGGTTCGCCGGCAGAAGAAAGGCCAAATGGGAATAAAATAAAGAAGTCGAAATCGGCGGAAGGCGCGTATTAACTGCACTGGGGCGCGATTGTCTTACGGCGTTTACCCCAACTTCCGGCTGGACTCTGGTTGGTTGCCTTCTTTTTGCCCGGAGAAGAAGTAGAAGAAGAAGAAGAAGAAGAAGAAGAAGCTTTCGCGTCTCTCTCTCGCGGCTGCAATTAAAGTAATTGGTCTCATTGTGCTGTCCGAGAGAGAGGCGAATGCCGTGGCTCTGCTGAATGAAAACCGACGTCCCGAGCCCAACGCGCAGAGGCTCTCAACGAAAGCGCCGAATATCTCGCGCGGCTTTACCGACGCCCCGCTGTTGTCCAGCGGGAGACGCTTTCTCGCCGAGCTTTCGACGCCTGCCTTCGCACCGACTCGCAACGCGCCCTCGACTCCGACTCGTCGCTGCTCCGCCATCTTCGACGCTCGAGCCTGTAATTTCCGACGAATTACCATCCCCGCGTTTCAGTGCGAACTTAAAATGCATAATGGTCAGCATTAACGTGAAACGCGAATTTTGCACGTTTCGCGCCAGATATTCGCATTTGCGCGATATCTGCTTGCTTGAAAACGATGCGAACGCGCAGTCCTTGAGAAACGAAGTTCCCCTTGATAGAACGAATAAAAGGCAGGATTCGTAATGGGCTGCGAACGCGCGCGCGTGTGTGCAGTTGTCCGGCGGCGAAAGAATTGAAATTGGTGCCTTTATCTCTGTTTTCTCGACTTTGTCGTGCCTTTGTGGCTTTTTCAAACGCGCGTGCTCGGACTTATTTCTACCTGCCCCGTTGTTCGCTCTGAGAACCGCGCGAGTGTATCGTAATCGCGCGCGGCAATTTATCGCGGCATGAACGACGAATAAATCAAAAGCGCAAGGATTTGCAAGACTCGGAGGAGTTTCTAATCGGTATGGCAACGAGAAAACTTTATGCGACCGGTCGGGCAAAATACCAAAGCAAGAGAGCGCGCTCGATCGTCGTTTCACAGGTCTGCACGACGGCAAACGAATTTCTCGGTCGAACAGCGTGCCCGTGGAAAAAGTTTGCCGAGGAAGTACGCGTACGCGCGACATCGATCGAAATAGATTTCCCCGAGCGCCTCGGACGGTCGAGCGACGCACAGGCGCGACTGGGAGAGGCGAGGATCTCCGGTCGCGGCGAAGGAAGCGCGCGCGCGCTTGGGCATCGGCAGTTGCAGCCGTGGCCCGGCGAAAGGGGCTCCGGGCGCGCGCATTCGGCTTAATAATCGCAGATTCCCGAGATTACGATATAATTGCCGCATAATGCGGCGGCTCGTTACGCGCGCCGGCCAATTTGGCATTATCGGACTAAGCGGGATAGCGCCGCAGCTGCCGCGCGGGCCCTTAATGAGGCATAAATTTCCGGGCCGAAAAGCTCCGCGGCGCGCGCGCCCAGATGGACGCAGCGCACGAGAAGCCCGTGTCCGCGCAAACACGAGTCTCTCTCTCCCTCGTGGCATGCGCGCGGGCTCGTTTGTTTTGACTCGGCTCTGCCAGGCGCCCCCGAGCACGTGTAGGCGAAACTTGGCTAAACAGTGTCTCGAGCGAACGGGGCCGCAGTCTCACGTGTCTCGCCCACTGACAGTTTGATCGGCCGGTAATTACGCCTATATCCGCTGACACACTGAGTGTGCGTACGGCAGCACACACCCGTACACGCGAGAGCAGGCCAATTTTCGCGCACAGCAACAAAATTCCTCCGAGCCGGATTTCAAGCAGCGACCTATGGATTTCTGGCGCTGCTTTCTTCTTTCCTGCCGACTACGGTCCACCGCTCTACCGAACCGCCGGGCTATCGAAGGCCGCTTGCCGCACTCCAATTAGCCGGCGCTCCAATGCACGCGGCGCTGTTCCCTCGTTCTCGCTGCGGCTGCGAGCGTCGGTGAGCTATCCGCGACGAACGTTGGAGCAGCCGCTATCGCCGTCGTCGAAAAACACCTCCCGAACGGAAAATCGCACGTGGGAGACGCGGGAGACGCGGGAGACGCGGGAGACGCGGGAGACGCGAGAGGGCAAGAGAAAAAAGCAGTGCTCGTCCGCCAAAAAAAAAAAATCCATTCATTACCGCTCGTCCTCGGCGCATCCCGCTCATTAGAATGCATCCTTCCCTCGTCTTCGCGACTCACCTGCGCACGGCCGAGAGAGCGCGAGCCAAGATAAAAAACAAAGGAGGGCTAATGACAAGCTCGCAGCGCTTTTGTCGCGCGAAACAATGAAGGGCCGTCATTAGTCCGAGATATCATCGCGTCTCTCGTCCTGCGTCGAAGCTCCGCCTTTCCGAACGAAAAAAGAAAAAAAAAAAAATGAAAAAAGAACGAGGCTTCCGGGGGTCGTCGCATTGTGTGTACGCGCGCGCCCGGCCGCTCATTTATTCATCGCGCATCGACCGGCTCTTTGCGTTATTGGCTGGCAGGGGACATGTGTGCTGCGTGCATCGCGAGCGGGATGACTGCGCCGCGCGAGGGCGTTTAACTTTCAACAGGTTGACGTGCAGCGCTTTTGCCTTTTTCCGCCGGCGCTCGGCGACGGGGACGGGGACTCGCTCGAAGCCACTATTCAATCGCCGGGGGAATAATCGAATCGTTTCGGGCGACGAGGCGCAACGAACGAAGCACCTGTCGCGCGTCCAGCGAGACGAATTGGCTCGTTCCCGAAACGAGCGCTCCTGCCGATCGCGAGATTAATCGCCCTCGTAGAGGCTCTGCAGCGGCGGCTGTCCGATCAATTATCGATCGCCGCGGCGACGGATTTGCGTTATCCTAGACGCGCTCTCTCTCCCCTTTGTTGCCCCTCCGCGCCGAAGCGCCGCTCGCTCGACGAAAAATTGCCTCGCTTCTTCTTTCTCTCGCTCTGCCTCTATCTCGCGGTGTCGCTGAACTCTCGCGGCGCAGTCGTAAACTCGCGCGGTCGCGCGCTGCGCACAGATCGATTGTAAATCACGTCGGAATCGCGCAGATCATCTGATACAGCGCGTCGGCGAGCGGCCGTGCACTGCTAATTGAAATCTCGGTTGTGCTCTATAAAACAGCTCTTTGAAAGCGTTTTAACGCAGCGAAGAACGAAAGAAAGAGAGAAAAAAAGTAGTAGCGCCCTAACTCGATTACAAAGTGAACATTTTTTTTTGTCCTTCGACAAGAAATTTATTCGAGAACGCGCGTCGCTGCGTCGCGTGATGAGCGCTTCTTT